AGAGTTAGCACAATGGCAACTGCTCCAAGCACATTAAAACTTGGTTAGATTTTCATTTGTCCTTATCCACCTTTAAATAAATAATCCCCATGAAAATAATTAGGTGAGAATAAATCACGGACACTTAGCTTTTGCAAATAAGTGAAGATTTTTACTTACAAAGTTTCAGAAGTTACAGCAAACAAGTCTCCGTCCATTGGCAGTAAAATGAAGAAGAAAAAGGTTCCAAACTTGAAAAGAACTTGGTTTCATTGCAAAAATGGTAATGCAATCTTTGACTTAGCAAAGTTGCAGGCTGTAAAAATCTTTTTTGGAGAGATTCAGTTCACCTGGTGTTTTGTGTAGCTCAGAGCCATGCTGCAGCTCCAGCTTGTTCTGGGAAGTAGAAGAGAGAGCCTGCGAGAGCAGGGAAGGAAAGGCTGAGTTTGCTAAACTCCACACATTGGCAGCTTGAGCTCAGATTAACATATTCTTGAACGCAAATGTGAGTCGGCAGCTGTATAGCACAACACCAGGACCTTCCACATGCCACGCAGGTGCTTTACATGGCTTTTTATTAAATGTTTACTCAAATGTAAGCCCAACTACGCTCTATAGATATTACTCTTAGGTAGGTGTGGATAGAATTGCAGCCTTCTTTAGTTTCATTTTCTCTTTGGCTTGTTAGCTGCTGTTAGCTAATTATGTTCAAGTAGAAACCTTGCCTTGTCTCTAGAAACTTATTAGCTCCAGGTCTATTGGGGTTTTGTCGCATTATTACGTCAGCGAGCTAGAAAAGGTGGAGAAAAGGAAAAATTAAAGGGAGAGGGCATTATTAGCTTTCCACGTATAGCAATAGGATGATCTAGGAGGTACGGGAAGACTTTAGTAGCTGAAAGACCTTTCTGGTCAAGTTCCTATCTGGTTTCTAAACTTTTCCTAAAAGAATTGAGCAAGTGCTGAGCTCCACCCCCCCAAAAAAACATCCAAAGTTAAAAATGTTAGTCATCCACTGTTTCCCATATTATAACATTTTTAAAATGGTTCTTTGATTTTGTGCATGGCAGTAGGAAATTGGGGTTGCATTTTGGGTCTATTTCCAGGACTGCAATGAATTGTTTTGCAGAATATACAGTAGGTGGAGTTTAGTAGACTCACCTTATGATTTTTGTGTTCAGATTTCTTTATTCAAACCTGACAGGATTAAAGTGAATTTCTCCATTCACTTATCAATCTATATTGCAATATGCAGTACTGGAAACAGTAAATTTAGCTTGGGCAAGATTTTAATATTTATTATGCCTAATCAGCTCAGCCAGGATAAGTTTAAGTCATTCCAAATATATAAGTTAGTTCCTTTGGATAGAGTCCCATAATTAACATTATTTAGTTGAGCATGTTGATTTGGTTTCTTGACTTTCGGGTATTGAAAACTGCATGGAACTATTGAGAAATCACAGGCTTCCCAAACACCAACCTGTCTCTCTTGGGAGGGTATTTAAATTAAACTCAGTTTATGCCAGGGGTTGTCAACCCAGTACCTACTGGCACCAAGTTGCCTATGATGGCTTCCCCTGGGCAAGTCTCTAGTCCTAGAAAGTTATGGGGCAAAATGTGCAGGTACCTTCTAAGTGATTTCTGTTAAATGAGAGAGATGTGGCTACCATGTGTATTTTTCCTGCTGCTAAGAAGTGCTCCCTCTTGCTATTAAACAGCAATGGCATCAGAATGTGTTGCATGTGTGATCCCCATAATCAGGACCAGCAAGACATAGCTTGCGAACTATGTTCCTGGTTTGAATCCTGTTTTTTTTCTATCTTAATGTAGTTGTGCACAATGTTCCCAACCCTTACAAACAGCTTGCAGTCTTGGTTCAAAAGTGCAATTGGCCTGTATAATTCAAAAGACATGAAATCCGGTTTTGGAATGACCATCATCCTGGACCGCTTCCATCACTCTGGAATCCCACCACATCCCCACTATCCAGGATGCTACTGGCCAACATCAGCCGGGATGGGAAACCCCAACAAAATGAAATTCCTACTCTTTGTAATTTATTCATAGAGGGATGGAAGTTTATTCTGCTTCTGCAACAGATTTTGCAAATGCGGATTTTGGGCTCTCTGAGAGTAAGTTAAAGGTAAAGGGACCCCTGACCATTAGGTCCAGTCATGGCTGATTCTGGGGTCGCGGCGATCATCTTGCTTTACTGGCCGAGGGAGCTGGTGTACAGCTTCTGGGTCATGTGGCCAGCATGACTAAGCTGCTTCTGGCAAACCAGAGCAGTGCATGGAAACGCTGTTTACCTTCCCGCCAGAGTGGTACCTATTTATCTACTTGCACTTTGACGTGCTTTCGAACTGCTAGGTTGGCAGGAGCAGGGACCAAGCAACCCGGGAGCTCACCCCATTGCGGGGATTCGAACCGCCAACCTTCTGATCAGCAAGCCTTAGGCTCTGTGGTTTAACCCACAGCGCCACCCTCACCCCAGTGTCTCTGAGAGTACACTGCAGTAATTGTGAGGTCTGGTAAAAGCTCAGAAAATCACCTGGTCAGAAATTCTTTTACATCCCTCCCCCTTCAGTTTCTGTTGGCAATTTTGTTTTCTCAAGATCCTCCATTGCAATCTGCAGGGCCTTTGCTGCCAGTTGAAATTTTCTGTTGCTGCTTGAGGCTTATTTCAAAGGCTTCATTAGCAGCCTTCAATATGTGTTATTCCCTCCCTCCTCCTGACAATTCAGTTATTTTAGTCTCAAGGGGCTTTATAAAGCTAATCCATTGTGCTGTTAAATCCTGTTTCAATTGTCTTATGCACCATTAGGAGAAGCTGCATTCTCTGTCATCTTTCCCTAACTGGCAGCTATGGTGGGCTCTACTCTTTAACTGTGTGACTCAACTGCTGATGAAAAGGATGTCCACATGTCCTGTTTAACCCTGGACAGTCCTCCAGCACCTCTCCACAACCCAACAGTAGTTTGCAGTGATAGGAGATGACATCTCTGCTGCTTGTGGTTGGAGCTGAATGAATGATGGCTGTGGGGGAAGCATTGCTGGGAGCTGCAGGGTTTAAGCTTTCTTTTTAGAAAGTTTTTTTTATGTGTCCTGGAAGCTTCTTTCTTTTACGGCACTCAGGGTAAGGCTTTGGGGCTTTTTACCACTGGAGGGTTTTGGTCTACCTCAATCCTTAATAATTGGAAATTGCAATTTCATTTTTTTAAAAAAATTAAAAGGACAATAAGGAAAGGGGAAAGCAGGAGGGGATGAGTAGCACAGAGGTCACCTAATCACATTATACCTTGCCATAGGTATTATATTTCAATTTAATTATTTCTGCATATACTGTATATAGGCATGAGCACATTTTATGCAAAATTGTCTTTTGGTGATTTTCTTTCTTTTGTAAGCAATGAGAAAGTGGTCACGATACACAGAAGATTTAAAAAAGATATTCAGGCTTCTTTCTGCATCTATTCTCTGGTTAATCAGAATGTGCTTTCATTGGCAATGCTTAGGTAAAGTAGATTTTATCTCCTAGTTCAAGACAGAGCACTTTGCTCTAGCTGCTATCAGGCTGCTCACACACCATGTCTGTAATCAGCTGATGCCATTCATAAGGATTTAGCTGTGATTTCTGTTACCTTCCAGGGACTGGGAAATGGAATTTCTCCAAAGGCCAGAGAAAGCCCCATTCCAAGGGGCAAGGGAACAGGAGAGGGAGGGGGCACCATATAGGAAAGTGACCTGCTGCTAAATCCAGGTCATTGGTAAATGTTGCTCATCCAATGATCAAGTTGGAATTATATTCTCCTCCCGATTGCAAGGTAATGAAAGCTGATACTGAAAGACCGTGCATCCAAAAGCTCTGCAAAGTCCATCTTGGAAGCAGCATCTGCAGGGAAAGCATGTGTCCTTTAGGCTAGTAGTTAACTGTTCATAGTTTATCAATTAATTGCAAGCACAGAAGTTGGACAGCACGTTATTGACAGGGGGCAGATGTAGAGTAACAGAAGCAAAAATTATAGGAAACTTGAGGCTTACTTAACCCTTTCCCCATTTTTAAGTGTCCATTTTGGGATCTGATCTCACTGCACCACTCTGTTTTACCCAGTTGCATAAGAGGCATCAATGTACATAGCAGCCTGCCCTTCTAAATAATATTTTGACTGAAGAGCATCCCAAGTGAGGGCCACCACTATAGTGCAGTGGGCAGTGTGTTATTCTGTCAGATTCAAAATGCTGCTCAGCTACAAAGTCACAGTCTCCAAGCCTAACCTATCACAGAGCTGATGTGAGGATAAAGGGGCTAAGGAGAACACAGCCATATATACTAGTCCTGAGCTCCTTCTAGGAAGGGCAGAATTAAAAAATGCAGCCTCTTTATTCCTGGGATTGAGGTGAGGTGGGCATGACTGTGGCCCTCCAGATAGTGTTGGATTCCCAGTTCCTATCAGCCCCAGCCAGTGAGGAATTATAGAATAACATTTTGGAGGACAGGTATTGTAGGGGAAGCTGTAGAAGTGCTAGCAAGGCAAGAACAAGAAGAAATGGAGGGCAAGAGATGTTGATTTTTAGAGGAAAACAAACTTTTGGGTCAAAACACCTTATGATAAGACATTCTGCGAAAACCGCTCACTTCCATGTCCGTTGAATATAGAGGTCCTTGAAATAGTGCTAATTTTGAGGAAACAATATTGCTTTCTTGAGGGACTGCAGCCCAGCAGGCAAAACTGAGGTGAAGGCAGAACTGAGACAGAACAAGTCCCCTCCCTCAGTGTGCTGTTCTGGGTTTTATTCCTGAGTTTCCCCCTGAGCCAATTTCAGGGTGTGTGAGCGGAACAAGAAGGGAGGAGGAAAGCCCCATTTGGAAGCCCTTGCATAGGGGCTCTGTTTTTGGGGTTTGTTAGGTGAATCCTGCCCAGGGATAGAGCTCTCCAGAACTCCAGGAGCAGACAGGGCAGTGTCAATCCAATTCTGCGTGGCAGTGCTGGTAACACAACTGAATGAGAGGGAGCACACCAGCAGTGCCTGAACAGAAAGCAAAAATCCTTTATTGTACACAGTACAGAATGTAATGCAGCTTTGCAGGAGATATATAGCCCTGCTCAGGCAACAGTCATTTCACATCAATCCTCAGATTAACCCTTTCTGCACTATAGACTTCCCATAACCAATTAAACAAAACGAAACCCACTGTTTTGGTTAAGCCCTGGGGCATAATTTGGGGGTGGGGGGCGCTGCAGCTGACTTTGCTGCTGCCCTGTGCTTTTTTTGACAGGCCACATGATACTTTCTGGGGAGAGTTGCTGAGTCGTCTACAAAGAGTTAATCTTCATACTTTAAAAAAGAAGAAGTGAAGTTAGTCAAAAACCCAAACAAAGTTATCAAAGCAGAAAGAGAAATCCTATACAGCATTTACAACAAAAATTGGAGTCCGCAGGGAAAGATATGCATATTTGGGTCAAGCACGGTACAGGTGCATGCTGAACGCAGCTCGCAGCAAGAAGAGGGGGAATTTCTGAAGGATCCAGAGATGTTTTACATATAATGATCAACTCTGACCAATTCCCCTTCCTCTCTGATTTTTCTTTCTTTTTTTTTTACAAACCCAAGTTATATATATATATATTTTCCTTTTTAAAAAATCCTCTTAAAATTTGCAACTTGCATGAACTGAAGGAGGGTAATGCAACTTACAGATGAAGCTAAAAAATATGTCTGTATACACATCTTGCATCTCTCTTGCTCACAAGCCTAGGGAGAACTGGAAAAGGTAGTTCAGCTGTTACAAGACAATGCTGCCACACGGTCAGGACTGCCCTGCCTGGGAGAAGTTCAATGGCTGGAGCTGCCTTGTATTATATACATACAGTCCCCAGTTGCAGGGAAAGCCAAGCAGCCTGCATTTGCTGCTGCTGCTGTTGCGCAGGAGCATACTCTGAATGCAGAGCACACTGTACAAACTGTCCTGGACAGCATCCACTGCAGAACAGCACAAAGCAGATATGCACATGGAAGGGCAAGGGACTCCACCCCCCCCCCGCCGCCAAGCTGCAGCAACCTTCGCGTTGGCGCTGCTGGAAGCAAAAAAGCAGCAGCTCAGCTTTGCCAAAAGCTGGTTTTGCCTTAAGATACAAAAACCTACAAAAAACCTGGTTACAAATGTTGCCCCACAACATAAAAAGAGTTTTGGCCGAGCCCCCGACTTCCCCTAAAAGCAAGCCATCCATGCGCTGCCTTGCAACAGAGGGGGTGGCCAAGTGCCTGTGTGGCTCATAGGGATCTGGTAGGTTAAGTGCTGTCCTTTATGTTGGGTTTGCTTATTATGGACCAAAATTATTATTATTATTATTATCATTATTATTATTATAACACAAAACAAATAAAAATAATAAGAAGGAAAGGCTTCCTCAGATTGAAGAGCTGTCGACTGAGAACCCAGAGGGGCTGAGCTAATTCAGCCATGCCAGGAGAAGCACCACACTAAGCCGTGACCCATCCGAAAAGGGCTTATGCTGCACTGGCGCCTTAGCGTCCGGGAGCCCTTTCCATTATACAAGGTAGATACAAGGATTGGTGATTGTTACATAGCGTATTTTCTTGACATTTGCTAATCACACACTGTCTATTCAAGTCCTGTGAACATCTTTTTGTCACACACGACCCTAAGCAACCGGGCCCAGAAGACACCCCCTGTTGCAAGTCCCTCCCCAGCTGTTCTTCACGGTGGCAGCCGAAGCGATCCGCAACAGGAGGCCCTACTCACTAGCCATGCTACTGTCTGTCTTCAAGGTGGAGGGCCGTTAAAAGTATTTTAGGCTCTTCCGATAATATTTGCAAAGAGCAGTTTTATGAACAGCAGAAATTCTTTACAAAAAACAACAAAAACAAAACATTTTTGCCCTTATTTGTTGGAACCGGAGTCTCTTAAGGTCAGCATTCGAGCTGCCCGGTGAGTCAGTAAGCAAAGCCCTCGGCGTAGGGGAGGTTGCTGCAGTGATCCAGGTCCAGGAGGTATGCGGAGTTGTCTTCAAAGTGTGTCAGAGGTAAGGTGTCATCTTCATTCACATGGCAGTCTGGTTCAGCTTTTAAGAAGGGGCGCTGATTGTCAGGGAAGGCCATGGAGAAGAGGGCATCGGGGTCACAAACAAACTTGTAGACATACCGCTCTCCAGCCACCTTAAAAAAAGAAGAAGGGCAATACAGGTAAGGAAGGGGCAGGTATGTATGACTGCATATATGGATGGATGGTTCAATTGCCATGTGAAGATGGATTAACAGGCAGGAAGTTATGCAGGAGAGACAGGAAGTGAAGAGTCATTGTTATAGCAGTTGTAACATGTTCTTCAGGGGTTTCTTTCTAATTGTTACTGCCCTTTATTACTTTTCAGTAGCAACATAACTTCTCAAAATCTGTTGTGAAGAAAGAGTGCAGAGCATGTGCAAGCAAGCTCCTTTCAAAAACCCGGCTTCTTATTTTATCCTTTCTAGGATATTCATACAAGTCTGTAAAGCATTATAGCTAGGATGTGTGAGAGCTGAGATTCTACAAGAACATTGCAGAAGTGTAGGCTGCAGTATATTAGTCATCATGAGAAAATCATTCTTTTAATTAATTAATTTATTTGAAGGATATTTCTAGCTCTTAAGCTGGCAAAAATAGACTCAAAAGTATGCCTGGTGAAATCTCAGAACCTGAGAGTGGGATGGGCAGGATATATACTGAATGAGGGCAAGGCTAAGTGTGGTCTGCTGTTGTGCAGGAAGATTTTTGCACAGAGTACACAAAGGACTTGCAATATACATCTTTCAAAAGGAATAAACTGGAGGAGGTGACATAATGTAAGGAAACAGGTTTGCTGTGGGGTTGGGGCACAGTTACTTATGTCATAATATATTTCTTAGTGTTTAAGGTGCCACAGACTCTTTGAAAAGCTTTGCTAAGGTGACAATGCAGAATTGGAATGGCAATCTCATAGGCTGCATTCTTTGAACAATAGTGCCTGCTGGGGTTCAGCCCATGTCACACAACCTTCAGAGAAGCAAAGAAAACAAAAGTAAGCCTTGACGAGCTACTTGGGAACTTCAAGTCAGGTTTAGATGTGGTGGAGTTTGTCAGTTTGCATTTCTTAGTGCAGAAAGTATTGATCTGATGGGTAGCGATCTTTCCTATTCTAATTAATTCAAGAGGGTTCTGGAAGCTTCTCTGTGTGAAAGAAACAAGCAGAAGGTTCATGGTGTTTGGGTTATTCCTTCAGAGAAGCTGAGTACAGCTGGCTTAAACTGGCCCTCTCTTCTCTTCTGTCAAGGTCATGCTGACTATTAAAAATAGACAAGAAGGAGCCTAGGTTTCACTTTCTCTCTTTCATCCTCCTGAGGTGGTGTTCTGTACATAGTATGTTTAATGTTAAAATAACTTATAGTAAGTCTAAACCTTAAGTTTAAGTTAAGTCCGCTGCAACTGGATTTCTTATGGACAGTGTCAATCCTCAATGCATTGGATTTGTGACCATTATGCTCATTTGCGTTTAGTAGCAGTAACACTCTGCTGGATGAACTATTAATTGCCTCTGGTCTATTTTTTGGGAATCCTGCAATGTGTTTTTACTCTGCTAACTATACACTGGAATCTGCCCTAGATCAATAGTGAGTAGAATGTCAATGACAGACTTCCTGCAGAACTGTAACTGATAAAGTGTTACAGACTTTGCTTTTAGACAATGCAGTATATACCTAACCAAGCAACTTCAAACATCAAAAGAAATACTACGGAAAAGGTCCCAGGGAGGGTACTGAGAAATCTCAGGTGCAACAAGCAGCAGGGAGTGGCTCGCAACAGTCATTAAACTATGTTCCATGCAACAAATGCAATCGATATTAGTGTGCTATTGGATGGAGGAAGAGAAGAATCTCCTCCTCACACACAACATAGCATTGCAGCTTTAGGACTGGGGAAATTAAATGTCGACGGTGCAAAGAAATGAAAAATCAATTTGCTTTTTTGCATGCTGTAAACTGATTGTCTGGAAATGCCCCAAGAAATGGTGTGTTGGCTGTCTTCCCTCCAATTAGGCAGATGGAACAGGAGGAAGAGTGGTCCTGAAAAGTAAGCCATAACTGTGCCAAAGACTGTTCCTTTACAACCACACAGCTCTCACGTACCAAGGATGTTCAGAGGAAGGAGTGGGCTGCTCACCTTTTGCATTATGCCTTTTTCATAGTAGTAGCGAAGAGAACGACTAAGCTTGTCATAGTTCATTGCCGGACGATTCTTCTGGATCCCCCACCGACGAGCTACCTAAGAAGGTGAAGAATACAGCCATGAAGCTCTGCAGTGCTTGTCAAGTGTTTTGGCATATTGGTTGGAAAGTCTTTGTGATCAAGCCCCTCCCTCTAGAGGAGACAGAAATACCACCAGTTAAGGCCACAGATTCTGAACTACTTGTATGAGGCCTAGGTTGGGGGACTCAAATGGGGCACTGGGATCTTCCAGGGGGTCTTACCATGACACTTATGAAGCCACTGAGCCTCCTTGGCCCCCTTGGTCATGAGGAGGTGAGGGGCATTGCCCTTTTCTCCCTTGAAAAGCACAGAGTTGAAGAAGGAGGTTGGAAGAGTGATACTTCCCCCCACTGCCCCCTTCAGATCTATGTACTTTTCAAAGGCTCAGAAAAATTCTTCTGGATTCACATTTTACCCAGATCCCTTGGGAAAGCAAAATTTGTCCATGCATGCTTTCTTTCTGTTTGTAAAGAGGGAGGGGAAAGAAGTGGTGGTACCCATGGCAAATCGTTCAAAAATCCACATGTGTCCATAGGCCTAAAAGACTGGAGGACCCCCCCCCCACCTAGCACATAGTTAACGATTGCTTCTTGGTGCTTCACAAAGTCACAGACAACCAGCCAAACTTTGCTGGCCAGGGCACAGAGTATCGACCAACAGACCATTAGCATGTCACACTTTTTGACTTCAATGGAAATCATAGCCAGCAAGGCATGACCAGGAAACCCAACAACGTTGCAGTGAGTGTGTTCCTAATGGGTTGCAACTCAATTCTAATATGATTCTGGAGCAGTCGTGTGGCGGGGATTACTCATTTTAGCTCTCTTTGGGAGCAGGTTCTGATGACATAAGCCTGCTGCCAACCAACCCACTGTTTCCCAGTGGATTTCTGGAATGGACAATCTGCAAGGCACTCAGAGAAGATTAATGGGATTTCCTTGCACTAAGTGCACCGAAGCAGCTTGCATCCACCTGAGGCATCGCAAAGGCCCAGAACAGCAGTCCGAGCCAATACACAGGGTGTTTCCAGCGGCCTCAGCAGCTAAGCAGATAGCTACATTCGTATGGTGCACCCAGTCAGTTTGGTTTTTCATCAGAGCAAAGAAAGAGGAATGGAGATGCAAGGATAAATGAAATAGGTACACCATGGTCAGAGAAAGCAGCACCCTGCCTCACTGCAGCTCCAACACAGAGAAAAGCATCTACTTCCCACTACCTGCCTCTCTGCCCCTTCTCCATCTATTACAGGATTTCAATTAAAGCTCCAGGAAAACCTCCAACAGAACTGATACCTTGCTCCCCTTCGCACTTAGCTTTTTCTGTCCTGCCACCCTGAGCACAGCTCATCTCTCGTACCCTGAGGAGGAACATGTCTGGAGCAAAGCAGAGCAGCATGCATACTGCAGCGCTTAGCAAGTTCAACAGCACACCAGTTGCCGCAGTGACAAAAGGAAGAAAAAGCACAAGAAGCTCTGCTGTGTTGTTTTAAGGCAACAGAGAGCAATAGGCTTCTCAGTATTGCGGGGGACGGAACCTCTCTTAACAGGCTCCAGGATGGAAGCATGTTTGGTTACATTTTGCATGTTCAGACACAAGTTCTTTGCATATGGATGTAACGACAGTAAGAGAGCAGAGAGTGCATTGCCAATGCACAGATTCCAAGCAGCCCTGGAGTTGCTGTTACATAATCATCTCTCAGCACACGGGCTTTGATTATGCGTTAAGAGCTTTCTCTTGCTGCTGCACAGCAGGGCACAGAAAGCCACAAACTCCTCCAAAGCCCCTCATCCTCTCGCTGCACCATAGGGTCAGAAAGCAAGGTCTCTTAACAGCCTTTTGATCATATAAGAGAGCCCACTTCCATTTACTTGGGGCAGACTTCATTAAGAGGAGAGGCTTCAAATGTCTAAAGCTTTTCACCTTGTGTGCGTGGGGAGCAGGGCCCTGCAATGTGGCTGTGCATCTCCCACTTGCGCTCCTCTGGCCTACTCGCCAAAGGAAAACTGCCAGACAGCGCAAGATTCATAGCTCAAGCATTTCCAGATCAAAGCTGTGCCTTTTCCTAATGGAGAGGAAGTGAAACGGCCGACTCTCACAGACCTCTGACTAGAGGGGGGGCTGCCAAATTGTTGTTTGAAAAACCACAATTTCCATGCCGAGTGTACTGTATATTATGGATAATTACCCACCATGCACTGCCTGGCTCAGCTGTGCAGCTGGTTTCAATTATTAGTCAATCAGCTTCCTTCTCTGTATCATTCAGCACAACCCAGCACACCACAAGATTCCTCTCGGTAATTTCAAGGGTTTATTTACAAAAACCAGTGTCTCCACAGGGCGACGACAGAGCAAAGCCTACTCAGCAACAGAGGGAATTAGCAGAAGGCCTTTCTGCAAGGCACAACCAAGTGTCTGAAGCTTAATGAGAAAAGTGGGGCGTGGGGGGGGAGAGGGGGATGCGGTAGAGGGGAAGTAGGGGGAGAGAGAGGGATGAGCCAATACGAATAAAATTGGAAGCATAAGAAATCAATCGCTAAAAATATATGTGTTAGGAAGCTCATATGTGTAATGGCAAAAAATAAGATGTGTTATGTTGTCACAAAGTAATTTAATACCTGCAGTGATAATGCATAATGAACAATATGAAAGACAAAACGCTGAAAATACAAATAGACAAAAATACAGCAGGATCGCCGAAGAATGGATGCTTTTGAATTACGGTGCTGGAGGAGACTCTTGAGAGTCCCATGGACTGCGGGAAGATCAAACCTATCCATTCTGAAGGAAATCAGCCCTAAGTCCTCACTGGAAGGACAGATCCTGAAGCTGAGGCTCCAATACTTTGGCCACCTCATGAGAAGAGAAGACTCCCTGGAAAAGACCCTGATGTTGGGAAAGATGGAGGGCACAAGGAGAAGGGGACGACAGAGGACAAGATGGTTGGACCGCGTTCTTGAAGCTACTAACATGAGTTTGACCAAACTGCATGTTTGACCAAACAACTAAATAACTAAACAACAACACAGCAGGATCATGTAGAAACCAAGATCAAGGTCTTACTATCCAATGTGAGTCTCTGTTTCCTGATTTCATGGCTATGAAATGTTTTCTTTGTGTTTTGTATCAATCTCAGTCTACTTAACCAATTTAGGTTATCTTTATTAATGAAGAAGCACATCAGCAAGAAAAATAAACACACCAAACTGTTAATCAGTGATGGTGCTTCAGGTATTTTACCTTTTAAAAAAGGAAGTGCATATCCCCAGTCATTGAATATGACCTGCAAAAACAAACTACTCTTTCAAACTATAATGAAAAATATTGTTATAGTTTATGATTGCTGCAGAGCTGCAAAATTTGACATGCGGCAAACACATATTGCAGCCTCTCTAAGAATGCTGAGAGCAATACTTTTCAACCATAACTGATTAACAAATGGGTAGCTTTTTTTTGGCCTTCCCACTGATACGTTTCCCATGAATAAGAATTGTCCGAAATGGGTGAATGAACTAGCCTCCCATCAGCATTTTTTCAGAACATTGAGAAATAGCTCAACTGCATTGATGGATTTCTGAACAATTCTATCCCTATGAGGTCACTGTATATCTTGGTCTTCCATTTATTTTATATTTCCAGTGTCTTTATATTTTGTTCTGCTCACTGCATATTATTGCTGCAGTTTACCAGTCACATGGTGGACCAAGAAGCAGAACTGTTTTTCACATTACAGTGTTTAGCTTTATATTTATTTGTTTAAAAGGGGGTAGACTTCTTGTGCCTCTAGTTATGAGAAAAGAAACACATTCTCTGTACCTGCTATCTGGGGAGCTGTTATGGAAAGCCAAGTAAGCTGTGCCAAAGGACCAGGAAGAAAACAACATGCAAGAAATGGATCTTGGCTAGACTCTGTGTTATGTGCTGTCTACTTTTTACATTTGCAAATTTTGATTGCTTTTTATATCGTGTACATTTGTAAAACTAAAAACAACTCACCCACAACTTTCCCTAAAAGCTGATGAGAAGCAAACAGCAAAACAAAAGAACAAAAAAAATAAACAAAGCAGAAATTGGTATGGAAAGAAAAGAAAAGGGTAATGGATAGCTCAGCGTTAGCACTCAGCTCCTGCAGGTAGATGGTGGGACCTACATATCCCCAGCGAGTCCCACACCCAGACCCTTTATCATCCAAAGATCAGAATCCAGTCCCAGACTATGTGCTATATTTCAGAGAAGTTTCATGAAATCGGGGAAATTTTCCTGCTCTAAGCTTGGAGCTGGTGGTTGCAGGGGCAGAAGATAAACCCTGACTCCCCAATGGCTCAGAGCTTTGGGGTGTGTGGAGGCTGGCTCTGCCAATGGATTATATGCCACTTGGTTCTACTCAAAAGAGACCCACTGACATTAACGAACATGACTTAGATCCATTAATTTAAATAGATCTACTCTGGATAGCAAGGGACACGGGTGGCGCTGTGGGTTAAACCACAGAGCCTAGGGCTTGCCGATCAGAAGGTCGGCGGTTCGAATCCCTGCGACGGGGTGAGCTCCCGTTGCTTGGTCCCTGCTCCTGGCAACCTAGCAGTTCGAAAGCATGTCAAAGTGCAAGTAGATAAATAGGTACCGCTCTGGCGGGAAGGTAAACGGTGTTTCTGTGTGCTGCTCTGGTTCGCCAGAAACGGCTTAGAAGCGGAAGCTGTAAGCCGGCTCCCTCAGCCAGTAAAGCGAGATGAGCGCCGCAACCCCCGAGTCGGCCACGACTGGACCTAATGGTCAGGGGCCCCTTTACCTTTACCCTGGATAGCATTTAGTTAGGTACTTTCCATCTTGGATATGGGAGACAAAGGCTTGCTATAGTTCTGCACTTGCACCCACCAAGAGTAGAATCCAAACAAATTTCAGGTTGGGGCTGGGGAGAGTGCAGGGTTCATCCCCTCTCCTCTGTAGCTCCAGGTTCTGAAGGAAGCCTCAGGCTCATCTTGCACATCAGAGCCCGCCTCACATTCTGCACTCGGGCCTCCCTCACCATGAGATTATCAGACCAAGACTGCAAGTGGAGTCCCACAACTTCCTCACCCCACCTGGTTCAGAGTCAAAGCCACTTTTGAGAAAGTGTGCAGGGGCCCCAGTGTGAACTGAACAGAGCGTTCTGTTGAGTCAGGCAGTGTCTAATAGGTTGCAGTCGTGCTCCAGAATCAGAGCCTCATACAAGGTGCATTGTGTTTGGTCTAATCCAATTGCATTTTATCTCTAATAAGGTTATAAAACCACACTAGCTGGACAAGATCTTCTGAAGACTGAAAGACAACCCAAGCAGTTAAGACAGGGAGCCATTGCTGGCAAATAATCAGGCCCAGGAACAGCCAAACTAAGCAATTTTGTGCTCAACAGGTTCAGCAAGAAATGTGGAAGCAGAGCCTTGTGCCATCTGCTGCTCTGCAGTTTCCCCATCTGACCTTAATGTGGACCGGGAAAGAATGAACAAGCAAATAATGGCTTCATTTCAGATGTTTCGGACTACAATTCCCATCATCCCTGACCACTGGTCCTGTTAGATAGGGATCATGGGAGTTGTAGGCCAAAACATCTGGAGGGCCAAAGGTTGCCTATGCCTGATTTACAGCATCTCTGCCCACTGTTGCAGCCCTGGACATTGAGCCCTGCCACCTACAACTTGGAGTAAGTTAATAATGAGGACTCACGAGAGGAGATGGATGTACTTGTGCCCTTGGCAAGTTGCCACATGAAATGCCTGCTCAGCAGTGAATGAGGCAGCTTTGGAAGTTTCACTGGGAGCACCAACAAGAGGTACCCTGTTTATGCAGTGTGCAAAAGGTGACATCGCACACTTCTACCATGGGTCACCACATCGGGTGCTGATGCATCTCTGCCTGAGGGCAATGCTCAGCCAGCATGGCACACATCATTGGTATTTTCTCTCGGGAGCGCTTGTCATGCCATGTCCCTGCCTCAACAGGCATCATTCCAGGTTGGGTGCGCCAGTATCAGTGAACTGCAGCCACTGTGTCCCACCAGGCTGACTTACAAAAGCTCCTGAACAAGCATCTGGGTTGCTGGCTACCTGCGACTGGTCCTGAACCACTGCTATTCGATTCTCAACATCAGTCATTTTAGACAGAAAAGGATAGTTGGGAAGGAATTAGGACAAAACCACCAACTTTTTGCAATCTTTCTGGTACATGTCCAATTTTAGCAAAAACACACACACCAGTTTCCACCATAAGGCCAAAGTCATCACCAGCCCTACTCCACAACCTCTGTGCCCCCTTCAGTTAGCCAGACCCCAAACCTTCCCATGCTGGCAGGTCTCTCTTAGTGCTACTAGGCCCTCGGGTTAAGTGGCTTGGTCCAGAGGTCAACAGAAGCTAAGCGGCAGCATTTCACATCAGCCAGCCTACGGTCTCATCCAGCCCCCTTCTCCCAGTGACACTTTCATTCGAACTTCAAGCATTTCATCCTCTGTTACATTCCAGTAGCTTCCAGCCATTCTGTCAGCTGAAATTAAAACCTTTTGTTTTGACAGTCAGTAAATTAAAAGTGCAACCGTCACAGCCATTTTGGAGGCTCACTCTCAGATTTCTTTTACCTCTTCTGGCTCAATCAGCTTGAACTCCATGCCCCTGCCAGTCCAGGCGATGAAGTGAGCATTGGCTGGGTCGTCGAGGAGTGTGACGAGGAACTGCCACAGCTGGAGTGACCCTCGCCTCTGGTATGGAGGTCCTTCACGATATACTGTGGGTTCTTGCTTCACTTTACCTGTTCCCAACAACGGAAACACACACCAGTTAGAACTGACACCCCAAGTGCTCAACCTATCGCCTGCTGCAGTTTCCATTAACTTCTGGATGTCTGACAGAAGCCAGGTGAGCGAGGAAGTGGCTACACATCTGGCTGCGGATGCTTCTTTTTTTTTTTACTCCTCTCCCCATGAAGCAATATGCTATATAGGCAGCTGAGTATGAAAGCAACTCTGCACCTGGCTGGCAGCACTTCCTTCATAAGCTTTAGCATCCAGTTGATTGGCACTTAGCTCCACTCCTGGAGCCCTATGTCTTGAGGCAAATTTCCCCATAATATTCAGCACAAACGAGGTAGATCTTATTGAAGCCCATGGGTGAATTGGCTAATTAGTGGCCAATTCTGACCTCTCTAGAGTTCTGCAAAATCTCTTCACCCCAGACAAACCTAACCGGACAGTCCCTTACCTTCCATCCTCTCTGGTACAACACAGGTGTCATCAAAGTAGAGCCGGGCATCTTTCTCATAGGGGAATCCTAGGAAGATAAAATTCACATCTATTAGCTCACCACAAATTCTCTGCAATGTATTACACTTGCTCATACACACACACACACACACACACACACACTCTCTCTCTCTCTCTCTCTCTCTCTTAAGCTGTTCCTTCCTGGACGGTTTGATTCGCTTCATTGCATTGCTTGTTGGCAGCAATGGCAGCTACTCAGCCATTCATTAAAAGCAACAGGTAAGGCCTTGAAATGCTTATTTGCAAATGTGCCAGCTGCTGCTTCTGCCAACTCCATGGGCTTGTCCAGACAGAAAGTTCCCACATAGTTGGTTTCACACAGAAGTGCTAAACCGCAAGTGGAGCAAAGAGTACTGCAAACAAAGTACTGAGAAGCTGGTTTTCTTGCACTGCAGTCCTTCACTTGAACTCTGTCACCTGCAGTGCCTCTCCCCATCCCCAGGCCGGCATTTAGACTGGCTGGGACAAGCATGGGGGTCTGCGCAGAAGCACCCCAATGTTGCTTGCAAGAGTATCAGCATGTGTGACACTCAAGAATACCCTAAAAAACAAAAAATCTAAGAACTTCCTAGGGTTGCTTTTTATCCTTATTGATTGGATCTGACCAAACTAAGGATCTGACCAAACTCTGAAGCAGTTTAAACTGCTTTTAAAAAAGAAAGAACCAGTGCTCCAACTGCACTGGTTAAGTCTCACCAAATGTCTACACTGCATTTCATCATATCACTTTAAAGCTGTCAACAGACTTCTGTGTCCATGGAGCAGCTTCCCTGTTATGACTCTTGTGGGTCTAGTTCCAGTTCAGGACAGACTGCAGGATAGCTGTGCATTTGCAACAGAGGGCGGGATACGCAGCAGCAGCAGCAAAACACTTTCACTTTATTTTCCTACTTTTAGCCATTTCCACTATTCAACAATTTTAACAAACAAACACCAGTGGCTGTATTTTTATTTATTTACTTAACTACATTTATATCCCACTTTTCCTCCATTCACCCACCCCCTATGATCAACTTGCAAGTGCTTTGTCAGTTCAAGTGAGGCGATGTGTAACTGGATCCACCACCTGCCTTGCCAGAACACTTGCAAACTGACTAGAACAGGGATGGGAAAGCTGTTGGACCTCCAGCTCCCCATTGGTCCTATCCAGCATGGCCAATAGTCAGGGTGATGGGAGTTGTAGTCCAACATCTGAGAGGCCTCCATGTTTCCTATCCCTGGACTAGAGAGGGAGTAAGGGATCCTGTTGTAGGTTGCCTCCTCCATACAGATCCAAGAAGCACTTTAAAGGATCCGATCCTGAAGACTACAAAAATGTCACATGCCTTATTTGGAAACTGGTTTGAAAGCAAAATCTTTCATTGACATGTAACCTCTAGTTCTGTACTATGAAAATCACAATCAACAACTATAGATCCACTATCCTTCCAGCTATGGTCATTATCACAGTTAATGTGACATGAAGGAACGCTCCACACAAATATGATTTGTGTGTATGTGCAAACCGCTTTAAAAAGGTGACAAATACACATGGATCTGTTTTGCCACATTTATCAGCTAGGCCAGTGTGCTGGGACTTGATTTTGTTTATTACAATTATTTCCTATGTCGCTTCAATCACAGGTGGCATACGCAAAGTTCCCAGGCATTGAGTAGATCCAAACCTCCTTGGTATTTTATCAGTAAGATAGCCATTTTCAGTACACAGCATGGAATACATGCAAACTTCATGCCAGTGTAGGAAATCTGTCACATGTGGAAGAGCCCTTGGCTGTCATCGTAAGGGCAGTGATTATTAGATGGACCCCCTCCATTCAAACTATGCCAAAATGGGCTTGCTGCTTCAGGGTGTAGCTACTGAGTTTAAAGATAGTTCTCTCCTGCGTTATCTGTATACATGTGAGAGAGACCCTTCTTGCTCAGATAAAGTTCCACTGAAGTCAGGTGTTTAGAGCCACGGTTGCAGCTGGCATTGCCACCTAATGTGCCAAAGGAGGAGGCAGGAAGGAACTTTGTGGGTAAAATGGAACGAGCCATATCTGTGTCCAAGGAAGGAAATGGGAGAAAGAGATATTGAATTTCTGACAGGCCCGAAAACAGCCCTGTCAATCTACTTGCCATGCTGTGAAGCTCCCATCAGGCCCAACAAGTATGGCCAATGGCCAGAGAAGATGGGAGCTGGAGTTCAACACCATCTGAAAGGCTACAGGTTCTTCACTCCTGCGGTAACTCGACCTTCTCCAACCTGGTGCCCACCAGATGTTCTACAACTCCCATCAAACCCAGCAATTAGTCCAAAACATCTGGAGGGCATCAGACTAGGGGGAAGCAGAGTTACAGCAAATCAACGAAGACTTAGCAGGAGGCAGATAACATCACAATCTGAATAAAACTGGCTTCCCCAGTCCATTTAAAGTTATGGTATAAATACATAATTAACAGCTGCAAGATGACATACTTACTCTTGGCAACTGCCAGTTTTCTGCTAGGGATGGGTAGGAGCACTTACTATCTGTGAAGATCTAATACAGAACTCAGCGGATTGAAGAAAGCTCAGCGTGGCTGAATTTTGTTGCTGAGACAATCAGTCTTTTCGATCAGTGCTCAATGTGGGTTGATCTTCCCCAGAGTTTGCTGAGCAATCAGTACACCTCAATTAGGGCAGTGAGTTTCACAGCACAAGAAGAGTCAGGAAAGAGCCATAAAGACAGGCTCAGAGATAGTAAGAGGAAGAAGGGAAATGCCTAGAGCACAAGGAAGTCTCTGGTTCAAACCTAACCACTGAATTCACTAGGTGAGCGCCAGTGTGGTGCAGTGGTTAGAGCACTGGGGAGACTTGGTTCAGATGCTCATTTGGACCAGTCGCCAACTCTTAGCCTAACCTACCTCACAGGGTTGTTGTGAAGCTAAAAGGGAGAGGGGATCATGTAGACACCACCTTGAGCTCCTTTGAGGACAGCAAGATGGACACATGATAAACAAAAATGAACAAGTAGTCTTAGGCAAGCCACTCTCTTGCAGCCTTGCCTCCTCCATCATATAGCCCTAGGCTGCTGTAAGGATCACAAAAATAAAGACCTCTCAACACCCTTAAGCTCTGTAAAAATGCTTGAAGTGTCTTGCTATTATTAAATTTCCTGGCACCAATTCCCTTAACGTCGTCTCTTATGTTACAGCAAAAGGGCCTCTAAGCAGAGGCATGTAAGCCAGCACTTCTGGTTTCATGGGAGAAGGTGTTTCCCTTTCACTTCCTGCTGGGATAATCACATCTACATTCCTTTCCATTTTACCTCATATGTGCATAGACATACATAAGCATATACATGTAACTCAGCCTTGGTCCACCTGGTGCTGTCAAGATGTTTCGGACTACAACTCCCATCAGACCCAGCCAGCATGCTGGCTGCACCTGATGGGACTTGTAGTCCAAAATTTATGGACGGCACAAAGTTTGTGAAGGTTGCTGTACATCCTGACTCCCCACTTACCATCATGGCTGTTGGGGAAGTAGCCTCCTCCTCCTCCTCTTACATATGCTGATTGACAGTTAGGCACTTCTGAAATAAAGATGGAATTGGGGTTAACACCACCCTGAACCAAACACACTTCACTTCTTCTCCAGGTTAAACAGTGGACAGACCAATGAAGAAAATCCCCAGCGCACCAATGTCTAGGTTTGCAAGATTCCACTTGACAGTTTCTCGGAAATCCAGCATTTATTTTTACGATTCTCCAGTAATGCTTCTCTGAATGTTTCGCAGAGTGCATCCTCCATCCAGATTGGAAAGAAATGTATTTCTGCACCATTACTTTTGAAAGCTGCAATCCCAAGCTGGGAGCAAGCCCTACTGACAACCATGAGACTTGTTTCCAAGTAAAAATATATAGTGTTGCACTGCAAGGCTTTCCAAAGGCTTTCTAAATGTACCTTGGTGTGGGCCCAGGTGGGATTTAAAATCATATGGAAACCATGCACAAATTATTATGCATCCAATTTCTACACGTCTGCAAACCCCACAAACAGAAGGAGGTTCTGTGTAAATTCTCTGCGGCTGGATTCTGATAACAGTCTGTGCCACAGAGGCTGCGGCAAAACTCACCAAGTGGAGACCCTGGTTATCTGTAGAATCCAGCTATGTGGTGAAGCACGTTTTGCCTGGCCCCAACAATCAACTGTAGATGCATAGCAAGATTCGCATTTCTGTGTGCCAAGATCCTATAGGCTAAAGTGATTCATGGATGGGAAACCTGGAGCCCTCCAGACATTGATGGAGTGCAGCTCCCATAATCCCTGATGGTTGGGGCATGCTGGCTGGGGCCGATGGAAGCTGGGAGTCCAATGACATCTGGAGAGCAACAGGTTCCCCAACACAGTTCTACATGGTTTTAAGGTTGGCACACAGACTACATAGGTAAACCCATTGTGCCACAAATGGTAGTCTGGAAGCAATCTCTGAAGTGGAAGACTGGGCAATGTAGTTATCCAAAAACAAATATATAATTTTTGAAGGTCTGATCTTTCAACTTAACTCACATCAGCAAGTCAAAGTAGTAATGGAAGAGAAACCTGAGCATATGGTCCTGTCTACACTCCCTGCTAGTGGCTCTCTAGAATCTGAGGAAGAGGCCATTTCCCATCACTTGCAACTGAATCTTTTAACCAAAGATGGCAGGGATTGAACCCATGACCTTTGCACACACAGCAGGTGCTTTGCCACTCAGCTACAGCCCCTTCCATGAATTTCCCCTCATCTGAGAGGTGCAAACTATTTCTACTCTTCTGCCACCTACCTTTTTTTTTAACCTACTGGGATTTGGCATCAAGAGACAAGATGAATCAACACCTAAATAGGAGATGACCTGAATTTGTGGGCAATAATATGATCCCTTGAAAAATCAGGTACATCATATTGTTCCTGGAAGCTGTAATACAATCCCCTTTGCTGCTGCAGCTGTCTCTCCCGAGAAGGCAAAGCCTTTCCAAGAGCATGTGAGAAAATAACTTAATGAACCTGCAGGAGAGGTTGGACACACTGAAAAAGTCAAGCTTAATATTTTGCATTCCCTCCGATGCACGTGAGAAGCAGGGAAAGAGGAGGGGGGGAAAAGCCTTTAACTTTAGATCTTTCCCCATCTGTTCCACCCTGCCTCCAAGAGGTCACAGTATTTTTAGGCCTAAGGCGATTTGCAGATATGTAGTGGGCCCTGCACCAACAGCAGCTGCACAATCTAAAGTGATCAGGCGCCCCCTCCTCCTTTCCCCCTGCATGTCCCAAGGTGAGTGCTCAGCTGCAGGTTCATAGCTGCTCCATGGAGCCGGTTGCTTAACGCTAGAGCTGCCAGAGAGAAGATGGGAAAGACATAGAGCTGCTGCAGAGAAAGGTGAAAAGCTGCCTTCTCTTCCCTGCTCCACTTCCCGCACCAGTAATGCCTTTCAGATTATGGAAGCTTAGTTTCTCTGCTACATCTGTTGAATGCCTGATTTTAACATTTGTTTCCCCCCCCCCAAAAAAAAGCCAGAAAGAGATAATCTAACATTCTAAGTAGGTTAAACGCTGCCACAATAGACAGCTGCTCCACCCTCTCCCTTTGCTAGAATGTGAAGAAAACAGCGGAGCTTTAAAGGAACAGGGAAAAGGGGTGGGGTTTTAGAAAACTAACAGGCAAAACATGGGAGGAGCCTGGTGGAATGTCTAGAACAGCCTTTCTCAACCTGTGGGTCCCCAGATGTTGTTGAACTACAACTCCCATCACCCCTAGCTAGCAAGGCCAGAGCTCAGGGATGATGGGAGTTGTAGTCCAACAACATCTGGGGACCTACAAGTTGAGAACCACGGGTCTAAAACAAATGCATACTGTAGGTGAGACATCTCTCATAACCACGCAAGGGCTCACCGGTGCCTGCATTATTGCCAAGGTAGAATGTATTCTCCAAACTGTTGGGTGATCCAACAAGCACAACAGAATTTATTCCATACTCCAAGAACTGCCTGAAGATTGGACCACTGGCTGTGCCAGGATAAGGAACCTGTGGTTCTCCAGGTGTTGTGGGACTCCAGCTCCCATCAGCCCCAGCTAGCAAGGCCAATGGTCAGGGATGGTGGAAGACAGAAGTCCAACAACATCTGGAAAGCCACAGCTTCCCCCATTCCTGGGCTACAGAGCGACTACTGTTCACTGAAGCTGCTTTATGCACTTGATGAGATGCAGTGGGACCAAGCCAGCCTTTGCATGTGGCTAAGAGGGATTCAAGCGAACTGACTCACCTGAATCAATGCAGTAGTCCCGGGGCTCTTGCTTGATTCCCATTGGAGACTGGAACCCATGCCTTGGGGGCCCTGGAATGCCTGGGACCCCGTGATCATAGAGCGGGTCGTGGTATTCCTGCTTGAATCCCTGAGGAGGATGGGCAGCTGCTGGAACAATAGGCTCCGACATCTGCCTGTGGTAGACAGGGCGACTGTCCCCAGAAAGTCCTGGCTGAGGATATGGGTGGCAAGGTTCAGACATCTGTCTCTGAAACCTTGGTGGAAATATGAGGGAGAGGGAGAGAAAGAGAAAGAGAAAGAGAAAGAGAAAGAGAAAGAGAAAGAGAAAGAGGGAGAGAGTTATAATCACAGTTAACACACTCCAGACCCACTACAGCAGGACAGCCAATGTGGTACCTCCAGATGCTGTAGACTACAACTCCCATCAGCCCCAGCTAATATGGCCAATGCTGTTGGGAGCTATAACATCTAGAGAGCAGTGCCTTGGCTACCCCCATTCTACAACCTTCCTCCAGGCTGCACTCCCCTGAAAAGGGAGCAGTTCTGATGCTGAACTTTCATTTCAGATGCAGAATCATTTCTTCAACAGCCCACCATACGTAGCTTGCAGAAATCCATATTTAACACCAATAGTCCTGTGCACTATAGCAACAACCATCTGTTATGAAGGGGTGGAACCCCAATTGGGGTGTCTGTGATAGCATGACCAAACTGGAGGCATACATCCCTGGCTGCATGGATCATTTTGTGGGATAAAAAGTGTTCTGAAAAGGAATTCTGCAGCAAACGGAGCTGCAGGCTGCTAGAGAATAGCTGTTATGGCACTTGAGGATGTGCCCCCAGAGGAAGTGCTAGAAGGAGCTGGAATGAGACAGAAGTATCTGCTCAGCTTTGCATGCAGATTGGCAGCACTTGCAAAACACTGCACCATGGGCTTTGTAGCTGCTACCAATCAGCAGCACCTGCAAACTCCCTTTGACCAATCATTTTACTTGCCCCACACCTGACTTAATATATGACAGCCCTGGGGGACAACATCATGATGGAGCAGCCTTAGAACTAATCAAGCTAGACCATCAACTGGGCAAGACCATCTCCAGTGAAAGGAAGACGCAGCGTGCCCTTTGCCAAAGAACAGGAACAGGACTATTTCACTATGGCTACGTTTTAGTAAACCAAACAAGTGGTTATGTAATTTTGAATCCACTCAGCAATCTATGAATGCAAAGTGGCTGCTACTCTGTCTATAAGGCGAGGGATTAAAGCCTTTAACTCTCCATGCAGGAGAAAATGTGTGTGCTTTCTGAAATGCTTTGAGGCTATATGGAACACACAGAGGCTCAACAAAGCAGAGGCCTGGGAGGAGAGCAGCAACACTCATCCTCAGATCTAAGATCTTAACAGAACACCTATTGACAGAATGCCACTCTGGCCTGGGGCTTTTTCAGTGTCTTGAAAAGGGTTTGGAGATAAAAGGAAAAGAGTCATTTAGGAAGAAATTACTCTTAAGTGCATGTCCAGATGTTAGCTTAGCTTCCTGGAGTGGACCAGATTCTTGGTTGGATTCTTAAAAGGATGGGAAATGACTTGAAATAGGCAGGACCATTTTCCATGGATGCCTCCATTATTCACAGGAACCAGCTGTGGGGACTGTATACACTAGGGTTTCCCAAACTTGGATCTCCAGCTGTTTTTGGACTACAGTTCCTATCATCCCTAGCTATCAGGACCAGTGGTCAGGGATGATGGGAACTGGAGTCTAAAAACAGCTGGAGATGTTAAATACAGTGGTACCTTGGGTTAAGAACTTAATTCGTTCTGGAGGTCTGTTCTTAACTTGAAACTGTTCTTAACCTGAGGTACCACTTTAGCTAATGGGGCCTCCCGGTGCCGCCGCACGATTTCTGTTCTCATCCTGAAGCAAAGTTCTTAAACCGAGGTACTATTTCTGGGTTTGTGGAGTCTGTAACCTGAAGTGTCTGTAACCCAAGGTACCACTGTATGTATTCTGTAGTGGACCTCCTTTGTGATGTTTTATTTTGAAATCTTTAAGATAATATTTTAGTTTTCTGTTCTGTTGCTTTGACTGTATACTCTATATTTGACTTTCTTCAGATTGTTTTATTGATTCAATATGCAGTAAACCACTGTGATTTTTCTTAAAAATATAAAGCGGTATAAAAATAATAATCTAAAAATAAATAAATAAAAAAATAAAAATAGACACATCTCCCTATCAGTTATTTATGCTTGCGGGGGGCGGGGGGAGAGAACCTGGACATCTGGATGATGGGCACCTGAAATAGCTCTATATCTCCCAAATTAGATGTGTCTGGGTGAGCCCCTAAAAGGATTAAGCAAGCTGCAGAAGGGGAGAAGCCCCTTGAGTCCTCCTTCTGAGAGGCTGGCAAGCAAGGCCCGCCCTCTCCCTTCCCTCTGCTCTGCTGAGGCATCTTCACACTTTGAAAGGCGATTGCTATCAATCAATTCCTTTCCCAAGCACCCAGAGGCGCACAGGCTCCATTTGGCTTTGTAACATGATCCTCTGCAGCTGACAGGCCCAGATTACTCAACTTCCGATCCACCTCCTTCTAACCTTCCAGAATGTAACTCTAGAGCTGTGCTGGTATGGCCGCTGCAGGAAGAGGGACTTCCAGATGGGACTGTGCAGTGTGTCCCTAGCATAGCTTTAAGGTCATTGGGAGCTCAGGGCCTGGGGGTCTAAAAAAGCAATTTTAGATGCTGGTGCTAGAGAGAAGCTGCTTTTTAAAAAAGAAAGAAAAAGAAAGAAATGAGGTGGAGATAGGGTCACAGAGACAGATGAGCACAGATCTCTCTCTGGAGGTAAGCTCATCTTTTGAAGCTTTCATGTTGATTTATGTTCCTATGGTTTCATCTCTTGTGTAGATTAGCAGAGCATTTCTCACGGCATTCTGCACAAAACAGATTTGAGTAGCTTTGCATACCGACCTTCAAGTCCTCCCCACCCCCACCTGCTCCAGCTTTAAGAGCTCATTTCACATTGGTCCCCTACTCAATATTTTTTTTTCTTTTTTTTATGGGGAAGACGTGCACAGATGAGCTACATACACATGGGCTGATTGCATTTCTAAGAATTGCCTCCTTGCCAAATGCTGGCTGTTTCATGGCCCATTTGCAAGGGTTTGCATCCATGCAAATAATTCAGGGCACTTTTAAAAGCTCGCCCTGTGCAAATCTGGAACATCTACAGTGGCCAAAAAGGCAGAGTAGTTTCCTGAACAGCAAAACAAAGAACCCAAACAGAAGCTATCCTCAGCTCTAGTTGTGAAATCCCATTACTTGGGGTTCCTGTGGGCTTAGGATCCTAGCCTTCTGCTCAACACTTGGGGAACTGGGATGTGTCTCAAGAACCACCGAGATGTAAGCAGTTGGAATAAAATTTGGGCAAGTGTCAAAGGAGTTTGCAGTAATTACACAAGGTCACCAATCCCAATTGTGAGAGAAAAAGGATTCTAGTAAAGATGGGAAGGCTGAAGTATCAGGCATGCCAGAGAATGAAAGCAGGAGACATAGACTGCACAATATCAAGTGCACAAATTTCTGTTAAATCTAATGCGAGTCATTCACCACAGGGAGCTGGCAACTGGAAAACAGTGATAGCTATAAAGATCAATGGCAATGCAAATATCAGTGCAGGCTCAGAATGAGAGAGATTTATAACCATCTTTTTGGCAGATATCCTAAATCAGTTAAACCACAGCACAGAGAGCAATCATAAAATACAGGACAGGGAAGCACCTTTTGTGTTTAGTGAAGAAAGGGCTCAACCACAAGTCCTAGTTCAGATGACATGCTAAGCCAAACTTTGGCTTTGTGCAGTGCGGCAGAGCAGCAAAATGGCTTCTCCCGGAGCCCACACTGTCTTGCTAAACCAAGGTTTGGCTTAGCGTGTTGTGTGAACCAGGGCACTGTTTTGTCTTGGGGATCAATGAATCACCAGGAAAGGAAAAGGAGATTAGAGAACTTTATGGAAAAACAAAACCAACCAAGCACATTAGGGTTTCATTGATGGCAAATGCCATTGTGAATACAAGCAGGATAAATAAGCCCCTGAGAAACTATTAAAAGATAAGAATTGAATCTATTTCAGTTTTATCTATTTATCTATTTAAATTTTATTTCCATTTCCATTTTATCAGAGCGCAGGACATAAATCTTTAATAATAAATGAAATGGTGTGTTCCAGTTTGAAAGACAGGCCTGACTGTTGATGAATTCGTATTCTGTAAAGCTGAAACAATGGTCTCTTGTAGGAGTAGGTTACTCCTGAAAGGGAAGAAGCCAAGCCATTTTCTCCCAAGGCAAATGAGAAGAAGAGTGGAAAAGGCTGGCCTCCTACATCAGAAGAGGAGGAAGGCAATTGAAAGGGTCCCAAGTACCCAATATTAAAATGGTAAGATTCAAAGTGCCGGCAGTTATTAAATTTAGCATAGGGCAACTTTCGGAGTGTCCTGGTTTTTACTTTTTGAAATATGGCAACCCTAATTTAGCATCCATCCAGCATACAATGTGCCCGGGATGGCAGGACCAGAAAGTGGGATGCTGCCTGCCAGAAAGCCACATTCCTTAGATACCAGGGAAGTAAATTCAGCTATGAGTCATAGTTCTGAAGTCGTGAACTTTTGCCTCAATTCCAAATTGAACATCTTCCCCTGACTTCAAACAATCAAACAAGGCATTCCTCAACGACTTCAGGATATAGCTGCATGCCTTCTTGCAATAAGAACAAGACTTTGTCCCCCAGAATCGCCCAACAGCACTCAAGAACGACACGCAGCGCTTCAGTGTGCCAATCTGTGTGCACTAGCAATGCTGCCAAGTTTATATTTTAGCGCCATTAAAAAAAATGCCCTTGAATGCAGATTTTTTAAAAAGAAAACAGAAAGAACCAATGTACTTTTCTCTCTTTACCTGTGTTCTGTTGGATACTGGTTTTCAGGCATCATCTTTGGCATCTGAATAGGTTGATGAGGCGGCCGGGGAACAGCGAAGGTTTGCTGCCTTGGTTCCTGAAGGGCATGAGGGACAGGTGGAGGGGGCGCTCCCTGCAGAGGGCCTGTGCTGGGGGCATGGGCAGGAGTTTGGGCAGGTGCTGCTGGCAGAGGCGGGGGTGGAAGGGAGGTGCTCTGGAGCGCAGGTGAGGCTGGGGTGGCAGGCGGAGTTAATGGCTTGAACGCAGCAGGGGGCTTCCTGTCGTAGGCACTGTGTGAACAGAAGATAGAGAGGGCCGTAATAAATATGGGCAGCAGCCATTTCCACAGCTTCTGCTAGCTGTACTTGACAGCTCTGGCTTGTTTGCATTTCATGGTTGTCAGGAAGTAACAGTTGAGGTTGTTCACAGCCTCAAGGGAATCTTTGTACTTCAGGCAAGCGACAAAACAGGCTGAGTCATAGGGCTCATTTTGAAAACACTTCGCTCACAATTTTCTCGGAGATAACTGTAGCTTCCAATTGTTGCTTTTTCTTATATAAAAAAAATCACCATTATTTCAGGAACAAACTCATTGTATTGAAAAACATGGGGGGGGGGGGAAGCTTTCTCTTCCCCCATTTGTGATAACCAACAAGAATTTGCTGCGATCTGAATGGCACATAAGCCTGCCACTCACCAACACACAATCATGCCCACAGGCTGCTTCAAATGTGGCTTTCCCACCTACATGAGTGTAAGATGGAGTATATATCTATGTACACTTGTGAGCAAAAGCCATGCATGTCTGCTTCAGAGATTGCATGTACAGATAAGACACAAGCAATCTACTATGTGTTCCTCCCCACTGCCATTTGAAGATTTTTGATACACGAGAAAGGGCCTGGTGTAACTCAGCCCCGATAGCAGTAAATGTTAAGACTGTCATTTGCTTTATAGTTGAAGAAGCTTCCTGAATATCTTAAGTTTAGAAGATCACAGGTACCATGAGCACCAGCACATATGATGCTCTTTGGATGTGTGACCTACTGCCAAGGGATGTGGTTAACCACAAGAAGGATTTGGAGAGTGGATTCTAAACTTTCTGCCCATTAGTCAAATCATCTGAATACTGAGTAATAACTAGCACTACAACATGGGCATGTATTTGGTTTCCTAGAAATGGAATGCAAATCTAAGTTGGTTTCTACTTCCCTGATGGTCCCAACTTTGCCTACCAAGCTCAGCTCCCAGCTAGGTGGTTCTTAATGTTTTTATCAGCATAACTGAGGCAAATTGTAACTGAACCCAGTTCAGGTTCCATGCTTCCCCAAGCCATCCAAAAGCATCCAACCTACCAATAGTTGTAGAGGCACTTTTCTCCATAATTAGCACAGAGCACCTGTTCGTGGCTACAGGTAGACAGCTCAGAAGAAGGGCTGTGGAGTTCCCTCTTGATCTTAGCTGGGGGCGGTCCATGAAGTACCACTGAATAAAAATTAAAAGTGGAAGAAAAACAAATCAATCAATCAATCAATCAATCAATCAATCATGTAATTTAGGACATATTCCCATGGATTGGAATAACCAAAAACATGCAACCAGACATTGCTCACTGCCCCAGAGCTAAAGTTGTGCATACTAGTGTCACAGCACTACACAGTGATGAGCATGCATGCACAGCTCTCTCCTTGCCTTAAGGAGAGTTACTTGTCCTTGGAGAGGTGCACATTTAGACTTCCACAGCAATGTGTCAGAACTACGGAGGCTGTGTGAATGGCAGAACCCCCCATTGCTAGACTTGGATACAGCAGGCATTGCATCACAACAGCAAAAGATTAACTGCTGGCAGCAGCAAGAGCATTTTAGGGTGGGGAAAAGGAGGGTATGAATGAGAACATGGGGGTGGTAATTGTCACAGAACACTTGTTTCTGCATGGCTTTTACAACTTTTCATTCCCAAGGACCAAACCTCCACTTTCTGGCATATTCCAAGATAGCATGAACAGAACATGAGGAGAACTCAGGATACCAGATTGTATACACAGAGGAACTGAGAATATGGTGGCACATGTTTGGTACCATAATCATGAGCAGATTTCTACATCTTGAATAGGATTCTATTAGAACCATGGAGTTTAACCACCCTTCCTTTCCAGCAGTAATCATGCATGTTGCAGGGAATTCTGGGGCATATTCTAGGCCTAGGGCATGTCCTCAGGTGCCTCTGAAACAAACTCAGCCCTTGGCTGCAAGCTGCGTATTGCAGGAAAATATGGTTAATGGTACACAAGCTGCATTTTATGGAACTCCACTAAACCTCTATGGAATACAGCTTGAAAAAAACATTGCGGTTGAAATACAGAGCTGTAAGGCAAAAATGATTCCACACCAATGACTTCCAGTACTTGCATATCACACCAACTGTTCTTGTCTCACACATAAGGATTTCTAGGATCACTCTGAGTGCAACACAACTCCTCTGTGTCTTCCACCTCATTTTATGCCAACACAACAAAAATAAATGCTATCGAAAAATGTCAAGGGATGTGGCTAATTTGGGCAAGTACCTGTCCTGAGCTTCCATGGAGAGAAATAAGGGAACTAGGCTTGTAATTGGATCGTTCAATCTTGCTCTCCTAGCATTCCAATGTCCCTTTGAGAGGGATGCATCCTTCACATCGCTATACTGCCTAAACAAGACTTGGCAACAGAAGTCCACTTCCGAGGATGCAAGGGCTGCAGCTATGCCAATGCCGGGTGATAAATTACAAAGCAGGGAACGACCTTGTTAGAAAAAACACCTCGCCTCAACAAGGGTCACAGCAACTCTCAGCTTAACTGGTTCTAAAAATACACAGTGCTGAATCCAACAAATGTCTGCATTTGGTCATTGGCTAAGTTGGTCTTTTCATCAGGTCCCTCATTTTAAGAGGTACATTCTCATCTCTGAAGCACGCAAAACATCATGTTGACAGCATTATTTGCATTCTATGTTACTACACAAGGCAGTACCAAACTTGTGCAAAAGCTGCATGAATGTAGTTTCTCCACAGGAAGCTTTTAACCAACAGGCACGAAGCACACACCCTAATCTCAGCTAGAATGGTCTTTCCTAGGTTTAAGACAGAATTGTGTAGAATGTCCCAGATCCCTGTTTCAGCAAGATTATGTGCCATCAGAATCACTTCTGTCATCATCTGTTCATCTGGGCAACTGCGGCAGCATGCTCCTCCCCATATAGGAATGTACTGCCAAACTGGCAAGATCTTTAAAGCTTGCAGCAAAACGTATCTCAACAGCAGGGGGGAAAGCCCTTGAAGCTTTTGGCCTGACTGCCTGAGCCCCAAATAACAGAAGGAAGTGTTATATCCTAGAGTTCTGAGATTTGGTCATTGCCTCTAATATTGTTGCAAAAGGTGGCATGATATTTAGGGATGGGGCAGGGGAAGGAACCACCCCACCCCTCATCATCTATTCTATATAGAAATACCAAAATTACCCTGGTGGACCAGCTACCATTCTATTCCTGTTAACGTAATAAGTTTTCATTAGTTGCCAGTAGTGTCTGTTTAAGAGCTTCTGTTATAATTTCCATTATTCCATCTAGTTTCCCAGGTGCCTTTCAATCACTATGCTACACTTGAGACCTGCAGGTTAGAGCCTCATTCCTTAATGTCACCCAATACACTTCTACTGTTACACCATATTGCACCACCACGTTTTCCAGGCACTGGCTTCCCTAGCATTAGTTCTGGTGGAAGCTGTCAGTCTAATTGGCTCCCATCCTTTTACTCCACAGATAATTGTCCTGCTAGAGGAACTTGCCTTTTACAGCATACTCCTCCCCACCTCTGCAGAGGGATAACAGCAGGGGCTTACTCACTGCAATGCTGCAGAAAACACAAAGCCCAGAATGGCAGGTTATTTGTTCCAGCATCTGGATTAATGTATTCTGAAGGAGACCAAACCTGGTTTTCCATCACAAGAGAATATCTTGCTCCAGATGAAGCATAGGGACATTGGAAGCTGCCTTATATGGAATCAGGCCATTTGTCCATCTGGCAGACTGGTCATGGCACTGCAGGGTTTCAGACCAGGGTTTTGTCCCAGCTCTACCTGAAGATGCTAGGTATTGGAAGCTTGGGCTCTTCCACTGAGCTGTGGCCCTTTTCCCATGCTTTGTGGGGGCATCAAGAAAAACACAGACCAGTTTGGAGCACACTGGACAGTTGCTGGGAGATTGCACGTTGCCCTGGCTAGACCAGTCAATAATCCTCCAAAGGGAAATGGAAGTCATACCCTATTCTCCTTCTGCAATCGCCAAAGAGAATGCATTCCAACTTGCACGCATTCTGCCACTTTGCAATTTGGAAGCAGATTTCCGATTAGAGTTAGAAAGAGCAAGTGGTCTCCAGAAGGTATATAAACTGGGGAGGGAGGGGAGGGGTTCAGAGGACCCAGGTCCTCTAAAATGCCAAAATGCTGAACTCAAAATGAAGGGAAGGCTGGCGATGGCCCTCATGCCACAGCAGAGAGTTCTTCTACTATATATAATTTTTAAACCAACTAATATATGCTTAGCCTAATTAATTTCTAAAAGAAGACGTTCTAGGAGAAGGCAAGTGCGTCAGAGTTCTGTACCTAAATAGTGACAGAACAGAACAGCTTGGCTTAGTCGGAAGTGGAGTATTATCTCCACAAAGGCTAAGCGCACAGCCATTGCCCGTGAGAGAGGATAGCCTGAGTCTGACAGCTTCCAGCCATCACCGCCAATTAGCAGTTCCCTGCATTCTATGTGCTGTCAAAGCCTCCCAGAGATGGGCAGAGACATCCACTCCTTTGGGGCAGTTGGGACACATCTGGGAGGGAACATTTAGTGCTAAGCCCTGGACCTGTTCAAATCCTTCTTTCTACGGGAGGGCAAAGTAGAAGAGCCAAGAGTGCCTTGGATTGAGCTGCTTGTTTTTTTTTTTTTTTTAGGGATAAGGTTTTGCTTGTTTGAAAAGGCTATACAATAAGTCAAGAGTACAACTCATTTCATTAAACTCTGGTGTTTTTGTTTTTATTTAAAAAAACCACTAGCAGCTGCATTTCTCATACATTTTCATTCTGGCAGTATGTTGGCATTTCAAGTGTTAATGTGTCCCCGTCCCCCCACTCCCTATAATTTGCTCTCTGTCCTCTCCCACCCCCACTTCCTAATAGGCATGGCCTTGCTGAGCAGCAAACAGCAGGAAACTCACTTTGGAGGTGTTCCAGCTGTCAGTCACAAGCATGTTTCTTTCCAACAGTCTCTGTGTTGTTTGAGCGGTTGTTTTTCTGCCAGCAGCACAATGGGGCTTAGTTATTCATTGAAGAAGGAGGTTGAGGGAGGGGGAGAGAATCTGCAAGCAGGCACCACCCTCCATTCACAACCAATTTGGAATACTCCATCCATTCACAAAAAAAACCCCTCTCTCTCCCCACAGCTGAGCGCTACCAATCAGGGGAAGGGAAATGACACTTAAGATCATAACAGAGACCAGCTGTCCTGCACAGAGAAGCTTGTGCTGCGGGCAACGTTTATGTAAGGAATTCAAACACTGCAGAAACAGCCTGCATAGCTAGGAGGGAGTCAGCCTCTCCAAAGAGTTCATTGCAAATGATTGTGCAACCCCACTTGTGGTGAGGTCCGGAAATGCCCTTTGGCCGGGGTGGGGGTGGGGAGTAAAAATAATTTGTAAAATCAACTTTTTCCCTTCAAAACAACGGCTGCCTGCCAGTGGACAGAATATTTCCTTTTAATGCTAACAGTGCCCTCACTCTCAGCTCCATCTGTTAGTAGCTACTGTAGCCCCTGCATTTATGGGAAGGATTAAGATAGGGGCTAATTATCCCCAGTGTAGGAAAAATGGCATTTCTTGAGGACTACAGCGTTGTGAAATTGGTGCTAATTGCTCAAAAACTGCTCACAAAAGGAAAAAAGACAGCAAATAGGGGTCCCGGAGGAGGAAAGACAAAAGGTGTTGCTAGTATAATGCCAAATAAAAAGAAACACATACAATTTAGGAAAAAAAGCACTTTCTTACTGAGTTCAAGAAGGGGCAGCTCTTGAAGGATATTTGGAAGCTGTAACATGTTGCTTAAGTCGTGTAACATCCTATGCAAGTTACATGGGCTCTCATGTTAGCTTCTGGAGACAGCCCCAGTTTTTGGTTTCAACCTGCAGAGCTCTTATTGGCCTCTCTCTCTCTCTCCAGGAGTCCTCCCACTGTTTACAGCAGAGGTGGGGAACCTATGGCCCTCCAGATGTCATTGGACTACAACTCCCATCATTCCCAGCCATTGACCATGCTGTCTGGAGCTGATGGAAGATGGAGTCCATCATTCATCTGGACAGCCAGATGATACTACACCAAACGCCCTGCTCCTAGGAAGGTGGGCAGTGCTGAACCTCAAAACATGGCTTGGTTTCTTTAAGTCTGATACCACCTTTCCCAGGACAGAGGATAACAAAGTACAATAGCACATCCCTCTGCCAACTCTCTCACTGCACAGGCTCACAGATATTTGCCCATATGAACTCTTTTAGGAGCCCAGCCAAGACTTGCCTGTACAGGCTGGCTTTTGATGTCCCACCCACACAATATTTCAGCTTGAAAAATCACTCTCATCCCACCCCATTGGATGTCTCCTGCATGGAAACGCTGGATGCAAACAAGGGAGATGGGGGTAGGGTTGGAAGGAGTCCTCACAAACTGAAGAGGCCTCTGTAGTATGAAGGGAAATCCTGCTTATCTAGAAGAAGTCCCTCCTCACAACAATATCTGGATGACCACAAGCTCCCTTTCCCCGCTTCCATCCATGAAAGCCAAAGCACTGTTGCAGTTTAAAAGGGCTGCTGGATAAAATCAGACACAGGTTCAAGTGCAGACGTTGCCTGCTGGAACTGCCAAGTTTTCAATGGGATGCTGCCCCCCCCCTCAATCCACAGCAAGATGCCCACTGGATCACTTATCCAAGTGTGCATTCCATCAAACAAAGTAAGGCAGGCAGCATCCGCACTGAAGATGCACATTTGTGACAGGTCTGGAAATCCTGATCAAGCAAGTGACAGACATGCATTATGCTGCTTCTGAGCAGCCAAAGGGGTAAAGGAACAAAACACCACCTCCACCTAAAAACATCCTAAGCGAATCAAACTTTTAATACAGTCGTACCTTGGATTTCGAACGGAATGCGTCCATTCGACTTCCGAAACGTTCGGAAACCAAGGCGCGGCTTCCGAGGCAAAGTTCGCAAACCGGAACACCTACTTCCGGGTTTGCGGCGTTTGAGTTCCAAGTTGTTCATGAACTAAGCTGTTTGAAAATCAAGGTACTATCTCTCCCCCCCCCCCTTGCACACCCCTCCTAACCACTAAATATTAATCCATTACTGTACAGTGGTATCTCGGGTTAAGAACTTAATTCATTCTGGAGGTCCATTCTTAACCTGAAACTGTTCTTAACCTGAGGCACCAATTTAGATAACGAGGCCTCCCGCCACTGCCCGATTTCTGTTCTCACCCTGAAGCAAAGTTCTTAACCTGAGGTACTATTTCTGGGTTAGCGGAGTCTGTAACCTGAGGTACCACTGTACTAGCAACGGCAGCCTCTGAAGCCTTACCAGGCAACAAGAGAAGCAGCCCATCCCTAAAGTGCCTTCCTTGGGTGCTGACTTGTGGTACACACACCTATGCCAGCAGTCAGAGGAAGAGCTCAGTGCCTCAAAGGCAGATATTTGTGTGTGTGTTGTGTGTCTGCCCCAGAGAAAGTACACATTCTCATTTCCCTGTTCTAATACATTAACTATAATTAGAACCTAGAAAGAAAGAAGCAAGCAAGCAGCACAACTATAGGTTATGTCTCAACACGCCAAGGTAGAGAGGAAGTCAGGAATGCAGCGCGGCTTGGGGGAGGAGGCGCCAAGGGCTTTTGCCTTGTTTATCTGTGCACTGGCAGTGAAGCAGGACAATAGATGCTGAACCAGCACCAAGAAATCAGCCAGGAACTTGCATGCAAAGAGCTTTGTGCCAGCGGAGCTCTCTACCCCATTCACAGATGCCATAGCAGAGACACCACAATACCGCTTCCACCAGAAGTTATCATGGTACAGTTTGCCAGTTTAGAGAGGTAAGCTTTCAGAGGGTGGAAGATGTTTAGAATACAGGTGTCCCATTTGATCCTGAATGTCCAAATTTCAAAATTAGTCACTCTCTCTCCTATTGCCTTAGCTCTAACTTTGCAAACAGAATGACCTGGAATACACCATCAGCAGAGTCACGTGGTGCTGCTAGACTGCACCACTTTAGAGATTCTTTGCGGGATCATGTGCTGGAATGCATGTCTCCCCCTGACATCTCCCTGCATATAGAAACCTAGCACATCAAGGAGAATGTTTAGCCTGATACTCCTTTCCTTGGATTTGCTTTCTTTCTAGTTGCTGAGAATCCTTTTGAGGGGCGGATGGTGGGAATGAAATTCCCCATCCACACTCTCAAGCAAAACAGTGCAGCAAAAGCTGCACCATGTGATTTTCCTGATGGAGGCCTGTGCTGAAATAGGCATTTTCACCATGAGTCTGATGACTCGCACACTTTTCAGAGGAGGAAACACACATCCATAAGCTGGAAAAACAGAACTAGAGTCAAAAGACGAGCCTGTGGCCCAAAGGAGGCAAATTATCTAATCTGTTTGGGCAGTAGCCAACTAACGTGTCCCGTCAGCACATAGGATTTCCGCTTGCGCAATGGAACTTCCCCCCTCCTCCGCCTGCGCATACCCTGCGCCATTCCCAAATCTGTTCTGGAAGGCTTGGGAAACCTCTAGAACAGATTTTGGGGGTGTACGGGGGGAAAAGCTATGTTGCACAAATGGAAACCCTTGCGCTGACAGGATGTGTTCGTTGGATACTTCCCTATGGAAAGCGACTTCTCAGAAGTCACAGTGTTGTTTGTAGCGCCTGCATGGGTGATATCAGGGTATGCGGCCACAAACTCTTTGCCAATACTGCATTGTGCTCAAATCCTCACACTGCAGTTAGAAAGCTGGTGATATCTATTTAAGACTCTATGCAGGGATGTATCTTTGCTTGCATGATACCAACCACCTGCTCATGACCTTATGTGCAGCCATCATTACCTGGTTTCCACACTGAAGCGGCTTGCTCCCAACTCCTAAGTGACTTGTACACACAAACAGGTTGCTTGGTAACCGTGTGGCTTTGTGGGTATGGAAAGCCAATTGATCTGGATCAGTGTACACCTGCTCAAGGAATGACGTACACTCAGGTCAACACCAGCCTGGCATTTGAGCCTTAATCTCCTTGCCTCTTGTCTTTGCAGAACTGACGAGGTCAGAGATGAAGGGGCAAGGGACAAAGTCTCTATGCTTCAAGGCTTTTCATGCAATTTTGAACTTATCTCTGAACTCTGCTCTTCTTTCCCCTTTTTCTGACCCATAAAGGGTGTCTACAAATAGATGTGATGCAAACCAGAAAACAATTGCCCAATTTCTTCAAATTCTCTCTCTCTCTCTCTCTCTCTCACACACACACACACACACAGAGAAATGCACTTGTATGCTTTCACCAAGGAAAAAGTGAAGTGCAGGAAGCATAATTCTGAGTTTTCAACATTCTCTACCCATTCTTGGCACTAGTGTATTATCAAAATAGTCTTTCATGTGAATTGACCCCAACTGGTTAAAAATACCGGTACTTCATGATGAAAGAGATGGGAGTTGATCAGCAGAAATCTAGGCACTTTCTTTAGCTATGTTGTCACAACTCAGAGATCATTGTTGAGAGACCAACAATATTTTCAAGAGAACTGAAAGTTGTTTAAGAAGAGAACTGCTTCCTATGATGTATGAGTAGCATTATACAGATTTTTACTCAGAGTAGCCCCATTAAAATTAATGGCCATGGCAAACATACATTCAGTAATTTCAATGAGCTGACTCTGAACGAAAGTTAAATGTTATTCCCCATACAAAAGGATACAAAAACTTGCCCCTTGATCTCTGACCTCATCCGTTCTGCAAAGACAAGAGGCAAGGAGATTAAGGCTCAAATGCCAGGCTGGTGTTGCCCTAAGTGTATGCCATTCCTTAAGCAGGTGTACACTGATCCAGATCAGTTTACCAAATGTAATCTGTATTTGTTTTTTGTTGCATCTCACTCTCGTCTTAGGTTTCGCTGTGTTGATTTTGTGTAAGCCACCTTATAAATAAAGTTATTAACTGGAGCAACAGCTTGAATTCTGATTTAAGAGTAGAACCATTGAAAACAATGGGAGTTAAGAAGATGCAAAGAGCACCACTGGATCAGGCCAAAACCCCATCTAGTCCAGTATCCTGTTCTCAGAGTGGCTAACCAGAAGACGCCTATGGGAAGCCCGCCAGCAGGACACAGGACAGCCAGTGTTAGAAACTGAGATATGAAAGCTAGGAGCTAAAAGGCATCTTAAACCTAGGTTAAGGGCACAACAATGGAACGTCTAGACATGCTTTTTAATAACAAGAATACAAAGCTGAAAATGAATGAATTGCAGCTAAAACATTATGTTCATTCTTCACGTGGTCTATTCCTTCCCCTGCCCACCCACCCTAATATTCTTAAGAGGGTCTCTTCTCCAGTCTTCAGAGAGTAGCTGGAAGTGGGGAGGCAGAAAAAGGTCCTCCTTTCCTTCCACTCTGCAGTTTTAATCTGAAATCTTCGGCGCAGTACTGCACCCAGAGCTCAGAAACTGCTTGCGCTGATGAAATTCCCTGTCGCAAAATGTGCAGAAAACAATGGGAGCTTTGAGAACAGCAGCCCTCTCTGCCACTTGTGATTCCCAGCAACTGGTATTCAGAGACATATTGCCTCTTTGACACTGGAGGTAGGACAAAGCCATCATGGCCAGTACCCATTCATAGAAGATAGGGTTAAGTTATTATGGTGCTGGAGGACTCTTGAGAGTCCCATGGACAGTAGGAAGATCAAATCTATCCATTCTGAAGGAAATCAGCCCTGAGTAAAGGGATCTGGAAGGACAGATCCTTTGGCCACCTCATGAGAAGAGAAGACTCCCTGGAAATGACCCTGATGTTGGGAAAGATGGAGGGCACAAGGAGAAGGGGATGACAGAGGACGACATGGTTGGACAGTGTTCTCGAAGCTACCAGCATGAGTTTGACCAAACTGCGGGAGGCAGTGGAAGACAGGAGTGCCTGGCGTGCCCTGGTCCATGGGGTCACAAAGAGTCGGACACGACTAAACAACAACAAAGGGCTAAGTTAGTGATGGCTAACTTAAGACCCGCAATGGAGCTTAAATATAGTAGGCAAGTCGAGATGCAGCACAATAAATCATAAAGTAAAACAAGTTCGAGTGTATACATTAGGAACCACAATCCCTCTTCAAGACTGTTATCAACTCTCTGAAATACCATTGTCCCCCTCGGCCCCTTTATCTTTATCCACAAAACCATCCTTAGCCACAGGAAGTAGTTGCCTGTTTAATAATTCAAGTCATTATCAGGAACATACAGGAAGGAGGTTGTAACTGTTCACCCTTTTAACCTTCACAGGGTTATCGAAGGCTACTTCAAGAGAAAATACACCCTTACTGCTCCAAAGGAAGAAAAAAAAGTTGACAAAATGGCAGGCTATAGCTGGGGTGGGGAAGAGTTGCAGCTTGGCTGGGTTCCCATGTTGAGGCTACACAAGTGTTCCTGCACCTTTTTTTGGTTGAGGATCATTTATTCTAATCAATATTTTATGTATTAACTCTACGTTTAACCTCACCATCATATTATCCCTGGGCAAGTTACAACTCATGTATATATCTCACTTTTCCTTTAAAAAAACACTGACGTTTTCTTCATTTCTTTGTTCTTTTCATTGTACATTTCACTTTTTCAATCAGTTGTCCAAAGTAGCCCACATTTTAAAATGTAAAAAATATGAGCAATAAGAAACCCCTGAAATAGCAAATAGCAATAAGGTGCTTGGTGGGCACAGAAAGGGAGAGCTCAGCCTCCCAAGCATTTTTAAATTGTCCCAGGATAGGATGCGTGGATAAGGGAAGAGAGTTGTCCACTGGCGATGTCAGAGGTGACACACACAAACACAGAGAGAGCTAACCTTTATGTAATTTGCTAGCCAAGGGAATTAGTCTCTCTCACCAAAACAGAACCGTTACCATAGAGGAAAGCCATCTGGAGCCTGCTCAACAAACGCTAACAATTGTCTGAAAAACACAGTGGGCGAGATCCAAGGTAGTGTGAGCAGGCATCCTCTTGTGCTGTGGGGCTTCTCCTTACTCTCCTCCCCCTAGCAACCCCCAACCCTTCAGAGTAGATTTCGGGAGCACGAGGGTGGGGGGGGGGGCAAAGAGAAACCCAAAGTCTCATTACGCAAGTGTGCAGACAGCATTGGATGCCACCCAACATCTGGGAGAGACCCTCATTAAAGCGGGAGAAATAGTAGAAAAATAAAAATAGGACAGTAAGACCAACAAGTAATAGGAAACAGGCACCTTAACCTAAAGCTTGTCACAGTGCCATTCTTAGAGAACTAGAGTCAGAACAGAGGCAGAGATGTGTGCAGACATATTGTGCTTTTTATAGACCTTGCAAAAGAATTAGCTTTTCAAAGTGCCACCTACAAGGGTACTCAAGTAAACACATTCATGTAATTACATAATAGGAAGCAGAAGAAGAAATGAAAACCCACCACCATCATCCAAATTAAAATACATAGGACTGGTCCTAATTCTAAGACCACACATTCCAAGCAAACATTTTGAGGCAAAATAGCACCAACTGTCTCCTGAACAGCCCCAATTCTAAACTCATTTACTTGGCACCAAGTCGCACCAATTTTAAACGGAACTCAAGTTAAGGGTGTTTAGGATTAGCATGTTACTCATGCAGCAGTTGATTTCTGTGCCAGAAACCACAGTAATAATGCAAACCATGAATCATCATACATCCATCTATGACATATTAAGCAAGAGCTCCAGAAACCCTTTCAAGTGCAAAAGATGCCCTGTTCATTTCTCTTTATTCATCTATTCAATCAGCTATTCTGGTGCTATACAGCAAACTGCATTACTGAGCCTCTCAAAGGCCACAGAGTTTCACTTTGCAGATTCTGGGCCCCATATTATCTTTCCACCTTTAAAAAAAGTAAATATTGGAGATCCCCTTGCTCTTTGGGAACTTTAGCAGGTTTTAGCGATATGCCTTCTCATCTTCGCTCAGAATTTAGCCCTTCTGCTATACACAGGGCACAATCCTCTCTCCAACCTCTGGCAATTGGTTTCACTAGCCTGAGTGGCTTAAAAGACCTGTACAGGTCAGAAGGGAAGCCTGTCTCCCCTGCAAACACATGGTCCCAGTAAGATTTAAATTTGGCATTACTAGATCCATTCCAGGCAGGAAGCTACTCATTGATATATAAACAGCTTCCATTGAGAATCCCCTCCTGCCATCGACCTGCTCACCACAAACACAGAATACATAGAGGATGCTCAGGCCAGAAGGAAAAGGCTTCTTAACCCAAACAGAACTCCTAATGCCTCTCACAAAAGGTTTGCTGCGGAGGCCCAGAACTCTGGAGAAGACATTTTGTTTTCCCCACAATCCTTCAGGCTCCTGAACCGTAAAAGCTTGCTGAGAGAGAGAGAGAGAGCGCCTCTGCCAACAACATCTCCTCCCACACAGCCCGGCTGCAGTTTATACTGCTCCGAGCAGGAGAACTGGAAGGGTTGGGTTAGAATGTCAACACAGAGAGAAAATTTCTTACTCCAGGCTGCCTTTCATCTCAGGGAGGAGGAAAGAAAACACACACACACACACACACCACAACCAGTCTGAGGAAGCTTTCATGGCAAGCTTCCCACTTACTTCAAAGTAATCAAAGGGCAATAATTAACATGCATTTACTGTAGCACAAGATACACCACTGCATGCTGTGACAGAGTTTGAATCAAGAATCCGTTCCACTGCAGGCTATGTTTTCTTCCCTTCAAATTCTGTGGCAATCGGAACAGCTACACACACACACACACACACACACACACACACACACACACACCCTGAGTGGATGCGGAGTAACATTTCCACTTTACACTTTTAAGAACATCATCTTGCTTTTCTTTAACCTCTAATGCCCCCAAATCACAGTCAAAAAATATGCAGAAAGCATGCGTGCCTAAATAGCTTGCTGCCTGCAGAGGCCCAGGTGCTGAGCTCTCAGATGCTGCAGGTAAGGGAGAATTTTGGGGGTGGTGCAGTGCGAGAGGGACGGCTTTCCTAGCCGCCTTCTCAGAGCTGCTGGCTTGCCAATGACGAATGCTCCCTAAAGCTGCTCAAGTTTCACCAGCAAAGCTTTGTCCTTCACAGCTTCGCTATAGCTGCGGCTATAATAGCCAGAAAAGTCATTGAGGGAATTGGAAGGCACAGGGCTGGTGAGAGACAGAGTGCTCTTGTGCTTGCTGTCAAATGGATTTTAATATCTCTTACATTATGAAGTATTCATGGGGGCTTGAAAGGGTTCTGCAGAGATCAAGGTTAATAGGCAGCCCCAGAGATGCTCAAATAAATATCCTAAGTCTGCCAATTAAAGCAGTGCCGTTAACAGAACAGTCAGTGTCCACACCTTCTGTCTGCTCCCTTCTCGTCAAGATCCACAGATTTGACAAAAAACTTGCAAAAATACACTTTGCAGCTACATTTAATTAACAGAAGCAAAAACCAAGGGAGCAACTAAAACCTGTCACACATCTTGCAATGACACTACAGATTTCACAGCAGGCAGACAAATGAACAAGAGAATGACTTACAGTTATCGGACTGGAAATCTGGGACAAACTGTTCATCATCAGGAACTTGGGCTAAAAGAAAGGGGGGAAAACAAGGTTTTTTCACCAATTCATTAATAAATTAAACCCTACATTTCCTTATCTAAAAACAAAGGAGCTCACAAGCCAAAATAAATATTAATGTCATACATTACAAAACAGCAAAAAAAGAACAAAGAAAAAAGATTCCATAGAAATGACAAGCACGACCAATTATCATAGCCAATAGGTTATCAAAGCACAATGGGACACAGAATTGTGATATCAACAAGGATTTACCTTCAGCTAACCAAGCCTCCTGCAACTGGCTGAGATCCTGAAACAATTCTGAAAGAAAATAAGAACAAAAAAATGGAGTATTTTTTTCTGCTTACATGCTTTTTACACATGCTGCTTAAAATGGTGATGTTTCAAAGATGCTTTTTTCAAACATCAACAACAAAAAAAGGAGGCAATTCTTCGCTACCTTCAGAATCATGAGCCAAGTCAGTGTCCTGAAACTTCCTTTTTCTGTCATTTACTGGCCTGCCTCGACATTCATCTGTGCAAGGTTTCTGGTAGAAGCAAAGAAATGTAACTATGAAGGGCAATCGTTCAAAAACACAAAAGAGCAGAAGCAACATGAACTTTGTACAAAGGAGCAGGGGGCATCACATGATAAGAAAACAAAACCACATTTAAAAAAATGAAGTCCTACCCCAGGGACCATGAAAGGGACCTGCTGATCATAAAAACCATCCATTGTGCTTGCAAATTCTTTAATATTCCCTCGAACGTTTTTAGCATTGAGTAATTCCAGGATGAGAAGAGTTTTCAGAATCTAGTTCTGGCAGATTTCAGGCTGGAAGGGAGAAGAGAAAGACAGAGGAATCAGACAATGTTCTGCCTTTAAGGCACCTGAAGAGACCATCTCTAACAGCACACGAGCATGTTCTGCAAGCTTTTAGGATTATCTTTTGTGCTTAGTTAACACACATTAAACATGGGGGAGGGAGGAAGACAAATTATAGTATTAACCCCCCTCTAGCTAGTTGCTATGATATCCATTCATTAGGTTGCTGCTCTTTTTAAATCAACACACCAAAGCCCCAACCTTTAATCCATGATGTCACAGAGTTACTATGGAAACAGTCGTGACATCACTAAATGCGAATTACAACCGCTTAAGAACAAACACAGGGAACGGCGTGGATTATAAGGCAGAGATCACATGGCTTGGAGTACATTTTCTCCCTACATGGTCGAAAGATAAAATATAAATAGCAACAAGTGCACAGGAAAGTCGACTGGAGTTAGTGAAACAGCTTGGCTTTCTGGAGATGATAATTATCTGCATGCAACTCCTCTAGGTTACAAAGAGAACCAATGCCCTTTTACTTACGCCTAAGCAAAGCAAACCGAAAAGATCCCTTGATTTCATTGCTACCAGAAACTGTACTTAGTACTGTAGCCATTCTAGCATTGTTTGAAGTAGCTTATTTTTTTTTTTGCTGATCTAAACCTTTGAAATCTCGGATAATTTACTCGAAAGCTTAAAAACACACTGCAAGAAATATCCATGTTAGGTTGGCATAAGACCCAGCGCGAAATGGAAAACTGCTCGGTCCCTTGTTCTGCTGATGCAACTTTTGCTGCTATTGAACAGCCTGTATATCTTCAAGAAATCTGCTAAGCAAAGGGCAGTTTTCAGTCATCCCTTAAGTAAATTCACCGTGAAGTTTAAACACAAGAGAGATTTATGGCTTGTTTAAAAGAAGCAGTATTTTCTACGAACTCCTCTCAAAAATACAGAATCTGTGGTCTTAAAAAAAAAACAAACTTGAGTAAGTGCGTTTCATAACATGGGGTTGGCGGCGGGGGGAGAGAGGGACGAGAGAAAGGTGGTGGTAGCGAGATCGGTTATGAACTTCTTTATCTAGCCTAGCTGGTCAACTGTTGCAAACTGCTCCTAAATATCACCGCGGACACAAATATCTTCCATTCCGAACTTGCCCCGTCGATTCAGAGCAAATTTTTTTTTGGCAAAAACGGCGATTGGAAGCAACATATTTAAAAACATTATGTCGCGCGTACTAAATCCGCTTTTCTATCTGGCCGCTGCGATTCGCCTCCCCTCTCCCCCCCCGTACCCCTAGGGAAAGCCTTTAACACAGCCAAACAATACAATTAGCATCCCCTCCCCCATGTGCAAATCTGGCTTAAGTTTTATGAATGGCAGAGCAAGCAACAAGAGCAGGTAGAGTGTAACGAGATCCCCGGCGTAGGGCCCCATTCACAAAAACAAGGCACGCACTTCCCAGCTCGCTCCATTCACGAAACGCCTTCAGAGGCGCCCCCACCCCTACAGCCCTGTGCAGAACGCCGCGAGGAGACGCAGCCCCCGCCCCCGCACTCAAGGCTTCATTCACACAAAACCAGCTCCATTCATAAAATCGCCCACATTCACAAAAAACACATCACCACCACCAGCAACCACCTCCCGACCCAGCCAGTGGCTGCTGCAGCCTGTGGCGGCGCGGCTGTGCAGCCTTCCTTTGGAAAGGCTACGCCGTAGCTTCTACTCCCGGCACTCTGTTGCAGCCCCCAGAGCTGCCCCCTCCCGCACCTGAGATCCAGCCCCATTGCTTACCCCAGGCTCCAGCAGACCAAATCACTGCCTCCATCTCAGCCACGGCATCCCAAGCTTATCCAAACACCCCCCCCCCGTATTACTTTGCACCCCCGAACACCTGCGCCCCCGCCAGCCTCCTTCTCAGGCCGCCCAGCCGATCCCACAACTCCCAGCACCCCACCGCTCAGGACCCCCGGCCCCGATCCCGACCCCAGTCCCCGGAGGCTGCGTCGCCTTCGCCCCTCCTCACCTGGCCATAGAACTAGCGCGCTGCCGCTGTGCAGTCGCTAGAAGCCCTGGTTCTTCCTCGGGCTGCTGCCGGAGCCCCCGAGCGGCCTCCAGAGCCCGCCCCGCCCCGTCCCCATTGGCCCACGGCCCCGCCAGAGGTTGTCAGTCTCAGCTTGTTTACCCTACCACGCACCCAATGGCGCTCGGATGTTGCAACGCCTCCCGGTCCTGAATGGCTGCGGCGGCCCAGCCAGTGCGTTCTAAGTCCGCCTCCTCGCAACTATGAACTGCCTAATATTTTTTTCCTCCAGGGAAATATAGCCAATCAAGGCGGCCTTGATTTACATACTTTTTTCGAGGAGCGTTTTCATTCATAAAAAAAGGAAAAGAAAGAATGGTCGCGTTCTGAGGGCGAGGCAGAGGCGCAGGGAGGGATTTAAAGGGAACGCGCAGCTCGGCGGCAGAGAGTCTGTTTTTGCCAGCTCCGTTACGAAGTGAACGCTCCTTGGCTGCCCACAGTCCCGTGCCGCCGCCGCCTTCTTTTTCGCCTCGTGGCCGCACGCAGGACCATCTCACGACAACCGGCCAGCTCGGCGGCGGCCGGAGTAAGAAATAATCGCCATAGCAGGTCGCCCTCGGTCTTGGCACCTGAACTTCATTCTTATTACCACCCCCACCAGAAATCAGGGCCATCGTGAGGAAAACACCGTGCCCCCAGCACTGCCCTGCTCATTCAGCTGCAAGGGAGAAATGGCAGGAACAAAATCTTCTGGCCTTTCGTCTGGGGCATTAATCCAACGACCGCATTTTTCGTTACAAACAGTGCAAAGCCTGTTAACCAGGGAACAGCAAACTTTTTCAGCAGGGGGCCGGTCCACTGTCCCTTGTGGAGGGCCAGATAATATTTTGAAAAAAATAATGAACGAATTCCTATGCCCCACAAATAAGCCAGAGATGCATTTTAAATAAAAGGACACATGCTACTCATGTAAAAACATGCTGATTCCTGGAACGTCCATGGGCCGGATTTAGAAGGCGATTGGGCCGGATCTGGCCTCCAGGCCTTAGTTTGCCTACCCATGCTGTTAACATTTCTGCCCATGCGCGCATAGGCTTAGTCCGTTGAGTCGCTGGACAGATCCATGCTCCAGTCGCGCCAGTTATGCTTAACTCAAAAGAGAAGTGCGATAGGATTGGGCTGCAGAAACTGCTGCGAGTCCTTCCTGGGACTTCTGGAATAGCCTCAAGGCTGCAATCCAGTGTGTACACACTGAACCTGGCATGAAGTGGGGTCTTCCCTATGAGTAAAGAGGCATAGAGTTGCATTGTAACTACAGTGCCCTGTACCTGTTTACTTGCTTGAAAGCTGCCTTAACCAAGTCAGACCACTGGCCCTCCTAGCTCAGGACTGTCTACATTGACTGGCATTTCGGGACTCCTTTGGGTCTTGGGAGACATGGGCGTAGCCATGATTTTGGGGGGGGGGGCAGAACATCATATTTTTATTGATTTTTTTTAAAAAAATGATATTTATTAAAGTTTCACAAAAATACAGAAAACAAAGAAAAAAGTATAAATTACAGCAAAAAAGTAAAAAGTAAGAAAAAACATACAAAATAAAACAATTAAAAACACAATGATGTTCCATAACCTATCTTCCTTACTCTTATTTCCCCAGACCTCCTCATACCTCCCTTCTTTGTATTCCAATTCAGTTTGTTGGTTCAGCAAATCCTTACCATTAATCTTTTACCCAATTGTTAACCTTTTTTTTTCATGTCTCTTAAAGCATTACAGCTAAAAACCTCTTAATTTCTATCCAACATCCTTCTAAAGTTCCTTAATTTTACAATATTTCTGTAAATAGTCCTTAAATTTTTTCCAATCTTCTTTCACCGACTCTTCTCCCTGGTCTCGGATTCTGCCAGTCATTTCCGCCAATTCCATGTAGTCAATCAATATTTTTTTATTGATTTTGATGGATTTAGGGGGGGACAGCTGCCTGCCCCCTTGGCTATGCCCATACTTGGAGATGCCAGGGATTAAACTACTAGACCCCTATGTGCAAAGCAGCTTCTCTACTGCTGCTCTAAGTGTGCTTTTGGGCTGCACCCATTCGGAGACACTATTCTTACTTACAGGTCGAGAAAACAAGAAGCACCCTGCAGGATCCGATGAAGGACTCGTCTAGTTCAGCATCCTGTTCCCCACAATAGCCAAAAAGATGGCTAAAGGTTGCCCATGAAGGCAGCGCCTCTAATCCTGGAGGTAGCATATATATCTAGCACAATTAGTCAGCAAGTCAATGGGTCCCCCAGACTGCCTGAATTTCAGTTTGCTCATGTGAGATCTTCTAGGGCTCTAAACTCAGTTCTGAAGTGGGGAGGGAGCCACTGGTGGAGGAAGAGGGGAGCGGAGGAAGCGCACCGCCCCTGGCAGCACGATCTTGGTGGGGTGCCATCATGGCTGCCCCCCTGCCCGTGCTGGGCGTCACGCCCCTGCGGGTGGTGCGCCACGCCCCCAGGCATGCCAGCCATGTCCCCGCCTGCTCTCCGCCACCGGAGAGAGCCACTTTCCCCAGTGACACTGGGAGGGTGAGTCTAAGACATTGGCACAGAACATCTCAGAATGGACGCCCATTATGCCTGGAAGTGAACAGGAGGTTTGTTGGGCAATGCAGGTAGCCTTAAAAGGGAGATATGGGATAGGGTGCACATGGCAGCAGCAGACAAGTAAGCAAAGAAACAGTGTGAGGGAAAAGGGAAGTCGAGGTGGCATGGGCCTGAAGTTCATACAGAAGTAGAGGCAGCGACAGCAGATGCAGACTGTGGCATGGGAAAGAGGAAAGAAGGCTTGCAAGAGTAGCTCTGAGTAAGAAGAGGCAGAAAAGTGGGACAAAGCCAGCAGGAAAAAGAGAAGTCAAACTTGGTCTGGGCTTCACCAGCTGACACACGCCATTTCACTTCCACACATTTCCCCACTATCTCACTGATTCAGCCTTTGCCATCGTGATGCCCTGCAGATGGGCAGGGGCTGATGGGACTGGGGCTGATGGGAGTTGTAGTCCAAAACATCTGCAGGGCACTGCATTGGCAAAGGCTGCTCTAGTGGCTTATAAAAACACTACCAATTCACAACCCGTTGAGTTGTTCTGATCTTTACATGCTCCTATGAATTGTTCAACTGATAGCAATGTAATTAAACTTGTGGGAACACTTGGGTCCGGGCCAGTGAATGCTTCCAAGTCATGCTTTGGCGTCAGTTGCTGTTTCAGACAGACAGGCGGGTTGCACGAGGAAGCAGAGCAGCTTGTTGCGAGGTTTCACCTTCTCCTTGCTGAGAGTTACTTTATCTTTTTCTTAGTGAGGATTATCTTTAATTCACGTCTTTTCACGTCTTTCTCTAAGAGCAAACACACACACATATATATACACACACCTATTATATATGGTCAGGAATGAAAGCATAAGGCAAGTTGAGCTTGCCAGTCTAGGGACATGATGGTCACTTAGGGTTCAAGAGGTCCTGGGTTCAGTTCCTAGGCAAGCTCTACTGTAATTGCTGGGCTACTTAGAGACTTTGTGTAGGAATAAGTACAGATGCTAGGAGAGGATATATTTATTAGATATTATCATTCTTTCCTCACATTTGTGAATTCAGCAGAGTATATCACTTAAAAGAAAGTTTAGATAGGCTAGTTTTAGCTTTTTAATTTAAGTAATACAGGATGCTTTAAGGCAGACTGGATTCTCCTGGTATTTTCTCCCACTTTAAATCCCACAATCCTGTAAAAGGTAAAAAGGTAAAAAGAACATTTACTCACTCAGAATACTGGTATATATATCCACTGGAAGAGGAAGAGGGGGGCAGGGGCAGTGCACCGCCTCTGGCACCACGACCCCGGTGGGGTGCCATCACGGCTGCCCCCCCCCGCTGGGTGCCATGCCCCCAGGACGTGTGCCAGCCACACCCCCGCCTGCTCTCCGCCCCCAGTACCAGAGCATGAAGCTCCACCACTGTATATATCTGCTATGCCCTCCCCGGGTCAGGGCACAGTTGGAGCATCTCACAGCGTTCTCTCTAGCAAACTTACAGGAAAACTCTGTGAGCTTCAGCCTATCTAGCAAACGTGCATTGTTGGTTTGACTGCATTGTAGATATCCCACATTTTGGTGGGGTGAAAGGGGAGTTTTGTATGCTGATAGCAACAGAGCCCTGGCATCTTTTGGAAGGAACCATGGAAAGCCAGATGTCATTAGACTCCAGTTCTCATTCCCCCTGACCATTGGCCATGCTGATGGGAGTTGGGGTCCCTCAGCATATTTAGGGCATTGCATTGGCTACTTGTACTTTATGCTGTCTGTAGGCACCATGGCAAAATTGGAGAACTAACATAGAATCACATGAGAGATATTCATTCATTCATTCATTCATTCATTCATTGTACTTATATACTGCTTGTTTGCCAAGGCAGTTTGCAGTTTAAAAATATAAAAACAAACAAATGGCTCAACATACAGGACTGTGTTATCTCACACTGATTTCAGAAGCCAATGACAAACTCCCTGGCCTGTACTTCTTCTTGTCGGCCTTCTCTCAAGGCACACAAGTCTTTCTTCAGTAGCCCCAGGATATAATTGAAGAAAAAAATAATTTGGTCTGTGTTTTAAGTGAACCGACCTAATTCATATCTCTGGGATTAACACACAGATCAGAATGTGATTGTCTTTCTGATTTTGCACTTCTCCAAATTTTGTGATATGTTCAGGAGACGTGCCAAAAATGCACATCACAGCATATGCTTTCCGTAAACAAATATACAGGAATGGAACAGAACAGATTTATGAATAATCAAACGCAAAAATGACGCAGATCAAACAGAGATGGATTTGTCCATCCCTGTGTCAGGAAGCCCCAATCTTTCTCTGAGGCCACCTTCAGGAAGTGATGGTTATGAACTCCCTGGCCTGGGCTTCTTCTTTTCTGCCTTCCTTTCAGGACTTTCTTAAGTATCTCTTGGGAAGATTTATTGTGGCTTAAATGGGCAGTATTCTTTGCAAGGTGTTGTTATGGGTGTGTGAATATGTAGGAACAATATCCACCTCCATAACTCCGGATCCACATTATATACATTTGAAACACATTCAATGCACATTTAAAGCATATGACTCCCTCCAAAAAACCCTGGGAACTATAGTCTCCCCCTAACAAAGCTACTATTTCCAGCACCATTAACAAACTACAGTCCCCAGAATTCGGGGGGGGGGGAGAGTCATGTGTATTGAACACATGTAGGTCTGTTAATACATTCATGGGCCATGCATGCAACTGACCTCTGGGCCTCCTTAGCACATGTGCATATGCTATGGCAGCTCACAGTGACAGCTTGAACAGTTCCAATGGGTTTGGGGGTTTTTTGTGGGGGGGAAGCTTTGGACCCATTTGTTCTGGCAAGTGGCCAGGAGGATATAATTCAGGCTGGGCCTCTAAAATTATGTCCAGTCTGTGCAATTTTTAGGGTATAAAATTATTTCTAAGGCTAAGTGGTGGACCCATGGAATGATGGTTCTGCAGCCTCGACAAAGCCTGTTTTATTAGCTGGTTTGATGGAAGAAACTGTTTGAAGTCATCCTTTGCCTTCTACATTATACTTTTCCACTGAAGCTCTGCTGGAGAGAGGGTAGAATAAATTTGACTAAATATAACCCATTCTAAAAAAAAAAAAAAAACCCCAACAACCATAGGCTCTAAATTTAACACAATACCTTTCACATGGAGTTTTTTCTTTGGTTTTGGAGACACGTGAGCTTGCCTGCTGCTGCCTTTTATTTTTGTTCTCCTGGGGTGGAGGGTGACGGGGAGGGGAAAGAAACTGATTATTTTTAAACCAGGAGCTTTGATTTATACCGGCTACAATGACATAAATCAGTCTTTTTTATTTTAAAATTAAATGTTCCTTTTAAAAAAATGAATGGAAATGTTCCGTCACTGCTACAACTGGGCTTGCTTTTCTGCTGGACTTCCAAAACACGAAGAGGATGAAATGATTGGAAGTCCCCTGCTTCTACAGCATCCCAACAATTGTTTCATGACTTTGTCATAGCTGGAGATGGGCCAGGTACGTGTAGAAGACATGGGAGCTCAAGGGCAAAATGCTTCCTATCCAGAATTTGTTATTTACGGGACACATGACAGTCCAATGCCCTTCACCCAGTTTCAAGGAAGGCAGGTGATCTAAAGTCTCCCTTAGCTGTCAGGGCTAGAAGCAAGAGCTCACAGCTCTGTTCAGGTTGGCATATCCAGGGGGAGCCAATGCAGTACCCTCCAGATGTTTTTGGATTCCCCATCAGCCACCATGGCCAATGGTGAGGAATGATAAGTGGGCAATACATAGTTAGATAGACCAGTGGTCTGACTATGTTCCAATAAACTGTGAATGAATGACCTGGTAGATCCAACATGTGGTCTTCAAGAACATACCAGCTAAAAGTGAAGGAACTCCCAGAACCTTGGTTAGAGTGTATTTTGCCAATTGCCTGCGAGAGGAGCCTCAGATTTCATTTTGGTTTGGACTGACGTTGCTGTTGACTGCAGCTGGTATTATGGGCTTGATTGTGGCAATGGGTTGTTATGATGAGCGCTTTCCCAAGACAGACAATGTAATGATAGCCTGGAGCCAAGGACTCTGCTGTGGCTGGGTTGTATTACAATTACGCCAATAAAGTGGTGCATGTGTGCAACACCAACACCAGAAGACAGAGAGACTGAGGTTGCCATTGGTCCCCTAATGACTTGTAACCAATGGCAACTTGAATGATGGGCAACTGTAAATGTGGTTGAGCAGGTCAAGTGTCATTTTTGTTCTTTTTCTTGCATGGAGAACAATGGGATCACCACCATCCTACTCTGTGCCTATGACTGGGGTTCTCCTCTGTTTTGTCATCACCGTTTGTTTTGATGCTGTTGTTTTCCGGCACCTGGGCTAGCTATGGCCTGTTTTGCAGAAGGTGCCCTTGCTTTTTTAGGTCCTCCTTTCTACTCATTGCAGTTGTGTTGCCCTTGAACACTGAACAATCAGAAAGATTCTTGGAGAACTACTGCAATCCAGACACAGGGGGCTTATTTTCAGGCACACGAGACAGCAGCACTGTCATGCTATTGTGCCTGGAAAAGTGCAGTCGATGATACCCCAGCTGGTGCTCTCAATCAAAAGTCGCCCCAGAAGTAGCCATTACTTCATTGTCATTTTATTTGATGTAAAACCACATCGGTTAGGATTTACATATAAACATGAGCTACATTACGAATTCACACAATTCCATGCAGGGAACTACATCGAGATCCATGGGAAAGGAGGAAGAGCAGTCCATGCTCAGGAGGATATACAGTACATTTCATGGTGAGGAACAGGATTAACTCTAGCTGCCTGTATTCACACAATACACTAGGCGGGAGGTGTGCATTGATTACAGCCTAAATGGAGAGATGCCCATTTTGCCCCATTACGTACCTGGTCCACTCTCTGGCTGCACTGAGAGTCCCCGAAGATTGGTTAGTGAGATGCTAGTGAAGTGCAGTTTAGTCTGGTAGCTTCTGCAACAGAGGCAAACGTTGTGCATACCAAGTTTTCAATCGGGAGTTTTGCTTGTGGTTTGGTGTCATCATACGCTGAATTTATATCGCGGGACTGCTGTGTTGTTTCCTCAGAAGGTTTATGAGCATGAACCGAACTGGGACAGAGCAACTTCATCCACCAGATAGCAAGAGTGACAGGAGCAAGGATGGTCGTGTCATTGAGGGATGGGCTGTAGCTCAATGGTAGAGCCCATGCTTTGCATGCAGAATGTCCCAGGTTCGATCCCCAGTGTCTCCAGGCAGGGTTGGGAAACCCTGAAGGGCTACTGCACTGCCAGTGCAGGCAGTACTCAGGTGGATGAAACAATGGTCTGACTTGATAAAAGCAGTTTCCTACATTCCTCGTCAGCATGGATTTCAACAGTAAGGCCACAATTCCCGAATAAAAGCATTGTAGGTGGCGGGTGCTTAGCAGTGGGATGGACCCCTAGGAATTAAGCAATCCCATGAATGACACTAACAGCACTCCACCAAAAAGAAAACCCCACCAAAAACCAGAGGAACTGCTTCCATACTTTATATATGTTGGATTGTTTCAGGCATGCACACATATAATTCAGTTTCTCAGAACTGGATTACCCAACACCTGGTGACTCAGCTGAACGTGTGAATTGTCTCCACCTGGAAATGTTGCATTTGAGGTGGAACTGGATGGTGCAAATGTTCTCGCTGCAGGGATTAATTGGTAAAGGCTCATTTTTCATTCATATATGCAAATATTGGTTTCCTCAACGGTCATTATGTGATGAATGTGGATTGTGAGACGGCTTCTAGCACCGCCATATGAATGGACTGCATTTCTTTGGAGTGGAATTGTTTTAACTGGGCAGCGATTCCTTAGGCGCCAAAGTGGTGCATCGAGCCATTTCGTACAGTGGTGGAGGTGGCACTGTTTAGCATTCTTGCCCAGCTGGTCTAAGGGTCACATTGCTGGTATTTTGCAAGAGGATGACCAGGCCTAAGGAAGCAGCCCACTAAACTGACAAGAGATCGGAAGCTCTGGCACAGTCCTTCACGACATGGAGAAGCAGAGAACAGCAAATAATTTGACTCAAAGTTTCATCCTGGATGGCTTTTCAGCAAGCTACATTCCCCCAGAATCTATCTTCTAGGCAATATCCCAAAATACACTTCAGAGCACTGAGGGGCAGAAAGATCAGGGATGGGAGAGGAAACTATGGTAGATGTGCAGACTGAGAATGGGAGGAGAAAAAAAGTTGAATGTGCAGAGTGACAGAAAGAGAAATAAGCAAGAAACAGACACGGTGCAGATACTGGAGTATCACAAGGTTTCTTACTGAAACTGCCTTTACTTTATGCAAAAGGTTCCAGCTGCAGACCCCCAGATTCCTTGGCCAAAGTTCTACACTGATGTAAATGCAGGAGAGTAAGCAGCACCTTACCCCAGTGAGCAGAGAGTTTGGCCTGCTTTTCTGCAAAGCGCTAAGTCCACAAACTGGCTGCCGCACAAAATAAAGCAAGCTGCTAATGTCACTGGAGAAGCCAGCACAGCAACACCCCCCCCCAATGGCCCTAGAGGAGCTCTCTGTGAATTGGGCACTGGCTGTATGCAGAAGGCATTTGCGACATTCACAAATAAACGCTGCTTTGTCTGGCTGTCAGCCTGTATACTCTGCCTGGGCTGGAGATCAAGCTGGGCTAATGAGTCATCACCTGGAATAAAAACCCCACAGCTGGAATTCACATCAGTTGCTCTCTTGACAATGCAAAAGCCAAACTGGGCTCCTGCTGCTTCTGCCTCGACTCCCTCAGGCCTGCAGAGTGAACAGGACAGGTTGTTGCCTCCTGCAGGAGATGGGCAGAAGTCTAATGGGCGCACTGCTTTGCAGCATAGAGATGCAGTGATGGAAACCACTCGACCAGACCCATTTCTGCCTAAAAGGCATAACCTCGCCCTGAAAAAGAGATTGCAGTTCAGGAACCAAACACAGTAAGCATACAGCCACACAAGGAGCAGGGCTGTTGTACAAAGAGTTGCCATTCTGATACGAGCCAGAATTTCCAACGATTAACAGTTCTAGTAAATGGAGAAAGAATGAAATGGAAAAGGAAGAAAAAACCCTGTCCCAAGCTCTCTCACGCTAATGAGCTCATAAATGATGATTCCATATACTAAATTTGCCTTTGTGAGGCAAAAAATAAGTGAAAGGCCAGCTTATGAATGTGGCACGTGCCTGCTTAGGGGTCTTTCTGAACCGCAAGTCCCTTCACCCCTGGCCATGGCCATGCTGGCTGGAGCTGACAGCAGCTGGACCCCAAGGGCTAGTGGGTCACACATTCCCCATATCTGACTTAGATCTAAGCACAGGGAAAAGAAAATCAAATGGTTCTATATGAGTCAGGTGGGGCTGCCAGATTGGGAGTGTGGAATATTCAACCCCCTTTCAACTTCCAAGTGCTGCAGGAGGAGGTAAGCCAGCTATGGCTGCTCCTGCCTGTTCCCTCCTAGCTCTTTCATCCACCCTCTCCCCTGCTTCCTGTAATTGATCAGAGCGCCAGGTATGCCTCACAGAAAGAAGGGGAGGAGCAGATGAGAGAGTTGGCAAGAGAACAGGCAGGATGTCTCTTGCCACGCTGGGAGATTTAAAGGCATATTTTATTTATTTCAAAGCATTTCTATATAACCCTTCTTCAAAACGGAGTCCACAGTGGTATACAACAGATAATGAATTAATTAATATCTAATGCGATACAGTAAAACACCAACGACAGCAGCCATAGAAAATGACAGCAGTTAAATAATGCAAAACACATTACATGCCTGGGTAAATAAAAAGCATAGAATTGTAGAATTCAAAGGGCCCTCGAGGGTCATCTAGTCCAGTGTTTCCCAAACTTGGGTCAACAGCTGTTTTTGGACTACAACTCCCGTCATCCCTAGCTAGCAATTCCTAGGTCAGGAATGATGGGAATTGTAGTCAGAAAAAACAGCTGGGGACCCAAGGTTGGGAAACAATGATCTAGTCCAACCCCCTGCAATGCGGGAATCTCAACTAAAGCATCAGTGACAGGTGACAACCCAACCTCTGCTTAAATACCTCCAATGAAGGAAACCTTCCAAGGGATTATTTCAGGCTGCAATCCTCACCATGTTTACTCAGAACAGAAATAAGTCCCTCATTGGATTCAGTGAGGCTTACTACCATGTAAGTGGGGTTAGGGCTGTAGCCTTAACCTAGTACCAGAAGGATTGTAAAGTAGGCACCAGGTATACCTCTTTAGGGAAGGCATTCAAAAACTGGGGTGTCACCATGGAGCAAGTCCTTTGAGGTTTGCAGGGTGCACACTGGAAGCTGTGGGTCCCCAGGCTTGTCTTATCTTTCATCTTCAGCTTCCTTTCTATAAAAAAGATGAGCAGCAACCTGTTTCTTGGGGCTGCAGAGGGGATGAGTGGACACTGCAGAATGTTTTGCTCACCAACATTGCTCTATCCCAGGGGTAAGCAACCTAAGGCCTGTGGGCCGGATGTGGCCCAATCACCTTCTCAATCTGGCCCGCGGATGGTCCGGGAATCAGCATGTTTTTACATGAGTGGAATGTGTGCTTTTATTTAAAATGCATCTCTGGGTTATTTGTGGGGCATAGGAATTTGTTCATATTTCCCCCCAAAATATAGTCAGGCCCACCACATGGTCTGAGGGACGGTGGACCGGGTCATGGCTGTAAAATGTTGCTGACCCCTGCTCTATCCACTAATACGCTTTGGGGGGGGGATGACAGAAAATGACACTATCGCAGATTGTCCTGATTACCAAAGCCTAGCTGCCATCCCACATAAATATACTGCTGCAAGGTTTTGCTAGTTCATGTTTTGTTCATTTGTGCAAATGTCTGTAGCTTACTGCTTACTGTTGAGATGCCTCTAGAGCTGTGTACTAATAAAAGAGCAAGTTAAAGCATTCAATTTGCCAAGTTATACTTGGCACTGGGTGGAAGGCAAGGATTATTTTAAATTATGGGATTCTTGAGTGTGGCCAGATCATTTGGGTTTTAAAGCTGCTCTGATGCTCTGCAACCACTTCTGCTGTTTAAGTATCTCTCCTTCATTCAATGTCTGCCCTCTGGCTATTTTTCTCTCCCTGTACGGGAGGGTGGATTTTTGGAGGGCAAACAATGCATTGTTTCTTAACCTCTTTTTATAAGCCGTCTCAGCAAACTTTCTCTAACCCTATAGGAATTGGACAATATTATTATTTTTTAGCCATCTAAATCTTTTTCTTGGCTTGCCTACTGTCCCAGAGCAGCCTGATCATAAATGTTCATTTTCACATTAAGTGCACCAGATTTAGGATTGGGTTGTCATCTGCATCCTGTGTATGTTTAGGTGGGAGTAAGTCTCATTGATTCCAGTAGGACTTAACTTCCAAGTAAACATCAGGCAGCGTGTCATTTCATGCCTCTTGTTGGCTGTTCTCCAGAATGTTTCCAGTGATATCCAGGATATCCTTTTTAAATTTATTTGTATTAGGGTATCAAATAAGAGGTGATGTCTAGCCTGGCTGGTGCATTGTGGTTTTTAGATTATGTTATTATTATTTTTGTTACTGAATGAGAAACACTAAAAATGCTACTTTGATTTTGGCTGCCCTGATTAATATTCAGTGAAACGGTCAACAGTGGTTTAGTGTGAATGTGCAAGTTCCCAGAGAGGAGACGGTGGTGCCTTTGTAACTCCTCTTTCTGTACTGCCATGAGCTTAGCTATGGTTTGGCTTAGTTTCATCCAATCCCAGGTTTGTGGTTGGTGTCACTCCAGACTAAACATGAGGGGCAACTGAATGTTGTTCTTGTGTTTACAGTTTGTGGTTTGTCTGGAGGAGACAAGCCATGAGCCTGGGGTTCAAAGGACAGTCTCAGCCAAACTATGGCTTAGCTCAGCAGCAGGAGGATCATGAGTGGAGCTGCTGTGATCTCCTCACCAGGAGCCCTCCTGCTTCTGTGTTCAAGCTAAGCCATGGTTTGACTTAGGGTTACATTACATGCAACCCAGCTCATTGTTATATTTTCTAAAGGCATCTAAAATTAGATGTATTAGCTTCAGCAAGGTTGCTGTCTTCCCATGCCACTGGAGCTAACTTTGCTATTCCCCCCCTGAAAGTACAGCACCTTCCTACTTCCTTCTTAATCACCAAGCATCTCTGTGATGCTTTGACATTTCAGAAATGTAGCAAAGCCTCAGTCACACCTGACAGCAAAGCACTATTTGGCCCATAATAATTGTGGCAATCAGTCAGTTGTTTAAAGCTGAACAACTGGTAAGTGTTAGTGAGTACTTAGGCATGAAATCTGGCAAATACAATTAGGTATTCTTGTCCCCTGAACCATTCAATTGTAATTTTCTCCAGGACCCTCAGAATCTCATTTTGCTAGTCTGGAAGAGAATCTATTTCCTATTCTTACCTAATCTCCACCAACCTTTGTTAATATCTGATTTAAAGATATGAATTTAGCCCAGCTGCTTTCCTTATGAGAATTTGTTCATTTTTAATATGCCTTTGGTTGCCCATAACTCATTCTGAGCACTTGATTTCTTTTCTGCGCAAATCTCAGCTACTTCTACACTGCCTGTCTGGTTAAAGATTTTTTTTTTTTAACATTTATTTACTGTTTATATAGACTCCTTCCTTCTGTGATTGTTTTCCTGCTCCATTTTAACAATTGAGCCACTGATGGTTTTCCAGAATTATTTCAAATCCAGATACCAGTAATCCTTGTCAGAAGGTGGATTTAGTTATAATTAAACCAGTGCAATTTTATCTGTTGAACAGTCCTATAAAAAACAAGATATTGAGTTCCTCAGTAAGCCAGCTTGCTAGTCCTGAATCAAATCACCCACAGCATGTCTACACCAGTTTCATAGTTGTGCTTTATGCCAGTTTAATTGTTATGACTTCCCCCAACAAATGATAAGAATAATAGTTTTTGTTAGGAGCCTGAGAATTCTGCTACTGGTCCTCTTCATAGAATGATAGTTCCCTGAGGAAGGGACTCATCAGCAACCCAGCTTAAATTTGTGGCATAGGCATGTCCTCATATTTCAGAGAGGGAGAAACTAATATTTTCAATGTACTGAATCCTGGCCCATTGCATTTAGTTTTCTCGGTTAGTATCTTACTACCTTTATTGTTAAGAATCTATTTCAGTCTTCCCCAAGTTGGTGCTCTCCATGTATTTTGGACTATAGCTTAGCATGGACAATGGTCAGGACAATGGCCAGTTACAGTCCAGAGTATCTGGAAGGTACCAGATTGGGGGAGACAGAAATGCCTAGTGCTTAACACTTGCCTCTCCTTTACTTTTGCACCAGATTGATAAAGTGGGCTAAGATCTGGTTGCAACTGCATGGAAATCCCCAAGGGGGACAGAATTTGTGCTGTGTTGTTTTTCACCTTGGCAACTCAAGAATCCTGAGCTTCTAGTTGCTGGCTTCTGGGTAAATTATTTTCCTTTGTTCTTTGCTGTACAGTCAATTAAACCCAAACCAAACCAAGCCAAATATCAATTCAATGGCAGAAGATAATTATATGTGAGAAAAGAGAGAACAAGCTATATTTGCAGCATTGAACCAAAAACCCTGAAAAGCAGAATGCAGAAAAGAGACAATGATATTGTGATGCAAAAACGTTCAGAGACAGGTGAGTTGAGCATGAAGGAAATGGAGCTTTGGGAAGGGAGAAAGGGAGGCAGGTAGGATAATGTAGCTGGCAGCCAATGGGGTATCTTCTGCCCCACAGAAATAAGCAGTGCATGGAGACTTGTTGAGTGTAAATGGTCCCTCTGTGGAAGCAGCTGTCATGCAGCCCTAAAGTAAATAGGGCTTAATCATTCCTGAGACCACAAAGCCAAAATATCCCTCTTTGGGGAGATTCCTCAATTTCCAGCTGTAAGAACAAATCTGCACAGCCACCACAGTTTGTTCTGCCTTTTGCTTCTTGCTCAGATAAATGCTATCATCTGAATGGGTCCCAAATGTAACACTGTGGGGTTCGTGACGGCAACGCCGTTATCTATGAAAATACAGTCATGTTGTCAAGGTCTCCACCAGATTTCCTAGCTTATTGAGAGTGTTAGGCAGGGTTTGTTCTAGGTGAAGCCAAGTGACTTCATCTAGAAAGAATTACATTAGCTGAGAACACCCTTCCTCATTATTTAAGCAGTAAAATAAATAGGCATAATAGTTGGAATTGTGCCACCAGCTTTTTCCACTTTCAAAGAATAAATCAAAGATTGCATTCCTTTCTTTCAGATATGTAGAGGCGAGCCTTCCACGTGGTCCTGTCAGCCAACAAGGAGAGTCAGTTAACACTTCCTTATTCTTCTGCGGTTAAATGTGAATGAGACATGCTTGCTGACCCTGAGCGGCTTCAAACCAGGGCAAAGAGCCACCCAAACAAAATCCTGCAAGGCTATCTCACACAGAAGAAGGTTACATTAAGAACATCGTCTGGCTCAGACTCTTTTCCTTTGATGATGTAATAAAAACAATCTTTCATAGGCCCATTTGCCAATGACTGGTCTGCTTTGAAGAGGAGTTATGTTACAGGCTATTCAAGCTGTTCGTGGATTCCTCTCTTGAAGAAAAAATAGGAATTGCACCAAGGTGGCATGTGGGCTACTGGTGGATCCAAACCCAACGTGGCTTGACTGCCAAGTTTTGCTTTTGGACAACTCAAAATTTGACTCACAGTCTATGCAGTTAAAAGAGTTAGAGCATGGAAGAACAGCAGCTAACCTGGGTATTCAATTCATATTGAAACATAGAGCCATTTCAATCTCTCCTCTTTGTGAGTTTTTCAGAGTTCTCTTCTGTGCTGCTCTGTTACAGGAACAAATACATGGTGGTGGGGGGAATATTAGCTCTTTAGGATGACCTCTGTGTATGCTTACATTTCATCATGGGACCAAGCTGGCCTTTAATGACATTCAAATGCCAGCCATGGAGTTGGCTCTTGGTTTTGGGGTTCAATCCTTGCCACATGTTTAGGCCGTTGTAACACATCCAGCACTTGATTTGCAATTTTTGCCACTGGACTAAAGTCAGTCCCATGGCGAGAGTGAGTTCTGGCAGAGCTCTCAATCAGTGCTGCCAGAGAAAACTTAAAAACATGTTCACATGTGTCAGATGTGGTCAGACTGAAGAAAAGAAAAGCGTCCAGAACTGAAAGGAGAACGCAAAAATATTAACAGAGAGAAGCGTGGCCTACATCTAAACTGAAAGGATCCCCAAGTTGGTGAGGTTGTCATCGTCATCATAGACCAAACTGGCTTGTTATTCATACATTTAAAGTACCCTGAGTTTGCTTTCTACTGCCAAAAAAGGCTCCTGCCTCTTTTATTGTCAACTTCACTCTTTCTGGTTTCCTCACTTGGCAATCTCTGCTTTCTGCATTCATAAGCCTCTGAAATGGAACGCCTAACCAGCTTCTGCTTAAAAAAATAAAATAAAATTAGAACCAAGCTAGCAAAAGACACTGCTGTTGTAAGAGTTTGGGGGTGGTGAATAATAATGTGCCCTCCTCCTTTCCCTTCTTACTTCCCCCAGTGTTTCCCCACCCCCCCAAGCTAAGGAAAAAATAAATAAGGAACATTTCTTATCATGTGTAGGATTTGGTGACCCAAGAGGGCAGCACAGCAAGATGCCAAAAGTCTTCTGACATACTTTAAAAATAAATAAATAAGTGAAGCTCGGTTTCTTTGCCAAGTTTGGTGTTTTAACAGCAGCTTCTGGGGTTCTAAAGAGTCCGAATAAATGGAAAAGATCCCACATCCCATCTGCAGGGCTACGTCAGACATGCCGTTTTCCATGTCTGTTTGTTTGCTTTCAGACAGGGCTGTGCAATTCATGGCCGCCTAGAACAGCTCTCCTCAGAACAGTCCCAACTCTCGCCACAGTCCAACCAGAGCAGTTTTGAGAGTTTCTCCTCCTTAGACTGTGGCGCTGCGGAGGAGAAAAATCCCCCTGAACCATCAATGTTAGTGTTATCCCTGCCAGTGATATTTAGAGAATGTGGCTATGTGTGCATGTATATACAAACCCACACCGCTATTTCAGTTCGGCTGCCGAATGCCAACCCTGTTATTTTCCACTAAGAGTTCATAATGCTGCCTCCAGACTGATGTTTCCGAAGCAGATTCAGAAGCCAGGAGATCTGAAGAGATGAAGGTTTCTTTCCATAGGCTTTCCCCCTGTGCGGTCGACTGCCACTGGAATGGAGAACTGCTGCTTCGGAAGATTGTTCTTTTGCTTGGTTGCAGATTAGTCTCGAGTTCGGTTCCTCCTCCTCAGGAAGAAGAAGCTGCTCTTTTGGGGAGGTCCCAGTAACATCGGCACTTGGCTTTTGTGGGTGATTTTAATCTGAACGGAAAGAAATAGCATCGGGATTAGAGCATTGCTGTTTCTGCACAGCCATTATGCCAAGAGCTCAGGGGACATAGGAAGCTGCCTTATGCCAAATCTGACCCACTGGTCATAGAATCATTGAATTGTAGAGCTGGAAGGGACCCCAAAGGTCTTGTAGTCCATCCCCAGCAATGCAGGTCCACCTGGCTTAGTGCTGTTCACACTGACTGCCAGCAGCTCCCTGGAATTTCAGGGAGCGGCCTTTCCTAGTTCTGGCTGGAGATGCCAGGGGTTGACCCTAAGACCTTCTGCCCTATACCTATATCACCTTAAAGGTCATGGTTCCCCCATCCCAAGAATCCTGGCAGCTGTAGTTTGTTAAGGGCACTGAGAGTTGTTATTCCCATCAGAGATCCATAATTCTCGGAGTGGTTTATCAATCAATCCCTCATCCCAAGGAACTTTTGGACTTGTAGCTCTGCAAGCAGAATAGGGGTCTCTGAAGCATCCTTAATGAATTTCAGTTCCCAGGATTCTTTGAGGGGAAGCCAGGTTTTAAGTGGTATAAGCAGTGTTCAAAATTAGCCAGGTGTATTTTGCACCTGGCTTTTGACCACTTGCAAGCACGTGAAGATGCCTTGGATAAGTGGGCACCTTGCTGTGGATTGTATGTGGGTGTGTGGGGAGCAGGGACAGTATCCCATTGAAAACTGGGCAGTTCCAGTAGGCCACACCTGCACTTGAACATGTGTCTGATTTTATCCAGCAGCCATTTTAAACTGCAACAGTGCTGTTGCTTTCACGGATGGAAGCAGGGATGAGGAGCCGGCGGCCATCCAGATGTTGTTGTATAAGACTGCTTTAAATGTATGGGGTGCCAGAGTGCCCTCCTGTGACCCAATCAAGCCACCGTCAAGAGAGGCGCTGCTCACAAGTTCCACCCCCACACCTGTTGCATCAGGAAGCAGGGAAAGGAAGGACAAGTCTGCCCAGTTCCTTATGCAACATGAGCAAGGCTGCTTATCGGAATACCAATCAAACTGGAGGCAGCACTGTGATACGACCTTAAGACCTCTGGGTGGGTGTGGAGGCAGCAGAGGATCAGGACAACCCCCTGAGATGGTTCAGGGGTGGCAGGCAGGCTCCCAGGAAACCACAGAAAGCACTTCCTGTCTGACAAGTCATCTCCCACAAGGATAAGGCCTCAATGCAATATGAAGGCTGGAGGCTGGTATCCAGAATCACACAGAAAAAGGAACTGGATCCCTAGATGCCTCCAAGTGCTCAGCACAATTGCTTTTGGGAATATTTTTATACCACCACAGTATACAGTTACAACCAATGCTTCTCTGTCAAAGGGTTTCAACTCCCATAGGGGAACCTAGGAAACAGAAGAAGCACTATACAAGGTTTTCAACAACCAATGAAAAAAATGTTCCTAATGTTATTTCCTGACCACTGGGTGATATTTGTATGTACACATGAATCTTAAGATCCTTTATTTTCAGCTGAAATAGTTCACTGCAACATTCTGTTCTACTCAATCGCAAATAACAGAGGACAATCTGTCTTTTTTTACATGTCTAACACATCCTCCTTTGATCTTCAGATGATGTACAATGGTGTGGAGACATAGAAGGTACAGCAATGTCCGTAATGTTGTAGCAGTGTACAACCACCATAGGTCTCTCCCGCTTTCCCCTTTGATTTTCCATTAGGAATACAAATGTGACTGCCATTGCTGAGAAAGGGTTTGAGAATATGACATCAAAGGAGACAGGAAAATCATGCTTCCTCCTTCTAAAATTGTAGAGGGCTATTTGCTAGGATATTATAGTTATTTTGCTTCATTGTTTCCATGTGAAATAAAAGCTGATTTTGAAACGTAGCCCCTGTCCAGGATCCACAACTGAGATCTGGGTCTCACCTGCAGTTCATTCTCCAGAAGAGGGACAGCCAACATGGTATTCTCAAGATGTTCTCATCAGCCCCAGCCAGCATGACCAATGGCCAGGGATGATGGAAGCTGTAATTCAACAATATCTGCAGGACATCACATCGGTCACTCCTGCTCTAGAGATCAATCTTCCATAGCTTCTAGCACTGACAGATGAGCTACACTTGCATATCCCAGATCCCTTTCATAACATGCAACTACTCACTGTGCAAGGTGGCTGCATCCAGGGCTCTCCATCCACTTGCATGGGCAAAAGCTTGGTTGTTCTGGAACCCACAAACAAGGCATAACGAAAAAGTTAACAAGACTGAAGTGGATAAGCCGGGGCAGTAACTGTATCTTGTTGCAAGCTGATAATAACAAACATTTTTGGCAAAGAGGGAGAAAAACAAGGTGGTCTAGCCCTACATTCTATTACTCACAATGGAGATGGCTCAGCCATCTGTTGAGGAGTGCAAGGAAGACCAGTCAATTTCTGTATTTCAGATCCACCTCTTAAATGTCATTCACCTTATATGTGAACCTGCTACCTGCTTTTCTAGAACACTCCTTGTGTGCAATGGACTTTTGTTCTAATCTCAAATACACCTCTATATTTCTGAGCATTTAGGACTTTTTGCCATCTCGTTTTCAAATGCACCACTGGAAGGCTAGAAAATTGGAGCTTAGTATTAAAAATAACAGGGAGAATTGCAAGAAGGACCTGCAACAGAGGTCAAGGGAGAGGAGTGCAAGGTACCTTCTTCTTCACTTAAGTCTCTCACAGACCAGCTTGAAGCCTCTTACAACCTGCCCAAAGGAACCCTTAACATTCTCCTTCCTGCTTGCTTCAACCAGTTGCTAAAGGTCCTGGAAGGAGATTGTCACTCAACCCAACTATGCTCCCCTGGGCCTGGAGGTCCTCTCAGCTTCCCTACCTCTTAGACTATCTATTCCACACGTCTTTCCTGTTTCCCATATGTATGAATAGGCACTCAGTCAGTATCCCTTACTCACAAGCAGGATATAGTCCCAGTTGCTGTCAGGAGGAGCATTTGGCGCTGCAGTGACCAGTGGTGTGTTGATTGCCTTGGACTGTCCAGTAGGCATGGCTGCCTACCACCTCTACAGCCAGTCTGCTGCTTCCCTTGCCTAGCAATCTTGCCTAGCAATCTCCTTACCCAGGACTAATTAGGAGGTGGAAATACTTCTTGGCCCTTCCAACACAACTTGAATCCATCCTTCTATAGCACAGATTGCTGCATTTTATGGGTGCCATAGCTGCCTGAGCTCTACAATGTTATGTGTGGCATAGGCCCAACAAGACATCAATTTGAGTCAACAACAAAAAACAGATGTCTGTCTCTGCTCTCCCCCACTCCCCACGTGATGCTTTCCTGCCTGTACTGTGATTTCATGCTTTGAATACCATCCGGAGCTCTTCAGCAGACTTGAGCAAAAACAAGATGCAGGGAGCAAAAGCCTGGGGTGATTGGTACCTGATGGTAACGGAGGAACACTGAGCTAGCCTCTTGCCAGCACTTTTCAGTCCAGTATAGATCTGCCCCATCTCCATTGCCCCTTCAAGGCCCACAACTTCCAGGAGTTGATCGCTGAGATCTAATGAGAGAAAGGGTAATGTGTGAATAAAACAAATACAAGTATGGGCTTTGCCTTCCATGAACATAACGCATAGGGTGGGAGGAGTGAGCAAGAGAAGATGCACTTAGGAGCAGAAAATATGGTCTGAAGGCAATGTCTAGAACATCAACTTCAAACTTATTGCAACAGATACACTATCATACACCAAAATGGTCAAGAAGATGAGCTTGGTCACATACAAAAAGTCGCCTCAAATCATCTCCTTTGAGGTGTTGTGTGTGTGTTTTACTCTGTGCTGTATGCAGCTCAATATTTCCTGAAGTAGCTAAAATGGTAAAAATTGAGCCCAGTGCCATCTGAAAGAGCACCTCTCAAGCTTCAGATGGATATATACATGCAATGTACATGCAATACCTTTAAAAAGTATTTAACCCAGCCAAATTTAGCAGCAATTTCCATGGAAAAGTTTAAGAGCATACAGAAAAGAGTGAAAAATAATAATAAAAGGGGGTGTGAGGAATTTACTTGGGGTGTGTTTTTTGTAATTCTGGGAGACTTTCTGTGTGCCACAGAATTCACCCTCTTGAGCATTTTGGTGTATGATATACTTTTGTTTCAATAAGTTTCAGGTTAAACCATGGAATACATAGTCCAGTCAAATAGCCCCTTCCTATGCTCACCTTGCAATTGAATTCTCAGGTAAAGCAGGGATATTAATTCAGAGCTGGAAAGGAGTTTCTCTGCATTATTCTTTGCCTTGAGGTGAGTTATGTGGGTCCTCACCTGGAAGACCTCACCAGTCTTAACGTCACAATATGGGACAGGTGTTGTGGCACCAGCCATACCACTCACCATTTATGATATTACAGGCACCATCTATTGGTGCATGCAACTCTCATGCCACCACATTACTAGTGCCACTCCAGATCACAATGATCTAGCTAGGAAAAGAATCACATTTTCTGGGGAAATGTTTCAAGGGCTTGAGAAACGCGATATCCCTGAAACAGAAGCCCTTCCTTGGAGGAAGATGTCTTGATCCAATACAAAAGGAATCATAGAATTGGAAGGGATCCCAAAGGGCATCATGGCCAACCCCCTGCAATGCAGAAATCTTAATTAAAGCATCCATGGCAAACAACCACCCAACCTCTCCTTAAAAAGTTCCAGTGAAGTTCCACCACCTCTCATGTCTCATGGGAGTTTGTTCCACTGTTGAACAGCTCTTACTGTCAGAAAGCTCTTCCTGATGTTGAGTCAGAATCTCCTTTCTTGTAACTTGAATCCATTGGTTCGAGTACTACCCTCCAGAGCAGGAGAAAACAACCTTGCGCCATCCTCCTTGTGACAGCTCTTTAGATATTTGAAGATGGCTATCATATCTCCTCTCAGGCTCCTCTTTACCAGGCTGAACATACCCAACTCCTTCAACTGTTGCTCATAAGGCTTGGTTTCCAGACCCTTTACCATCTTGGCAGGAGCATCAACTGTATATGGGGTAGCACTCTGGAGCAGCACCCACTCATTTTCAGAGGGGCGTGTGCAGGGTGACACACTGGTAAACTGTGCTGCCCAAAAGCGCTACCGATGGTTGCTCGTTTGTTGCACATCACACAAATATCTTAAGAAGAAGCCTTTTGGCTCAAGGGTATAGCATTTCTTCCAGGCACTGAAAATGAGGCGGCAGCTAATGATAAATAGCTGGGCCTTGCCCTGTCCTGTTTTGGTGTTTGTTTGGCAAATCCTGTTGCCTAAGCTCAGCTGCGCGCGTGTGTGGTCTATTTTTTTGTTTCCTTTTCTGTGCAGGGAAAAAAGCATGTCCTAGATTAACAATGAATAGCAAACAAGGAGAAACAAATGTGAAAGCGGAGCAAACTGGAGGCTTTTGCCTAATTCACACCCAACCATTTGTCCATGCCAAGGATGCACCTGCAGTCCTAATAGTAAGAGTCATTTCCTTCTGCATTGCTGCGAACCAGCATTTTTAATTCTCCAAAGCTAGGCCTGGCTTGAAAGGCCTCGAGAAATTGGCGTCGGTGGCCTCAGACTATCCCACAGCCTTAATTTCCTTCCTTTGCTCAGTGGAGCCCATTGGACTAATATGTTCCATCTCTGAAATATGGCACAGTCTACACAGTCAAGAGTGTTTTTCTCTGGTGTGGTTCTTTCTTCTTCTTCTTCTTCTTCTTCTTCTTCTTCTTCTTCTTCCAGGACACAAGAAATGTAATTAAGCTGTGGATCGGAGCTACTTGCACCTCAAACCTCAAAGGGCTCTGCCGTAACATGCTAACTTGGGCAAGAAGGAGGTGTTTGCTGACAGTCTGAAGATCAGACTGATAGCAGATCATGCAAAGCTGCATTGTTAAACCAATTCCTTTGTGTGACTCAAGCCTAGTTTATAAATAATCTGTGTTTTTATGTACTGCAGAAGTAGCTGTTCCCAAAAGCAATAATTGACATTCCTCAGAATCAACCCTGAAAACCTTACCCTGATATGCTGGGTGGTGCTTGTTTTTAGGTTAGTTATCCATTATTACCTGTGCATGCTTTGTAAAGGCAGCATGGAAGCTCACAAGGTTGCTGTGTGCCAGCTCACTTGTGAACCAATCATTCCAGGAGGTGAAGGAGTGGAAAAACTTGCGTAGGAGGGAAAGCCAGGTGGGCTGAATATGGCCTGCAGGCCTTCAGTTGCCAGCTTCTGCTTTAGTGCTCTTAAAGTTGCAGTCTTCAAACAATTACCTCCAGTTTGAAAAAGTAATTTGAAAAGGTGCCATCTACTCTTCCAAATGAGGGAGATGCCCAAAGGCTTGCTGCCTCTGATTCTGCTTCAGTCCTCTCCGTTCAGAAAATTCTCTTGCATTAGTCACCATGGAATATTCTGTAGAGAGCGTTGTTTCCCCACCTCTGTAACTTCCTTTCCTTTGCTTGTATTGTAGCTGTATTAAAGCATCCTCTTAGTCATTCTGCCATGCCTAAGTAACACCTGCTATGCCAGGCTCCTTCCCAATGCTTTCCGCTTTCTCCCACGTGTACATAGATAGGTCTTTTTCTTATTTTCAGCCAGGCACTCTCACCAAAAGAGCATTTCAGAGAAACCGGTGGTTGTGGGTCCATGAATCCGAGCCTCCTTTTCATTTCCAGCAGCTCAGCCCTGCCCTGCTGCGCCAGCATCGTTATTAGCTGAAGCCCTTTAATATTTAATTAACCTACAAGATCCATTTTCTGTAAAGACTCAGACTCAGAGGAGACCAGCATGGGTAGAAGGAAATTAAATATGCAACCTCTAAAGAAATTCAGGTTAAAGACAAACATAAAAATAACTGCCCCGTGGAAAATGCTGATTTTAAAGTGTGGCGTGAGTAACTAACTCCCTCATCCTGAAATCCATGCATTTATGTTGATGATAGGGAGGAATGACTAAAAACACAGGGGGCAGGAATGAGGGGGAATCTTGTTGGACTCCACTTCCCATCAGGCCCCAGCCAGTATGGCTAATGGTCCAGAGAGATGGGAGCTGTAGTTCAGCAGTATCCGGAAGACATCACATTGGCTACTCCTGCATTTTAAATAAAAGGACACATTCTACTCATGTAAAAACACGCTGACCGTCCGCGGGCCGGATTGAGAAGGTGATTGGGCCGCATCCGGTCCCCGGGCCTTAGGTTGACTCCCCCTGGACTAGACAGTCAGTGTACTGTATCCTTATTCTTATTGCATCTTTCCCTCTTTGTCCATGCCCTGTTGTGCCCTTCCTCCAGAGATATCCTCGTACTCACAGCTGGAAGCCAGCCGTGTTGCTTACATTAAAAGATTATTTAGATCTGTTAATTACGGCTCTTTGAATGCTGCATGGTAGACTGTCACTAGGAGGGCTGGCTAATTATCAGGTGTGCCCTGCCACGTCCACAAGCTCTAGCTGGCCTCACGCCACCCTTTTCAGCCTCTGCCTTGCTGAGCAATCTTGGAAGGCAATCGGGACCTGAGGAGGAGTGCCAGGCTGGCTCTCAACATGAGAGCAAAAAATAAGTAACTATGGCCGCAGTCCTATACGACGACACTGACCTGGAAGTTAAGTCCTATTGAACTCCATGGGGAATACTTCTGAGGAGACATGCTTAAGATTGCACTGCCCACTTCCCTACTATATTTGTACCTATAGTTGCTGCTAAGCTTGGTTGATGTGAAGTTGTAGCTCTACACTCCCACTTGCTACTCAGTTTTGAAAACTGATCCTCAGTGCTTGATCTTGACTGGATTCCAATAAACTCCACCTCTTGTTAGGACTGGAAATGTCTCTGGTCTTGGGTTTCTGCCTGTCCCTAGAAAAATGTGATCGTTCTTTTGGATAAAAGTGTCTCCTGTCCTGTTTGGATTTCAGACAGGACACCTTTTTCATGTATTCAAGCTCCTCCTCCTCCAAACTTCGTGGGCAAAGGGTGTGTCCAGTGGGAGGAGGAGAGCCAAGAACAAGAATTATCATGGGATGCAAGCAGAGGACTGGGGTGGTGCCAGGAGGAAGAGTTTGAGAGAGAGAGTTTTTGTGTGGGCAAATGATGGGTTGGGGAGAGCGAGAGAGAGGGTTTTGCAGGGGCCTGGTCCAGTGTGGGAGAGAGAATTTGTGTGTGGCTATACACGTAAAGCCCAGCTACATTATGTAATATGCAATACTTTTCTTATAGTTGTAAATCATAGTGCTTTTGCTGTTTTTTTCATTGAACGGTAAACCCTGCTGATCTTGCCACTAACTCCAAATGTCAGCTGCAACAACTTGAACCCAGCTCTCTTCTCAGTTCCTTTTGGGAACTTTAAATCCCACCTCCCACTTTAGACTTGATCCGTTCAGACCTGGTTTTTGGCTTGCCACTATCACGTGTGGTTTGGGCCTAGCAAATCTAGTGAACAGTGACACAATGCGCCTGGTCTTGATGACCTATAAGGCGTCTGCTCTGGGAGCTCCTGTGGTGACAGCTACCATCCTGCATGCAGCAACTTCTACTGAGCTATGAGAGGCAAAACAAAACCTCCTTCCTTATCATTCTGGAATCTTACCTACCCGTCTTGTAACCTGCTTTTGCTCTAATTTCATAGGAAGTGTTACGTAAATTTCATGAAGGTTTCCTAAACAAAGCAAGTGGTAATTAGCATAAGTGAGCCAAGTTTTGCAAGAGAGGAACTACTAGGCTAGAAAGAGGGGGGGAAACGACACAAACCAGATCAGTTATCTTTATCTGTATCAGCTGAAGTCCCTGAGGGAAGAGAAGCCCTATCCTTGCCCACTAAACTGGAAAAGCAGCTCCTGCAGCGCTAGAATTGCCAGCTTATTCTGGGTGTGCCAGGTCTCCCTTGTGGCAGGTAAATATCTTCTCCACATGGCATCATAGCAATAAAAAGAATAAAGCTTCATGCCAATCAACTATTAGAGGCACGAGAGCTCTGCCAGAAGAGCTGCCAGCTCCAAGCAGCAGACTGGGCATCTCAGCAAAGTTATATAGACCAAGGATCCCAGCACTGCAACAAACTTGGATGCTTCTTCTGTTTCTTCACCTGCTTCAGCAATATCATCACCAACTTTCATGACATCAAGGACTCATTCATCCAACATACCCTAATGTTATGTATGCCACCATGTGCCAGAAATGCCCTTTTGCTAGTTTAGAGTGCTGACAGGTTAAATGGGGATGCTGTGATATAAGTGAACAATACAAAATGAACACAAATCAATTTTACCCCTGCCTTTATTTCTCCCTCCCCTTCCTTTGTGGTCTACCTGGTGTCAGTTTCAATATTGTAAGCCCCTAGGGAGCAGGGACCTGACCTTTCCTAATTTGAAAATGTTATATAGTTGGATGGTAGTATGGAGATATGCAAATTACACAAACTAGATGCAAAAAGTGCATACATTCACTTTTACAGGTTGGTTGTTATACTCTATTTCAAAGGACAAAGAAGTCAGAAGCAGCAGAACTGGAGTTTGTAAACACACTTGATAAGGGCATAATTAAAGTTTAGCAGTGCAATCCTCCATCAAATTCTACTTTGGCAGGGATTACGGCACAGCTCCCATTTATTCAAATGGAGAGGGACTGTGCCCTTTTGTATCAGCTTTGTATTACAGAGGTGATGTGTTCTGGTAATTTCTGTTATTGCTAGTTCTCAGCCCATTACTGTTGCTTGCAAATATCTCAGCGCATATGCATACATGCCCACAGTGCTTTTTTTCTGGGGGGAAGCAGGGGTGAATCTTAAATTTGGCCTCATTAAGGGGCAGTATTTCAATATGAGTAGGAAAATGAGAGTACCCCTAAACATTTTTAAAGGAAAAAAGCACTGCGTGCCCATCACTTTCACTGAGCTGAGAGCCACAACACATCTTTTTGGCCCTTCAAAACTGGCAAGTGTTTTGAGTATGGATTACACATGGGGCAGCAGCAGTTGCAGAAGGCCAGTTCTTAAAATGTCTGTAGCTACCCATCCACTCATCCTATTGCAATCATAACAATAAATGCCCTTACCTTGAACACAGAACTTGAGCTCCTTGGCATCAGTAACCACTGAGGATTGTAACTTTTCAGGTACCTTCTTGCTCATCCGGTTATAGCTGCGTTGTTTCTTGGTCTCCCCCCAGAGATTGGAGCCGCCATACATGCTGGGAATGTTGAGGACTGCGATACCTTCCAGTGAAGTGCTACTCAGATCCAGAACTGTTCCATCACACTGGCAGGTAATGGTGGGAGACAAAGATAAAGGAAGCTATTGTGAGGCACAAAATGCCCTGCATCAATGCACTGCATTGTTATGTATTTATTTTAACACTTCTATCCCACTTTCCTAAAAATCCAAGGTGACTTCCAACTGCCAAGGAGCCAATAAAACACCACCTTTATCAAAACACATCACAGCATTAATGTACAATCAAGAGTATCATTCTAAGACTGTGGAAAGCTTTCTGAAACAGAAAGGCATTGAATTCCCGCTCTTGCCAAAAGCTGAGCGATGACTTAGAAGTGCACTCCAAAATCTCAAGGGCGCTAGGAAAACGACTCAGCACACTTTTTTTTACAGCTGTTTTTGTGCATTTACTGAAAGGACCTATCCTGCATGGGGCCTTGCTGAAAGATTAGAACAAGTGGAGAGGTGTATGTGTGCATATGTAGAGAGAGGCATTTTCTGAAGATAAAGGCCATGTGGGATTTCAAGGGAGAGAACCAGTAGCTTGAATTGGGCCCAGAAACAAACATGAACCAAGTACAGTTGACATAAAACAGGCTGAATATGTTCTCAATTCCCCTTTCCTACATGGAGGCAAGTCCCAGCATTCTGAACCTGCAAAAGCCTTATGGGCAACATTACAAGGCCGCCCCATGTAAGATATCTACAGAAATTAATTTTGAAGATTATGCAAAGATAACGGCAGCAAGAGCCCGGGTGTGCAGCTGGTGCATCTGATGCAAAATGCATGAAAGATACTCCTTGGTGTGACTTCTGCTAGTGAAGTGGCAAAGCCTGATGGCAAAATTATTCTGATAAGGTAACTAAAATGCTTTCAACAACAGATAAACTCACCTCACTTAAAGTTGTGACAGTTAAAGTGGCAAATCACCAACACATTTGCTTCCAGATACCCTCTCCCAACATAGCCTTAAAGGATACTTCCAGGGACGAATGACCCTACAATATCCTAAAAAAACTGAGCAAAATATACTTGCATCACCTTTTATAAAAGGGGAGGGAGGCTTGAACAGTTTTTTTTTAATTGATTCAAGAAGCTTGCTAGAAATGCTAGTCATCACAGGAGCAACAGACCCAGACATCAACAGAAAGCTATGTTTAAAAAAGCAGGTCTAAATACAAGGTAGATAAACAGCAGCAGGGTCGCTGCTTCAGTTCAGAAGGAACAATGATTGCCAACAGTTAAACTTGGTTCTGTTGTTTTTCACGGGAATATTATGATTGAACCTCCTCTGTGCTGCTGGGTAAGCAAAGGTCTGGCAGGCCACAGAACGTGATACAGATGCCATATATTCACACAGCAGAGGAACGAGCATCCAATGGGCAGAGAGAATATTTCCCTCTTTAACCGTGCTCTGTCTCTGTGCCAGTGTGGTACAATGGCCTCTTTGAGAAGGGGCAGCTGACAGGCTGTTGGCAGGGAGACTGGAAGTAGACATTTGCAGCTGGGGAAAAAACCAACTTTATTTCCAGGAGTCTATACTGTAACTGATGCCAATTTCCAAAACAAAACTGTCATTTCACTGTGCTCATGACAGATGCCTGGAGCCAGAGGGAGGGCAAACTGTTGCTTTCATGCCACCAGATTAACACTTTGCAGCCCTGAGAGTGGGAAATGAGGGCTATCTATTTCCATAAGCATTACATCTAGGTATCTTTCCCATTTCACTGATGTACATCAGTACAGAATCTGCAAAAGGCTCAAATAATTTGGCTGGGTAAGTAGAATCCCTGTATGTAATCAATAGTCTTTTTCTGTCTCAGAACATATATCACACCGTGACAAGTGTTAGCCTGTGTGGAGGTTATAACAGGCTTGGAATCTTTTCTTGCAGACCCTATTGTGATCGTTTGGGTGAGTGATGGTTACTTTGCACATCATCAAAAGTGTTATTGTCTTTATTACTTCCCATGTCCCATGACTCAGCCATGGGACGGAAAACAGGTTCTGGGGCTAAGGCCAAGCACCAGCTGGGCACTGCTCACTGCATATTGCCCCAAAAACTTCTGGCAGGATTTGCTGTTTGTATATTCCACATCTGACTTCAATTCTCAGCCATGAATCCCTTTTTGCATTGTGTTAAACAAAATAGTCAAAGACAACCATTCAATTGAAAGACAGCTTTGTATTTTTTCCCCTAGGCCAGTTGGCTCACAGAGATGCAACCCCAAAGAAGAATCAAAGGTACCAATTCTAAGGATGGGATGGAGCGGCGGGGTAGGGCATCTTCCATACCTCACTGCAGCTGGAAAGGGCAACTTCTAAGGCTTCCTATATACTGTTCCTCAATATCTGCCCTTCTCGTGCCTGGAATGCCTCTTTATGAAGTATTTTATTGCCTCCTTGCTCTGAAAGTTAATTTCCCCCTAAATGCTCAGCTTAAAGTCTCCCCACTTACTAACATGGTTTCTAAAGAACTGGAACTCCTGCTTTCCTTAAGCATGATTTTGCAAGTTTAAGCAAATCAGAATTTAGGAAGTTTTGAAACTGTCTGATAATTTTTTTTTAGCATTTTAGGCGGATGAACTTTGAAACAAAAGGTATCCATGTCTGCCCAGGTGTAAGTACTAAGTCTGCCATTTTAAGCAGTAACATATGTTCTTGATTAATTCAGAAGTCTGGTGATGGGCAATATTATTTGGCAATTCTTAAAACTGTTAGGAGGCCACTGGAATATGTCAGAAAATTTTGACAACTGGGTACTGATGTAATGGGCCCATGCCAGCAGGGTCTCCAGATTCTGAGCTTTCATTTGAAAATTAATTATCACACCATCCCGAAAGAAAGCTAGGAAGCAAAATGTGCAGATACCCTTCTAAGATATTTCTGTGAGATAAACCTGCCTGGCTGCTTCTACCCTTCGCTGCTTTTACCCAAAGAGTCAGTGCTGTGATTGAAGAGTGAGTTGTTTTGATACCAGGTGATAGGAATCCCTGGTTCCTAAAGAGCTGCTGGTCTTTTGAATTAGTACAACTTCTGACCTGGGTTGCTGTCTCACTAGTTTTAGGGCTCAGATGAGGTCACTAAATGTGCCTATCTTTCTTATAATGATTCAAAATGATCGTTAAGCTACATAAAACAGCATGAAAGTAAATGGCAATGTACATAGCATACATATCGCAAATGTGAGGGTAACAGTATTTGGGCAAGGGGGTTTACTGCCCCACCAACCTCAGCCTGCCCCCAACTTCTGTCCTTCTTACTTACAACCAGTCCAGAGAGTGGCATGACCTGCTTGCTTCCTTCCCTTAGATCTCACCCACATTTCCGCTTTCCTTGCCACTTTCCTCCTGGGAAAACCTGCTGTTTACCGCTGAATCAGAGCAAATGTCAACTGGGTTTTCTCTGAATTGATACTGGCTTCAATTTAGTGCTAAAAAGTTTGCTGGGTGAAAGTGGGAGGGCAAAGGCAAAACCTCTCGGTGTGGATGAGCCTTAAGTCTCAGTGTTGCCCTTTTTAGAACTCAGAAAGGAGAAGGATAGCGACAAAAACTAGAATTAGTTGGCTCAGCCTTGCGATTGGCTCTGACTCTGCCTAATGTTGGGCTCCCTGTCTTCCACCCAATAGTCACCAGCCACCACTGGAGGATAAACCTGCTAGGATCCAGCACAGACGAGAAGGACCTAGGAGTTGTAGTGATTCACAAACGGAATACAATCTCAGCAGTCAATGCCTGGAAAAGAAAGGCAAATGCTATTTTCGGCTGCACTTATTTTATAGATGTACTGGGTGTGCAGGACGTAGGAGGTAATAGTAGCGTTCACTTAAAAACCAAACCAGTAAAGCACCCCTCCCTAAATTTTAAGTAATGTTGGACAATGGGGGAAAAGTTCCCTAGGGAAGCTGTGGAATCCTGCAGGGTTTTTTTTTTTTGTTTGGTTTTTTGCACCCTGTTACTAAACGGATCAGAGATACAATTACTAGAAGGGAAGGTCAGGAGAAGTGTCCAGATGAGTGGGACCCAGACACTTGATGCGTTGGGGACGGCTCAGGTCCAACTGGACATAAGTTTTGTGCTTTATAAAAAGCATGCTTATTATAAAGCCCCTACCAAGGCTGAAAGGAAAAAAAGGAGTTGTAGAGTGAAAAATTGAGGGAGAAGGGAAAGGGCAACAACAATCCAGCAATCAGCAGTAGGGCATGTCCACATGGGGCTTTTGAGATGATCTGGATATGCTCACCCAGTGTAGTAAAGTAAAAGGGAAAGGACCCCTGGACTGTTAAGTCCAGTCGAATTCGACTATGGGGTGTGGTGCTCATCTTTGCTTTTAGGCCGAGGGAGCCGGCTTTTGTCCACAGACAGCTTTCCGGGTCATGTGGCCAGCATGACTAAACTGCTTCTGGCGCAATGGAACACTGTGACGAGTGCCAGAGCGCACAGAAATGCCATTTACCTTCCTGCCACAGTGAAACTCCACACACAAAAATGGTTGAGCTTTTTTGGGGGGGGGGCAAAATTGATGAGCTGCTTTTTTTTTTTAGTTTTGCCCAAAGTTGCCATATGTCCATATTTTCCCAGGCATTTTACTGATTTCTGCCTGGACACAGCTTCCGACTACAGTACAGTACCGACTACAGCCAGTGTGGTGTAGTGGTTAAGAGCGGTAGTCTCGTAATCTGGTGAACTGGGTTTGCTTCCCCGCTCCTCCACATGCAGCTGCTGGGTGACCTTGGGCTAGTCACACTTCTTTGAAGTCTCTCAGCCTCACTCACCTCACAGAGTGTTTGTTGTGGGGGAGGAAGGGAAAGGAGAATGTTAGCCGCTTTCAGACTCCTTAGGGTAGTGATAAAGCGGGATATCAAATCCAAACTCTTTTCTTCTTCTATTCCGGATGTGTCTGGGAAATTCCAAATGTATGGCAATCCTAGCCACAGCGGTACCTATTTTTCTACTTGCACTGGCGTGCTTTCAAACTGGTAGGTTGGCAGGAGCTGGGACCGAGCAACAGGAGCTCACCCCGTCGCGAGGATTCAAACCGCCGACCTTCCGATTGGCAAGCCCAAGAGGCTCAGTGGTTTAGACCACAGCGCCACCCACGTCCTCACCTTTGCCTCACCCATGCACTGCATTCCCAAAAGCTGCACATATACACAGAGTTAATCTAGGCTGGCCGCTCTGCAAACAATACTAGAATATTAGCAAGGCTAGAACAGACAGGGCTATGTACACAACGGTGGAGGGAAGGATGCAAAAAGAACCCTAGTGGGTTATCTAGTCGGCATCCTTCTTCCAACACTGGTGAACAAGGTGCCCAGAGGCAGGACATGAGTGCAGCTGTGCTTTCCTGCTGCTGTTTCCCAGTGCTGTCTCTGATCATTCTGACTAGCAGCCATGGATAGCCTTTTCCTCCATGAGTTTGTCTACACCTGGGACCTTCAGCATGTACTCCAGCAGCTGCTCCACCAGTGATCTACAGCCCTTCCTCTGAGGATCATGGGGCAAGACTTCAAAACAGGTGGCGCGTCCCTGTTGCCTTTAAAAGCACTGCCACGCAACCTAGTTCTGAGCATAGCTTTTGACAGGAGGCCATCTTCTGTTGTGTTGGACAGGGGGAGTCATTTGCAAAACACTCCATCGCCAGGGCAAGGTTTTTGTGCCAGCTGACGTTTCTGCATTCTAGCTTTAATGAATAACTAATGAAAGGTTCATTTATCCACCGATGGGGAAAGGAGGAAGTTTACAGAAAACACACACCTCCCCAAAGCCCCAATACAAACTGTGTAAAAAAAGAAAAGAAAAGAAAAAGAGAGCGTAAAATGACAGGGCTCTTAGCAACCCCTGGCAAGCTGTTCACACTCCTCTCTAATTAAAGGCTGTTTCCATCTAGCCCAAAGATCACTGCATGCAAACACGGGGTGTACACACACACACACTTCCAGGCAAGCTCTGAAGTACAGCTGTAAGGAGGAGGGGAAGAAGCTAAATTCTGCTCTCCTCCAACTGACTTCAGAGATGGCAAGAGCCCAGATGCTGGGACCAACAAGTACACTTGAAGGAGGATCCCTCAGTGATGTGCATGCACTTTTAAAATGCTGCTTAGTGTCTATGGCTGTTTTCTTTTCACACAACTGCTGCCTTTGGTATCTGAGGAGCTTCCTCAGAAACTGCCCCCGTACACCCAAATTAGCAGTGGATGGCAATGTCACTAAAGGATAGGCTGGACTGAACTTCTGGCTGTTTGCAGAAAAAGAAAGCTTCTGTTTACACATTGAACAATGAAGGGCAACAGGATATTTATTGTTAGCTGGATCTGAATGTGCTTTAATCCAAAGTCTTGCTCATATCTGTAACTGTGAGCCTGAAGCAGGATTCCAGCTCCAGTTAGCAATAAGATGGGGATTGTTTTCAGGAAGGCTGTGGAAGTCATAAACCCCGGGGGGGGGGGGGGAGTGGCCCTCCAGTAATGTGCCGTAGGCAAAGCTTTCCTGGGAACTTTTCTCTCGACTCCCTCCTGGGCTGTGGATCCATGTTTGGAAGAAAGAGGTAAAATGGACCTGCTTCTTAGCCTCCCCTCTTCATTGCATTCGGAAGCACAGTGGAGACTAAAAGAATGCACCAGACTTTCTTTTAATTTGGTCATTTCCTGACAACCTATTTATTTGAGCATTCATCCTGATTTGCTGGCACAAAGTGTGCAGGGAGGTTAGACACCATCGGCTTCTGACTGAACATTCATTCTGATTTGCTTGTTGAGAGGTTCCACGGCACTGACTCAAGCAAGTGTTGTTCCACTCTTTCCAGTGCATTTTCCCGTCACTTTCCTTATGCCATCATAAATGGCCAAGCCTTTAAGGTGCTACAAGATGGTTTGAAACTTCTGCCATAATGTTTAGAAAAAATATGTACAACAAACCTGTTCTTCAATTATTAGTATGGCTGATTAAATAAAATGTATAAGATCAAAATTTTAGCTGATTAACACATTTGTTTTGTGTTTGGGCCAAACACTTTCTGAGTGCAGCAACCTGCTTTCCTTGTTTTTAGATAATGCACTTACATATCATAGCAGACATTACATAGAAGAGGCATTCCTTTGTGTATGGGAGAATGCCTCTCTTAAAATGGGACAACACCTACAGTTTTCATATGCATCTAACTATATATTCATAGTGTGTTGGGAACGCCCCTCCTCCAACCCTGCTACCCAGTTAAACAGTGGCACCATTTTAGCCAATTAACATTTTAATCTATTGATCTAATCAGTCAGTTGATTAAATTGATTAAACATTGCAGTCTTTGTTATTTGTTATAATCTGGAAAAAAAAGTTCGAGCAAGTTTGGAGCTCCGTTGCTGATGTTATTTGCCTATCAAAAATACTCTCAGCGTTGACTAATAGTGCAAGGGCTTGTTTGGAAATACAGGGACCAGATCCCTTTGTAGTTTGGATTTAGCCACTTGTATAAATCCTTCCCCCCCCTTGTCTATTACACACATTATCAGGAAACCAGCATGGGAGCAGAACAGGTCCTAAATAATAGGTACCTTGACTCAGCATCTCAAGTCTTGGAATATCTCCACTGTGGGCAAGTCTTAATTGCCTGCAAAGTTTATGGTTGCCTAATGGATTTGATCCATACCTGCTTTGAGCATGAAAGGACAATGGGTTTCTTTCCTGCTATTAGTGTTAATCAGCTGAGAAATGCTACAGTGGAAGTGTTATCACAAAATATTGGTATTGTGAATGGCCACTTAGGATTTACCCACACTTACCTTTTCTCTTTTCTCTGTTCTTTCCAGGCACAGTGCATGCTTTAAAACTGCATGTCCAATCAACCTTTCCCCAGAAAAATCTGTTCTTTAAAGCTCAGTTGGAACTGACGTTAATCCATGGAAACCCCAAATTGACATTTGCACCTATTAAGCACTAAAGAGTGGCTTTTTGCAGGGAAAGCTCCAGGGCAAAAGGAACCCCTTCAAAATGCCTAGACACAGAGCTTTTAAGTGTGGACTTGTGCCTGGAAAGTGTGGGGCAAAAGCTAAGTGTGGATAACTCTTAATTTGGAGTGTCACCGACTCTACCTTTTACAGTTCATTGCCACTTGACCTGACTTTTTACTTTCCCCCCTTTCCTCTGAATTCATAGCTATAACACTCATGGCATCTGATGAACTGCAGTCTAGTCTGTGAATGGTGAAGCCATAATACAGTATATACCTATCAGTTTTTAGGGTCCTTCATCGGTTTTTTCACAACCAACTAACATGGTTACTCCTCCGGAAGCAGTGAATTTATAGCGACTCTGAAAGCTGATTCCTACATCATTCCTGCCATGTCAAAACTCCTGGAAATGGTTCAAGGTGGTGGCAGCAGGAGCTCCATGGTACTCTTCAACGTTACAGCTGCTACATAGAGTAGACCCCATTAAGGAGTATTCCTAGCAGGTTGTGAGTGACAGGTATAGGATCAGCTTAATGGAAAGGGGGGCCGGAAGGGAAATTTGTATCAGCACTAAGAATTACCCAGATAGTCTCCTGGGCAACAAAGAGGCACTGCAATCACCCGGACAACAGTCTCCAGTAGAAGCGGCAATTTGAGGATCTCTGGAAACTCACCTCAATCTCTACATAGTCGTGGAGCTTCTTGCAGGTGGCGGCAAAGGTTTCCGTTGTGCCAAATTCAAAATACCAAAGTTTATTCTTCATTCTGACAGAGAGAACAAAGAGAGGGGGGCATTACAGAAGGAGAGATCCCCTCCATCATCTCCTTTTCCGAACATACTGTTCCTCTCCAGCAGTCACTGAGCACCATATCGACTGCAAATGTCTGCATGCAGAGAACTACCACACTGCCACTGGAAACAGCTAGAAAAGAACATCTTTTGCCTCCCAGAAAATTAGGGCCATTGTGCGACTGAATTCTCAGCTGACATCATAATCTTTTGCGCAGGGTGGTCTGGTGAAATGCAGGAGAAGGGAAGAGATCCAAGACTAAATTCACAGGGGCATTTTTAAACCATTACACAGAGGGAGTACCAAGGCTCTGCAGAAATAAAAACTTGGAGTGCTTATCCAGGCTTACTCCAAAATATCTGTGTTTGGACAATACACTTGCAAATCCTAGTTGAAAGATTGGGACCAATGAGATCTCTCTTTACTGTAATCCACCCACAATAGGTGGCAGGAGGGGATCACCTTGCTGTAGAGGGACAGCCATGCTGCTGTTGGGCTCCTGTAAGCATAGAGGAGGTGATGAAGGAGGTGAAGCATAGAGGAGGTGTCCATATTCCTCAAAGAATAAAACAAAATGAATGCAAACAATGCATTTCTCTGTTTTTCATGAAGGGTGTGCCGGGGGGGGGGGGGATTTCTAGAGGAGAATAAGCTTGGTGATGTGATAATTGCCACTTAAAAAGTGGGGGAGGTAGATGATCACATGTGACCTGGACTGGTGTAGTGGGAAGAATGTCAGCCTCTATAGTATTTTGCGTTTGTGTGTGTTTGTGCAAAATGGCCTTGGTGAAAGGGAAGGTATTGCTTCTCATCCTCCACAGGCATTCTCTGACTGCCTTCTCTGGAGCAACCGCAACAGGAGTGCTACCAGAAATAAGAGTCAGATTTCCCCAGATTATACAAATGTAGCACATCGTGAAGCTGAGGCTCCAGTACTTTGGCCACCTCATGAGAAGAGAAGACTCCTTGGAAAAGACCCTGATGTTGGGAAAGATAGAGGGCACAAGGAGAAGGGGACGGCAGAGGACGAGATGGTTGGACGGTGTTCTCGAAGCCACAAACATGAGTCTGACCAAACTGCGGGAGGCAGTGGAAGACAGAAGTGCCTGGCGTGCTCTGGTCCATGGGGTCACGAAGAGTCGGACACGACTAAACGACTAAACAACAACAACAAGCACATCTCATGTTGGGGAAAAAGGCATTATTCCTGAAACAGAAGCATCATGAAACATCAAGGAATGCCATCCAGACTGCATGCAGTAAAATGGCAAAAACTGCATGCTTTTCACGCTAAACACTGATCATCCCAAGGAAGATGGCAACTGTCTGGAAAACTACCAAGGGTCACCCACTCAAAGCTGGTTGGAGCTGGGTGCTAGGCTGGAAACATGAGAAATACCACAAAGACAGCTTTCCATGTGGCACCTTGCTATGTTTGCGAAAAACTTGAGCTTTTATGCACATGACTTAAAACACTGCAAATGTATCAGGAGCAACAATAATGGGTCAGTATCAGCAGCTTCCTTTCATTGTGTGCACGCGCAAGAGACTCAGGGAAAACAGCTCCTTAGTTCCTTGGCTGTTGTCTATGACGGTGGAATACAGCAATTTGAGGTTCCTGTGAGGGTCATGCAAAGCTTTGTCCTGGAACCCAATGCAAGTCTTGCACCACAACCATGGAATGGTGGCATAGTCCATCTCCTTTGTGGGGTAATTAAGACAGCAGGTGCAATAACAGCAGGCAGTACATACCTTCTTAAGAGCTCAAGGTTAAGCTGATACTTAACATTATTACTTTTATGGGCTCATACACACTTAGCTTTGCTCTGCATCTCTAGGCAAAGATCTGGGCTCTCCAGGTCCGTGTCCAAGCATGGTGTGTGTGTGTGTGTGTGTGTGTGTGTGTGAGAGAGAGAGAGAGAGAGAGAGAGAGAGAGCTTCCCCCACATTTTACTGCTGAATCGGACCAAACAGCAATTGGGTTTTCTTCGGATTGCCATTTGCTCTGATTTAGCAGTAAAACACAAATTTCCCCCGGAAAAGCTTTGGGGGACACACAAAACCATGCTCAGACATAGACCTAGAAACCACAGACCTTTGCTTAAAAAGCAAGGAGCAAAGATAAGTGTGGATGAACCCAAAAGTCATCAACAAGGCTTCATGTTGATATTTTATTTTATTTTAAGAAGTATAAGCAAAAAAGGGAAATTTTCAAAGGAGAATCTCAATTGTTTGAAACTCATAAAGCCAATTAAAATTCTGAAAATTTTGCCTAATTTCAGATTTGTGCAAAATGTTTGCAAGGAGGTCCCGGCAAGAGGGCTAAAGCCATGGAACAAATGTACACTTTTGGACTCTCTGCCATTCACTTCTTCATAATAAGACTTGGCCCAGTTAGCTTGATGATCGCTGCGGCTCTCCACTGCAAAAGATCCAAAATTTCAACTCCAACTGGAAAAAGAAAATTGTCCTGCACTAGCCTTTTGATTGAGCTAAGAGCCTTTGGGGACAGAGATCAGGCTTACCTGATTTCTTGTGCTAATAAAACTGTGTGGGAACCTCGCTGAACAATTTGGTCCTGGAGAAAGGGATTGAAATCACGAACGCTAAATGCAATAACAACCAGAAGCACAGTGCCTCTGTGTCCTTGCTGGATAATCATGGTTCTCATGCACAGAATGCGAGAACAATCAATGCTGCCATGTTTAGAACAGCTAGCTGATTAAACAGGAGTCAGCAGAACAAAGCAAATGTGAGAGAAGAGAAGAGAAGTGTCTTTGAGGAAGGGATAGGGGAGTGACTACATTTTTTTGTTTTTGTAACAACACCTGGCTACAGAACTGAGCAGGACTCCAAACCCTTGCTTCAGCAGCACGGAGAAAGCAATGGAATCTTCTTGGAAGTTTCTAAGCGTTGCCTCAACACTGCAAAATAAGGCACCTGCTCAAGGATAGGGAACTTGCTGCCCTTCAGATGTCGCTGAATCACAACTCCCATCATCCCTCAACATTGGCTACGCTGGCCAGGATTGATGGGCACTGCAGTCCAACAACATTGCAGGGTGGGCAGAAGTTCCCTGCCGCTACCTTAAGTGTAAAATATCCTTAGATAACTCAGTGAATACACTCAGACTCAACCTGAAACAGCTGCAATTTTGGGACACAGAGCAAACATTTGTGTACGCTTTATATGTTTAGCTGAAATTAGCTCCTGCCCCAATAATAGGGATAATGCATTGGGGATTGGGCCCAGCGAACTGAATGGGATGTGTACAGCGTCCTTTGTATTTGTTGCTTTGTTGTTGCTTTTATTTGATATATGTCCCCTTGAGCATTTTTAAATAAAAAGCAATCTTTTTTTAAAACAACAACAACACCAAACTCCAAGTCAACCAAATAAAATAACTACGTGAAAAGAAATTGGGATATTACATTATTTTCAGTCACTTCAGTGGTATTTGCTTAGGAGGAATTTCTGAGTGATTGTGCCAGTTTCCTCACAAATAGGTCTGAGAGGTTCAGGGGCTCTGAGTTGAACAACCAACCTAGGACCCACCCTCCCCCTAGATTCTCCAAATGAGGACTACAGTGAAGCCATAGTCTCACTGGCAAGTAAGAGCAGAACAGCAAAATGTAAGGAGGTGTGGGGTGGATGAGAAACCCGCCCACGTTCAGTCGAGAAAGAAAAGGCAGAGAAGACAGGTTGATTTACTAAATGCAAACACACATGTCAGGCAGTATTTATTTTCACCCTGCTACGCGCCTCATCCTGACATTGTTAGAGTTGTCGTCAGAGGTTCAAAAATTGCACGGTTAATTTTTTGAAGAGGCAATTATGCATGTCTGCATAAAGTTTGCATAATGTTGAACTGTGGCTTGTTAAAAACAACTTTGCAGATTTTATACTTTTTCATCCCCATTTTTTTTTAATTTTTTTTTTGCAGGGGAGGAAGTGCTCAGGAGAGACTAGGGGGAAAAGCCTAAAAGCAATATGTGGAAGGAGGGTGTGGCCTGATGAAGCACTCACTTAAGAGCTGTGCTGAGTGATGGCTTCCTCGTCCCTGATTCCTGGGAGCTGTGCCCAGTCTTAGAGGAACCGACCAAAACGTTTTCAGGTATTTCTCCACAATCATGCGACATGTCTCAGAAATGTGCTCTGTGCACAGAACAGCTGACATTTTCAGGATCAAGTTTCAGACATTCAGTGCTTGAGACTATATCCTGCATCTTGCAAGGCAGACAACCTTGCAGATTCTTAGAACCAGAGGCTTGAGTTTATCAGAGGCTTTAGTTTATCAACCGCTACATGCAGGAGGGTTGCTAAGTGCAGACCTATAACACAGATTTCCATTAAGTTTGCATATGCTAATGCGTATATGACTCTGGGCAGTTAAGATACTGGGGTGTCTGGACCAGCACTGCATTTTGCAGGGTTCTCAGCCACCTTGGGTGGGGGCAAGGTTTTTTAAAAAGCGGAGGGGAAGTAGCAGACGATCTGGGGTTCATTGCAAAACGCCCATGGCTTGAGCCCTTAACAATGCCCTTGGCTACATATGGAAAGGGCTATTATAGAAAAGCAAAGTGTGTCAGTATAAGAGTGTGTGATCAGCTTGCTACAAGTTGCCTCTGACCCTTGACCACTGCTCTTCAGCTTATCAGCAAGATGTGGAGCAGGACAATGAATGTTATTTCCTGCTTACACTCCCGATAGCCCTTATCGCCAGCTGTCTTCACCCAAAGACAACAGACTTCAGCTGCAAACCGGTCTCTTGGGAACCCAGGGGTTTAACCGTTGTCGAAGCTAAGGTGGACATGGAGTAATCATACAGTTCTGGTCCTTTGCTGTTCCTAGACTGAAGCAGGGAGATCCTAATGTAAAGGAGGGACTTTCAGATCTGAGATTAGAGTTGAAGAACCTGTGGCCTACCAGATGCTGAGTCCACAAAGTCCTCTCTCTAATTCTGTGAAGGGCAACCCATAAGCACATACACTCTCTTGCCCCCACTCCAGATTAGGTTTGAAAGCAATCATGCTTTCAAAGCTATTTACACCTCCAAAAGTATTGGGGTGGTCACACGGCTTCAGTTTACATCAGTGCATATCCCATAATTTCCCACTGAAATCCCAAAACTTTTTTTTTTACTGCAAATGTTCTGGTTTCTTGTTTCATTTCTGCTAAACTCTGAACAACTATGTGGTAATATTTGGGAAGCATCACACAACAAACTAAAGTAGAACATTGCACTATAAAGACAGGGTTGCCATATGTCCCAACATGGCTGGTATTTAGCCCTCCTTGCTTGAAAATGCATGGGTTTTTTTTTTAGATTTCGCAAAAAAAGCTGAACAACTTTTGTGTCCAGATTTACTTTTTGAACTATGGCAACCCTATAAAGAACACGTTGCAAAATACATACAGTACAGAATAAAATTCTAGTCTGGAGGGGCCCCCAATGAGCCATTCAAATATACAGGTCATTTATAACAAGTAGTAGTAGTAGTAGTAGTAGTAGTAGTAGTAGTTGTTGTTTTTAAACAGATTGGATTTCCACTCCAGATTAAATCACTGGGGTAGAGGGTACTGGCTGGCATTTTTATGCCAATGACATTATGAGGACTTGGTCAAAACACTGGATGCATGAACAGCATCCCTCCTACAATAAACATACTGTGTTATAATCAGTAGTGACCATGCTGTTTAAGACTGGGCTGTGGAGCTGGGTTCCATCTACATCCAGTGCTTGGGATTGAAGGATTTTTTTAAAAAAAACAGGAGGGGGAAGAGAATCAGAAGATAGGGGTTAGCAGCAGACAATCTAGAGAATGAAACAGGGCCAGCCCTACCATTAGGTAGAGTAAGGGAACCACCTCAGGTGGCTGATTTTGGATTCCATAAAAGGCAGAAAATTGTTATTTAGTTTGTTATTATATTTTTACTGACGGGGTATGTGTATGTGTTAGGGTTCTCAGGCAACTTTTTGCCTCACATTGCAGAATACCTTAAAGAGCCCTGGGTTTTATGCAGCTTGACTTTGGAGGAGAGGGATTTGCTGCTCTGCCTCAGGCAGCAAAATGGTGTGGGCTGAAAGGAGAGTCCTCTTCATCCCAATATGCTTTGCATTGTTACTCTCACCCCAGCGCCTGAGGACTTCCTCTCTCTTTTTAATTGCATGTCTGATGGCACCTCTCTAGCCTAAGATGACTCCAGTGCAGTCCTAAGACCATGGTAACCTAATAGAGATTGTTTACAGGAAGTGTGTTCATGTCCGAGCTTCATTCCCTGTACCAAAATTCTTACTCAGTCCCCAGAAATCTTTCAAAGGTTTAAGGACTGCTGTAATGCTGTAAAGACAGAAACAGCAGCTGTTCCACTCCCGGCCACCTGTAGGTGTAAAAACATCTCCAGATCTAAATAAGGCAGCTCAGAGGTATGGTGCATCTCACTAGGTTCCTTGCTAAATACTCTTCTTCGCATTGTGTGGTGCCCTGCTCCTTCCTAAAAAACAAAACAAACGCATGTTCTTGCCTTTTGGATTTTTTATTTAATTTAACCAAATTTCTATACCGTTGGATCGTAGTAAAACCTCTAAGCAGTTTATAAAAGCTTTGTCTACTTGGAGCTTTCTTGAAGAGAGAAGGCTTGGGTTTGAATTCATGTGAGAAAGTAAAGCCACAACCTGCATCCTTCTGTCCAATGGAACAATTGTCAGAATGTGTTTGCATAGCACAAACAGGCATTTTGTGCTATTTTAGGCTGGAGAAAACATCCAGAAAACTATTGCCTGACTTGAAAGGGGTTTATAAAGGCTTCTATACATTACCAGCCTCCCCTAACCTGGCATCCTCCATATGGCTTGGACTACAACTCCCATTAACCTTAATCATGTACACAGCCTTTTCTATTCTTCCGCTGCCATGTCTGGTGAGGATTTGCAGGGTTTTTTTTTTTGGTTTTTTTTAAATACAAAAATGTCAAAACCTGTTTACCAGAGGCAAAAATGGAGTCAACAAAACGTGCAGCAATTCCTCTTTCAAACTGTGTTGGCTCTGGAGGAACCACCCTGCTTTCAAACTTAAAGAAGCCATTTAAGGCTTAGCCTAAATATTTTGTCAAGATTGGAGTAACTACTAAGCTCTGCTCACAAATTCATTTGGAAGCAGTGCACAAGATGGGTTCAGCAAGTGTCAAGGTATTCACACACATCTCGCCACAAGCATTTGAAAGTCAAGCAGACCTTCCTTTATGCATTTTCTCTTAAATGTCCAAAGCTTGTCTGTCAGATGCAGGACTCTGGATGAAGTAGACTACTAGTGAAACTTTCTACATGCATTACAGAAGGTTCAGGGGCATGGCCTAGGGCAGGGGTGAAAAATCTTTTTTGGCCTGGTGGCTGTATCACCTCTGTGGATAGCTGTGGGGAATTGCATTCTAGGCAGTGGATGGGGTGATCAGACCCCAAACCAGTCAAGGCCAGATGTGTGCACAACCACACACCCTTAACACACAAATGCTGAGACTCTTAAAAGGCTCTAGAATATTGAGTCAGAACATGATGCAGAGCATTGCCTGGGACTCTTGAGCCTTTTGTTTTCTTTCATGAACTGAGAATGCATCCATGCACACTTAGCTGAAGACTGCAGGAACAGATTAGTCGCAGTGGACCAGCAAACTTTTAAGGAAGTTTATCCACACACGGAGGATAGATAGAGCTGCGTTATACTGAGCCAAATCATCCACCAGGTGGTCCATTTAGTCCAGTTTTCCTTACTCCAATTGGGCAGGAGGTCTCTTTCTCAAAGCTATTACGTGGGACCTTCTGCAAGCAAAGTATATGTTCAACAGCAGAGCTATGTTTCCCCTGTGAGGAATTCTTGAAAAACCTGCAGAGAACCCCAGGATTTCCAGGAACACTGTTTGAAAACGATGAGATACCCTCAGTCTGTTTTTATACCTAATGCCCCATCCTTCCTCAGAGCTGCTCTGTAAGTTCCCAGATTGCTGCTGGGCCAAAGCTGTGTAGACAGTTGGTTAGAAATGCATGTCCACAGGTCCTGGAGAGGAAATCCATGGTTAACCAAAATAAACCACTAATAAGAGGTGGGAAGGCATAGCAAACTAAATGGCAAGTAGAGATGTTGATTGGGTTGCTCTCCATGGAGGATGGCTTCACAAGAGGATCAGGAAACTGGATGAAGACCCAGTATTTTTGGATGGGAGGGAAGAAAGAGAGAGAGAGAGAGAGAAGTAACAGCATGGGCCAAGAAACACTCAGGTGCATAAGCACTTAGCTGGCATTTCAGGCTATGATTCTGGTACCCGTTCTTAAGTTTCCTAGAAGCAGTGTGCATATGCCAAACATGCCAAAGCAAAAATGTAACATTTTGCCATTAGTATTAATGGGAAATGAACCCATCTGCAAGGAGTCTAATGACACAGCTATGCTATTGGCAGGGATGTGTGCAGTAATGAAAAAAAAACCATCTTAAAGGAAAACTAACACTCAGAAGAAATGATGTTGTCTATATTAAATCATTTTTAAAAGGTTGTTGAATATGGATTTCTGCAGAAAGCAGAACTTCCAGTTATAGACTGCAGTGGGGGGAAAGGAGGAGAGTTGAAAGTAGTGGGTTTTTTTCCAGCCAGAGCTCAGCTCCAGCACCTTTCAGGTGGGCACCATTGCCATTCTAAGAGAACAAGAGGAAAGTTCATGGTGAGCTTTGGCACCTCTTTTTCTAGAAAAATAGCACTGGCTGAAAGGTAAGTTCTCTGTGAAGGAGGTCTGATTGTTAAACCACTCTGGGAATTGTAGTTCTGTGAGGTCTTCTAACAACTCTCAGCACCCTTAACAAACTACAGCTCCTAGCATTTTGGGGGGGGGGAGCCATGGTTGTTTAAAGTAGTATCACAGTGCTTTAAATGTATGGTGTGAATGTGGCCCAAGTCTTTGACTATGTGATGGCCCATCTGATAGCACCTGAAGCCCAGATTCTTCAACTGTTTCTCATATCCATCAACTTTCCCCATATTACTTTGTTCATAGGTTCACTTGGAAGACCCTGTGTCTGAACTAATGCATGCTATGGGTTTCAACCTTAACCCACAAGGAACTATATGAGATGTACACAGACCAGAAATGTAACGGACTTGACATTATTTATGTTATTATGTGTGAGATAGCTTTACAATTTCCCTATTTATTCTTCATCATCTAAGTGTGCGTTCATGCAATCACTCCACATATAGGCAGCTGCTTCTTTCTCTAGTTTGGACAGCACCACGTACGGTAATTTGTGACAAGCAAATCATGGCATTGCTCAGCTCATCAGGAAGGTTTCTGAGCGCATGCACCAACCTGATGTTTGCGCAGGTACCAAATGATTCAACCTGGCTACCATCTGAACATGTACAGCTGAGCTAAACATCAGTGAACGGGGGCAGAGCAGTTGTGTGAACTGTTAGAAGAAAAGGGGATACATTAAAGCATTACATCATTCTTAGGTTTCTCATTCCATTTAAGCGATTTTATCCCTGGGGTACATTTTAGAGGATAAGACAGATTTTCACTTTAAGCTTGGAGTGTGGTTGGAGGAGTGTTAAAGTTCTAAGGAATTTATGAACACAAGAATGCTAGGAGTAATTCTCTGAATGTCTCCTGCACAGGCCATTAGTGACAAGTCTCCCGTTTTTGTGAACTGCAAGCCAGGACCTTTTTTTTATGAACTGCAAGTGAAATGTGAGCTAGTTCTAACCTGATGTTGTGCCTTGCCTTGATAGCCTGTTCCTGCTGGCCCTGGAATTTCTATGTAATTATGAAGTGTGAATGAATAGCACTGGGTTTACAGCCAAGCTCTAGCAGCTTTCTATGCAGAAATTAAAGTATAAAGACCTGCAAATAGTAATAGTTGCAAATCCTACAATGGTATAGGCCACATTGCCTCAGGACTGCATGCCATGAGGCTGACGTAATTAACTGCTGTACAGAGGGAAATGAGTTTCTTCAGTTACAGTTTCAGGTAAAAAAAACCAAAAAGCAAACCACCAAGTTACAGTTGAGTTAAAGATAAAGAGAAGGGCTCAAACAGAGATGGCCAGGTAATACAGATTTATATATGAATCCTCAAATAATATTTGCATTGTCCTAGATGGCCATTATTTGGACATTCCTTCTCAGTGAATGGCTCTGTTCCTGAGGGAGTGGAGAGACAGAAATGCTAATACATGTTTGTTTTACAGAGATGAGTGAAGTAGATTATTTACCTTTGCCTTGCTAAAATACCTTTTGACTGATACCTCGCTTACTTATGGGCTGATACGAACAAAAAAAGAGGGAAGATTTCTCTGCTGCAGGGGTTGGACTAGATGCTCCTCAGGATCCCTTCCAACTCTGCTTCTATGAGGACCATCCCTTAGCCATCATACTCGACACCAGTGAAGGCCAACTGGTGGCTCATGGGCTGGATCCCACCTCAGGAACATATTACTAGACACCCAGCTACCCTACCAAATATTAATCAACATGTGGTTTTGTACTGGTAAAAGGTTTGTTCATGGTTTCATTGCACTGTGACATGCATGTGTGTGTGCGCACACACACACACACACACACATATATAATGAGTACATGTTGGCCTCCCATATTTAAGTACCAAATGAGAAGCACAGGAAAAGTCATGCCTACTACAAGGTGTGAAACAACATAAAGGAACCACCAGTATCCCTTGCTTTATGCATATGTGGAAGCCTTTACTGGCTGCACTTCATCCTTGCCTGTTACAGAAATTGGTGAGAGAACAATGTGGGCAAACTTCAGCTTATGTGTGGGTTGTCTTTGACAGCTGCACCCCACAGAAATTGCTATTTCCATGCTGGGCAAAGCATCACCTGTTGATTCATTCCTCCCATTCAGCTGTTAAAATCATGGAGGTGTCCCTAAGTAGGATGGCTACCCTAGGCTTACAGGGGTCAGATACTGTCATACAGATATTCCTGGGGAAATGTTTGGCCAGCATGCCAGGTTCTTTAGCCATCCAGCAGGTGAACAGAACAGAGTCAGGTGGTGGCTTCCTACCAAGATCTGTTGCATCCCATTACACCATATCACCAACTCAGACAAACACAGAGCAGAAGTACCACCCATCCTCTCCCCAACTCAGGAAAATTCCAAGCAATACACAATAGCTGAATACCACCTTAGACTTACTCAGAATAGACCCACTAAGTTAGATCCATTAATTTCAGTGGGCCTACTCTTAAGTAAACCATAGTTGAAGATCATCCAATGTAAACAAATGGCATTAATTCCATCATAAAGTTACTGAACACTGCCTTCTTCAGCACTACAATGACAGTGGAGAAGGGGAAAGATATTTACCTGCTATTAAACTTTTCCGGATGTTTTTCCCTCATCATGTGGAATCTGTGTGCAATGGATGCATCCTATAATGAGAGATGGGGGGGGGGGGAATTAGTTAATGAGGCCTTCCAAATACTGAAGACAGTTTCATTGATTCAGGTGTCCCACAAAACTGCACAATTAGCACTTTTCACCCATAAATTGTGCTTTCAGTTTTTGTGGGGAACAGACCTTATACAGTGGTACCTCTAGTTACGAACTTAATTTGTTCCGGAGGTCCGTTCTTAACCTAAAACTGTTCTTAACTAGAGGCGTGCTTTCACTAATGGGGCCTCTTGCTGCTGCTTTGCCGCCAGCACACGATTTCCGTTCTCATCCTGGGGCAAAGTTCTCAACTTGAGGTAACTCTTCCAGGTTAGCAGAGTTTGTAACCTGAAGCATTTGTAACCTGAAGCGTTTGTAACTCGAGGTACCACTGTAACACTGTAAAGTTATAAAACAGGAACACTATGGGAAATACAACATTTCTCTGTTTCCGAGTACTCAGAGGTCATGCTAGGGCTTCCCAAAGCACCTCCTAAAGTTATTCGTGACAGAGTTAAAAAGTAAAGGTAAAGGGACATCTGGTTAATTCAACATTATGAATCCTTGTGTACTCTTGCCACTTTTCCCATGCTTCAGAGAACTGCTTCAGAGGACCTGTTTACTGGATATGCATTCTGATTTGCTTGCACAAGACTTGTGACTAGTCTTTATTGAGAATTTCTTCTGAATTGTTTGCTTGGAGCTTATGTGACAATGAGCAATCATTCTACTTTGTTTGTGTGGTGTTTATGCATCATTCATTCATTCATCTCAAACTTTTTAGTGTATTTTCCCTGTCACTTTCCTAACTGCCAACATTAATAGAATCATAGAATCCCTTAGAAAAATAAAAATAGTGGATTTGTTGCATCAGGGTCACAGAGTGCTTTGATACACTTTAATTGCACAAAAGTAAATTTCCAGTATGTACTTGAATCTCCCCTGCAAAATATTGACTGTATGGAGGCAACCCCAGCTTGAGTTTTTAAGATGCAGGCAAAGAATTGTAGCAGACCCTTAGAATGACAGCTTTTGAAAGGACAAGAATCCATTTTGTCTAGGCATAATATTCACTGTAATCTCCTTTGTACCCTTAGAATATTAACATAATCATTTTTAGAAGATCATCAGAAGCCCTGATCAGCATAATAAATCAACAGGCCGCTATGGAATGACCTAGCTTAAGCCTTCTTTAGTTAGCGGAAAACTTGTTATGCCACTTATCTATCATGGTTGTCTGCTGTATTTGAGCAGACATAAACCTCAAGTAGTTTTTGAATGGCCACATAATGCACACATACATAAACAGAGGTCACAAATAGTAACACAAGGGCCCCTCTTGCAGTCTCTCTGGGTTCAGATAGCCCAAGGAATGTGCTTTACTCCATCCAGGGATTAGCAGGCTGTTCATCATCCACATCTCAGTGATGGGGTGCAGAGGTGTCACTAGTCTCAGGGACTTTGCAAGCCCATGGCCTGATCTATTTGTAATCCAAAACTTCCTGTTAGTGATATAGCTGCTGGCCCACATTTCTCACAGCCCAAAAATAAAGGGGGCAAAGATGGGAAGCAGCATGTGGCAGCTTGGACTCAGAGGTGAAATGGCTTGTCATCGTCAGTGGTAGTATTTAAAGGCACCTTGTCAGCAATGAGATTTCGTAGCACCAAAGCCCTCCAATTTACTTTCATTGACCTGCTAGCACCCTGCAATTGACTATAATGCACAATGGATCTATGGAAATTGTGCCACAAGTTACACAAAAGTAACTTTCCTTAAAGATCTGCAAAGTGTTAAGACAATTTAAAATTATTTAATGCAATATTAAGCATGGACTTTGGAATCTAAAAGGTCAGCACTTCAGTTATAGCCATTTTTAAGACATACTGGCCATGTTTGTAACACATTTATGACAATCAATCACTTATAAATGGAACCTCAATATAACATGAGACTGTTTTTAAACAAATGCTTCAGTGCTTTTTTTTTTTTATAATCAGCTGTTTCTCCCACCATGTCAGAACGCTAAAACGAGTCAGCTGTTGTGGGGAGCTTCTTAGCAACCCTACAACACAGGTAAAGTGATATCTTTTATTGGATCAACTTCAATCAGGGAAGGAGCATGCAATCCATTAAGTTACACAGAATTCTTAACTGGGCAGAATAGAAATTCAGGTAGTTAAATTTCAGGTACAGAAAGGAAAAGGCTGCTAATGTTATAGCAAGAAATCAAATTCAATAGTGCAGATATGCTCATGCTAATGTAATTAGTGAGGAACAACTTATAAAGGAAGCAATGGTTAAGTGGGCCATTGATATCAGGCACAATATTGAAATTGATGAGTGGGAAAAATTATAGAACCAAACAATGAACTTCTCGGCATGTTACCAAGTAAGAGAAAATGTGCAAATACTGCAATGCGGATGGTATCTGACACCAGTCAAACTGGCCAAAATGTATGAAAGAGATTCAAAACTCTGTTGGGAATGTCTAGAGGCTGAGAGTACTTTTATTCACCTATGATGGAAATGCAACAGGGCAAAGGAATTTTGGGAAATGGTGTATAACAAGCTATTTTATTTTATTTTTAATTCACATTTCTCAAGAAACTGGAAGCATTCCTTCTTGGCATAATTGGGAATGAATTACCAAAAAAAGGCAATAACTTATTCCTATATGCAGCAACAGCTGCAAGGATAGTGTACACAAGATACAAGAAACAAAGAGAGATCCCAGGGAAAGAACAATGGTTAAATAAGCTAGACAGACTCACAGGCCAATCTTGGCCCACCAAGGAGTCCAATTTTGACCATGGTGCCATTTTCCCAAAATCCCACCCAACTGTCAATCATCTGATGTTCCTTGTGACATCAACTGATGGGAGGGGTTCAAGGGACTTCTGCTGTGTGCAGGTGATCCTTCCACAAGGAACCCTTTTCTCTCCCCATCCTGTGATCAGGAGGGGAGAAAAAGCCGCCTTTTGAAAACATCACCTGCACACAGGACTCCCCTTGCAGATAGCTGATGCTTCCAAAAGGCAAATTTTTTGCTTCCCATTCCATCAAGTGATGGGAAAGGGAGTATCAGCATAGGACAAAGAGCCATTGTTATGTGCAAGCTGATCTTCCTAGGCAGCTCTGAAGTCAAGAGCCTCAGAATGGGAGCCCAATTACATTTCAGGATTCACAAGTCAGGATTCACAGTTCCCTGTAGCTGAATCCTATTTTCACACAGGAATGCAGCCTTCCTTTATCCAGCTCTGTTCCTGACCACACTACCCACAAGACTGGGTCATGTGAGCCTTTGAAAGATCAGCTGACCAAACTGGCTAAGTCCCATGACACTCCTGTAGGTCAACTACCCATATTCTTGCATCACAGACTTCACGATAAAGACTAACTGCTTTTTCTCTTATAAAGAAGACTGTCTTAACGAATAGTAATTATTATTGATGCAGAAGTGAGTCTTCTTAGATCACAAGTTTGCAATAAATTCTTACTGAGATTTAAGAGTCATCACAATCTCCACAATCTCCATTCTGAAGTACAAAACATAATTTCCAGTCTCAAATATGAGCTTTTGACCTCATGCCCATAAGACAAGAAAACTGCACTCCAACTTATAGCTGTGAGTTGGCTGAAGGTGTTGCTTGTGGTATGCATATATCTCACTGCTGTTGCTTTACTTAGCAGGTTTTGTGGGATGTGGGGGACTTCAAAAACACGCAGAAGCCATTTGTCCCTAGGTGACAATGGGACAGAATAGTATGTACACCATGGACAACGATACTGCCATTGTATCACCTCTAAAGCCTATTGTCCATCTCCAGTTTGACACACAATGTTATCTAGGGCTTCTGATACTACAGGGGAAATAGGGAGGGAGATCATGGGAACAAGAGCTGTACAGACAGTGCTTACCACTCCTATGGAGAAGTAGTTGTTGATGATACTGTAAGGGACAGGGTCCCCATTCTCCTCTTTGTCAATAGGGATGACATCAATTTGCCATCGGTCCAGCATTACCTCTGCACTGTGTTCAATGTCCTTCAGGACCTTCATTAAGTTGCCACCTTCATAACCTTGAGAGTGGAAAAAGGGATGGCATATGGTAAGGAACAGAATGTCAGCGGTGGAATAGGCCAAGCACTAATGGGGCAAACAGTTGTGTTACAGAGAGTCTGGTAATGGATGCCTCGGCGCTATGCAAAGCCATAAAAGAAGGCCAAGTGATCAGAAGCAGAGAAGGAGAAACAAACCTGGCAATGATTTGGGCCCAACAACATCAATGGTGAATGGGGAACCATGCTCTTTTCTAGTAGATAAGGCTGTGGGTTGGGTAAGATTGCAAGTTGCATGGTGGGTGTGGTAAGGTTTCTTTTCTTTTTTAATGTATACTTTGAAGAGCTGTCAGTGATGGACAGTCTCCAGTGGTGCAAAGCCCGGACAACAACAAGTGGTATTAGAAGCAGCTGACAGGTTTCAACAGCACATGGGACTGCTGTCAGGAGGGATCAGTGGCAAGTCATGGTGTGAGGTCGTGATGAATGACCCTACAGTGTTAGGCTGACTCAAAATACTTACCTCCGCCCCATCGTAGGCAGCGGGCAAGGTCATTGCCTGTTCCCAGGGGCAGGATAGCCACAGGAGGGTGTTTTGCTATGTTTATCTTATCTGCAAAAAGAAAAACAGACTTTAGAAGCCAACAGAGTGCTGGAGTCAACTTTCCTTTTTCTACATCACCTGCCATAGCAGAGCTAATGAGGACAGGATTTCCCAAGAGCAGAACGAACCACAGCTGTATTCCCTGGCTATACATGGTGTGTTGGTGTTTGAAAGCAATTTGACCTAATATATTGTAGTTTTATATGTTGCTTTTGCAAACATGCACCTTTCTGAGCACACGTCTGGCTGGGGAACTGCATCACAAAATTCAGAGAAGTGTGAATTTCAAAGGATAACCTCATTTCAGTTAGCTTATTGGTGCAGCAAGTGTGAATAAAGTAGGTTTGCCTAAAAAGGCAAACCAAACTAATTTCCCTCCCACCCCCATCCCTAGTTCCTTGAGCTGCTGGACCTCAGTTCAGAATTTCAGGAGACCAAGCCTGCAACCCTATCTATGTGTGCAGCTTTCAGAAAAGGGAGGCAGGAAAGCCTCTTTATAATGCAGCCTGCAGTCAAAGATGTGGCTGGTTAATGCCAATCAATATATGAATCAATATATGGTCCTGAGAGATCTGCATTGGCTCTTAGTACGTTTCCGAGCACAATTCAAAGTGTTGGTGCTGACCTTTAAAGCCCTAAACGGCCTCGATCAGGTATACCTGAAGGAGCGTCTCCACCCCCATCGTTCAGCCCGGACACTGAGATCCAGTGCCGAGGGCCTTCTGGCGGTTCCCTCATTGCGAGAAGTGAGGTTATGGGGAACCAGACAGAGGGTGTTCTCGGTAGTGGCGCCCGCCCTGTGGAACGCCCTCTCATCAGATGTAAAGGAAATAAGCAGCTATCCTATTTTTAAAAGACATCTGAAGGTAGCCCTGTTTTTAATATTTAATGCTGTATTGTTTTTAACACTCGATTGGGAGCCACCCAGAGTGGCTGGGTAAACTCAGCCAGATGGGTGGGGTATAAATAATAAACTATTATTATTATTAATATGAAATTCAGCCCTCTCCTGCTGCAGGTCCACCTCCTTGGGCTCCTTGCCACAGAGTCTTCCCGGCTACAAACTTTTCCTTGTGCGCACTTCAACAGTACAGAACTCTCCCTGTCTCCAGGCTGCATGAGAGACATGCTTTCAGCTGCCCCCGCTTTCTCATTCATTGCCAACATCCATCTTTCTTTCAAGGGAGGGAAATCCTTGGCATGATGCTGCCAAAAGAAGGGAACTCCGCTGAAGGAGCGAAAGGATGCCCTGTCGTGGGGAGAACAGAAATGATATGTCTGCAAACTTATGCATACTCACTTTGGAGTAAGGCCCATTGTTATCAGTGGATACCAAGGGCATTTCTCCTCTCAGTTCTTATCACCTGTGTGTATTGCTTTGTCAGGTTGTAAGCCATTGGCAGAGGCTTGGTCTTTTGTTCCAAGTTGCACAACATTTCATTCAATATTAGATGCTGAATAATAATGACAATATTAACGGAGATGCAAATTGGGGAGGCGGTAGCGGGGGAGAGCGCATCTGGCTACTCTTTCTGGCAGAGGAAGGAGGAGAAGATCATTGTGGCCTGGCTGTCAGTTTGGAATCTTCAGCGCTACAGACTGCTCCATTTCTGTTCATAAACATTATATGGGGCAGAGGTTCATGTGGGCATCCAGTTCTAAAGGATCGACGTAAGACAAATTAACCACCAAGGTCACTCAGATACTTGTGTGTATTTTTTTAAAAAAGTTTTAAAAGTACATTTTACATGCATTTGAGTCTTCTTGGTGGATGAGGTGTGTGCATGGAGACAGGACTGGTCCAAGACATTTTGTAGTCTGAAACATGGGGCAATCTGGAATCCTCATCAGAGCTCCAAAACCCTCATAATCCTTGTATGGGACAGAGGCATGTTTGAGTCTGTGTATGTAGATGGGGCCAGCCCAATACATTTTGCTGCCTGAGGCCAAGATGTTCTCCTGCTCCAGCTGACTGGACTGGAACTTGACTCTTGCACCAGTCCTAGCAATGGGACGCTGTCCTCTAGCAGCAGGCTAGGTTAAAGGGCAGCGGAGTAGGCTGTGTGCAACAAAGCTCTGTCCCTCCCTGCCACCCAGCATCTGCTAGCTGAGGTGCTTGCCTCACTCTGGCTAGCAGAAGAACTCTAATTTCAGCCCCTCAAAGAAACACAGGAAGCTGTCTTATATTGGAGTCAGAGTCGGACCATTGGTACATCTGGCTCAGCACAGTTCACACTTGGCAGAAGTCCAGGGTTTCAGGCAAGTAGCCTTTCACAGCCCTACCTGCAGATTCCAGGGGCTGAGCCTGGGGAAGTAACTGCTCTGCTGCTGCCCTACTACAGGACCCCGCCTCTCTCTTACACAGTAGTGACCCCAGGCGTATCAGCTATCCAACAAATCTAATGTACTTTGATCCATGCAGCATCCCTGGATCCCAATTTACCTATGCAGTCCAGGATCCATCCAACGGTCCCATCTCCTCCACAAGCCAGAATACGGAAGTCTGGAGCATCACGGAAAAAGTTTAAACTAAGAGAAAACAGAAGGAAAAGGTAGGGAAGCTCTTTAGAATAGCTTGCTTGCCATATGTGGGAAAGAACACCACATCTAAACTGCTTTTTAAATTCACACAAAAGCAAATGTGAAAAAAGGCACAGCAGCCCTGCTGCTCTTCAAAGTCCTAAATCATGCAATTCTAAAGAATTGGCAGCAGGCTGAGTTCCTCAAGCTAAGGTATGTTAAGAAGCTTCAGCGAGCAGGGAGGTGGAAAGGGAAACTGGAGAGGGAAGGTGAGCAAAAAGCAAATGGGGAGTGAGAATGGGCAGCACAACTAAGAGGGAATAGTAAGGATAGCAAAATGGATGCAGGTTGATCAGTGGATTTCAGTACCCAGGAGTGGGTCCTCCCCGATCCAGGTTGTAAACTTGTCTGGGGTTGAGTAGATAATGGAATTTCCGATGAACCCTGAAAGTAAGTAAGAAAAACAAAAAGTGATGGCCCCTAAAAAGGAGAGTAAAGGCTAGGAGGAGGGAAATCTGTCAGTTTCACTATGTTCTCATTTTTCCAGTCTTAAGTTCTCCACATTTCCACACTAGTTTTCATTTTTCTGTTTAAAAAAAGTCCTCATGAAAATTCATCAGAATTTTAGTGCAAATTTCTAATATTAAATGTTTGCAAGCAATTGTGCCCCAAAATAAACATTTTTGCAAATCAATTTCCCCCTATTATAATGCACACTTTTACCACATTTTTGTACTCATTACTTGGCCAGAGAATTGCATTACAAGATTTGAAGAAGAGCACATTTTTTGAAGGATGCCTGTGTATCAGTTTGTGCATTGTTTTAGAAAGTGAGAATTAGGGAAGTTTGCCTTTAAATGTGAATGGATTCCAATTTCTCCCCTATCCCTATCCAAGGCAGATGATTACATTTTCTTAGCATCAGCTACTCTGTACCCACACCACAGCCTGCTCAGGGCAGCTTCATAAGTGTAGCAATAGTTGCCACCTTCATATTCAGAAAATGGAGGATGCTTTTGAATTGATGTTTACTGCACTGTGGACCCATCTTTTCTCCTTTTTCTTTATTATAAATTTATTTAACTTTTCAGATTGACAAACAATCATCAAGCAGACAAATAAAACCATTTCCATATGGAAATCTTTTCTCCTATTTCTAAGCCCCCTCTCCGAAATGTTTGCTTCATAAATACTTTTGAATTACAGCTGTCCTTACCAAGCCAAAGACTTGGTGATGTCCCAGGCACCAGATAACAGGTATCAGTGACAGCCTTGCAACCCCATTGAGCAGTGCTATCTGGGGTACCGGTATTTCCCAAGCAGCACAATATTGCCGTCTGATTGCAGGAAAAATGCAGTCTCTCTGCTATTACTTCCTTAAGGGAAGATGTTTGCATTACTCACAGTGATTACTAAATGTGCATTTACTGTACCAAAAACCTCTATCCTGCAGAGGGTACAATTTTCCAATAGGAGGAAGGGAAACATACCTTTCTCCTTGTCTCCCTCCACTCTTGGGGTTCACAAACACCAACAGTGGATGCGTTCCAGGCTTAGGGGTGATCTAGAAAGCAAATTACAAAGCAAACAAAGAGCCTCCTTATACAGCATACAAAACATCATTCATGCAAAATGGGGGGGAATGAGTCATACGGCACTGCCACAGAGGAAGTAAGGCATGCAACTGGCAACATGTTGGATCAGCAGAATCTGGAGAAAGCTGGGAACCACCAATCTGTGCACTTATTCTTATCCACACCTATTCTGTCTATGGCCTTCTAAGCACACGAGCCACAGCCTCAGGAGCTCGGCTCTGTTTAATATATACATCCTTTGACTCAATAATGTTTGCCTTATGCTCCACAAATATCCTCTTGTGCGCTTCCTGATATATGCCTAGAGACTGAACTCTTTAAAGGACAAGGCAGGCATTGCTATTGAGACAATATTAGGTTAGCAGAGCTTCAGCAAGCTTGGGTTCTGTGGGGAGAGCTGCAGAAGCATGGATCCAAGGGTTAATCTGTTAACCATGCACAATTCAACAGGGCGACTATCAAAGGCTATTCCAGAACCAGCTTCATGGGGAGACTAGGACAGGGGTCAGCAAACTTTTTCAGCAGGGGGCCGGTCCACTGTCCCTCAGACCTTGTGAAGGGCCGGACTATATTTTTTGGGGGGGAAATGAATGAATTCCTGTGCCCCACAAAGAACCCAGAGATGCATTTTAAATAAAAGCACACCTTCTACTCATGTGAAAACACCAGGCAGGTCCCACAAATGACCCAGAGATGCTTTTTAAATAAAAGGACACATTCTACTCATGTAAAAACATGCTGATTCCCGGATTGTCCGCGGGGCGGATTTAGAAGGCGATTGGGCCGGATCCGGCCCCCGGGCCTTAGTTTTCCTACCCATGGAGTAGGAGATCAGTGCAGAATGACATCTTCTCCCTGGTATGCCTTTCTCCACAACTAGCCTGCAATTTAGGCATGGTGTACAAAATATAATTCTGCAGGTATACACACGCTCATTCACAAGTGTAAGAGAAAAGTGAGAGAGCAAGTGTGATATACTGGTGAGAGTGCTGGACAAGGGCAGGTTCAAATCTCCACTCAGTCATGAAGCTCTTTGGGCATGACCTTAGGGCAGTCACCACTTTCCAGTCTAAACTATCTCACCAGGCTGGTGCTGAGATACAGCAGGGATGGGAAGAACCATACATGTTGAGCAGGACAGAAGTCAAATCAATAGATATGATAGCAGCAAATGTGAACTGTCTACCTGTAGTCCATGCCCATCCACCGTGGTGGTGTTGTATCTGAAGGCCAGGGTTGTATCATCTGGGGATGTGCTGGATGGCGATTCACTGTCTGATCTTCTTGGGTGGGATTGCCTATCCTTTGGAATAGGGAAAATGCATAAAGGACTTTGAAGCATGGATGAAGGCCAGCAAATAACAAGGAAGCACTGACAACATAAACAAAGTGGGAAGGATGACTTCCTCCTGACTGTACTGAAATACAACAGAAAGACCACGAAAGCTCCAAGAGTTAAGTTAATATCATATGAAACTTTTGTATTAAAATACTGTCTGTCAAGCAACACAGAATACAAACATGCAGATTAACCATCAATAATACATTGTATGAAGTGCAAACCGTATCTGAATATAGTGAGCACATAGTGAATGGCACTGAAGGACTGAATCAGTCATTCCAAAAGTAGTTTAGAAAGTTGTGTACACAACGATGGCTCCAAAGTTCAATACTTGACTTGCTTCCCAGGCTGATGTTGTTCCAAGATTTATATTAACTTCAAAATTCCACAATCTGCACAGCTGAAAAGCTTTCTGAGAGGCCCATACACATATTAAGAAAAGCTTTTTATATACATATTAAGCTTTTTAACGTGGATTTTTAAACACTGATGCAGCTTTCATGATGCTTAGATACCTGAAAAGTGAATGAATCCAAAATATTTATACTATTCTATGTTTAATCATATTTATACTGCAGTTTTCAGCCAAAATTGGATCTCAAAGCAGCCTTACAACACTAAAAGCATCACAAAACCTCATAGATTATTCTGAATAGCAATAGTAACAGAGGAATAAGTAAATATGAGAAAAATCCAGAAAAGAGCACCACATAATAAAATTGCCAAACTTTTCTTCTTTAGTAAGTATCTCCAAGGGCTTCCTTCACTACGATCTAATTCCCAGCTCTTTTTTTCCTTAGCAGTGGCAAAAGGGAAGCCCTGGACCATGATGGGGTTCCAAATTATACCAGCCATATGCCAGCTAAGCCAGCTCAGTGAATTCCACATTGGGTTAAAAAACAAAAACTGAGCTGACTCTTATAAATCTTCTGAATCCATTCCCTGTTTTAAGGTGTCCAAGTATGGTGTTTGTCATATTTTAAAATGTCCAAGAGCTCCTTTTTGAAGCAAATGTGGAGATGGTGGAACTGCGAGATTCATGTCAAGCCCTGAGCAGGGAGCAAGTCAAATACTGAACTTTGGAACCATCATTGTGTCCATCATTTCAAGCCACTGTTGAAGCGATTGATTCAATATGATTCACTGCAGGGTCACTAAATTAAGAAAGATTGTTTGCACCAGTAGTGGATGGCATGGTGGGGGGAAGGTGCTTAACTGAACGCCTCGCTTGGCTGCTTACCAGGAGGGAGAGGGGGAAAGGTGAGGCAGTGGGGAAGGCAGTGCAGTGTCAATGCACTGGCAGGAACAACGCATTGGCTCAGCTGCTGCGTTTGCACTGCGCTGACTTTGCTGCCACCTCGCCCCCCTCCTCCCAGTAAGAAGCAATGACCTGCTTTCTGGGAGGTCGTGTAAGTCCCTTTGCCCAAACAATCTGTCCACTACTGTTTAGCACTTTATGAAATGTATTACTGAATGCTTATCATCATGGCACTGTTTGACAGACAGCATTTAATATATTATACATTAACTTTGGGTCTTCTGTTACGCAATTTGGGTGGCTGCATTTCCACTAGCAAGTAATAAGGTATGTTTTAATTTCTCTCCCAGTTCCAATAGTTTCTTCCCCCATGGATTTACAAATTTATAGATTCTGGAGTGGGACAGAAATCTGACGATAGAGTGATAGATAATGTCCTTGATTTCCTGTTTTTAAACTTTATTCACAGAATGGTTTTTAATTCAAAAAACTGCTACTGTTCTCCATATTTAATGTGCAATCCAGATCACTGGCATTTTCATGATTTTTGACCTCACATATACATTTTCTTCATTGGGACTCAATTACCAGCTTTCACTATTTCCTCATTTCTCATAGTTCTGGACACAGGAAAAAGTAGACATAGCATTTGAAAGTACAATGTTTGTACCACCACAGTTTCCTCATTAGGAAAGAGGAAACTTCTTAATTTGTGGAAGTTGTGGAGCACTCTTTCCACAGAGGTGTGTTTTAGATATCGTGCTTTTAATTGTTGCAACCCACCCTGGGACCTTCAAAGATAGAATGATCTTTTAAAAGCATATGCAAAACCACAAAGCACAAAATAAGAGGTAGATTATATGCAAAACCTGAGAAGGATACTACAAAAAGTGTGGAAATCTCTCAGCAATTGTCATTTTTGAGCCTGTCCAATCTTACAATCTTGCACACCTTGGAGTGCCTGTGCCTATTCCAAGTAATCACAAAGTGGCTCTAACACAGGGATAGGCAACCTACAGCCTAATCAGGCCTGAAAGGCCTTTGAGGTTGGCCCACCAGGCCACTGTGGGCAGACCATGCCCACCTTTCCAACGCTTGACATCATATAGGACGTCAAGTGCAGGAAACTTGTAGCTAAAATGAAGCTGGAGCTAAAATGAAGAAGATTTGGCTTCCGATTTTTCCTTTGAATGCAAAGGACCTTCCTCTGCAGGCAAGACTTGAGCAGCACCTGAAGAGGAAAAAAATGTTCCTTTGGGTCATCTGATGTCATCCTGACATAAGGTGATTGACAGGCGGACAGCAGTACCCACTTGCCAAAATGGTCTATGTGGTGCTCAGGATCCAGCTAGATCACTTGATTTTGCTCATTATCCCTGCCTGCTCTAACAATAGAAAATACTTGTGCAAAGACTACATCATATGGCATAACACTCTTCCTTTGAGTTTTTATTTTCAGCTACTTTCTTTTCTGCAACAAAGCCTAAGGCTGTATACTAATGATTATTTGCTTGAAACAATTGGAGTGATTTTCCTCTTCTAGCAAGCCTCAATTCACCATTAGTAAACTGATAGCTGCATATAGTTAATGGAGTAGTGGGAAAGTATGGTAGCAGTAGCAGTGGCTCGATACGAAATGCCCAGATTGCAAGCAGTTTGTCATTCAGCCTTCTTAGGGACACAACAGCTTTCTAGTAATGGACATAAGAGGCATTCTCTAGCAGCTCTACAGGAAAGTACCTTAGTTTTAAGTTAACAAAATCAGTTTGGATGGGTTGAAAATCTAAAGTTTTTGAGAGAGCATCATCTAGCGGCCTTCATATGGGAGACAGAAAATGCCAATCATTAAGCCCATTTCATAGGTGTTAAGCAGGCTCATTTACCAGAACAACTGGGCAGATGTGCGAAGGCAATAAGATGTGGTCCTTGAGCTGCCCACCATCACACTCAGGCTTCACATGAGAGGCACATTTGTTGTGAAGCTGCAAGAGGAGAAAACACAGCACAAAGATTCTCTTTAAATATATCCATAAAAAGGAAGGCTGTTACAAGTAATGGCAAGGTGGTTTCTCTAACTGGCATTAATAAACAACAAATAAATGTTACCTGGCTAATATTACTTTATATGTTGGAAATGTCAGAAGACAAGAGGGGACTATTATCATATATAGTGGGAATGCAAATTTGGGGGGGGGAGAAAAGAAGAAGAATTGGGGCATCCTAGGATTCACTGGCTCAATTATGGTAACGTTATGGTAAAAGATGAATGAATATAAAAACTAGCCTCATATGTGGTCCCTGTGGATGGGGGACTGCTGATTTGGGAACTCCAAGATCAAATGTAGCCTATCCTGAACTGGGGAAATATGTCAGGATGAGTGGAATAAACCAACTTATAGATAGTGGAATGACTTCTATATGTGCCAGATGATCCCAGGCTCATCGTACCAAATCAAGCAAGTAACAAAGCTCAGTCACATTCCATGGCTTCTCAACAATATTCAGTGTCGTGACCGTTTTCACAATCAGGAGAAAAACCGAGGAACAGATTTCTTATTTATTCACAGGCATGCCGTGATTATTGCCAATATAGAAGAAACATGGCCTGCTGATGTAGGAGGTGACTTGGCTTGAACAGCTTAGCGTTCTTTAAAAACAAAACACCACCACGCTTGCTTCACGTACTCACTGTGATTTGGCACCATACACAATGCAGTCCGGTAATGCCCTGGTAGCTCTTGATGCTTTTATGACAACGATCGCATTTGGCCGGGGAGTTCCCCTCAATCCATGTGTGCTGCATGACCTAGAAATGCATGAGACAAGGTGATCCATGCTGGAAAAGAAATTCAGGCACTAAATATGAGGCAACAAAGGAGAAGAAATGCTCCTGAATGAGCGTCAGAATCATTGTTCCTTCAAATGTTTCAGGATATGCTTTTGAAGCGTGGGATAAAGAAAGGAATGGGAAAGTGGTTTTTTTTGGGGGGGGGGGAGTCTGTGATCCAACTATCGTGGTGTCTCATGAGCCTTCGGCTAAACTCACTGTATTATAAGGCAGGCTACTCACAATCTTAAATGCCATTGGTATAGAACATTAGATGGATATTTTAGCCATAATACCACAATGAACTGCTCACATGGACATGCACAATCCAAAAATCATTGACTTTCTCCATTGCTTCTCTGAGTTCTTTTCCAGTCTTGCAGCCTCTGTTTCTGCTTTGTCATGACCTCGCAGCTATGTTTTAGTACAGCTTCTGGTATCAGCTGCAACTCTGGCCAATGTTTTTTGATGTGCTGCTCTCTCTCCGACTACAAACCCAGCTAGAGTTTCAGCACAATTTCCTTATACAGGGCTGATGACCATCCTAGGGGCAGATGCTTTCATTCAGAGTTTGGGGAACCTGGAGCTGCTGAGCTCTAAGAATGTAGGACTCTGCTGCCAGAAATGGGTCTCAATGTTTTGCTGTTGAGCGTTTGCTTGCCTAACCTCCTCTGGAGAAGTAGCCATATCTGCAACAGTTGCCCAGAGGGCAGATTCCTCCCTTTTCAGTTTGATACTTATGAACTATTCCAGCAATATGGCAATTTGGTGAAGTGTGGTAGCCTATAAAATACAGGTCCTTCTTGGCACAATAGCAGGGCTCTTATGACTGTGTGGACAGCATGATCTGCATTGCAAACAGCCTGCCTTAGATGGAAGGTCATCAATAAGTGAACACATGCACTAGGCATTCATGAATGCCTTACTCACAGTTGTATTTCTCTTTGATTTCACATAAGTGCTGATGCAGGGGGCAATCTCTTTGGACACGCATCTTTCATGGACTGTGTATTTACAAACTGTAGAGAAAAAGAAAAAGAGAGAAGCTCTAAGTTCACCCTATATTCAAGGCAAGCAGTTTCTAGCTATTTCATTAAACACACAAGACATAACCGGCTGGACTTTTGAATAAACAAGGTATACTATTCATTGTATCAAATTGTAAATTTCAACGGAAGTCTCCTAAAGTTCAACAAAAAAGCAGAAGACCCAGTGGATCAGTTCATTTTCTAGTCAGTTCATTCATAAGGTCCATATATGTATAAGTGTCTATTCCACCTGTCTGTTCATCAGTAGTACAGGCTCTAGGTAATGCAAATAAATACAATATTGTAATCTCACACATTTTACTTCATTCTACTGATGAAGCCTAGGATGGTGAAACAAGGCCAATATTCTAGAAATCCTTGTCTTAGAATCTGTGAAAGGATTCTGTGGAACTGTAACAACCCTTCATGTGGATTATTGGACTCTATGAACAGACAGGTGGAGTAGACTGCTCCACCACCCATCCAGACAACCGAAAGGCATTATCAGAGATCAAGGTCTCATTCCAGCCAGGCAAAAGTATTTGGGGTGCAAAGCAGTGAGGAGTGTGGCCCAGGGAGACTTCTGAGGGCCAGATAGAAAGACATAGAGGCCCACAATTGCCCCCTCCTTGTGCCTGAGGTTCCCCACAGAATGTTGATGACCATTTGCAGTGCATAGTAGCAGCTGTAGGACTGGGAGGATATTGGGGCACACAGACTTTGTTGCCACTGCCTAGATCCCTTTGGATCCTAGGAAAGGGTATGAATTTTATTCAGCAAGTAGAGGTGAGGCCTGGCTTATGGTTCATCCGTTCCACCACATTTGAGAGTTGCGCATCTAGAAAGATCCCCAAACATTCCCAGAATAAGGAACCCATTAGAAGTAAATATGGAATCCCTGCTTGCTGTGTGTCAAAATTAAAAAGGAACAAAATAAACCAGGAAATCTTTCTCCTCATCTGTCTTGGGGATTCTGGCACCGTTGGCTCCACTTTGTTCGAATGCAGGTCAACAAAGAGGGGTGAATCTCACATGAGCATTGTACAAGCAGCCTATCTGGGCACTTACAGGAGCAGCACAGGCCTTGCTTCCTGACGCCCAGCAGCATAGTGCGACAAAAGTTGCAGTAGGCAGGCTTCTTGAAGTGCTTCAGCCTCCACGCATGCTGTCCATCATCCTTTACATTCTACAAGGAGGGGAAAAAGCCCACTGAGATGGAGTGGAAGATACAGAGGAGAGATGGTGTCTCTTGCAGCACCTTTTCCAGGATAACCTTTTCAACTCAGGATGACCAGAAATGCAATGTAAACTACCTGCAAGCTGATTGTCTGAACTGGTCCATTTACAGCCTCCACAACCTACTAACATTTTTGAGGATGCCAGTTAGAAAATGTAAAAGTATAACTTAGTTACGATGTAGATAGATCTTCATAAAGCCCGTAATAATAATAAAATAAGCTGCCATGACATAGAAGAGATGCTATTTAGACTGCAATCTTTATGTGCTGTATATGGTTTCTTTTTTTTTTTTACAAGTCTCACTTAGAAATGCTAATTATTAAGTGGTATACAAGTGCCCTAAATAAATACAGTGGTGCCTTGCAAGACGAAATTAATCCGTTCCGCGAGTCTCTTCGTCTTGCGGTTTCTTCGTCTTGCGAAGCACGGCTATTAGCGGCTTAGCGGCTATTAACGGCTTAGCGGCTATTAACGGCTTAGCGGCTTTAAGAAAAGGAAACAAACTGCAAGAACTCGCAAGACGTTTCGTCTTGCGAAGCACGCCCATAGGGAAATTCGTCTTGCGGAACGACTCAAAAAACGCAAAACCCTTTCGTCTAGCGAGTTTTTCGTCTTGCGAGGCATTCGTCTTGTGGGGCACCACTGTAGATGCCGTTACCTGGGAGTAAATCCCACTGAACTAAATGGGACTGACTTCTGAATAGACATGTATAGCTTTGCGCTGCCAATGACTGTGGACTATCAAGCCAAATTAGAGGATTATGCATTTTTTAAAATTTGCACTGCTTACACCATTGTAAGCCTACTATTTCCAAGCAACTATGAAATCCAAAGAAACAAATTATATAAAGTATATTAACATACAAGAGAAAGATTTATGGTGTATCCTTATCTATACTATTTGTTTAATGTGGTATAACGATTTAAAAAGGAAACAGAAAGTCTGTAAAGGTGCTAGCTTGAAGGCAGTATCTATCAAAATTATTTCTATACTATTCTATATTATTTCTATACTATTTCTATACTACGATCATTGTAACACACAAATTAGTTTGTTTTTGTTTTTGTTTTTTTGCTCTATTGTTTCACCAGTTTCCAAGGGACATTGAAGAGATTGCAAGAATAAATGGGCAATAAAAGCTCGATCGTAGTTATTTAAAATGGTATTATTTGAAGAAGAAAGGTTCGATGGAGAGTAAAGGTAAAGGTAAAGGTCAAGGGACCCCTGACCATTAGGTCCAGTTGCGGACAACTCTGGGGTTGTGGCGCTCATCTCGCTTTATTGGCCGAGGGAGCCGGCGTACAGCTTCCAGGTCATGTGGCCAGCATGACTAAGCCACTTCTGGCAAACCAGAGCAGCGCACGGAAATGCTGTTTACCTTCCTGCCGGAGCGGTACCTATTTATCTACTTGCACTGGCATGCTTTTGAACTGCTAGGTTGTCAGGAGCAGGGACCAAAAAATGGGAGCTCACCCCATCGCAGGGATTCGAACCGCCGAACTTCTGATCGGCAAGCCCTAGGCTCAGCGGTTTAACCTACAGCGCCACCCGCGTCCATGGAGAGTATGGTGAGTCAAATATGACAGCATGAATGCAAACAGAACAAAGGCACCTAGGCGTCCTTTATTACAGGCATGAATGTTAGGTAACCTCAAATACTCTCTTCTGATTAGTGGTGGTGGTAACTGGTACCTCCATTTGGCACATAAGAACATGAGTGGAAGCTTCTAAGCACCAAACCAAATAACTCTCTCACCTCCTACTCATAGAAGCTATTCCTTTGTGCACATAAGAAGAATGTGTGAAAATGGATTCCTCCAAGTGCTTTTTTCCAGAGTCACACACGCCTATGTATGCCACATCAATACTTGCAAAATACTGCTCTGCTTAGCAGCTTAAAAAAAATCAAAATAAATATCTGGCTTTAGTAGCCCCCTTACAGAGTGAGAGACACCCAAACATCCTCCCATTGTGGAATGTCTTTATAAACATCTCGTTCTTGTCATGGCACAGGGATCTCTACCCCCAAATTGAGAAAAACTCACACAAATTCCCAATATGCATCACATGAGCATCTTCATGAGCGTGGCCATCAAGGGCCCATTGTACAGTCTGCAGATTCTTCTTCTTCTTTTTAAAAATGCATTTCAGCCAAACCATTTGCTATAGAAAGGCATATGATGGGCAGTACTCTGTAAGGACAGGCAAAGCAATGCCTACTAATTGGGGCTGATGGGAGCCAGCCAGGAAATGTTAGAAATGGATGAAATCCACTGATGTCATGGTCCAGGAGACAAATGAATGAGAGACTGTGAATGGTCAACTAGTTCCAGGAGTTCCTAGACTCAAGGACTTAAAAGATCCATGTGGCCAGGTAGGATAGGTCATCTGCCACCAAATGTGGTCTTGGGTGGCTAAATTGGGATTCTCGGGTTGCAGGATTAGAGAGTTGAGGCAGAGTAAGAACTTCCTGAAGTTGGGCGTTCCAGGCAGCGCTTCCTTCAGGATCTGAAATTGGTTATCTATGTTTCTGAATGATCGGGGGGTGGGTCAGGCTTTGAAGTGGCAGAATATGAAATTAAACAAAACAAAAAGAGGTTCACAACCCAAAACTACTTGATTACATCTAACTTCTATCTTTATTAAAGTAAGCTACATTTACCTCCTTTTTATATTTGTTATAATTCTTGTTATAATTCTGTTAATTCTGTTAACAAATTTATTGAATGCCAGCAGCAGTTCATTAATTTTCCTTGTATAAAACAGATGTTATTTGAGAATCTGACTTTTGACATTCTGCTGCCCTCGTGTGGTTTAACTTTTGAAAGTAGCTGTATTAAAAAACAAAAACCTTTCTTCTTTTCCTTTGCTATCATTGACTTTATTCTGTGCTCTTTTTAAAGTTCTGTTTATCTCAAAAGGGCTTGTGCAAAAGATACTCCTTGAGAACTGCGCCTGTAAGCTATTAGGACCTGTGTTTGTTGACCTTGACAACACAAATGATTTACCATATTTATCACTCTATAAGGCACACCAGACCATAAGACACACCTAGTTTTTGGAGGAGGAAAACAAGAAAAAATATATTCTGAATCCCAGAAGCCAGAACAGCAAGAGGGATTGCTGCGCAGCGATCCCTCTTGCTGTTCTGGCTTCAGCGAAAGCAACGCAAAGCCTTTTCAGCGCACCGGGAGGAACGCTCCTGCTGCCCTGAAGAGGCTTCATGCGGCTATCCCAGAAGCCAGAACAGCAAGAGGGATCGCTGTGCAGCAATCCCTCTTGCTGTTCTGGCTTCAGCGATAGCTGCGCAGCCTGCATTCGCTCCATAAGATGCACACACATCTCCCCTTACTTTTTAGCATGGAAAAAGTGCGTCTTATAGAGCGAAAAATACGGTAAGTATCTTTCCCTGAATGTAGCAGAGCTATCATCTGTGCTGTGCGAATGATATTTATAGTCAAAACAACAGGGGGAGGCAAAGCATCTTGGTATGCATGAGCAATGGTATGCATTAACATTAACACATTTAGTTGCCTTGCCAAACGTGGATCCACCAAGTTGATTCCTGTTCCCAAAGAATTCCTGTTCCTCAAACACACATTGATATTGAATAAGGGATCTGACTTTTTACCAGTCTTTCTATCCATCTTTTTTATCCCACCAAGAAGCTGTGGGTGATAGTCACCAACACTCTCCCTTTACATGAACACCAAGGTTGGATCTACACTGATCTTTAAAAATGCTAAGAAAGAAACCGTTATATAGCTCTCAAAGCAATTTTCCATTGACTGCTGTACAGCGCCTCCTGGTGTCACATATTTACAATGCATTTATAACATTATAACTTATGGTTACCAGATTTTTTTCAATGAATCCAGGGACACTTTTCTAAAAAAACAAAACAAAACTGAGTAGCAACAGGGAGTCAGTAGTGGGGATGGTGAGGCAAAAGACCCTGGGCCCAAGCACACATGCATACTGTATAGAGGTGCAAAGCCCTTCTTTCTCACCCTGTGAAACATAAATGCGCAGGTTTTTTAAAACTGGGCAATGGCGCCCCACCCGCCCGTGACTCCCGAGCCTTTCCCAATCTCCTGCCCCCTTCCCCCTGTTTTGACAGATCAGGGGAGGCTCGGGAGTCATAGGCGGCTGGCTGTTGCCCAGGAGGGGCCAGCCTGGTAGTGCAGTTGGCTCTGGCTGGCTTCAGGAGCTGCTCACTGCTGTGGCGCAGGAAAAATGGCGGGGGCCACGGCAGCGAGCAGCTCCTGAAGCCAGCCAGAGCCAACTGCACTACCAGGTTGGCTCTGGGCTGCTGAGGCTGCCGCTGCCACGTTTCCCGGGGACAGATTTGCAAATCTGGGGACATTCCGGGGACAGAATTTGTCCAGGGACAGATTTGCAAATCCGGGGACTGTCCCCGGGACTGTCCCCGGGGACATCTGGTAACCCTATTATAACTCACCTCTTATTTTCCCTGACTGGCAGCACCTCTCCATGGTTCTAAGCAAGCCTCTTTTTCTCAGCACTTGCTGCCAGACATCCTTTTGACTGGACCAGGAGCCTTCTTCATGAAATGTGGGTGCTCCACCATTGAGCGGTGGTGCCTCCTCCCTTATACACATCAATGTTTTAAATTGGGGGTGGGGAACAATGATTCCCGAGATGTTGTTGGATTACAACATTGGTGATGTGGCTGATGGAAGCTGGAGTCCAGCAACGTGGAAGATGGAGTAAGCTTGTTTTGGGCTGCTTCAGAGGGTAGGACTCGAACAAACGGATTTAGTTTCCAACTAAACATCAGGAAGAGCTTACTGATGGGGTAGCAGCTGTTCAACAGTGGAACAGCCTCCCTAGGAAGGTTGAAGACTCTCCTTCCTTGGAGGTTTTAAAGCAGAAGTTGGATGGCCATCTGTCATGGATGCTTTAGTTGAGATTCCTGCATTGCATAGATAACCCTTGGTCCTTTCTAACTCTACAATTCTATGATTCTCTGAACATCTAGAGGTTCCCCATAACTGCTTTAAATACAACCATTTGTTGAAACTGCTCACATTTTGAAGTGCCGTAAGATTATTGAACCAAATATACAAGTAGAAAGAAACCGGGTGTATCACATATTTAAACCCTCACTGAAAGAGGAGAAAAATCTTGACTAGCTACTTTTTTTTTACTACTCAGTTGAACATCTTTTATAGGGACGCAGGTGGCGCTGTGGGTTAAACCACAGAGCCTAGGACTTGCCAATCAGAAGGTTGGCGGTTCGAATCTCCGTGACGGGGTGAGCTCCCGTTGCTCGGTCCCTGCTCCTGCCAACCTAGCAGTTCGAAAGCACGTCAACGTGCAAGTAGATAAATAAGTACCACTCTGGTGGGAAGGTAAACGGCGTTTCCGTGCACTGCTCTGGTTGGCCAGAAGCGGCTTAGTCATGCTGGCCATATGACCCAGTAGATATACACCGGCTCCCTCAGCCAATAAAGCGAGATGAGTGCTGCAACCTCAGAGTTGGCCACGACTGGACCTAATGGTCAGGGGTTCCTTTACCTTTACTGAACATCTTTTGGCTCATCTTTTCTGAGGTTAGGCCAGCTACTCACAGTTTCCATGCCCAGCAGAACGAGCAAAGGAATAGTGGTCATGCCACCCCGAATCCACTCTTCCAGCGTCACAGTTCCATCATGATCATAGTCTATTTCTTCCATCATCTCTTTCAAGATCTGTAGAAGGAGACAAAATTTAATTAGAATCAACAGATCCTCTCTCAACCCATCAAACAAAAGTTATTCCATTGGTAGGATATATAGCAGATCTTCAAGGGTGCAGCAAAGAGAGCCTTAATGACTTAATTCTGATCATGCTCAGCAGAGACTTGTACACGAATGAAACTCACCGGCCTCAGTTCTGTGGAGTCCCACTCAAGGTATTCTGCTACATGAACCATCTGATTGATAATACGATCTAGCTCCTGGTTTCAGAAATAAGACAAAAAGGAAGGTAAAGGGGGGGGGATGTAGATGTGTGCATATCTTCAGCAGGGCTGGATAACCTGTGGTCCTCCAGATGTTGCTTGAACTTCTAATTCCCATCAACTCCAGCCATTATGATCAATGGGCAGAGATGATGGCAGCTGCAGCCCAGCGACATCTGGAGGACCACCAGCTTCCCCACCCTGGATTTACAGTAATGTAGTAATATGCATCTGCTGACATTGCAAACATATACTACGACACAAGGAAGACATCCTGTCTTTACGATGTAGCTATGTGGGTTCGGTTTCTCATTCTTGGAAGCTTTGAGGATAATTCCACTGAAGAACTTGCTCAAGGGTAATATATAATGCTATGTGTCGCACACAGAAAAATAGCAGGACTTGTATGCAATTTCTAGTAAGAAATATGGGATCTCAAGCCAATATCTTGTAAAGAAAATAGGAAGTCTAACATATCTAAGCTTCATTAAAGGCCTTAACATCCTCAAAATCTGTATCAAAGATGTATGTGTGTGAGTGTGGCATCAGGCTTGAGTGGGTCCTGGCAGCTAAAGGTCCCCTTACATTTGCCATTGATGCCCTCCCTCCCTTGGTGCTGCCGCCACTACCACCAACATCAATGGCTCCCTCTGTCCCACCCTTAAAAAGAGCAGTTGGGTTTCCAACAATGCCTTGGAGCAAGGCTACATCCGAAAAACTGGGAAACTGAATGGCTAAACTCAGCCATACTGCCGCCGCCACTAGATAAGCCTGCCAGGACCTATCGGCATAGGAATGGCTCATGAATTGCTTGCTGATGCCACACCTCCCCCCCCCCCGAGACCTACGAGCTTGACCCAGAGACCAATCAGATATCACAAATGCACATATGATCCTCTGCACATGGGGAGGCCTCTAAACATTTAGAAAGACTTATGTCCTCGCCTTCTTGAGAAGGGTGCTGCTTTGAAAGATGGCTTACCGAGCTGTCCAGGAGGCCATTGCCATCTGTGTCATAGAGGCGAAACATAACTGCAAGAGAACACAAATTAAGAGCAGGCGTGTGGTGTGGGCCACATATTTTGCTTTTTTTTTTTTTAAAGAAAGCAAGCAAATCCATAGACATGTCTGATAATGGCATGTTTAGCATCACATCTAGTTTGGCCCCGGAAGGGAGGGAGGGTGGCAAGAGAGACGAGGCTGAAAGTTCGTTGCTGGAGTTGGCTGGAAATAAAACTGCAGCCCTTGGGAGCTGTCCAAGTCGCTTTCCAGGGGGATCTTTGGCCTTGGGGGGGAGTGTTCATTGGCCCCATACTCTACATGTACCTTTTTAAAGAAAGCAAATGTTATTAAACCACACTAACTTTCCAGTGCCCAAGGGATTGGCTGGGTACCTCTCTTTCAGCTACGCTCTTCCTATTGGAGTAGCGCATTCGTTGATGTTGAGAGCCCTTCACTGTTCACTTCCCGTCAGCACCTAGACAGAAACAGTTGCCCTGTGAAGTCATGTGCAAGCTTAGACAATGGCCTAGGGTTGAGTGCAGTCAGGTTTTGGTTCTGGCCTGACCAACAGAGGCCCTACTAAAAGATTTTATGACACACCAAACCCTACATGCACTTCAACAAGCAAGTGACACCATTCTACCTATTTTATATATCTTACATTTTCTGAACATGCTCATCAGTGAACTTAATATAAGTGCACAGCTTGGGCAGTGCAAGCACCGACACTTGGCATCCTTAGGTAGTTGCCAGGGTGCCAACAGCCTGGTGGGAACAACTATGGATGCCACTTTGATTTTATGTGTGTGATCTGGTGCTCCTAGCAATATCAGGTGGTGGGGTCTAGCCACTATCACACCCCCCCCTTAAAGTTTGTGGGGTATTAAATGGCAACTAGACTCATTAGCTTAGCATTGCTTGGAGTGCAGAGTGTCATGTTAAAAGGCCTAAGATTATTAGAAATAAGAACCTGGGCTGTGCTTATTAGATGGCAACTTCATTTCAGTGTCCCCTCCTTGCTTACAACTACATGCAGACTGGCGTTCTTCCTTCCAGAATTCCCTTTTTCCTTTTTTGCCTGCTGTAAGTCTTGGGCTTGAGCAGCCTAGGCTTAGTCCCAAGTGCTATGGAATTCTGAGTCTGGATCAAGAAGTAGATATTCCATAAACATTACTCTGGGCTGCCAGGTAAGCCCTGCACAGTCCACTGATGGAGGATGGAACACAATGAGCACTTTGCTCCTCAGACTTGGAGCCAGGGGCAGAGGAAGGGGTGTACGGTGGGTGTGGTCCGCCCCAGGTGTCACCACTGAGGGGGGGAGGTTTGACAAAATGCCGGGCAGCACTCACCGCAAGGCCTGTAGCGCACCTGAGCCACCGCGTCTCTCATGGGAGAGACGCAGTGGCTTGGGCATGTGCAGGCTCTGAGCTGCCCATACGGTTTGCCCACTGCCTCCCCCCCAGCTGTAGGGCGGCTGAGTGGGAGGAGGCAGGCAGACTCCGCCCCAGGCGCCGGAGCGGCTTCCTCTGCTGCTGCTTGGAGCCAGCCTTGGGCATCATTAACAGCTGATTTAACATGCAGGAAAAATAACAATAATAAGGAATGCCAAAATCAACCAACTAGCAAAACAGGGATTTAACTGGCAAAAAAATAGTGTTCAATGGTTGCAACACCTATCTGGTCCTATCTTCATGACCATGTTATTTCATCAGAGCAATCCTGCCTGCTGATCTCAGTGCTGCTTTGGGTACTGTGGTTTAATCCTCACTTGTATTCCTGGTGTCATGTTGAGTTGTGTCTATCTTTTGGTCTCCACATTCTCCGTGTGCTATGACTCTTCAATTGCTTGGCTTGCTCCACATAATGTCAGTTTCAAATATTTTTTGTTAGGTGACCACTTGAAAGAAACTGACTGTGGGGCATTTCTTTTATAAAAGCTTCGTGCAAAAATTCTTTGATAAACAGAGATGTCGTATCCATCAGTATGAGGTGTCTTTTAAGAACAATTGAAAAGCAGAAGAAAAACAAGCAAAGGGCACCAGAGGGCAGTCTTGCACAGTTTCCTGAAATGCTAATGTAACAGAGCCATAAATTATTCCCCATGGCTTTGACTCGGTGCATTGTGGAGAGTAATAAATAAGTAGCAGCTTGCCTTCCTCCTCCTCATCATAGCACAATTGCAAGGTACCCTCTTTCATCTCTTGCTTTTCATTCAGATCATGATAACCAGCTCAATCCATGAAGCAAACCACAATTTTTGTGCAGTACTTTAACTGTGCAGGTAATGAGAAGAGATGAGCAACTTTGCCCTAGAAGAAACCTCTTTAGTAGTTACAAAAAACAAAAGGAAAAACAGAAACACCCCTCTTCTTAGACATGTAAGTATCCTTTTAAACAGGCAAGCTCTGTTACCAGGGTGCCTGTTCATCAGTCTACATGTCAGTGATGCTCTTTCCAGAGGCCAATTCCAACAACACATTTCCATTCCTGCTGTGACATTTTGAAAAGTTCCTGGGTACAATGTTATCCCTGGAGCGGGTTATTCACATTATGGTTCCCAAGCTGATCCTGTGAGGAGGATCCTACAGTATTCTGCTTTGTAATATTTTCATAATTAACCTGCCCTTTGGTGCGCAAAATGACTCTGGGGTTTCTAATGGCAAATGAATCACACAGTCAGCTTGGCACAAATTCAGAGCCATCCAAGGGAGAAGGAGAAGGAAAACAGCCATGGTAAGCTCTGTGGTTATGTGAGTCAGCTCTGCAAAGAGTTTGTATGGAAACTGATTGATGAGCTTTCATCTTCTTCTGTGTTAGAATTCACTTCTTTTAATGGGAGCAATCAGTACTGCATGCCAAAGAGCTGGAGTGTCCCCAAAGTTGTTTTTTAAAAAATATATATATTAAAAGGTCCCTTCCAAATCAAATTGGAAACTGCTTAAAATGCAAGATCAAATTTAAATTCTGAAATTTTGCCTAAGAATTTGTGTGACGTTTCAGCTTTTTAAACACACACAATGTCTACTTAAGTTGGATAGGCCTAAAGCAGGGATGGCTAACCAGGATCACCCACACTTTGACATACACCATCCATCCAGAGAGCACAGCTTATGCTCATATACAGGCAGATACACACATACACCCAAATGGCATACATAGGTAGCCCCAACCCAGGAGCTGGTGGTCCACCCCCTACGCTTGACTTAAGGGATTGCCAGGAGTTTGGCATTTTAGTTGTCCTTTTCTGTCTGTTTCTGCTAGCCAGGATAGATGAGCTGCAGGGTCCAGGAAATTTCAGACTCTATTCCTCCAAGAAGAAAAGTCTCTAAACTCTAAATGATCCAATTTAACTTTGGAGAAGTTAAGGATCATGTTTTCTCCTGGAGACTGACATATTTTTTTCTTTTAAAGGCAGTACTCCAAATTACAACAAGCAGGGTTCCGAGGGGATCTGGTCCGTTTACTTTTTGTGATTCTCTGTTAAGATACATTTTTAAAACAGTTTGTGGAGGTTATGAATGATCTAAAGTTGCAGGAAATAATATGTGTGGGGCTTGTGGATTAGATTAAAGCCCCCTACACACATAGTATCTTTTATCCCATAATTTGAATATAAGAAAAGGGTCTACCACCTCAGGCCTGTTTTTAAACTCTGAAGAAGGGACCCAAGAGAAGCAAATGCAGCACAGATATATGACCTAAGTTGATCTGGTCAACTAAGAGGTGCCACCTAACCAACATATCTGCCTATGATGCTCTAGAGAAAATGGATGGAGAATGAGTGGAGAGGGATGAAGGATTGTGACCAGGTTGATTCACAACACACACACACACACACACACACACACACACACGCCTCTTGCCAGAACTAGAAGCTCAAAGCCATTATTGCTTCCCCTGAAGCCACAAACCCTCCCATTCCCCCCCCATACCACACCACTGCCTCCAAGTGACCCCAGCACAAAACAAGTCTTAAGACCTGATGCTGTGGTCACAGACACTCTTCCTGTCACCCAAGCACTTACACTCCAGCTTATCCTCAGCCCGTCCCCTTTCCAGCAGTGACAGGTAGCAGACAATGTCCTTCAGGTAGACTACCTGAGCCAGTGGGGCTGACAAATGCGGACTGGCTGTTTTCAGGGAGATGTGGCTCTTTCGAAGGCTGAATGGTAATTTCTTCTCCAAGCTTCTGGAGCCTAAAGAAAAGGTCAAAAATAAGCACAGGTGATTCAAAGCTCAAAAAGAGATGTTGGACTATGCAGTCAGGTAGACATTAAAAAGACAACAGCAACTCAGGGCCTTTTTTTTGCTTGATCCTACAAGTGGCACAATGGGATGCGGGTGGCGCTGTGGGTTAAACCATAGAGCCTAGGACTTGCTGATCAGTAGGTCGGCTGTTCAAATCCCCATGATGGGGTGAGCTCCCGTTGCTCGGTCCCTGCTCCTGCCAACCTAGCAGTTCGAAAGCACGTCAAAGTGCAAGTAGATAAATAGGTACCACTCCGGCGGGAAGGTAAACGGCGTTTCCGTGCGCTGCTCTGATTTCGCCAGAAGTGGCTTCGTCATGCTGGCCACATGACCCGGAAGCTGTACGCTAGCTCCCTCAGTCAGTAAAGTGAGATGAGCGCCGCAACCCCAGAGTTGGTTACGACTGGACCCAATGGTCAGGGGTCCCTTTACCTTTACCAGTGGCACAAGCACCTCAGGAAGGGCTTGCCAGCAGCGCATCCCTTATAGGTCTGTTTTATCTCTAGCAGTCTAAACTAACTGAGGCAGCAACAGCAGAAGTGCAGCACAGCAATCCTTCCAGCTAGGGGGAAGTCTCCCCAAACCTTCCAGTTTGCTCCTTACTTTCAGGAAAGCTGCGCATAGCACTGCACTAAACTTTCATCACTCCCTAGTGGGTGGCTGAATGTAATGAGGCCATTTAACTTCCTCCCCTTCCAGCTCTATGAATTGTTGCATGCCACCCCAATCTCCATGAGCGGTGCAGGATTCCAGGGGCTTATTCAGGGATTGAGTTTCCTTTTGGGAACAAGGCACAGCACAGACTACGGCATCTTTATGAGATATGGTTTTATTTGCACATATATACTACTTGCGCCTAGAGGGAGGGATTGCAGAGCATTCACATCCTGTGAGGTTCTGGCTTCTCCCTTAAGAGCAGCACTGGATTCCAGAGACAGCAAAAAGCCACCCTCTGTGTCTCTTTCTTCCAGGCTGTCATCCTCAGCTCCCTTGCAGTTCTGCCACTCCTTCTCCTGCTCACAGACTCCAAGGTCCATCACTAGCCTTTGTCCCCTGCTAAAGACCCAGATCCTGAAGCTGAGACTCCAATACTGTGGCCACCTCGTGAGAAGAGAAGACTCCCTGGGAAAGACCCTGATGCTGGGAAAGATTGAGGGCACAAGGAGAAGGGGACGACAGAGGACGAGATGGTTGGACAGTGTTCTTGAAGCTACCAGCATGAGTTTGTCAAACTGCGGGAGGCAGTGGAAGACAGGAGTGCCTGGTGTGCTCTGGTCCATGGGGTCACGAAGAGTCGGACATGACTAAACGACTGAACAACAACAACAAAATGACCCATCCACCTAGCTCTGCAAGCTAGGTCTTGGCCAGTTAGCATAACTAAATCCAGGGGGTTTCAGTGTTTGGCAAAGTTTAATCAAACCTTGATTAATTCTCACTTCTACTGAATTATAACACATTTGGGGGATCTACCCCCCAAAAAAAACCTCATAACAGTGTGTAAAGTTTTTGGAATGAACTCCAAGGAAGTGTGTCAATGCACCTCCTCCTTTTTTAACCTTTGGAGGAAATGCTAAGCATGTCATGTTAAAGTTGTGTGTGTATATGTGTGTGGGATTTTTTTTTTTTACTGTGTTTTTGTTTTACTCAGCTTGCACTTTTAAAATTACTTTTGGAGGGTGGTTTTATGGGGTTTCATATCCCATTGTATTTTATCTGTTGGCCTGGGAAAGAAATGATTAATATGATTAATATGCGAGCCAACTTTAAATAGATAAAAAGCCATCACATGTAGATGATGGAGCAAATTTGGCTTTTGTTGTTGTTGTTGCTGCTGCTCCACAGCAGTCTTCCCCAGCCTGGTGCTCCCCTAATGTTGTCAGCCACTGCCAGCATGGCCAGTGGTGCTCATATGAGTAAACCTCTTGCATAACATCCCAAATCAACACGACTGCCAAGGTATATAAGGTATGAGGAGGTATATATGTATGAGAATACAAATTCATCTATATAACCTCTGAGAAGGAAGACCTAGGAAAAACAACCAAATACTGAAAGAGAAGTAGCTGGCTCAAGACCAGCAACTAAAAATTGGTCAACAGGCAAATCATAAGGCAGTGTAGACATGCACATTTGATGTGAGCACTGGCCCTTAGGAAATGAGGAGATTCGCATCTTCTTCCACTTATGCTTCCCTGACACAAAGGAGTGGGCAATAAGACACTTCGTGGCTTGCCCAACCTGCCTCCTATTGCCATGGTAAAAAGGATACTGGCTGACAGGATTTCAGCAGCAAAACAAGACACTTTCCTCCCACCCCGCCGCAACATCTAAAGATGCTGCAGAATCCACTGTGCTTGAAATAGAAATGTGGCTTTGCAGCTGAGCTGAGGCAGCTGGTGACACCACCTCAGATAAATTAGCTTGTTGCAAATACACTCCAATGTTTGCAAAGGCAACAGTAATGTGCTTCCCAGAGCGTCTCAGAGGAAACTCTCAGGAGTCCCTGACTACCACTGTGCAGCAGATGGATGTGGCTGGGCCTGCGGAGAGAGAATGCTGGAAGTAACACAGTTAGTTATTGACCCAGTGAGAGAATTGCTTTTTGAAAAATCACTTTCTTGTCCTGATGCTGATGTGTTTGCTTCCCAAACTCTCACAGAGATCAAAAGTGTTTCTGTTCAACTTCCATTTCAGGTTTCCTAACGAGACTTTGCTGACAGAACCAAACAGAGAACTCCAAGTTGTGGCTTTGGCCTGTGAGAATTGCAGTCACATCCACACCATAAAAACACACCTCACATCCATTAAAATACATGCCTCCCCCTCTCCACAAAATCCTGGGAACTGTGGTTTAACCCTTGCAGAAATACAATTTCCATACACTTAACAATTCACTGTTCCCAGGGTTCTTCGGAGATAGTCACGTATTTCAGATGTGTGTTAAATGCAACGTAAATGTATGTTGCGGACCTGGCTTCTCTTCACAGCTACAGAGACTTGGGGCAGGGAAATTGCAGTGTTCATACAAGGCCTCAGGAACAGAAGAGCAAAGATGGGACTCACCTGGGGACTGTGGGCTAAGCAGAGAACCTGAGGAGAGCTTGGAGGACCCTGAGGAGTTTTGAGCTGAGGGGGTACCAGCAGTGGATTTCTGTGAAGATGACCTGGACCAGCTAGGTGAGGCATTCCCAAGGGCGTTGGCATTGGCAGTTGGAGCAGGACTTAGAGATGCTGTTTGTGGCTCTGCCAGGTTTCCCGGGGAGCTTTTGGGTTCAGGTGTGTGCCTTCCTGTGGCAGTTAGGAGTGTTTTCCCATTGATCCCTATAAATTCAAACACAGCAAGAAGTCAGAACTCTTTAATGGAATGTGTTATTCTGCACACTCCAACTTGGAGCCTATTGGATGAGGACTGTCATTTAGTGTCCTATGCAGATGGAGAAGTATCTCATGTACTGCTTGTGCCAGCTCAGTCCCCAGGAAGTTAGGCCTGGTCTGCTGAGTTCTCTCAAATTAGACACAAGGCTCATTTCTTCTCTGATCTGCTGTCTTACACTCATCTCCATCTCTGTTACCACAGGACTGGTGTTGTCACTGCATTTCATAGTGTTTTCAGACAGAAACGACTCTCCCTAGCTTGATCACATCCAACACTATGCATTTAAAGCAGAATCAGGTTTTAGCCAGTTAATTATTTTTCCCTTCAGTAGGTCAGGCCATAGTTGAACTATGAAGTCTAGCAAGCTATCAATATTAATTTCATCAGAGGAACCTGAGAAGAAAACAGAAACTGACTGTCTCTTAGGAAGCTCCTAAGCTGCTGTTTCCACAGAACTCCTTACACTTAATCTTATCACAGCTTGGTATTTCATAAAATGCGTTTGAACAAGCTCCAGTTGTCTCTTTTACAATAACTATGCTGTCAGGATAAAAAGATTTATATTTAGAAGTGTGCATTGGATGCAGATGAATCCTGAGGGTGGGGTGCCTCAGGAGGATTTTAGTGATGAAGCAGGATCTGTACAAGGTGGTACAAGTCGCAGCAGGGACCCATGAAGCCCCTTGTGGCACACTCGTGATCCAGACATGAAAAGCATCTGGTGAAAGTAATGTCTCTAAGCTTATCATAATGTCAGGATGGGGTGATGGAAGAAGCAGACCAAATACCAAAGTGGGAAGAGGAGAACACTGTGACTGACAGGCCTCCAGCACAAAATTCTCTGTATATATATTTGCTTGTAATTCTGCAGATAGGTTACCACACCTACAAATTTCATCCACTTCTGTCAAAAGGCATTATTTTGATTTTCCAATAGTGAATGGGGTGGGAACAAAACAGATTTAAATAGACCCTGAGCTGAATGGGCTGTTTCCTGAGATGCCAAAAGAGGGTTTGAAGTGAAGCATGCTTTTTTTTCAGCCGGAACTTGCTGGAAGTCAGTTCCGGCACCTCTCAGGTTGTCATTATAAGAGAACAAGGGAGGCGTTCATGGTGAGTTCCTGCATCTCTTTTTCTAGAAAAATAGCACTGTATACACACACACACACACACACACACACACACACACACAAATAAATATTTTTGTCTTTGGTACATAACCAGAATGGTAGATGTTACTTCAATGTAATATCAGCATTGTAGAGTTGAAAGAGCCATCTCTGCATAGCAACAGTTTCCTGACAAGACCTGATGGTTACAAATGCCAGGTCGCACTGAAATACTGAGAGAGATAGAGCTGTAAAAAGCTTTGGCATTCAAATACTGTTTGTTTTCTATGTTTACTTAGCTGCTGCATGTGACTGTGCGGGGATTCCAGAGTGAGAGAGTGGGTAGTCCCAGGTAAAAAGGGGGGAAGCAAGAGAGTACAGGAACCCAGCAACATCAAATAAAGGCAGAAGGTGGGAAAACTCTGATGTGTTAGAGATTTTTAAGCAGATGGTGAATGGCTATCTCTCAGAGATTATTTTGTAGGGATGGAATTTCCTGCACTAGTAGCAGTTTGGATCAGATGACCTTAGGGCAGCTGTTCTCAACCTGTGGGTCCCCAGATGTTATTGGACTACAACTCCCATCATCCCTAGGTAGCAAGACCAGAGCTCAGGGATGATGGGAGTTGTAGTCCAACAATATCTGGGGACCCACGGGTTGAGACAGTGAGGCAAGCTGCGTAATGGCGGTTGCTCCTGTCAGCTCAGATGACAAGATCCAAACCAGTAGGTTCGATTTTCAAGGAAAAATATTTAGACTTAAAACTAAGGACAACTTTCTGATGATACAGTGGAACAGACTGCATCAGAAGGTGGGAAAACTCTGATGTGTTAGAGATTTTTAAGCAGATGGTGAATGGCTATCTCTCAGAGATTATTTTGTAGGGATGGAATTTCCTGCACTAGTAGCAGTTTGGATCAGATGACCTTAGGGCAGCTGTTCTCAACCTGTGGGTCCCCAGATGTTATTGGACTACAACTCCCATCATCCCTAGGTAGCAAGACCAGAGCTCAGGGATGATGGGAGTTGTAGTCCAACAATATCTGGGGACCCACGGGTTGAGAACCGCTGCCTTAGGGGATCCCTTCTATATGTTTCTAATGGTTAAACAATGAAGTTCACTTTCACGTGCTGATGGCCATCAACATGAACAGCTTTAAAAGGAGACTCAAGCTATCAGTGGCTACTACACACATGATAACTGTATATTACCTCCAGTCTCAAATTCAGCATGTCTCTGAATATCAGTTGCTGGGGACAACAATGGGAGAGGACTGCTGCATTTGTTTCCTGTTTCTGGTTGGCCAACGTGGGAAAACAGTCAAGTAAATTAGAAAAGCCCAGATAGGCTTTTGTACTTATAAATCTCTGTACAATACCGCTCTGTCCATTTATGGCTATGGAGGTCCTTGTTAAAAAGTGGAGCAGGGGTTTCATAAAAGAGCTTATCATAGATACCTGTAACAGGGGCGCAAGCAACTTCAGTCTGGATAGAGATGCCTGTATCAATGGACTTAGACTCTGAAAGCCCGAGAGAAACAGAAAAATAGACACACGCTTTAACAACGTACACTCAGTAACGTTTATTGCAAGTCTGTAGTAAACAGCTGTCATCACTTTCTTCTTGGCAAATATATAAATACTTGGTTAGAATAGAAAGGGTTGTGTGCACATATTATTATGTCTCACCAATAATGCAAAGTACAAGTGGGGGGTGGGGTGGATCAGAACTTAACCCAAGCTGTGGATGGCCTAACCTGAATCCTGGCCTGGAGGAGGTGGAATCCAATGTGGACTCAGTAGGCTCAGTGGCCACAGAATGCCAACTGGTTGTTGGAGGAGGGTGGAAATGGGAAACCAGGGATAACAACGGGTGAAATGGAGTACCGTATTTTTCCGTGTATAAAGATGCCCCCATGTATAAGATGACCCCTATGTTTTGAGCCCAAAATTGATAAATATTTTAAACACCAAACAGAACAACTTCAACATTTTATTAAATATTCAAAACACCAGTATATTTAGTACCGTATATTTAAACATCAAACAGTGAGGCAAGCTGCGTAATGGCGGTTGCTCCTGTCAGCTCAGTGTAACTCCACTGTAGCTGCAGCTCCAGCTCTCCCGCCTGTGTGGTGCACTTTGTCTCAGTATTTACGGTATGTACCGTATTGAGCGCCGGCAGATGCGAACGCTGATTGAGGAGCTGCAACTGCCAGAGCTGCCTGAGCGAGTGCGTTTGGGGAATGGGGGGGGGTCTGGGTAGCCAAGGGGCAACTGAGGGAACTGGGTGGAAGGGACAATGTCCGGAGTGGGGGCTGCTGGGGGGGAGTACCAGATCAGGGTTTGTTGTGAGGCCAATAGCGAGGGGAGGCTGGGGGAAAAGAATATGGATGGTGCCATGTATTTATTTATATACCGTATTTAATTGCAACATTCCGTGTATAAGACGATCTTATACACGGAAAAATACGGTATTATAAAAGAGACTGACTGGAAGAGAACTCCACACTTGCATTTTGTTGCAAGTCTCACTTTGTTCCTTCTAAATACAAATCTGCCACAGAAGACGACTTCTAAAAACATCCCAGCTTCATTTTCAGTTTTGACTGAACATGCAACACGCTTCTTAAAAACTTCAAAAATAACAAGTGAACCAGTAAATCAGCAAATGGCAGGTACTAGTGATGGTGTGTGAAGCAGACAAAGGAGAATGGATGTTGCTCACCAAGGTTGCTGAGCTGTGTAATGCTGGAACTTTGTCGCTGGCTCTCTGGGGAATATTGGCAGATTTTTCGTTTGAAGGACATGAAGAGGTGCTGGCAGAGCTCCTCTGGAATATCCACCTCCAGATATGTTCTCATGAACAGCTGGAACCCCTCATAGTCAATTGGCTTCAGGGAAGAATGGAATAAAGCAAAATAGAAAAGCCCTTTAGATTTGTTTAACTTCTCATTTTAAAAAGGGACGGTCTGCAGAAGTAGGATTCCTTCCAGACAACGCAACAATTAAAATCAACCACCAAGCTTTCAGGCTGTTGCTAATGCATGTTACACAATATACACCATGGTAACCTGTGATTAACAAACCGTGAACAGGTAGCATTCAGTATCCCATTGGAACAACATGTATGGTCCAATAGAGCTCCACAAAACGGCATCAGGGAAAAATGAGTGAAAATCTTTTAGGTCAGAGATGTCAGTCTCCTGCGGTCCATGGGTTATTTACCTTAGAAAGGAGAAGGTTATCCCCTTGCTATTTTTAAAAAATGAACCAGTTGGTATGTTTAACTCTAGAGTGCTCATTTTAGCTTATCTTCAGCATTGGTCCATAGGTGGTTTAACATTTGCAATTCAGATATTTAAATAAATGGACATATGCAGTTAGAGTAGATTTGGCAACTTTAAGCTACAGAGCAGGGTTTGAATGGCATTGCTCAAAAACAGCCAAACACAAATCTGAGAGTTGTCTCCCCCTCACACCAGGAACAGCCCATCATCCCTTGAGGGATGGCAGATGGATGCTTCCAGATCCATGGCGTACTATTAAATTTAATGAAGGTTCAAAGCAAGCATGGGAGGAGCAGCAGCAATGATGGGCTCCAGAACCCTGGCAAAGCAAGTAAGGCAAAATAAAATACGTTTGTTGTGACAGATGCATCATGGAGACCAGCTTGCAGTGCACATTTTGCAGTTGCAGCACTCAGCTTTCAGAACTCTGGCAAAAATATTGTTAGACAGAGATAAGTCTCATTTATATCCCAAGGCCTAATATGAGAAATAGCCACAGACTGCACAGCAGGAATTCATTTCTGAAACCAGGGCCCAAGAATAATTTTTGGTGACCTGATAAAAACTTGTAACACACTCCCCCTCCCTCCCCCATCACGCACCTGTCCTATACAATCTCATGAGTCATGAAAGATAAGTAATACTGTAATAATTATTAAATTACATTTTCTGCATTTCTGAAATTGCACCTTGTTTCTGAAACATGCCCTCCAATCCCACTCCCCTTTTTGCTATTTTTGTTAAACATAATGTCAAGCCTGATGAACAGTCCTGAAAGTTTCTGATTATTTTGTATCTTTTTGGTTGGTCCTGATAACGGTATTATCCTCTTGATACTGTATATTTTGATTCCAATGGATGAAAACATTTTATAAATAGACTAGTTCAAGTTAAAGCTTTATATTTCTGGCTCTTTTCATTGAAAAATCATGGATTAACTTCCTAAAGTCAATTTAACTTGCAAGTTTGAACTTGATAGACGAAGTCGCTGGGTGGCATTTACTCACAAATATAGTTGAGCCAGTAAATCCTGCCAGCAGCACTGGCTCCTGCTGCCCCTGGGATCAGTATCCCTATTATAGTGCTTTGTTCCTCCCTCCAGCTGTACCCCCTCCTTCCCATGCACCAGGAACTCTGGGACTGGTAGTTCTTGAGGGAGCATGCCATATAAGGAAGTACGAATCTCTTTCTCTCAAACAACAAATTTTAACTGCATAAGCACACACACACTATTCTAGAGAAGACCTTGGCCAGCAACTCACTGTTCAAAATATTGCTTATTCTGTTCTAATGTTATTTCTGAATAGCTCCAGCAAATATCACAAGATATGGATAATAGGTACATAGATACAAGGAAATATGCATTCACAACTATCCTCTAACATAAAAGTGGGATCGGAGAGCTGGAAAACAATTCACATCTGGCAACCAGTGCACCCCTTTGCTTTTAGATAGTACATGAGTAGGCAAGTCTAAAAAGCCTGGGACACAATTTTTTTTTGTGGTGGCTCATTTACCAGAAGTAATGTATTTAGCGTTAACTCTGGAAGTGTATTCTGACCAAACTAAGTCTCCTAGAGCAAAATATACAACACATTAGAGGGCTTTGAAAATTTGTGTCCCAGGCTTTTAAGATTCATCTACCCATGTACTATCTGAAACCAAAGGGGTTCATTGGTTGCCAGATGTGAAATATATTGGCAGTATTATTTTCAGCTCTCCTACCTCACTATAAAGTACAGTTCCGCCTTCCCCACCCCATCAACTAGGCTTGCAAGGTTAGGGATAGGGCCCCCTGGATCTCTGGACGCTCATAAAATGTATCCTCTCCCCCACATCTCGGGCCCTGTGCAACCCTAACTACCCCAACACACCAGAGATAGAAACAGATCAGATTGTAAACACACACAGCGGCACATTATATGCAGCAGGAATGCACTGAGCTCTGTTTGAAGCTTTTCACATAACAGATATATAACAGATATATCTAAAGCAGCCTTCCCCAGCCTGGTGCCCTCCAGATGCAACTAGAAGTCCCATCAGCCTCATGATGCCAGGGCTGATGGGAGTTGTAGCCCCGGTAGGAGAAGGCTAATCTAAAAGTATACAGTGGAACTGCAAAATGACATATAGCGCTAATATAAAAATAGAAAGCTCTCTCTCCACCCCCCACCCCCCGAAGCAGAGGCGCAGGAGAACATGCCACACAAGAAAAGGCAGAGGTGCACTTTTCACACACATTGAAAGCAGAGGCGCATACTGGACTATAAGCTTATGTGGAGTGGCAGCAGCGACACCTAAATAGGAAATGCAGCTAAAGCTCTTCAGGGTGGAATCTACAAACATATTAAAAAAAACTTTCTGAAAATGCTTCTTCTTTTTAAGTGTTTAAAAATATATATATATGGAATTTTCCATAAGGCTCACCATCGCTATCTTAGTGCCACATTGTATATTGCACTTAAAACACACTTTATTTGCAGCTGTATAGTTGAGTCCCAGGAGTTTACACTGCAGCAGAGGATGGCATGCTCAGCACAAGCTGCCCTTCCTGTGGCACAATGGGTCAATGGGTCCGGCTGCTAAGCAGAAGGTAGGTGGTTCAAGGCCACACAGGGATGGCTGTGGGCAGGATTCCTGCATTGCAGAGGGTTGGACTAGATGAGGCTCAGAGGATGAAGATGATGTGAGAATTAGGACATTGGTTCACTATTCTGACATTTTTCTGTTTGTTTAAGTACTCTCAACACTGACTCCCTAAGGATACAGAAGAGGCACTGAGGTTTTCTGATTTTTGTAGAATACTGATTGAAACTGCAAGTCATAACTTTGATCCTATTTTTTGGGGGGGGTCAGTTTAAGCAGAAGCAAACATGCAAGGCAACATGTAAACACCACATGTGAGAGCTAGAGTATGGAAAGCAAGTCTTACTTGGTTCAGAGTGTCTTGTTTCTGAGGAAAGGAAGAGCGGAAAAAAGACAAAGCAAAGTTCAGTGAAGAAGGACCGAAGAGCAGGAGGAACAGAAACAGCTATTCTGCTGGACAAAGGCAAACCAAACTTTCAGGATGGTACGTGCTACAGTCCTTCCCACGACTGTACTATTTCAGAACACATTTGGGGGAAATCCGTAATTTAAAAAAAACTTTGCATTTTAAAAGCATGCCCTTGTCAAAATTTCCCAGTAGATGGAACTGTTTACCGTACATGCTAGAGAAAAGGCTTGTGAAAATTTTATCCCTGAAATGTAAATTTTTGACATAAGAGAACAGGCAGGGTTTTTGCAAGAACTATTTAAAGGATTAAATGAAAGATTGCTTCGTTTATTTATTATTTTTATTTCTTGTCCTTGTATTTGGAACTTCCTCCAAGAAGTACAGGGTGGTTATCACAAAGTTAGCATTTTATTCTCACAACAATCCTGTGAGGTTGGTTGGCCTAAGTGAACACAATGCCCAAGGTCATTTACAACGTAATCTTGTGTGTTTACTCAGAAAGACGTTCCATTGTGTTCAGAGGGGCTCATTTTCAGCAAAGCATCTTGAGGACTGCAGCCTAAGGGAACTTAACAGACCAGAACTTTATGGTTTAAATCCCTCTGGATCCAATTCTACACTGTGCAATAACAGATGCTGCAGATACTGAAAAAGTGCATTCTTGGTAATGTTACCTTCAATATGGGATACAACACCTATGCTTTTAATCATGATGGTTGCTAGAATGTTGCTGCATTGGGGGCTTCTAACAGGCATCTGGTTGGCCACTGTAGACTATATGAGCCTTCGGTCTGAACCAGCAGAGCACCCCTTATGTTCTTATGGCTAGATGAAATACTCAATACAAATCTGCAGCTATTGTGTAGGGTGTGTATATCCCACACCCTACTGAACCCTAAGACCAAGGATAGACAACGAGATGCTTGGGATGACAACGCCACTCACCACAGCTATCCCATTGGTTATGGGAGGGCAAATAATAATAATTATTATTTCTTTATTATTTATACCCTGCCCATTTGGCTGGGTTTTCCCAGCCACTCTGGGTGGCTCCCAACAGAATATTAAAAACATGATAAAACATCAAACATTAAAAACTTCCCTAAACAGGGTTGCCGTCATATGTCTTCTAAAAGTTAGATAGTTGTTTATTTCCTTACATCTGATGGGAGGGTGTTCCACAGGGCGGGTGCCGCTACCGAGAAGGCCCTCTGCCTGGTTCCCTGTAGCTTCACTTCTTGCAGTGAGGGAACCACCAGAAGGCCCTCGGCGCTGGATGGGGGTGGAGACGCTCCTTCAGGTATACTGGGCCAAGGCCGTTTAGGGAGCTGTAGTCCTCAACATCTGGAAAGTATCATATTGGCCACCCCTGCCTTAGACTCTCCTTCCTGACCCCTCTCAGGCAGGCTGACTCAGATGGAGAGAAAGGGAATGGCAATCACACATGAGTCATGCCTACCTTTCTTCTCATCTCTAGACTTGCTCTAAAAGAAGGTTAGAGTGCAGGCATCCAGTCAAGTGGGTTAGTCTATATTCCGCTTGGCCTTTTGTCATCGAGTGATTTGCTTTTAGTATTCTAGCTCCTATGTAGTTATACTTGTAATAGTAGGTTGCTCTGTTGCTTGGTTTTTAAACTTTTTTTATCTTCTAAGTCATCTTAAAGGCCTTTGGGTGGAAAACTGACCAATAAATACAAACCTGGCAGAATTTTATTTTATTTTGGAAGCATAGTGCCAGACCTGAGCACATCAACATTTAAGGTTCTTTAAAGGAAAAAAAAGTGGACAGCCCACCTGAAATGTGGGAGAAAGGGAGGAGCAAACGGTTTAAAGGTACTTAAGAAATTTATCTGGAAGCTGTTATACGTGTCATTAGAGGACGTACGGTTGAGAGGCGAGGAGGAGGCAGGTTCACTGTTAGAGCCGAAAAGCTCCCGCCCACTCCTGCTTCCAGACACATCTGTACAATCCTTGATTTCTGCTCACAGCGATTGCTACGTTGCCATCGCTACAGGCAAGCGGCTGTCTGAGGAAATGACGGGATATCCCCTCAAAGAGCAGGAAATAACAATTCCACTCTGGCTTTTCCCAAGTCAGGTAGGAAGTGGGGTGGCTGCAGTGGTATAATTTGGAGCAGGGGGTTATCGCAACAACCCCCTCTCCATATGTTATTACTGCAGGGATAAAGTAGTAGGAGTACCATTAAACAAATAAAAGCTAAACGGCACAAAAGGACTGTAGGAAAATACCCTCCCTCCCCACCTGCTCCTTTATGGGCAGCTTCCTCCGCAGCCTCTGCTGGAAAGCAACTCTGTTCTTTAAAGCGGTTTTAAAAGGCAATTAGTCATTAAACCCAATGGCAAGTGCAGTAATTTCTCAGAGCGGGTAATAATGAATTATACCTACATTGGCTGCTTTGTGCAATGGAAATAATCACAGTAATATCTCCTGCCGTGGGGCACAAACCACAGCAATGTGCTCTCAGTAGAAAGCGGTGCGGCCCACTTACGGCCACCCACAACACAGCACTTGCCCTGTTCCCTCCTAAGTGCCTAGCAAGCACTCTTCCTAAGAGGGAGCACAATTGCAATTCCTGCCATTTCTTTTGTTGGCTTGTCCTCGTAATTACTTTGCGTGTCAAGAATTCCCTCACAAGCTCTTTGTGCCCGTTTCTTATTTAATTTCATTTGATATTCTAAGGTTTTGGAGCCTTTTGTGTTCTTCTTGAATAGCACCGCAGCTATTTCCTTCTCTTAGCGTGGAAGTGGGGACAACCCACTTTTATTGTTCTTACTAATCTGCTTTTCCTAGGAGAGAGAACATAGGCCTTCAGATCTGTTGCTCTTTGGAAACGTTTCCCCACCTCTCTAAAAAAATATATATCAGAAAAGGCACTATCCTAATTTCTCCTTAAAATACGGAGGAATCACCCCCAGAGAACCTGAGGAACAACACTTTCAACATGGGGGCAAATGCAGTGAGGACTGAGAATGTTTTCTGCTCAACTTGTTCAAAGTTAGTTTTAAGAGGGGGGAAAGGGGAAGTAGTAATGTTACCCACTTTAAGCCTATGAAACACACAAGTGTGCATACTTTATGCTCACCCCCCCACAAGTTAGAGAATTCTAATTTCAGATTAGAAAATCAAAATACTTATGTGCAGCTATATTCATTCATGCTAGTACCTTTGTTCATAAACAATGAAATTGCAAATTCTTAGAAACTGATGATACAGGCAACTCTCAGTTACTGTTATTCCATTTCTCTTTTTACACTATCAGAATGCATCTTCAGATCTTCAAAAAATCCATATTTAGGACAATGCCTTTATTACATCAACCAAAATGCCACGAGCATTTGAGTTTTCCAGAATTCTTCATTGGGCTAGATAGTAAACAGAGTAAGGGATGGATGGATGCGGAAAAGGCTAGCCCTTGGTGAAGCGATGCAATCTGCATCTGGTCACGGTCTCAAAACAGAATGTGGAAGGAGACAGTCAATGAAGCTCAGTTACATTCTATGCAGGCTTCAGGTTGCACCTAGGGCTGCTGGGAAGTAGGTACAGGCAATGACTGCCCTAAGTGCAATGGGACTTTTATTATGGCATAAGCTCACAGTCCATTTTATCAGAGGCATGAAGTATAATCCTGAATTGGCAAGAATATATATACGCATATGGAGAATGTAGAAGAATGAGCTCAGAGGAAAATGAAATGCAAAACCAATAGAAACAAACATGACTACCCTTCTGGAAACGGTGATGTGATAAATAATATATTTGCACCTTTATTTTTTCCAATTACTTTTTTATTTGCAAATTTAACAAAGAAAAGGAGAGAGAGAGAGAGAGAGAGAGAGAGAGAGAGAAATAATATATAAAATAATATAGTATACTATTAATAACAGTAAATCAACACCAGCCTTTTTAAACACCTTGCCTGAGAAGGAGTTGTGCATTGCTCAAAATGTCACGTGGTTGATTCTAACAAATGGCATTATTTAACCAAAAGTGTGCATTTTGTTCAAATGGACCAACAAGACTACTGGTGTTGATTCAATATAGAATTTAGGAATACATTTACAGCAAGCTTTCTTACCTGTTCTGGATTATATTTTGCTAGGACACCATCTCCATGGAACTCTTCCAAAACATCTTTCAGTTTCTTTGTGGAATCTAGAAGGAGAAAGTTAATGCCAATACCATGAATAATATTAATTACATAGAAGTCTGACGAAGTCATCTGTTTCTTCAAAAGGTCATTTCAGCTTGCCAAACTTAGGAATGATTATATATGACCATGCCAACACCTTGGGCAAAATGATGTTGTAAAAGTCATGGCGGGCTCTAAAATTTCATGAAAATCCATCCTGCTTTATTTTGAAATTATTAATGAACCTGCAATGAGTAGAGCGCCTTAAACGTTATATTTACAACACCCCAGATGTTTCCTTTGAAGCAGAAGATATATTAGAGTTGCAATGTCAAACATTTGACATTGTGTAGGGAACACACACCACCTCAGCCTCTGGATTCTCAACCAGGGCCCAAACAAACTCTCAGCTCTCCCACAAAAGTCTCACAGCAGTAGGAGTTCTTGGAAACAGCAGACATCACCCTAATCTCTCTCACTTTAGACTTGCTTTTTTATGGACAGGCCCAAGGTGGATGGTACTATGTCCCACTCAGCTGCAGTATCCACATCAAATTCCAGGTACAGCAGGTTTGCTGAATTTCCCAGGAGGTCCCAAAGGTTGAGAAAAGGGTCTCCTTCCACTCACAGCTTTCTTCACCCTCTGTCCTCTCCTTCATCTTCTCAGATGCTGACTGCTACTGCAACACATGCACACATCACAGCCAAGATGGTCTCTGTCCTCTTCAGCAGCTTCAGCTTTTGTAGCTGGAGTCAGTCAGGGCCCCACCCTCCCAGGCCAGATGGGAAAAGGCCTGCAAGGCAGGGAGCAGGACTTCCAGGACTCACAGCCAAGATAGTCTTGCAGGCTTCACGTAGGTAACCTGGTTAGGTGGATGCTTAATGAGAGCCCTCTGGTAGGGTTCTTATTAGGCATGGCTTCTTCCACACTCCATTCCCAACAGCTGTCTAGCCTAAGGTGTACCAGGGGAATATATACACATACAGGAAAATAAACATGAGACTAAGGGTCTCAGAGCAGCTGCTTTAGGGTGGGTTAATCTTTCCCAAGATAGTGCCATCCACACAGCAGCGGATCTGCAGCACACAAGGCCCTGTTCGGGACACCATTTCCTCACCACCACCACTCCTCACTGCTATTGCTACTCTTCTTCTTTCTTCTTTGGCAATCACTCATAGCTGGGTAACTTTGTCTTTCATGAACACGGTCTGAACAGTGAGTCTGTAAGTGACTGTGGAGGCCAATTCTGGCTCCACACATCCTTCCACAGTGGGGACATAGGTTTCGGGGCGGGAGGTGATGAAGGTGAGGGTTTGCCAAATGTGCCTTCCTCTTAGCACTTGTCTCCCTTTCATCCTGAGTTTGAGCGTCTTCAAAGTCCATGACACCTTTGGTAAAGGCTGTTCTCCAATTGGAGCACTCGCAGGCCAGTGTTTCCTAATTCCCCTCCCCTTCTTTCCCCTCTTTTCTTCCTAATCTAATACTAATGTCTCACAACAAATGAAACTGATCTGTAGAAAACACAACTTGAAAAAAGAGACAATGCAAGTATTTTTGTAATCTAAGAAATCTTTAATAAAAATATATATATTTTTAAAAAACAGCACACATCCCCCCCCCATACATTTTAAGCCTATTTAAAGCACATCTCCCTCCCGGGGTCTGTAATTTATCTTTCACAGAACTAGAATTCCCAGCATCCATAACAAAGCGGAGCTCTCAGAATTCTCAAGGGTGGGGAGATGTGATATAAATGTATGGCGTGTTTGCAGCCTAAATGCCCTTTCCATCCATTTCAAAACTTGTGCGCAAAAATTAACTGTTCACTGGGATGTTGGATTTTCCTCCTTCAATGACTGGAAACTTGCATCTGTCATGGGATAGAAGCACTTTCACTGTAGCACTTCCTGTCTGAACCACTGAGTGATGTGACTTGAAAGCAGCTTAGCTCCCCATGCTCTCCCGGTGCAAAGAACAGCATTAATTTAGCAGGTTGTGATCGCTATCATCCATTATTTCTGCCACTAAAATATTTGAGAAGGGTTCTTTCGTAAGAAGTCATGATGGAAGCCAGTTTCTTTTTTTAATCTCCCTTCCTGGGGTCTCAGAGCTCCAGGAGGTGAAACATCCCAGCAGGCTCACAGCTCAGCTGCCCTGGATTAGGAAGTCAGCCCCAGAGGATCAACATCGACTGAAATACCAGAGGAAAATGCTTAAAAGAAGGGAATCTGCTTTCAGATGCCTAAAAAAGGCTACTAAAAATAAACTAAGGGGACTGCTCATATCAAACGCTCAAGATCCCATCTCTTAAAGTGGTCATGAATATCACAGTGTTTGGGCTAGAGTCTCAGAAGGATTACATTTGGAGCAATAAGGTCAGTGGGAAGAAATAGTTCTGTGCATCCTTATTCCCCAGCCTTCCAATGTGGAAGTATATCCACCAACCACAAACAGAGAAGATAGTTGTATGTGTGGACACACTGAAGGGCTGCCTCTTTAGTGCTGGCCCCATTGACTTAGACTTTGACTAGTCCGTACTGAGACTAACATTCCTCCTTCCCCCACAAATTGCACTGCCAGCCCGTTTGGATGTGGAGCTGCCCCTTGATCTGTTCTCTAGGTGTTCTCTCTTCTCCCACTTCAACCGATGAGGGCCGTGTGGTCATTCACATTATAAGAACAGAAGAAAAGCCCTGCAGACTTAGCCCAGCAGACACCAGGCAGGCACCTGGCTGAGCTGCATTTTTTCCATAGGTCAATAGCTGTACAGATTCATACTTGGCAAGTGCTGCGTTCATGTGTTGAGACACGGATGCAACATTTGTATCATTGGACCACTTCACCCCAAGCAAAGTTTAAGCATGTTTGTTAGCCTGGATAGAAAAAATACATTAAAAAGGGTAATGTGAATGGATCCGCAGGCACAAACAATTTTTAGAAAGCCTTCTCATTTCCTCCATGATAGAAATCTGCTTGAGAAGGCATTGGAAAAACTATCCTTTAGGTCTGGTGGTGGAATGCAAGGGATGAGGCTTTGGTGGGAAAGTGCAAAAATTATGCTGTGAAAACAAAACGAGACATGGTTTTTGAGACTTGGGGTGGGCTTCACATAATAAACGTCATCAGTAATGAGGGTTTCCCCTCTCTCCTCCCCCTTTACCCCCCCCAATTGCCTTGGGGTGTTGGGAGAACCCCCAGAATAGCACATGGGGAGAGCAGAGGGGGGTCATGCTGCCCAGCAAGCTGATATGCTTGCACAGACAGAGCAATTGCAACAGCGCAGCACTGAATTCCACCCTAAAGGTAAAGGTAAAGGTACCCCTGACAGTTAGGTCCAGTTGCAGATGACTCTGGGGTTGCACGCTCATCTCACTCTAGAGGCCGAGGGAGCTGGTGTTTGTCCGCAGACAGTTTTTCCGGGTCACGTGGCCACCATGACCAAGCCACTTCTGGTGAACAAGAGCAGCGCACGGAAACGCTGTTTACCTTCCCACCGGAGTGATACCTATTTATCTACTTGCACTTTGACGTGCTTTTGAACTACTACGCTGGCAGGAACAGGGACCGAGCAATGGGAGCTCACCCCATCACAGGGATTTGAATCGCTGACCTTCTGGTTGGCAAGCCCTAGGTTTAGTGGTTTAGACCACAGCGCCACCCGGGTCCCTTCCAATTCTACCCTCGGTGTTTGGTATTTCCAAATACAGAGTTCAGCCCTCTTACATACGAGTCCCCATGAAAACTGACACATTTCACAGTAGCATCGCGGAGCCCTACCACACAGGAGTATCAAAATGTTATCTTAGGCCTTTGCAGGAGGAACACTTCTCTTCCAGAGTCCAGATCTTTGCAGAAGAGAAAACCCGAGAGAGTGCACCAAGTTATTGACCTGCGTACACTAGCTTTATCATTTCTTTCTGCTGTGAATTTTGCTAAAGCCTAAGCGCTTAGTAGTGGGGTGGGGGGGAAACCACCTTTGGAATTAAGAGCATCTCAGGCTCTCAGTTTGGTACTTCAATGCTGGGAGCAGTACTTGAAAAATGAAAGTATCACATTAAATACAGCTTTGCAGATTCTTCCCTTGTGTGGAACACACCACCCTTTCAAACCCACATGAATCCCTCACTACCATCCCTGCCTGTTCTGCAGACTAACAGGCTTCCAGGATGAACTGCAGGTGGTTCATGGTGGGGAAATGAGCCCAATGCCCTGTATTTGATGACACACACACCCCTCAAACACTCCCCATGTAGTCAGGACTTAAATTTACATCTCCGGGCTTTAAAAGATCTTATTGTATGTACTTGGATGTTCTGTGCTTAAGTTATTGTGGCATACCTCACAGAATGACACATCACAGTACAAATTAATTGTACCATTCCTGTGAAAGAAAGGACAAGGATTGCATGCATCTTATTCACCACATGCTGGAAGCTGTTGTGCTAATGATGGCATAAATAACCCACACCGAAATGGCAAGCATTTGAGCTGAGAGAGGGACGGTACTTACACTCAGAATACTGTTGGAGCTGAGCAAACTCTGCCGGACTAAGGGTGATCCAGGTGCCATCGTTCATCTTTCAGGCGAGCTCTGGGGAGGCTGTCTCCACCCTTAGCAGAGGTCTTTAGGAGGAGCTGCACCTCTAGAACAAGAAATTATTCTGGACCATCGCTCAAGTTTTGCTCTGCAGATGTCTACCGAGTCACTGTTGTTTTTCTACAGCAGAACTCAGATCCTGATCAGGATGAACGCCAATGTGCCTGGTCTCCGCAGAGCCATCTTTGTCTCTGCTGTAGCTAGGAGTGCCATCAGAAAATGCTTCCTGGAGAAACGCCAGTGTCTTCAAATCTAGAATTAAAATGTGCAAGTTACAGAATGGCATACATTTCCCCCAAATCTTTTTCTTTCATGCTGGCTTTCAGGGAAATAAAGGCAGAACTGTGCTGACTCAAGCTTATTTAACGATTTGAAAAATGAACTGAGAGAGAGAGGGAAATTCCAGAGCCCCCACAATGAAACAGGCCATTTCCAGTGTGGGGTTGTGGTTGGAGTGTCACACAGGTTTAAAGCCTGGCCACATCCGTACGGTACATTTAAAGCACTATTATACCAATTTTAACACTCATGGCTGTGAAAAAGAGGGGATGTTCAGGAGAGCCTCTCACATCCCCTTGTTTGCCCAGCTGCTGCACAACAGCCCTGCAGTGGAGTCAGATAGGTCTTATGGTCCCGTGGCTGCTAATCACCACTCTCCCACTCACTCTTGTAACCCACATGGGAGGAGACCAGGAATGCCCCAAAGCAATTGCTCTTTAAAAATGATCTGAGCCAGAATCCTGGGAGCTGGAGTTTGTTCAGGTTGCTGAGAGTTTAGCAGAGCCCTCCCTTTCCCCTCAAACAACAATTCTCAGAGCGGTTTAAGAGTTCTTGCTAAGGAACTCTGGGAACTGTAGGTCTGTAAGGGAAACAGCGGTCTCCTAACAATACCCAGCACCCTATCATTCCCATGATTCTTTGGGGGAATGAGGTATGATAGTGCTTGAAATGTAGTGTTGCACACCAAACAAATCTCTGAGATTCCAAGGGTTCTAGACGCTTTGAATAAGGGACAGCAGAAACTGTGGTGTTGTAATACTACAGTGGTACCTCAGGTTAAGTACTTAATTTGTTCCGGAGGTCCTTAACCTGAAACTGTTCTTAACCTGAAGCACCACTTTAGCTAATGGGGCCTCCTGCTGCTGCCACGCTGCCGGAGCACAATTTCTTAACCCAAGGTACTATTTCTGGGTTAGCGGAGTCTGTAACCTGAAGCATATGTAACCTGAAGCGTATTTAACCCGAGGTACCACTGTATATGGTTTATTTACACATATGTACAACCTGATGTAGAGGCTCACGGCATCAACACACCAAGAAGGCCTTACTTGGTCACAGTCTTGGATTACAGCAGAAATCGGGCATGGTTCTGTCTCTCACCTGCTTCTAGCTTCTACTTCACATGCACCAACTCTGCCTTTGTATTTCTAACTACTAGCAAATTGTGGGAGGCGGACCCACCCATTTGTTGTCTAGCACACAGCCACTTCCTTTGTTACCTTAATGGTCCATACTTAGAGGACCATTAACTCACCAGGAAGCTAGCCTGGCTATTGCAGGAATTGAATGCATGCTGGATCCAGGAATTAGAAGGGTTTGAGGCATACAGCCTTCACACCCCCCCCCAAGGAAACCGTCCTAATAGTATGATGCAGATATCGCTTGGATTAATGTCCTGGATGCCCTTGGACAAATTGTTATTTCTTAGCCTAAGGCTAACCTATCTCACAGGGCTGTCATGTGAGAGATAGAGTGCACAAGGGAACCATGTATGCTACTCTGAGCAACTCAGAGATGGGTGGGATAAAATAAAGTAAGTAAATACAAGCCTTTTGCCAGATTTGATGGACAGTATTGCTAATGTAAAATAGCTCTGCTGTAGCCTAATAAATGAGTGAATCTCTCAGCCATGAGCTCAGATGAACCATACAAGGAACTTCAAAGCAGGAACAACTTAGTTCATCTTGATTTGAATATAAGCAGCTGATTGCAGTTTCAGAAATGAATGGCAGTTTCCCAAAATACAGGAGGTATCCAATGGTTCGGTAAAGGCAAAGACTGGGCCCTTTTCCTGAAAACAATCAATTGTCTTAGGAAAGCCATTTGGCATTATGCCTCACAATTCATGGAGAACCTGGCAGAATGAGCAGCCACATTCATTCCACCATCCTGTTTAACATTTACACCCCGTGCAAAAGTCAAATCAAGCAAGCAACCCTTTCTGCAACTTTCTAGAAATTGCTGGGTGCCCAGACATTCTAATTACATAGGAGACATTGTAAAAAGCTCTATTAACCTCTAATTTCCCATCTAAATAACACAAACAAAGGGGATTCCTAAACATGTGTGCAATGAGTGACGATCTTTCCAGACACTATGTTGTTTGTGTAGAGACAGCGCAGCCACCTCACTAATTTATTACGTGGTCTAAATAACATCTACCTAGCAAGTTCTGTAGAGAAGCTGCAGGGTCTCCAGTATTAATCAAAACACTAAAACCAGATCCTTGAGAACCGCAGTTCTTTCTCCAGTGAGCTCAGATATCGCATGTGAGGGCAAAAGCTTTGTGTAATGCTCTTGGCAGTAAGAAGTCTCTCCACTGGGTACCTAAACCATAAGGCTGTGTATACACTATACATTTAAAGCACATTCAGAGCACATTCTTTCCCTAAAAGAATTCTGGGCACTGTAATTTGCTAAAGTTGCTGGGAACTATAACTCTGCGAGGAGAGAAACATGCAAAACCAGGGTAAGAAAGAGAATTGAATGGAGTACACTGGAAACATGACTTATTCCACATGCCTCCATAGCATGATCACCATGTTTTAGTCCGTGCCTGATGTAAATTTGGTGCTTTCCTGTAAAAGAACATGATGATTGTGAAAAATTGAGGGAATCCATGCCCTGATCTACGTTCTCTCGGGCATTTAGAATACATGCATGAATCACTATCTGAATGACAGAGGAGGGAAGTTAATTTTAGAAGTTTAAGAATGTATAATGCCATAAGAAGAGCCCCGTTGGATCTAGCTGAAAGTTCATCTAGTCTAGCTTCCTGTTATCACCATAGCCAACCAGATGCCTATGGGAATCCCACAAGCACGTTCTGGGTGCAACAGAACTCTTTCAACTTGCGATTCACAGCAACTGGTATTCAGAGGCACACTGCCTCCGACAGGGGAGGTCATCATGTTACAAATGAGAGAAAAGAAGGCTGGATTAACAGGGCTGAACAGTTGTACCTCGGTTTATGAACAGCCCTGTTAACGAACTATTCGGTTTACGAACTCCTCAAAATGAGGGAGTAGTGTTTGCGAACTTTACCTCAGTCTATGAATGGAAGCTGAATGGTGGAAGGGCATTGGTGGCGGGAGGCCTCATTAGGGAAAGTGCGCCTCAGTTTAAGAACAGTTTCGGTTTAAGAACAGACTTCAGGAACGGATTAAGTTCTTAAACCGAGGTACCACTGTATTCAAAAACCACTGACTATTGTTCTAACGAGATTTATCTTGTACATTTGCACTCATAACACATGTGTTTTGAAATCAGGAATCACTGCTTGAATCCTTACCTCCACTCCCACTATTACGGTTGCTGAAAACTATAATGTTTTGCTCAATTTATACAGTATTGTTCTACTCCATGTGGGTTGGTTTTATATATTGTATTATTGCAATGATTCGAGCTGGTTTTATAATTGTATTTTCTATTGCTGCCACATGCCATGGGACCTTATGGCGAAGGGCAGGTAAGAGAATTTCTAAATAAATAATTGGCTTTCGCCCATATGCTGTATACTGTATTCATTTAGTGTATAACAGTCTTTATTGCACTGCCTTCCGAAGGGGTGTTTGTTTCAATAAATACAACTTGACCATAATGTTTTGCTTTTTAAGGTGTTGATCTGGTTGCACTTTTTATAGAATAGCCACAGCTGAGAACTCATCACTCAGCTCCATCTGGCTATATCAGGAGAGGAGAGATGGCAAGGCCCTCCTTCACCAGCCTGGATGGGAATATTTGGCCCTTTCTCTCCCACAACCTTCTCCATCATAAGACAACTTGCCTGGCTGCATCAGAGGCCTGATAACAAGGCTCACATACACAAACCCCAACTTGGCTGGGGCCAGCTGCCATTTGGGTCCTCCCCTCCTAGAACTGTTTCTTGCAATGAAACCTTCCACCTGGTCTTCATGTATTATGTGGCTTCACTATTTCACAGGTGGTCATCTTCCTCTTCCCTATCTATTCATTCCTCTTGTTGGCACCGCGTCTCATTCCAAGACATTATTTCAAAGTGCAAACTATTTTGAGTGGTTCAACAGAAAGGTGGCATGTAAATGTGGCATATTTGGAAATTAGTTGTCTGGATAGACTGTGGGTGAAGTGTGTGCTGTGGAAAGGTAGGGATGCACTTCAATGGCCTTGAGTCTTCATGCCTGTAGATTTACATGGATATATACTATCTATCTATCTATCTATCTATCTATCTATCTATCTATAGTATATATATTTCCCCTACACAGAAATTTGCAACTAGAGACACAGGGGAGAGGTTTGAAACCTGAACAACTGCAGGGCACATCAAATATATTTTGAAATGGCATCTCCCCCCCCGCCCCCAAACCAGGGGTAGTCAAGGTGGTGCCATTCAAACATTGTTGGGATGAAATTGGACTTTCTCAACAGCTCTTGTCAGCAGGGGCAATGACCAGGGATGAAGGGAGTCCAACAACATCTGGAGGGTACTAGGTAGGTATAAGAGAGACAAAAATATGGACCAAAGATTTTTGTGGGGGTGGATTTCAACTTGAACAACTTTTAAGAGTACCTCCAAGCACCCACGCATATGATGTTAGAGTTTTCAGCGATCTTATAGATTGGGTTAAGGAACCTCAAGCCCAGGGGTTGAATGTCATCTTCCTGGCCTCTTCACCTCGCTCCCAGGACTCTCCCCAGCCCATGCCCCTCCCACCCCCGCTCTCACAAGGCAACCCCTCACTGGCTGTGATCCACGTCTTCCTTGGGTGCTTTTGCCTGGCTAGAATGTGTCTGCGAACTGTGATAACGCCTCTTGCTTGACTGGTTGAAGGTTTGTGTGTGTGTGTGTGTGTGTGTGTGTGTGTGTGTGTGTGTGTGTGCGCGCACTGTGATTTCTCAATGGCCAGAATGTAGCCAAATGTAAAAAGATACACAGCTCTGCTCACTTTTACCTTTGGCCACGCCAACCAGTGGAAAAGTTCTGTTATAGATTCTGACTGACTAAACCAAAGTACAAGATTCACATCTTTATTGTAGGAAAGAGCAGTTATTAGGAAAGATCTATAGGACTATGAAGACATTTACCTCCACGAGCAAACTGTACTAAGCTGTTGGTGTGTGGGCTCTCTGCGCAGTCAGCAATCCTACGTAACTGGAATACCAGATCACACAAGAGCCTAAAAGCAATAGCTTGGATGAGGAGTGAGAAGTGCTGGTTGAGTCCATCTTGCCCACATCCCTACCAGAGGAGCAAGACCCAGCCCCTGATCTTGAGCCTGGAAATCAAGATCCCACAACCTCTTGCTCCCTAAGTCCTGCTCATCAGTGCAAAGAACATAAGATCAGTAAGTAATAAAAAAGCATCAAAGTGCCAGGCCTCAGACCTGAGGGCAGTACCTTAAGAATCTCCATTCCATGGGGATGGAGTATTTGGGAGTGTACTTAGGTCTGAAGTGCTGAAGGATATAAGCCATTATCTGGGACTGTTGGAGGAAGTTCCCTCTACCTAGTGATCTGTCCATGGTCCTGCAAATCTTATATCCTGCTCTCTTGTTTCTCCAGAACCCATTCTGTATTGGCTGCCTGTGAATATCTACACAGTGGACTGTCTCTTTCACTGATCTAGATTCTCACCATTGCCCCAGACCAATATTCTGTCTTCTGGGGCATCCATGGACTGTGCTGCTTCAGAACAGGACATTAGGTCTTCAGTATTAGCATGTACTCACAAACCTTTCAGCAGAGATACAATTAGGAACTAAAAGCCTCAGAGAAAAATGGTATGAGCATACACAGGGTGCAGCAGCTTCACTCGATGTGGAAACTCTACATTTAATAAGATGGTTCCACAGCAGGTAGCTTTTGTAGAAACAGTGGTACCTTGGTTCTTGAATGGCTTAGTTGTCTAACAAATTGGAACCCGAACGCTGCAAAACCAGAAGTAAGTGTTCTGGTTTGCGAACATTTTTCCGAAGCCGAACATCTGACGTGGCTTCTGCTTGACAGCAGGAAGTTCCTGCAGCCAATCGGAAGCTGCGCCTTGGTTTTCAAATGGTTTCAGGAGTTGAACAGACTTCTGGAACGGATTAAGTTTGAGAACCAAGGTACCACTGTACTTATAATCATCACAGTAGAAGAGGCTGCTGGATAAGACCAACGGCCCATCTAGTCCAGCAAACTGTTCTCACAATAACCAACTAAACACACAGGAGCATTTTTAAAACCTAAGGGGGGAAAGCAAGAATGCAATCCCTCCATACATCTCTCAGATCTAGACACACACACCCAAACCCTGCATTTCTAATACCATGTAAGTGTTGAAAGCTGCAACACATGCAGAAGCCGCCCACCACTTCTCCCAAACCCCTTTTCACAAAAATAAATGCAAATGATTAAGTAAAAAATAGATATTACAGAATTATAGCTACACTTTGCTCACCATTGCTCTCTCTTAACAAATATATATATATATATATATATATATATTAACCTAGCCACTCAAACTAACAACCACTCCCTTCTCCTGGCATACTTTGAGGTGTGGCCTTCAAGGAAACAATTCCAAGCATGCTTGGACTATTTTTCAATGCAGCCCTATTAGATCTATACTGAGGAACACAATGGAACAGAATTGGAAGAAGGGGGAACCTTCACTACTCTGGCTGGAAAACTGGCAGCCCTAGCACTCCATTTTTACATGGTTTTTCTGCCCAGGGACACATGGGAGGAACTTCTTTGCCATAGTTATATTATTAGATTAGGATTGGCTGAGTGCTGTAGAACCGATTGGCCAGAGGACAGTGGATTGACAAAAATGTTTGCAGAACGTCTCTGCATTCAAATAGAGGCATAATATGTGTGGGAAAGGAAGAGTGTGTGACTTTTGAGATTTGGGGAGAAATAAAAAAACCTGCTTGACATTCTCCTTGCAAAGTCTGTGCTCCATTAGAGCAAAGGGGGCACTGCCCCATTAAACTCAATCTACCCTCCTTCAGTCAACGTCCATCTGCCTGCCTTCTTTCTAACAAGCAATCTAGGGGGCGGCACTGCTTACCAGCTTCCTCCTCTTGTAGAATTCAGCACGGAGGAGGATGGGCACAAACCTAGAATTAGTTAGCTCTGCCTCTGGCTCCACCTACATTTGGTCTGTGAGTAAAGCTTTGGCATCAGCTTCTCTGAGAGATCACTGCTTCTGTATGTAAAATCCACCACACACCCCCAAATTCTGAGGTGAGATGGGTGGCTAATGGGGGCAGGAGCTTCTCTGTAATGGGGCCTGTAATTTGGAATGTCTGCCCCAGGCCTACTAGTCAGACTCCTACATGGTTTTATCTTTCAGGCATCAGTGTGATTTGTCCAAGTTTTCAGAGGGCTCATTTCACGAGTTTTTAGCTATAACCAATTGGCGCTGGAATCACAGAACCATAGAACTATAGAGAAACAAAAGTTATTGAGGTCCTTCCCTTAATCTAGGCAACCGTGTGTGCTTGTGTTTGTGTGCGTGTGTATGAAAGTACCGTGGTTTCCTGGATGTGATGCTTTTAGAATAAAAGTGTTCCCACTTACATTTCCCACATGGCTTCTCCATTTTCACATCATATTCCTTGCAAAAAGGAGACATGAAATGAGAGGAAGTGCTAGAGGGGAGGATACTCATGCTCTTTTCTCCACTGGCATCTTAAAAAGAAATCACACACCCCGCCCAATCTTCTCCCCCTGTTCCTGATGCCTGCAACAGAGTTTCCTCACCTCAGATAGACTCTTCTTCATTTTTAAAGCTGTGCTGCTGCTCTCAGCAAGCTCAGCAACTTCCCCTCCTTTCAGTTGCTGCCTCCTCTGGCTTGCCCACCCACTCCTTCCCCCCAGCTGCAAATCTCCTAATGCCAGAGTGGGCAGGGGACAAGAGGCTGCTGCTGTTGAGAGAACAATTGCCGGCAGCATTTCTTGTGGCTGAGATGGGAATCCCACTCAGCAACAGCCAGGGATCCAAGGGAGGAAAGCTCCGGAGAGAGTAGGAAATGGATTGTGGCTCCGACTTCTGGGGGAGAAAGGGCACCTTTGATCTCCAGCCTGCTAAAATATTTGCAATGCTTTCCCTACCTCAGCAATTTCTCAAAGAGAAATCCTGAAGCAGTTACGTTATATAGTCATCCTCCCCTCACCCGCAAACAGAGCACTTGGAGGGCGTTTGGACTCTCTGCCTGTTGAGCCCTTGAAAGCCACTCTTGCTATCTAATCTGCACATGCTGTGGGCGTTGGAGCAGTTGCACCATGACAAAGCTGCATCACGCCCCCCCCCCCAGTCAGCCGACAGTGATCTTGCTAGACACCCTGAGAGCGCTGCTGGAAGGCGCGGTAAAAAAACCAAAATGGTACAAACTAACTGCATGCACACAGAGACACACAGATAAGCCACAAATAGCAGGCAGGTGACCCCGTCAACTACAGGGCCTCCGATTTCTGAGAGAATGTTCAATAAGATATCAAGGGGAAATGCCAAAATACTTCCTACTTTGACAGGCCGATAATGATCTGTGGTCAGCTGCTGTTGCTGAACATGCCTGGTTCGTTGGTCTGTTTATAAAAACATTGTTTTAACCTGCAGAATAAGGGTCTTGGCCTAAAGTGAGGTTCTTTAAGAAACAGGAGCAAACGACCTTTTGCCATGTTCAGTTTGTGCAGTAAAAGCAAACTCCACACTTCTGCTGTTGGGGCATATCTGGGACAGTCATCTTTCAGGGATCAGAAGCAGCACTGATGTTCCAAATATAAAATGCACAGCCCATAGGTACTGTCTCATGACTCTCTTTATATTCTCACAATGCACAGCAGTAAGGTTTGAGCAGACCTCAAAAAGGGGAGGGGGGAAGCACAGAAAACATTTTCATGCTTTTTCAAAAGTGTGCAATAGTTTCCTCTTCTGCACTGCAAACCTAGTAATCAGTCTCAGGTTCTTCCCTGAACTTCCCCTTTCTTCCAAGCCTGCCTTAAACTATTTATGTTTGCTTTTTATTTTTTTTACCGGGTAGCCTGCCGCTAAAGGAGATAGTATAGACTGGGACTTATTATCAGTGCATGGAATGAAGAGGTTCTTATGTTTATGCCCAATAGTTTTGTACCCTGGTAGTAAAGAAACTTTCTCATGATAAATTTTTATTAATATTTATACATATATACATATAAACCTTTACAAAGTCCAATACTTAAGTTACGCATAATATATCCATTCCATAAATCATAAATCCATTTGTTTTAGGCTCTGCCGAGCCTTGGACTTCCTTCCACTCCTTTGGTAAGTATCAAATAGACTCTATAATCACATATTTTATCTCTTTTACATAGTAGCCTTTTACTGTTAGAGTTGTTCCAGTCCCGCCAGTGTCGTTTAAATTTTGGTCCCAATATATATCCAGTATTTAATCCAATTGTCGTGAAATTTCTGTTCATCTTGGTCTCTTATTCTTCCTGTTATTCTAGCGAGCTCGGCATAGTTTGTCAATTTAATCTGCCAGTCACTTATATTGGGTATGGCCTCCGTTTTCCAATTTTGTGCTAACATGATTCTTGTGACTGTTGTGGCATATAAGAATAGTGCCTTATCTTCTTTTTTAATTTCTTTACCTATCATTCCTAGCAGAAAAGCTTCGAGTTTTTTGGGAAACGTGTATTTAAAAATTTTTTTAAGCTCATTGTAGATCGATTCCCAAAAACCTTTCACTTTGCTGCATAACCACCACATATGGTAGAAGTCACCGTCTACCTCTCCACATTTCCAACATCTTTTATTCTTTAACCTATAAATCTTAGCCAGTTTTACTGGCGTATGGTACCACCTATATATCATTTTCCACATATTTTCCCTTAATGCCGTACATGCCGTGAACTTCATGTTAATATTCCATAATTCTAGCCACCTCTCGAAATCAATGTTATAGCCAATGTCTATTGCCCACTTAGTCATAACCTCCTTCACCTCCTCGTCTTTTGTGTACCACTCCAATAAAATATTGTATATTCTAGACAGTATTTTGTTCTTTCCTTCAACAAGGAAAGAACATACATCTGGCAGGGAAAAAGACCACGAATAAAAATGAAAATATTGGTAGATAGAAAAGAAAGAGGGGGTTTCCGGATTTATGCTTATACTATGAGGCGGCGTGTCTAATGTGGTTGAAAGACTGGATAAGGCTAGAAAATAGAGACATCTTGGATTTGGAAGGCTTCGATAACAGGTACGGGTGGCACTCGTACCTGTGGTATGAAAAGGTGAAAGTACATAGAGGCTTTCTAAATCATATTTTTAGAGGGCCAATATTCCAAGTATGGGAAAGAAATAAAAATTTATTGGAAAGGAAGACACCCTGGTGGATTTCACCAATAGAGGTCTTAACGGTCAAAAAAGTTAATATGGAAGGGAAGAATGCCACTTATGAAGAACTTACAAGGAAAACGGATCAAGATATAAAACTTAGACCGCATGAAGAGATTAAAAACTCATTTACTGGGTGGCTGCAATACCACCAGGTAAATGACCTGTTAAAAGAAGATAAAAAGAAATTAGGATTTGAAGATAAAAAATCTAAATTTAATGTGGAAGTAAAGAAACTTTCTCAGCTTACATAAAAGAGAATTAAAAAAGCAAGAAGAGCCTTGAACTGCAAGCAATAGGGTGGAAGAGAAAAGGAAGTACTTCCTTAAACACTGCACATCAGGGGTCCAGAATTTTTTTGGGTTGGCAGATCAGATTGTTTTTTCTCCAAATCTGCCAGGTGAGTGGGCCTGCTCAGTCACTTTTGTTCATGAAGATTTTGTGTGTGTTGTGGGCCTTCACGAGGAGTACCCAGGATTGGGGGAACAGAGCCTTTTGCTCAGAGTTGTGGCCAGAGAAGCAGCACACTTGAGTTTTCCATTTTGCTTCTGCAGAAGTGAATCAGTGACAGAGGGCATTGATATAGCAGCTGGGCATTTGGGGAGGGGGAGACATCAGGTGAAACAAGCTATAATTTATTTGGACATCTACAAGAACAATCCTTGCTCATTGGACAAACTGTGGTTTGATCAAACTCTGGCTCAGCATTACACCCAAATGTAGCCTTGCAGTTCTCTTGTGCTGCTTCTGGTAGCTTAGCTTGGTGGAGCTGGTTGGGGTTTTTTTATTAGTATTTGTCAGGGAACTGACATTGGAGCCAGAGGCGGAGGCAAGGCTCCCAAGCGATGCTGGAGAAGGGCTCAGCAGGGAGAGAGGCAGCTCATCAGCTGGGGAAGGAAATCAGCGTAACACCAGGGATAAAGGGGGGCAGATGGGGAATCGGCGAGGGGCTCCAGGACTCCTCGCCGGAGACCAGCGGGGAGAGCACGGGTCCTCCGCTACCCACACCCTCCCTGCGCAGAAGACTTCCGCGCAGGGAGAGTAGGAGGAGACTTGGCGTCAAACAGCTTTTATGCTGGAAAAGGTTTAAGAAACGCCCACTGACGGATTCTGCTAGCGACTGAAACAGCCACGAAGTGAAGGGCTGTCCAGACAGAAAAGGTTTAACAAGGCAACCTAGCCAGGAGTGGCGGCAACTTACGCACGAGCAACCCCTATATTTATTACAGCAATCCGTCAGTCACTGACGTTGCTTGTGCGCAGCGACAGGCAGGCAGCATAATGAGCCAAACCGGAGAAGCCGGCGCCACGGAGGGAGCAGCTGGAGTGCAAAATCTGGTGGAGAGGAACCGAGATTTGGAACAGCATGTGGCTCTTCTGACGGCGCGGTTGGAAGAAAGGCGGGCTCACGATGCACAGGTCAGACCCACCCCCGTAGCAAGGAAGGTACCGGGACTGGTACACAAGTTTGGGGGGAAGCCCCAGGACTACAACGCGTTCCGAACGGAAATAGAGTACGCTTTGGAACTGCAGCATAAGGATTTTGCGGACGATGGGGAGAGGGTGGCCTATATTGTCGGGCATCTGCAGGATGGGGCCAGGGAATGGATCAGGCCCCTAATGGCAACGCAAAATGCCGCCTTGAAAGACCTGAGGAAATTCTTCCAGGCGATGGATGCGATGTATTCCAGTGATGTGCAGCAAAGTGTGACTCGGCGGGAACTGATGGGGTGCAAACAGGGGAACCAGTCAGTTAGAGACTACTGGTCACGCTTTGCAATGTTAGTCCACCGACTCGGGTGGGAATTGGACTCTGAACCCATTCAGATGTTGTTTGAGGAGGGGTTGTCCCCAACGGTGAAGGACGAGCTTTCCCGCGCGCCACGCCCGCAGTCGATGGATCAGCTGACCAAGGCTGTGCTTGCGATTGGCGTAAGACAGGAAGCGCGGGCTCAGGAGAAGCGCGAAGGGAGAGGGGAACGTTGCCATGACTACCGCATTCCTGAAATACCGAGGCAGCCTTCCCCGCCGGCGGAGCCAATGGAAATAGATGGCGCGCGCGCGGGAGGTTTCAAACTCCAGTGAAGGTCGCAAGAGGGAGGGAAAGGATTGGAAAACCACCAAGAAGTGTTTCCTCTGCCAGCGGCCAGGACATTTTGCCAGGGTCTGCCCTCAAAGAAAGGCCTGGCAAGGGATGGTGGGAGCTGCTGGAGGTGAGGAGGAGGGGGAAAGGGGGCAGGAGCAGGGAAACGCCAGCGCTTGGCTGCCACTCAGCGGGCACAGCAGCCAGACCAGCAATCAATAGAAGTGCCCCAGCCAGACCCCCCCAGGGCGGCTATAGCCATAGATGTGGTGCTAGAACTCCCGAATGGGCACCCAGTCAAGGTGAAGGGGCTGTTGGATTCAGGCAGTTCCTGCAATTTCTTCAGCAAGGAATTCGCCCTAGAGCACCAGCTCCACCTGCTGCCCCTGGATTTTCCCTTGCAAGTGACCACCATTGATGGCAGGGAGCTTCTGGGAGGGGAAGTGATGCACCAGACCCCACCAATGAGAATGAGGGTTTCCAGGCACACGGAGACCATTGCCTTTCACGTAGCCACACTGGCAGGACCCCCAATAATATTAGGGATGAGCTGGCTGGCACTACATGATCCAGTAGTGGCATGGCATCAGCGGACGGTCACCTTTGGGTCAGCTTACTGCTTGGAACACTGTCTGGGGGGGAAACCCCAAGGATGACCGTGGCCAGGGTGGCTGGGATAGCTGTGGAGCCGAAAGGGGAGGTGCCACCACAATATGCTGACCTGCAGGAGGTCTTCAGCGAGAAGGAGGCGGATAGACTACCCCCCCATAGGCCCTTTGACTGCCAAATCAACTTGCTCCCAGGGGTGCAGCTGCCGGTGGGTAAACTGTATGCCATGTCGGACAGGGAGATGAAGGAGTTGCGGGAATTTATTGACAAGAACCTGAAAAGAGGTTTCATAAGAGAATCAAAGGCGGTGGGGGGGCAGTCCGGTGTTCTTTGTGGACAAAAAAGATACTAATCAACCCAGGCTCGTTGTGGACTACCGGGCCGTCAACCTGGTGTCAGAACCCGTGACCTTCCCAATGCCCAGGATTGACGACATTTTAACACGGGTGAGGCAGGGGAAAATTTTTACCAAGCTGGACCTCAGGGGAGCATACAATTTGATTAGGATGAGGGAGGGGGACGAATGGAAGACCACAATGTTCACACCCCTGGGGGCCTTTGAGTACTTAGTTATGCCATTTGGATTACAGTCGGGCTCCGCCTGTTTTCAAGCTTTCATGCACCACGTGTTGGGGTCCCTGCTGTACAAGAACTGCGTAGCCTTCTTGGACGACGTCTTAATCTATTCGGACAATGAGAAGCAACATGTCAGAGACGTCAGGGAAGTGCTAAAGAGACTGCAGAAGCACCAGTTGTGGGTCAAGCTGGAAAAATGTCAGTTTCACGCCAGAGAAGTCGAGTTTCTGGGGTACAAGTTGTCAGACAAAGGCCTAGCTATGGACCCAAGCAAGGTGCAGGCGGTGCTGGAATGGAAGGCCCCCAAAACCCGGAAGGACGTGCAGAGGTTCCTAGGGTTCAGCAACTTCTACAGGAAGTTCATCAAGAACTTCGCCCACTTGACAGCGCCCATCACAGATTGTCTCAGTAGCAAAAAGAAGTTCGTCTGGACAGAAAGTGCCCAGCAATCCTTTGAAAGACTGAAGAAGGCGTTCGCTTTGGAAGAGCAGCTCCTGCACGTTGATCTGGAGAAACCCATGAGGCTAGAGACCGACGCGTCTGACAGAGCCATTGGGGCGGTTCTTTTGCAGCCAGGGAGGAGCAAGCAGGAATGGAAGCCGTGTGCCTTTTTCTCGAGGAAGCTGAGCAAGTCGGAGCAAAACTATACGGTGTATGACCGCGAACTGCTTGCGATCTATGAGGCGTTTCGCCGATGGAGACATCTGCTAATGGGGCGCAGCACAAGATCCAGGTTTGTACTGATCACAAGAACTTGGAATACTGGAGGACCGCACGAGTACTCAACCAGAGACAGATTCGATGGGCACAGGAGTTCTCCAAGTTTTCCTTCGAGATCCGATACGTGCCAGGAGAGGAAAACGTAAGAGCAGATGCTCTCTCCCGGAAGCCGGAGTACATGGAAGGAGAGGGACCGCCGGAGATACGACACGTGATCCCCGAGGACCGATGGGTGTGTGGGGGAGCCTTGGTTGGGAAACGAGAACCGGCTGGGCTTACTAGAAACAACGTGTTCACTCAAACTAAAATCCGGGAACTCCGAGAAGAAAGAGAAAACCATGGGGGGTTTGAAGAAAAGGAAGGGGTGCTGTACTATAAGGGGGTGCTGTATGTACCGGGGGAGACCCTGACGGATTCTGCTAGCAACTGAAACAGCCACAAAGTGAAGGGCTGTCCAGACAGAAAAGGTTTAACAAGGCAACCTAGCCAGGAGTGGCGGCAACTTACGCACGAGCAACCCCTATATTTATTACAGTATTCCTTCTGCCCAGAGCACTTATGATCACAGGCTGTTCTCTTAGTGTTTCGCTGATGGCTGGCTGAGCCACAAAGCATAATGTTTTTGACATAGACCAGAAACAGAAGCTCTGGTGCTCAAGACCATAGACTACCAGAAAGCATTTCCTCTTGATAAGCCGACTCTTTGCTGCCAGCATTCTTCTCAGGCACCCGTGACGTAACATGGAAGGCAGCCTTTCTGGGTACAGCAGATGAGCAGGCAACCAGTGGGAAATCCCCCGAGGCTAGGCTATTTTGGAAATGTTTTGATTATAGATTCAGTTTCTCAGCCTGGTCACGATTATGCAGGATGGCAGCATGTACATAGCAGGGATTTTCCTCACCAAGAGAAAGGGTTGTGGGATCCCAGCAGGAAGCAAGCAGCTCCCTGCCTGCTCTAGTTCCTTCCAAATAACAAGAGTGTTGCAATGGCCCCGGCTGTGGAGGAGGGAATCAAGGGGAGTTCATGCAACTCTGCTGTAAATCTTTCAGCCCGGTCAGCCATAATGCACATCAGCTGAATTTTGCACGATGCTCCAAAATCCTTTCCCAGTACCAGTTATTCTATCTCTTGTCTACACATGAGAGGTGGAGGGGGTAACCTTGCTGTGTTGGAATTCATTTTTCATTTCAGCAAGAAGGCAGTCTGCAGTCTCCAAAGATTTAAAACAGGGGTGGGGAAGCTTTTCCAGCTTAAGGGTTACATTCCTTTCTGGGAAATCTTTCTTTGAGAGGGGAGGGACAGGACAGACCTACCAGTGGTAGGTTGGGCCAGGGGCAAAAGTGGGTGGAGAAACAAATGTAAACACTACCTTTGTCCAGTAGTCCAGTTTATACACCCACATTCTCTGTATCCTCCATCTAGACAAGAATAATTATTAAAGGGCACATTCCAGGCAGGCAAAAACACTTGGGGGAGGGGGCAAGCAGGGCCAGTGAAGGGTGTGGCTGGGGGAGTGCCCTGAGGGCCAAATAGAGAGGCATGGAGGGCTGCATTCAGCCCCTGGGTTCTAGGTTCCCTTGATAAAAGAAATAAAGGTAAAGGTAAAGGACTCCTGGACAGTTAAGTCCAGTCAAAGGTGGGTATGGGGTGAGGCACTCACCTCGCTTCAGGCCGGGGGAGCCGGCGTTTGTCCACAGACAGTTTTCTGCATCATGTGGCCAGCATGACTAAACCGCTTCTGGCGCAACAGGACACCGTGACAAGTGCCAGAGCGCACAGAAATGCCACTTACCTTCCCGCCACAGTGGTACCTATTTATCTACTTGCACTAGTGTGCTTTCAAATTGCTAGGTTGGCAGAAATAAAACTGAATAAGGTTAAGCAAGAAACAGATGAACTCTGACATCCTTTGATGATTCTGTCTTCCCCTGTCAATATCACCTACTGAAAGTCTTTTCTATTACCTATCAGTTCTATACCTAAGGTGATCTGCTGCAACTTAAGGTGCTGTATCTGTGGCATTACTCCTCCTTTGCAGGAGATACTGTAAACTGCCTTGTGGTCTTTGGATTAAGGTTGGTATATAAATTTAATAAACAAACCAACAAATGTTGGGATTAAAAAACCATTGAACTGATAAGTTCTCTTTCCCTGGTGCCCTACTTTCTACTCACCATTTGGAAGTGTCTATCCTGGTACAACTCCTGCACAAACATCAAGAGTCTCTCACAGAGACCTTTCAGAGGAGGAATTATGCTGATTTTGCCACAGCAGACTTAACACAGAGTTTTGTGGTATCTTGGTTTGTTTCCATCACCAATGCCAACCTGTCCCTGAGCAACCACCACAGCAAACTCCATTGTGTTCACCACCTCCAAGACATGATTGCAATTCATTTTGTCCCTGCTAATCCAGTGCCTCTGGCTAGCAAAATAGCTCACCTCCTCTTTTGACTCCACTGGGCACTCAATCATGTTATCACAGATGAACGCACACGGTCCCTATTATGGTTCTGGCAAGCCCTGTTGACACTGCTACAAATCAAGGGCCGACTCTCTTCCATCTATCGTCTCCGCATAAATGGGCAAACAGAACAGATGATCCAAATACTGGTACAACACCTCTGCAGTTGGTACAGGAAATGAGTTACCAGCAGAAATGGCCAAGATCAGGGCCCAGGAGCACATCTGCAAACTATAGACACTATTGCAGACATCACAACCAAGCACACACCAAAATCTATTATATTGGCTACAACAGACTCTTTCTTTAAAGACTAATTTCATGCCAGGGGTGGGGGAAGAAGACCCTATGGGTGCCAGTGAAAGTATTGGTTGGTGCAAATGCACTCATGCTGGTCCACAGTAACATCTGCCATGCTTCCATCAAACACAATTGTTTCTACCCTAACTTCCTTGTTCTTTCCTATCTACACTTTGCAGCAGCTGCAATATGTCCCTGCAGACTCAAACTACCTTGACACGAAAACAGTTCTGGAATGAGCTTTACTATCAGCTAGATATACCCAAGACAACTACAAGAATCACTCCAGGGGAGGGAAGGGTTGGCTCTACTAGGTCTACCTAAAGACTCAATGCCCTTCCGTCAGCCCAGAGAGCCATCATATTGCTCCATGCTCTGTTGCTGAAAGGAGTGAGCAGAGCTGCTACACTCTAGCTAAGCTCCTCGAGACCAATTCCTGCTGCACTCCACTCTTACGTCTCCCTGCTGAAATGGAGAATCCCTCTGCCAGGGCCCCCAATCTCCTCCATCACATCATACACAGAAACAAAGAAAATTCACAGATCCTGGATTCTCCACTGACACAAAAGAACAATCTTGATGGCAGGTGTGTGGACTGTGCACAGTAAATGAGAAGCAAAGGCATCTATATTCTCCAAATATAGCTCTAGTATTCTCTCAGTGTCAGGGAAAGGGAGCTGATGAGCAGCTCTCAAAGAAATCCACAGCTTTCCCAGGGCTTCCAAGATAAACCTTTTGTTCTCCAGAGGGACACAAATTTGGAAGAGCTAAGGCTGGAGACTTTGGTGTTTAGGACCCCACTTACACCTGACATTCTTTTTGCTGGCCGTATCAAAGTGAAGAGGGCCTCCAGCAGCCCTGCTCTTTGCACACAGAGACAAACCGGGTCCCTTTCAAAAATTGTATCTGTAGCTGCCCCGAGAACAGTCAGTGTTCAGGCTTTGACGTCAGAGAGGAAGGTGTGAAGCTGGAGTCTGGGCTTTCCCTCTTAACTAAATTTAGGATTGCCCAATCAATTCCTGCATGAAGTATCCCAGGCAATTGCAGGATAATTTTATTTGAAAGCATTTTGTGATTACTGATGTCAATACCACCAGCGCTCGGAGGAGAAAGCGCACATTTAACTAGCAGCTTCTCCTTCCGATTTCTGCCATTCATTCATATTACTGTTTATCACCCAGAATGACACAGCTCCCAGCCCCCACACCTTCAGAACCATTAGTATATCATTAAATCAAAGGGAGATTTAAACATAGATTTATCCTTTTGGAACCATCCACCCCAATGAGAATCAAATGCCAGCACACAATATGCATTCTGGAAAAGTAAAGGCAAAGAGTTTGATATTTTAAAAAAAACAGTTCTTTGTATTTATGTAAGGCCCTCCAGACAGATTGTGTGGGGTTGTGGGTTTTTTTTCAATTGTATTCTGCAACATGTTCAGCAAATAAAAGCAAAATTCAGTGCAAAGAAGGAGCACCATGAATTACTGCTGCTGGATCAAGGGGGATACAAATACTAGGATAAGTACACTCACTTCATCTTCCTGCCATGGAGATCCTTGTCCGTTTCTTTCTTTTTGAGACTAGATAAACCCTCGGTTTCTTTCACTCAGCCTATGTGCTTACAGGGTCATCTGCACAAAGCCTGCTACAGATTAGTATAAATGGATTAAGCAGCAGATTGAATTAAATCCCAGCCCCACCTTGACTTGCAAATGCTGAAGAACTAAATGCATCTAACTTGTTTCAGCTGTTCACACAGCTGCTGCTAAAATGACCAAGCTACATGTTACAACTGGCTGGTTGTATCTTGTTGGGGGGTTTTTTGTTTCTTTGTTTTTAAATCAAAACCAGCCTCTAGAATTGTGGAAAGGGTAAAAAAACACCTGTGCAAGACTTTTGCTTCCAGACATTTTTTGACTGCGGGGAGGAAAGAGCTATCTTTCTTGTATGACACATTGTAAATCTTTGATTTAGTCTGAAGTGCAAGAAAACTGCCTTTGATGGAGGAAAAAACCCACCAGGTTCATTAGATTGCCAGCTATTCCTAAATGTAGTCCTTTTCCTATGAAGGAAGATGGTAGCGACTGTAGCTGTTTTCTTAGACCTTCATCTCTACAGTGAGGCAAGGAGTTGTTGTCATTTCTAATTAACAGTGCAGCAATGGAGCATTCCCCTTGATTTCCCATCCACTCCTAGCACAACAGTCCTTCACACTGTGATTGATAATACACAGTGAATTGGGAAGCTAATATGGACAAATTAGAAAGAGAATGTGCTGCTCCATATGCTGGAATAACAAGACCCCACCCCACACAATTTTTCCTGTTCATGCTGCTTTTGACTGGGAATTGTCTTAGTTGCATTCTGGTGGTGTTAGAGTAGCTTCACCCTGAACCAGTTATCTATCTAAACAGGATACTCTTGCATAAACCAGAGCCAATCTCCCATAGTGGTTAGAGTTTTGAAATCAGGCTACATACACACCAACCTGTAGTTTTCCTCCATGATTGTTCATGCTCATCCCCTGCTTTTAAGCTAGATTGATTCTAGATCTTGACATTCACAAGGGCGGGTGGTTACGTGATACATATTTGGAAACCCTCCTCTTGTTTAGGTTATCCGCACCTTTTCCTTCCTGAGCATGCTCCTGATGTAGGAAGGAAGTACCATAATGACTGCATTCTTGGTATACACCCACCTACAATGTCACTGGGCAGGTGTGGATACATCTGGTATTGCCAGGACAGTCTACATCTGTTTTCAAAAGGAGATAATGCAGACTCTTTTTGCAATGAGCTATTCTATTTGGAATGAAACCAGTTTCTCGGGAAGCACTTTTCATGGGTGAAAATATGCAAATAATCTAGATTGCGTGTGGTGTACATGGAACATAGGTAAAGGTAAAGGGACCCCTGACCATTAGGTCCAGTCGCGGATGACTCTGGGGTTGCGGCACTCATCTCGCTTTATTGGCCAAGGGAGCTGGCGTACAGCTTCTGGGTCATGTGGCCAGCATGACTGAGCCGCTTCTGGAGAACCAGAGCAGCACACGGAAACGCCGTTTACCTTCCCGCCGGAGCGGTACCTATTTATCTACTTGCACTTTGACATGCTTTCAAACTGCTAGGTTGGCAGGAGCAGGGACCGAAGAACGGGAGCTCACTCCGTTGCGGGGATTCAAACCGCTGACCTTCTGATCGGCAAGCCCTAGGCTCCGTGGTTTAGAACTGCAGAGTTGGAAGGGACCACGAGGGTCCTCTAGTCCAACCTCCTGCATTGCAGGAATCTTTTGCCCAATGTGCAGCTCAAATGCACCCTGAGATTAAAAGACTCATGCTCTACCAGAAGAGTGAAGGCTGGTCCATTTGGAAAAGTGGAGCATTGCCCTGCCAGCCTCAGCCTGCCCTCACCCAGGCTCCACCTGCTTGCCTACTTACTTACTTACTTACTTACTTACTTATGACCAGTACAGAGGGGCGGCTGTCAGCTTCCTCTGCCTTGTTCTCAGTGCTACCCTTATCGTGCTACCTTTATAGAACTTGGCAGGGAGGAGGAAGGGGACAACTAGAATGAGTTGGCTACTATTTGGGCTCCCTGGCCTCTGCCTCACCAACCTTGATGGGTGCCAGCCATCACTGATGTGTGTGTGTGTGGAGGGGACCAAGCACCGTGTCTCCAGTGATTCTATAATAAAATATTATTATAGAACTCATATTACAAACTTCTTGTGAGGATGAAAGGGGGAGGACCACCCGTGTTGCCTCAGACTCACTGAAGAAAGGCAGGAAACAAATAAATGAGAGAAATTTACAGAGCCCTATCTTCCTTTTCAGAAAGCACCTCAGGTGCTCATGGTGATCTCTGATATATCTAACCCAGGAAAAAGAGGGTAGTTGTTACAGCAGCAAGTTTTAAAAGGCAAAATAAAAATCCACATACCCAGTCGCAGGATCTGTGTGCCAATAGCAGAATCAGAAAGGTCCAGCTTGACTTTGATCCCAAGGTGAGACTGGAAATTGAACAACAACACAAAGAGAAATTTAATATGAGCATGTTTTGATAACAAGATGTATAATAAGTAAAAGTATAGTCATGCTGCTTCTCCTTTTACAACACTGCAAAAATATGGCTCTTTGCCCCTCCACTGGCTCAACAAAAACTCTGCTCCACACCTTTGCTTTGACGACTGCAGCCTGCTCTTCTCTTGGCCCACTCACCTCTGTCAAAATAGAACTTAGCAGTCCAAATCGCTCGTGTCCTCATGTTGCTTTGATCACATCAGATCTCTCCTTAAATACCCACATTGGCTTCCAATCCAGTGCACAAATTCTTTGTCTTTACTGTGAAAGCCCCCTCTGCTCTTATATCCCAACGCAGTCATATTCATCATGGCTACAAATTAGTTCTGACTACCCTGAATATTGACATGTAACATGGTTGTGACTTTCAATGTGCAATGAGAGTGATGTCTTTTGCCCACAACATGCAAGCCTTCATCCTTCTGCGTAAGTCTCTTTCCAGGGATTAAAGGAGCAGTGATCCCCCATCACTGGTCCTGCCCCCCAAGGCTGTACAGCTCCAAAGTCCATTCCCCGAACATCAACAAACTGAGAATAGCTAACTAAGGAGAGCATAGACCTTTTCTCAGATGTAGACCTCTACAGCCATAGGTTTCCCCTTCTCTGACATCCACGCGCAACTCTTAGATATGGGGGCAGCAGGGAGTCAATGCCAGGGAGCAGGTGGCCCCACTTTTCCTGTAATCATATGAATCCCCTTCATGAGATTAATGAATGAAGGGGCCTGTAATCTCTCTTTCTTCCTATCAGAAAACTGCTATGTCTAACAAAATTGGGAAAACTGCAAAAACAAATAAAATGGGATCCACCAGCTGCTCAGTACTGTTACACATTCTTTATACTAATTGTAGGATAGGAATCTGTGACAAAGTCTTGTAGGTACATTTGGTACAAGATCAGGAATGTTTGGGGGGGGGGATGTATTTGCAATCTCACCAAATATTGAAGGAACATCATGTAGTTCTTTGTCAACATGCATGCTATCAAATATTACTACACTGTTTTCTCAAAAGGTATCTGGGCAGAAGAAAATCAAAAAGGGACAATTGGATCAGATTTGCCAGAGTAGCACAGGGCACTATCAAATGATTGTGCAAGGCCTTCCACAGTGCAAGTTAAGAGTTCTCTGAATTCATTCTTTCTATTAGGTCTATGAAAAATGTTGCAAGCATTTTATTATTATTATTATTTGCATATGAAATCTCAAAATTCCGGAGAGAAATAATAGAAAGTGATTGTAAATTATCATCAAAAATGTATAATATATTGTTGGAATGGGAGACAAAGGATGAAGAGGTCAAATGTGTAATGATAAAATGGGCAAAAGATGTGGGACATAATATACAGATGGCAGACTGGGAAAGATTATGGAGAAATGATATAAAATTCACGGCATGTACGGCACTTAAGGAGAACTCTATGAAAATGATGTATAGATGGTATTTAACACTGGTTAAACTATCAAAAATGTACAAAACAAAAGATAATAAGTGTTGGAAATGTAAAGAGGCAGAAGGTACATTTTACCATATGTGGTGGCAATGTAAAGTTATAAAAAGCTTTTGGGAATGATCTATAATGAATTGAAAAAAAATGTTTAAATAACCTTTGTTAAAAAACCGGAAGCTTTCTTAATTGGAACGGATATACTGAAAGAATATAAAAATTTATGTATGCAACAACAGCCGCACGGACATTGATAGCCCAATGCTGGAAAGAAGAACTAGTCCCAACTAAAGAAGATTGGCAACGTAAACTAATGGAATATGCTGAAATGGCTAAATTAACTGGAAGGCTAAGAAATGAAGAGGACAACAAATATAAAAAAGAATGGGAAATGTTTATTGCATATTTACAAAAGCACTGTAAAGAAGTTAATACAATAGCAGGGTTTTTAAAAAACACTTGTAATATTAATGACAAGGTTTGAAATTGGAAATATTTAAAGATAAGAAAATTATAGACATGTACACAAAAGAAAACACAAAAGAACCGGGGGAGGGAATGGAGGGAAGTCAAGGGATCGGAGGAATCCCGAAATATGGATTTGATATGATATGAAAATGTTTTATTTTTATTTTTTAAAATGTTAATTGCATTTGTTTATTAAGGCATGCGAAGATAATGTTTGATTGTGAAAAATAAATAAAATAAAATAAAAGGGGGGGGGGGGAGAAGAAAAAGGTTGCAAGCAGTTTGTTACTACAGAGCCAAACAATACATTTGCAGAATCTATTGCTTTTGCTTTAATCACTGGATGTTTCCAGCTTATACTTTTTGATGGAAGAGGAAATTTCTTGGATAGCAGAACCAATGATTGATGCAAAAAGTCCATTGGAACGATTTCACTTTTCATCCTCTGAAGGCATCTGCTCATCACAATTCTCCCATCTGCATCCATCAGTATTCATACCTGTCATCTTCTCATACCTTCTCACTCAAGTTCTGCCTTCCCCTAACCTAGAGCTCTTCAGACATTCTGGGCTATGACTCCCAGGGCCATGTTGCCTGGTGTTGATGGGAGTTTTACTCCTAAACATCTAGAGGGCACCAAGTTGGGGAAGGCAACCTGCAGAATAGCACTCATTAATCCACTTTGGGGGATGGAATTTGTTGCGGCTTTGCTCAAGAGCTCGATCACGTTCTGTTAAAAGGAATATCTATCTCTCCTTGATATTGGAATGTCTGCTGCCCTCAGACTTGGAGTTGTTTGCAGTATTCCAAATAGGAGAGTGTCAGGTTTGCTGTTCTCAGCCAGTATGAAGAAAAATGGCATGGAATAATGGATAGCTGATAGATACAAATCCCAGCCAGGCTCACACACTGCTTTGTGTAGGAGAATGTAATAGCAAGATCTCTCAGTTCTTCCCCTGCAAATTATTTGTATTCTATTATCACACCCTTGGATATATTTGAAATGCACCAGGAAAGGAAAAACACATAATTTATTGAATTCACTGTTGTAGGATATGTTGATGGCCAATAGATTAGGTGGCTTTTAAAAAAAGAGTTACTGTATACAAATTCCTGGAGGAGATGGTCTATTCATAATCAGGGTTAGCTCCAGGTTTGTGGGGGTCCTTGGGAACAGGATATTCATGGGCCCCTTGCCCTCCCCTCCCCTGTTCCACCTTCAAACCACGGCTCTCCCTCTTGAGCACACAGGTTTAAACTAAAACAGATATTGACCAACACGGCGATCCTTTATCATCAAAGTAAAGCACAAATGTTAGCATTTCACTAGTTGCCTTTTTAATTATTATTATTATTATTATTATTATTATTATTACCCAATAATATAACTTAGAGATAAATTATGCACACTTACCTGGGAGTAAGTCCCTGTGAACTCATTGGGGCTTACTTCTGAGTAGACATTTACGTACATGGGATTTTATTGTCAGAGGCAGTTAGTACGAAAGAGACATATGATTTGGAGGTACAAAACTGAATATATCTTATAAAAAGTAAACAACCTGAATAAATGTTATACCCTTTCCTGCAATTAGAAATGTAGTCTCATTGACGCACTTCAAATAAGGAGAAAGGATGTTTGTCTGACAGTGCATTCCTGTTAAGAGGCAAAACTTAATCTCAAATCTTATACACATCCCCGTTTGACTCAATGAGGCTTACTTCTGATCAGATGTATATAGAATTGCATTCTACATTTTTCAGTATTTCAGAGACTGCACTTCTAACCATTAAGGTTATACTACTAACAACTAATATGTTTATTGTGGGCATTTTGCATTTAAAGGTGAACCTACCTAATCTGCACAATACAAGAACCAAACTACAGCAGCTCTTCAAAATTCACACATCTTTGAATTTTGCAGTATAGCTCTCCAGTCAAGTAATGCTCACAAAAATGTGTATACCGAGGTAAAGTGTCCATAAAAATGCATATGTTTGTGAAAATAACATTAAACAACACATTGTCTTGTGGGAAATGTGTATATATTAGGAAAAATTGCATGGAAATGGATATTAGGATAAATTTGCACTGAAAAGCTAGTGCATTTTCATGAGAATATATTTTTTTAAATTGCTAACTTATATAGAAATGTGGAGAACTGATCTTAACATTGGAAACATAAGAAACTGAGTAAAACCCAACCTGGCAGATTGGCCCATCCTGACTTAGGCCACATTAGTTGTCAAACTCTAACCTGGGGCAGGATTGCCTAGGGCCCTCCAGATTTTGCTGGACTACAAGCCCCATGTTCTCTGACCAGTGACTGATTCTAGATGGGGATGATGAGAGTTGGAGTCCAACAATATCTGGACAGCCACCAGATCTCCATCCCCTGTTCTAGACCATTCGATTCTGGGACTGAGGGAAGCAGGTTGCCTGGCTGGCTGGCTAAGGACGCCGGGGCGGAGTGGCCGGCACAGACAGAAGGGAAGTTCTAGAGCAGAAAAGTGAGAACCAGAGGGGCCACAGGCACTTGCCTAGTTCTGTTCAAAGCTGCCCGGAGCAACAAGGACCAAGCAGGAAGCTCCAAGGCCACATTGCAGATTAAGATGGGCCATTGGTCTCATCTGACCAGAGCCCAGGCAGCATTGGCTGGCAGGGCGGAGCAGGTTGGGGCAGCGCCGCTTACCTGGTTTTCCACTGCAGTGATCACTGCCATAAACCAAGAGGAAGAGAAGGAGTGTCATAGTGTTGGGTAGGCTGGTGTGGTGCTGGTGCAGTGACGAAGCCAATTTGATTCTCAATAACACTGCACCTGCATCACACCAACCTCCCCACTCTTATGCTCCACCTCCCTGGCAGCAACAGCTGGGTTGGGAAGGCAGAGGAGCAACGACGCCCCCCCCCCCCCGGCTAGCTCCTTCTGGGTTCAAGGAGCATTGATCTTGGCCCAGTAAAAAAAGAGCATCGGATCAATCCCATCTCAATCTCATGAGTCATGAAAGAAAAGTTTCTATTTTAATCCGGAAATCACATTTTCTACATTTCTGAAATTACACTACAGCCACACTGGGAATTTCTGCTATGCCCCCAAATACCCCTCCTTTGTTTTTAACATAACTTCCAGCCTGAGGTAAGAGGCTTATAAAGCTTGCTGACTATTCTGTCATTTTTTGGTTGGCACTAATAAAGGTACTGTGCTTTTACTGTTTTGATTCCCCCTCCCTCCATCCTAAGGGACCGATGCAGCTGCAAACATTTTATAAACAGACCAATTCAGGAAGAAAGCTTTGTTTTTCTGGTCTTTTCCTTTGCAAAATCATGAATTATCTTCCAAAGTTAATTTTTCACACTGTGTGGACATAATAGCCAGATGGCTTAGCTGTTCTCATCTCATAGAAGAATGTCTGTGGTTGGTCTGAAATCAGGTAGCTGTAGACCCAGTGACTGAAAAGCCACCAACATAAGCCAGCGGGAAGCAAGTTCAAATCTTTGCTTAGCTATGAATGCTCCATATGTCAAGGAGAGCACCTCAGAGTCAGTTCTTCACTCATAATGCGGGGATGACCTACGCCTTAAAGGCTGTTATGGGAGTGAATGTGATAGTGACTTTAAAAGTACACTTGTACAACAGAAAATGCTATGCAAATTATAATAATGGCCAAGGCTTCATTCAGTTGATGCCCTCGGAGGAATAAGGCTGCTCAATTTCTTTCTCATAAAATGCATACGGAAGGGAACCCAAACACTTTAAGCATCTGAGGAGATACCAGCAGAGAATCAGTGGGTGCTGCTCAAATGGCCCCAGAAAGACAATTCAGAGTTAGGCATTTTTAAATCCAATTGATTTCCCTGAGAGAGTTAAGGATGTGCTTAAACATTTTCCACTAAAATCAATGGAATGTAAACGTGCTTAACATTAACTGGACTAAGTCCCATTAATTTCAGTGGAAATATTGAACTACATGCCTAACTTTCTCATGGAAAGCAATAGGGTTTAAATTTGGCCAAAAAAGAGCTTTTATTTGCCTGCTAAGTTGAGGCCAATTAGGATACCTACTTCACATGCTGAAGATTTTAGCAAACATTGGAAATAGAGCCATTTTGATTAGTTTTGCTAATTGCCAAGTTCCATTAAGCCAGCGGAGGGTGGGTGGGGATGACGCAATTCCTGGACTAAAATCATAGATTGCCATCTCCCTAGAAAGAAAAGGTGTAATTTGCTTCTGTTAATTTTGTTAGATATGTAAATTTCAAATGGCACATTGCCCAACACCAGTGTTTGCCTAAAAATAGCCTGTAAAAATATCAGTCAGCTTGGAGATGGGAGCATCATGTTAGACCACCATTCATTTGGCTTTCTGAAGGTGCTGGTTCTGGGCAGATTGAAACTTGCCACCTCCAAACCCAGGTTGGGTTGTGCCATCCCTAGTAAAGAACGTTGATGACAATTCCAGAACACTTTTGATGTGGCTCTGTACTGCAGTTCCTGAATCTATAAGAATGTATTTGCTTCCAGTAATGGGAGGGAGGGCAGGCTTGGTTAGCACTACAACCCACGGTTTGCATACACAAAGCTCCCTGTTCACTTCCCAGGAGGTTTGCTTATGAAGGTATTTGAGTAGCATGGTAACCTGGTTAGGAAAGTCTACTGCTGTCTGTCAGAGCAGACAGTGCTTAATGGCCATATTAGCTGGGCTCATTCTATGGCCTTCACTGAAGTATAAAAATGTGCCAGTATTTGCCATGGATTGTGTGGTTTGAGCTCCATATTGAAAGTGTGGATTCTTAGTTATGAAAACTTTCAGTTTCACAAGAACTGATGGGACTATGTGTTGAGTGGATCCTCTACCAGATGATGAAATGATACTGTGACAATTTAACTGACATGCTCAACTTGTAGTTCAACATACATTAGCCACAAAGCACCTGACGATTAGCAGATTTAAATCAGCAGTTTGGTCTAAGTGCCAAACTGGGTGCAAGATGAAACTACATAATAACCACATGCTAAATTTAGCTTGGATCTAATCAACTTGACCACAACAATGCATCATGTTAATTGCTCCTTGGATGATGTTCTGATTACACACAAGTACAGACCCAATGCATGTTGATAAATATCAAATCTCTGTGCTCCACTGTACCCTGTTTACCTGCCCCTCATCTGTTGCAGACATTGTTAGGACTGTAAGAGGAATTTGGAATGGGGTTGGTAGGTAGGAAACCATAGTATCATTCCTGGTTAAACAAATACCTCCTTTGTAAGGCAGTGCCAGATACAACAGAGCCACAGCTCCTGCACCTTTAATAGCTGTGGAGAAGAGGGAATTTCAGCAGGCAGTTGCTTGTCAAAAGTGCTCTGTCCTCTTTTGCATCTGACTACTCTCCTTCTGTCCCATAATGGGATTGTATAGAATATGACTTGCAAAAGCCCACCTTGCAGATGTGGCTTTAGTAAACAAAACAGGATCAGATTTTCAGCCAGCTTGAAACTATGCCGCTTTTGCATTGCAAAACAGCAGTGGCAAAACTTCATGTGAACAGGTGAAGCTCCAGGACCCTAGCAGGTTAAGGAAGATTCTCATTTTTATATGTCTTAGCAAACCAGTGAGAAAAAAATGTGTGTGAAAGGAAGCCCACATCTCCTATCTCTCTAAACCAGAAGCTGTATTTAATCTCTGGAGAGCAAAGTTTCCCCTGGGAGGGGGCTGCTCTTGTTTCTTCTACCCACCTTCCATCATTCTTTCACAACAGCTTTCCTTCCAGTCCAGTTAACGGACGCTCATTTCCTTCCTAACTAGCTCCGACAGCAGGCACCGCGTTTGTATGTTAATAGCATCAAGTGCCCAGTGTCTTTTTACATTGCACTAGACCCAACAGACTATTAAACTGCAGCTGAATTAAAGGCGAACCTCACAGACATCCTGCTGCAGTCTTCAAGCTACGTCCTCCTTTCAGTTCTACTGCAGACCAACTCCCCACACTCTAAGACACCAGCGAGAGCTTCACTATTTGTCTGCAACATGGGCTCCAGTGAAATAAACATGCATCAGCTACAAGCACACACACACACACACACACACACACACACACACACGTGCACAGATAGGCTGACTGCAATTCTCTGCTTTTTAAAGTGTTTTTCAGCCTTACCGTTCAAGTTGCCAGAAGCTTGCTTTCCTTTCCTTTCCTCCCTTCCTTTTCTTCCCTTTTACTTAGGAGGACAACCAAATAAACAGAGCAGATGGCTTTGAATGCCCAAGCCTGTCATCTGTAGCCTTGGCCCTTATAATCCAGGAGGCTTAGCTGGCTGGCTGGCTTCTTGGGTGTCAGGAAATGCAGGCAAGCATAGGGGGCAAGGAGTGCTTGGGAGCAATGTCTGTTTTCTTCTTCCAGGCTGCTTGCTGTGCTGTTGTGGATAGAGCTTGTCTTTGCTGGCAACTGCTGTCTCTCTTGGTCTCAGTGCTTCCCCACTCAGCCTGACAGCTCTAGCTACCACTTTTAAGGTGGCTCCCAATCCCTAGCTGCAATATTTTCTGTCTGCCAAAAAAACAACACAGGTTTGCATCTAAGCTGTACCTCCTGGATTCTTCAGGCAACACGCTGGCTCTGTCTTCTCAGCAGGAACGGAAAAGAGTTCCCCCACCCAGCCACGACTGCAGAGAATGAGCTGTGGAAACATCCATCCTCTTCGACAATTCTCTCTCTCTCTTTTTGTTACTTCATCGTGTGCTGAAATGTTTTGCTTGTTAAGGCTAAGCAGGAGTGAGTCTGTTTACACACAGCAAGAGTTCTATAAGACACCCACGGAAAGCCTTGGTGGAGTGTTGTCCACACCTCCTAAGCACTCCCTTAAATTCATAATGCAAATTGAATTGCCTCCCCATTTTTAGTTAATTCACTTCAGTTTGTCATTAGATTTCATCTGGACTTGTGCAAATGCTAAGTGGGAGAACCCCCAGGCTGAGATGTCAAGGCCAGATCGCCAGCAGGGATTTAGAGCACAGCTAAGCTCATTCAGGCTGGTTTGGAGGGTAGCCCTCTCTCTTTTTTTCTAGATGCCTGGAAACAGAATTCTGAAAGCTGGCCTCCTGTAGCATCCACATGGAGAACGTTGCTGGCTGACAGTCCAGTGTTCTCTGTCCTTGCTTAATCATCAATCATCAATCATCATCATCATCATCCCACTTCAAACCTAATTAAGTATCCTGACTTCCTATTGAGGAACACTGTGAACTGTATTTTCATGGAATTCCAGCACCCTAACACCACTACAATGTTCAAGATTGTTTGGAGGAAGTTATGATTGTTAAATTGGATCAAGGCTCATTCGAAATCAGTTTCTGTTCCCAGTGCATATGGGTCTGCATTTGCTCTGCTTCAGCCCTTCCAATATCTATATCCACTCCCATTATGGGTAGAACTTGGGCATTTCTCTTCAAGGGTGATGTGCAAGGGTCATGTCCTTTGCTTGATGCCTAGAGGCTTGGAAATACGATGTGTGGTTTGCACATCCTCTGTCACTGTCAATACCTGCCTCTTTTTTTTGGCAGATACTTCAAGTTTTGTGCTAGAGTGCAGAACAAAGAGGAACAGAAGGCTTCCTTGTGGATGAACCTTGCTGAAGAACCTCACTCCCTCACGTTGGGACACAGAGATGCCTGCCCCATGACTGACCACACCCATCCCTTGTTAAATATCTGTGTCGCTCCTATAAAAAGTCCTCAGAGATCCACAAGTAGTGCGAATTGGTATTCGGAGCATGCTTGTTTTGATGCATGTCCACAGATTGTTAACCATGTCACACGGCTGTCTGACGCCCTTCTAAGAGGCTTTACTTATTCTGGTTGCACAATCAAGATGTAACCTCACCTAGGTGGGTGAGGTTACTGCCAGTCAATTGATGGGCTCTTTTTAGAGAGAGCAGGCAACTGAATTTGACAAACAGCAGTAACTGCACCTTCTTTTTCCTGTTCTAATTACATCTATACAGATTTCAGCAAAAGAATAGTAAGACCTTGTCTGTATCAACGATTTAGTCAGTGTCTCCTTGTGGCATCTGTGTAAAACATGTATGACCTACATTATCTCTAGGGCTGTAACCCAGTTGAAGGAAACTTGGTTAACTGCATATGAGATAAACAATAGTTTTAAGGGGCAAATCATGCTTTTCGGCTGCAATCCTGACCACTTCCCTGAGCATAAACCCCACTGAATTCAGTAGGACTTACTTCTGAGTAGCCATCCATTCAATGGTGCACACATTTGTTACAACAAGCAGAACACACACTGCATTTTCTCTTAAGTGTGACACCTGCAGTTGTTGTTATTTGTGCACGTGCACACACATACACACTGTATGCATTTTTGAAAACTGACTGATTAATCAGAGGAACACTTTTAGCTGATGAAAATGTTTTAACTGATGGATGTGACTGGTTATTCAACTAATATTGCTGCTCTAAGGATCTTTACGGAAATCCTCTGGCAAGTAGGGTTAGCCTTGTTTATGGTGCTGAAAATTTGTACTGGTGTGAAGCATGAGGAGATCATTTTGTTCCAACATGCTGTGCTGCAACAAAAACATGTGAAATGCCACATGTCTAGACTTAGAGCTGCATGTTGATCAAGGAGACCTTCTGGTATTGAAGCTGGGCTGGGGGAAAACAGCTCAAAGCAGCTGTGAGGGGCAGGGCAGACTTTGGTTCCCACACCAGCCTGCTCATTTTGATCAAAGTGAGACTCCACAACCCCTGCTTCGCAGCTGGATGGCTAATCATGTGCTTAGCAGACATGTGCACACAACCAGTTTGCCCCCCTTAACTTCTCAGGATTGTCGTGAAGATGATCAAAATTCTTAGTAAATTAAGAGGGCAAAATAAAACGTAAGCCCGTGGGAACAGTTGCCATAATAAGCTCAACATATTGGACTGGTGTATCATTTCTGAGTTAAGCATTTTAGGGCATTGCCAAGACCAGGATGCTTTTCCCACCTTCATAATGGAAACTTCACTAGTGGCCATTGAGTCTGATTTATCTCCCCCTCAAATCTGCAGCAATGGCAATTGGCCTTGCAAGCAAAGAGAGCAAGGACTCACGCTTGCTGTTTCTCTAGCCAGGGCTTGCTTGACCAACACCAACACCCCTTATTTATTTATTTATTTATTTATTTATTTATTTATTTTATTTCTATCTCACCTTTTCCATACATGTGGCTTCCAGGAGGTCTGCTTGGCTTCAGTAAAGTGACAGTCTCCTGTGCCTCCTGGGACCCTTTGGGGTCAGCTAGAGTGCTTTCCATTTTAGTTCAGTCGCCACATCATGTTTAATTCATCTTATTAAAAGCATTTCTGCCTCTCCTTTTGGTTCAGAAAGTTTGAAGCATTGCCAACCATGGAGGATTTCCCCCTGAAACAATCACCAGCTTCCTCAGAAACACAACATGGGAGGAAAGGGTAACACTCAACACTTAGTTATCAGCCCCACACCCAGCTGATGCTATTTGCATCTTCAGAAAACAAACCCTGGGTGTACTAAGTGCAAATACGTATCTAAAGTTACTTGTAGCTTGGCCTTAAAAGTCCCGGGCCCTACTGGCAGAGTTCCTGGTTTGAGTTTACCACTGCCTTTCAGTTAAAGCCTTAATAACAAAGGTCACTCTGAGGGTGGCAAGCACTGCTCACACATCCTAAGAGGTAATTGGGTTACTCTTGCTTGAGTCCATGCATGGATAATGGGGGCTGTGCATGCATTAGATATACAGTGGTACCTCGGGTTACAGACACTTCAGGTTACATACGCTTCAGGTTACACACTCCGCTAACCCAGAAATAGTACCTCGGGTTAAGAACTTTGCTTCAGGATGAGAACAGAAATCGTGCTATGGAGGCAGCAGGAGGCCCCATTAGCTAAAGTGGTACCTCAGGTTAAGAACAGTTTCAGGTTAAGAACAGACCTCCAGAACGAATTAAGTTCTTAACCTGAGGTACCACTGTACAGTAAAAAAGAGATGATGCTTTATGAACCCTCTCATCATCACCAGACCCCAACATAGGTCACAGCAGTGTAAAAATGCAACAGTTAAAACAAATTACAATTAAAAGAATGGGTGCTAAAAAAATAATAATAATTACGAAAGAGAGATTGTGCAAACCAAATACACTAGAAGCAACATATATAAACAATACAGCAATACTGCACACAATATAACTATGATACCTATAATGCAATTACAAGGGGCCATGCCGGCGATAGGGCAATGGTAGCAGGTAGCTTCATATTTGTTTTTCTTTTTAAGACAATGCATGTGCACCCATGTGATAGAGTAGAATAAGAATCTTCTTTTGTGAAACTAATGGCTTAGCCATGCTTCCTCTTCCCATTGCTTTCACCTGAGGAAAACTGCTCTTTAGTGCTCAGTTGAAGCAAACAGCTGGAGAAAGCCCAAATTGCCATTTGCTCCGACTGAGCGCTAAAGAGTGGGTTTTCCCTGAGAAAACCACTCAGGCCTGGGCTTTCTAGGCACAGGACAAGCAGAAGTGTAGACAAGCCCTAAAGCAAATATCATTTCCAGAGGGAGCATCTGTTGAAGTAGACTGTAGTTCGCTGCAAAGGACCCTCTGGAAATGATATTTGCATCTGTTGAAGTGGACCCTAGTCCATGAAAGTTTATTCCGTAATAAATTTGTTAGTACTTAAGCTGACACAAGACTCTTCGTTATTAACTTCTGTTAACTGTTTTAAACTCTAAACCAGGGCATGAAAATTGGACCTTGCCACTAGCGATGATATAGTGGTTCTCCTATCATACAAAATGTATGCGTCTTTATCATAAGGGCACTGATTGAACTCCTTGCTGGGGAGATCTCTTATTTTAGCAGCTACCTCTGGGTATACTATGAAAATTGAGGGGGCAGGGAAATAGTTTGCCAGAGCAACTGAAAAAGGAAATATTACGATGGAGTTGAATATCTCTATAGCAATTTCTTTTGTCTTGAAAGGACACTTCAGGGGTATTAAGCTTCACAAGTGCCTCCCCTCCATTTAGTTTTTTGGCCCTTGTTTGTGGTCCAGGCAGTCATGGCAGTGCTGCTTAGCACCATTTTCCCCCTCCTTTTTTGCATGAAACAACGTCAAAGTTTGGGCAGGGAACATGGCCCTCACTCTGATTTGGCTTTGGGACACTTTCACATTGCTAGATCTGCCTGGTTCCTTGGAGTTGTGTGGGGGAAGAAAGGAAAAAACAGCTCTGAGCTATGGTGCTGAATTCACATCCTAAACAAAATGGTGAAAGGGGTGGAGACTCTTCATAGCCTAAGAAGAGAGTGGTGATCATTTCAGTTCTGCCCTAGTGGACATTTATTGCTACAAGAGACAGAAAGACAAGAATGCTACCATGTTGCTAAAAATATATTGTCCGTATAAGTCACAAGAATATACAGAACATGGAGAAAACTGAAGGGCCATTGCAATGTTTTCCTCTTTCCTAATGCAGAACCAGTCCCTTGTGTGTACAACACGACAAGCCCTTGACATCACAACTGAGGCTGTGTTCTGCTCCCAAGACAGGAGGGCCTGGTGTGCTCAGACAACCAACCCTCAAGTGTGTTATTATGGCAGCCCTTCAGTCAAAAGCTTCCTCTTTCTCTCTCTCTCATCTCTCTGTTAATTTCCTTCAAAAACAAAACAAAGGAAGGTTCTGAGCATTTTCCTCCATGGCAAAGGTTGAATTTTCCTAAGGAACAAAACAAACCACAGCAAACAAAATATGCCAAAATAGATAAAAAGCTTTCCCCCTTTCTTTCCATGACGTGCATGCTTTAATGCCGAGAGGCGACACTATTTCAGGCATGTTGTATTATTTATATCTAATCATATTGCACTATATTCAATTTGGAATATATATAAATTTAGAGAGAGAGAGAGAGAGAGAGAAAGGGTTTTCTGACTTCAAAATGCTAAAAAAGAGTAATTATGTCTTAAGTTGACGAGAAGTTGATGGGGAAGACTCAGCTCATTTGCATAACATAACACACACATGTACATTCACCCACAATTTGCTTTTGATCTGAAGGCTTATATTTCATGTGTTTTTCAGCTCTTCTCCATCACCTTCTTGCTTCTGATTCCCTCTGGGTTTTTTTTTTTGCTGAGAATCTAATAACATACTGAAGCCTGGGTGGGGGAGATGAACAATTTATGATATGAGGAACCAGTAAAATCCCAGAAATGTTTTTAAGAAAAAACAATCCCCCCCCCCGAAAAAAAGCCTGGTAACGGGAATAAAATGCACGTTTGCGGGAAACCTGTAAAAAATCTTCCATAGGTACATGTGAATATATGAATTTCCCTGTTCTGTCTCTGTATGCATTAATTTCTTCTTCTCTTGACAGTAATACAAGTATTATTTATATTATTTTCAGTATTACTTACGGTATTACCTTGAAAAGGATTATTTCACTTCCCCTCCCCCCCGACTTCTCTCACAAAAAAGTTATATGGGTTTTTCTTGTGCCTTGAAAATTAGCAGATTAATTTTTACTTTAACAGCAACCTATTAAGCAACCAACTTGCTTTAGATGTTGCATATTGTTGGAACCTACATAAAACATGTACAGTCATAGCAGGGCATAAGTATGTTCACCAAACTATATACTTAATTCCCAAATTGGCAGTGCAGTCCTAACTACTCAGGAGTACGGTAAGTCCTACTGAAGCCAATGGAGTTTACTCCCAGGTAAGAGGGACGCGGGTGGCACTGTGGGTTAAACCAGAGAGCCTAGGACTTGCTGATCAGAAGGTCAGCGGTTCGAATCCCCGTGACGGGGTGAGCTCCCGTTGTTCGGTCCCTGCTCCTGCCAACCTAGCAGTTCGAAAGCACGTCAAAGTGCAAGTAGATAAATAGGTACCGCTCCGGCGGGAAGGTAAACGGCGTTTCTGTGCGCTGCTCTGGTTCGCCAGAAGTGGCTTAGTCATGCTGGCCACATGACCCAGAAGCTGTACGCCTGCTCCCTCGGCCAGTAAAGCGAGATGAGCGCCGCAACCCCAGAGTCAGTCACGACTGGACCTAATGGTCAGGGGTCCCTTTACCTAAGTGAGATTATTCATATGCATACTATGGTGTGATAATATTCGACACTTTATCAGATCATGACTTTGCTGCTTGTTGAAAGCTCTGGTGCTATGAATCATTTGTTTCTGTTAGCTATAGAAAAGCCATCTTGGCTGGACTCAGAAATTACTCCTCCTGTGTGCTGTGGAGATTTCTAATTACTATTAGCTAGTCGAGTTCCTTCCTGGGATTAATTAATAGTTTCCATTCACTTTTAAGCACTATTAAGAAATGAATCATTATTCTGTTGGCTAGCAGACAACCATGACAAGGAAAAAAAATGGGTCCCATTTTTGAAGAGCAAAAAAGAGGACACATTTTGCAACTTCTACTTTTAACTATGGGTCGCTATGACAACTCTACCCATGAAAAAGAAGACACATGGCAACCCTGCCTGGGAGAGACCAGGGTTCAAATCCTCACTCAGCCATGAAACTCCCTGAGTGATATTGGGCCTAACCGCTCACTCTCAGCCTAACCTACCTCAAAGGGTTGTTGTGAGAATTAAATGGATAGAGGGAGACTTATGTGCGCTACCTTGAGCTCATTGGAGGAACGAAAGCGGGATATAAATGCAACAAACAAATAAACAAGCCCTCCAGTGAGACGTACGTACAATACCTTTACACTCAATAGTGGGGGGGGGGGATCTTTGAGCTCAGTCCTCCAGAAAGACCATGCTCCTGTTATCCTGCCATTTGAGAGGAGGCTGGTACTACTCTGTGCACCCTTTGTCTAACAAAGGCTGATTTGCGTGGCAGTGATGTTTCTGCCCACTGGTTAGTGATACCAGGTATAATCTGGTCATGTAATGGATCAAAAGTGGGCATAACCTGTTTTAGTAACCTGTGATCAGCAGGGGACGCCCTGTTGGGGTATCACCACTGGTGCAGCCTACGTGGCCTTTGATACAGCCTTCATGGTGAAAGTTCCCCGCTTGCAGAATGCCCTCTCTGGTCTGTCTCTCTCATTAACATTTAGGAGGAATTCTAAAGCGTTCCTATTTGCTCAGGCAATTGACGGCTGAAAGACAACTCTTCTTGGCAGCCATGAAATTATTAGCGGTGAGAATATGTGGTTGTTTTTCAATGTCTCTCACATGTTCTTAATGATTTTAAATGTTTTATTTTCAATTGCACTGCTTTAGTGCTTGCTGTTGGCTGCCATGAGCTCCTCTGGGAAGATAGGTGGGATAGAAATTTAATTAATTAATTAATTGTTAATGTCAAGGGGAAGTGGTGGGGGTGTCTACGGGGACATCATGGATGGGGTGGGTAGAATCAGTACCCAACAGTGAATACATTCAAGTGATTTATGTGCATAAAATATTATTAATAACACGAGAATCAGTGTTATTATGACATTTAAGAGTAAGCGCCTGGTGCTTGTCAGTTATCTTGGCACCTCTGCGCTCATGGGCTGAGGCACTGGAACATTGTTGCTTCTTACTCAGCTGTTGGGTAGGATCCTGCCTACACACTTTCCTTTATATCTCTCTCCACAAGTAATTGGGTCAGATAATTTATTTTTAAACATAAGTTGGAAATTCAGGACAGGGGCCTGGGAAATAATATAATCAAGGAGGCCACAGACCTGCCTGAGCCGCCCCGAGAGAGAATATGATTACAGCCCTGAGAGAGAATTTGATTAGATAATTTATTTAAGGTTATGTTTATCTCATTGGCTAAACCAGGGATGAGGAACCTATGGCTTTCCAGATGTTGCATGAGGACTATGCCTCCCACCAGCCATGACATTGGTTGTGCTAGCTGAGGCTTATGTAGGGATGCCATACGTCCAGGATTTCCTGGACGTTACCCGGATCTCAAAGGCAGAAGTGATATCTGGGAAGAATTTCTGGAACGCGGTGGATTGTCCTGGATCTTTGGCAAGTAAACCGAGAAATCGTGTCCGGATATTTACATCTTGAAATATGGAAACCCTAGTTTATAGGAGTTGGGATTCAACAACCTCTGGAGGGCCACAGGATTCCCTTCCCTGGCCTAAATTACTCCTACATTGGCAGGTACATTTATTTTTAAGCAGCACTGTATTTAGGGCAGTGCAGGTGGTTACCCTGTATAGGGTGCCAAGCTGAGGGGGTGCATGATAACAACAACAACACCACCACCTATATTTATATAGGTACCTACACAAAGGCCCCAGACAGATGGGCACTTGAATTGCTGCAACTATGATGTAGTGCAGTTGACAGCATGTGCAGAAGGAAAGGCAAGAGGGGGAGGGTGCCAAATAAATATTTATGTCCCCAAATTTTGCCCTCGCTCAGGGTGCCATATTACTAAAGTCCTCTCCTGTTTGAAGCATAAACCTTCTGTTCTTTAGAAACCCTGTTGTTGTTTTTCGTCATCATTTTTCATTTCAGTAACTCAGGGTGGCATATGTGGGGTCAGTTCCTTTTCTTCCCACTACTGTGAGACAGAAAATGCGTGTCCTGGTTTTCTGCAGCGACACGCTGGAGGGTATGCACTACACCACCCTGGCTCTTTTCAGGGGATGTTGGGCCTACCCATATTTTCTTAATGTCCAACCTTATATTTCCACAACATGCAATATAGTAATTAGTAAGCTGGTAACAGAGATGTTGATGGTGGCCTCAGGGCACCAATGAGAGTTTCAGGTGTTGGAGGAATTTAAGGTGGGTTGGTCTTGGTGCTCACACCCTCCTCCTTGTCACTGTTGCCACTGCCCATTTCTTTGCTAATCCACCCTACCTCCCAGGGAAATGAGACAAGGATAAGCAGAGGTTACTGCTCCTTCCCACAACTCCTCATATTGTTCGCTTGCTCAGCAACTGCAAGGAGCAGGAAGCTCCAGTGCCCCCCCCCCCCCAGCCTAAGGCACAGACCTTGGAAGGTGCTTGATGATGCTAACCCTGATGCAAGTATTGGAAGGCATAGATCTCTCCAGCCCAAAGTGATTTTCTCCATGCCTCACACCTTAGGCTGCTTGCTAGTTAATCAGGAAAGCTGTCGCAGCTGAACCCCAGAAAGCAAGACTGATTGAGATTCAGACCCCACACAGAAGACCAAACTACCTCAGGGTCAGCTTTCTCTTTTTCACAACCTGCCCAGTCATAAGGAGAATTTTACCAAACATTAGCTACTGACATGGTGGGCTTGGTCTATACATGCAGCAGAACAAGGTGGTAGGATGGACTGGAGTTATTCAGACTGAGGGAAAATTACAAACTTTAAAAAATATTATGCCTTGTTTTAGTGACTTAATGCAAACGGAATACCAGAACTGCAAGCCAGTGCCCAAGCAAAAGCCTTTTGCTTTGCAGGGTCTTTTCTTTTTCTTTTCTTCTATTTGATTTTTACTTGCAAAAGCAGTCAAAACTGGAATCCCTCAACCCTGCAGCCTGAGGCAACTTTGTCCATTCTATTACCTCAGAATTCCCCATCTTTTTTCTACTAAAATGTACAATTGAATGCGTGGTTAAATGGACATCTGTATAGCTTCTCTCACTTTTCCAGAATGTCTGTCCTGCTGCATATGGTAACCAATCACCTCATGATCTGAATCTTATGAAAGACAGGACTCCAATAGAACAGCCCGCTTCCATGACAACAACACTCTGTATTTGGTCTTCAATTCATGCTACACTGAATATATCCCCAGAAATATAAAGTCATTTGACATTCGCAATTTATAGCTGGAATGTTTCCATGTGTTGCAAGGATTTTGCTCTGGTATCCCACAGTGCAATGTCTCAAAAACATGCCTATTTTGAGTGGTCACTAGGGATGGACCTGTCAGTTTTGGTTCCCTCCGTTTCTTGTTTTCCCAATTTTAAACTCAGTTCTCAGGATTTCTGAAGCAGTTTGCAATTAAAACAAAAACAAAAAATCAGCAGAGTTTTGGTGCAAATTTCTCATTATAAACACATTTTTTTTAATGCAGTTTTAATTAATGTACACATTTTTGGAAGCAGTTTCCCCTAATGCATGTATTTTTCCTAAACATTGGTTGGTTGGAGAACTGCATTGCAAGCTGGATAAGTGTGAATTTTGAAGGATGGCTGCGTTTTGGTTCCTATATTGTTTCAGAAAGTGCAGATTTGATAGCTTCACCTTTAAACGTGAACTGAATTGAATTTCTCTTCCATTCCTAAACTGAATTTGATGGATGTCACTGTCCACTTTTTAACAGGATAATATGGTTTCATCAAAGAATACATTGCAGCTGCTGTATCCTTCTTCTGCCACTGTGGCTGATGGCATAAGCCCCAGTGGAGCTTCAGTTTGAATTAAGTAGCCTGATCCTCTATTCCCTTTTCCCTTTCCTCTTCTGTGAAGAAACCCTTCCTGGACCCCACGTTTAAATTCTTATTCACACACCTCCTTGCTGGCCCTAGTAGGACCAACTTGGCCAGTTAGCCCTGGTGATTATTCGATGTCTACTGACTGGGTCCCCCCCCAAAAAAAATGACCCCTGAATTCTTGAATTTTATTGATATTGATGCTGCATTTTATGTTGCATTCTATACTGTTTTATGCGTTTTTATGTCGCATTTTAATCAATGTTTTATATTTGCTGTTAGCCGCCCTGAGACCGGTTTTTAAACCGGGAAGGGCAGGGTGGAGTGTGTGTGTATAGATATAGATATAGATATAGATATAGATATAGAGTAGAGGCTTTGTACCTGGTACATCAGTACATTTACTCCTTGTGAGTTATTCCACCATTTATTTCAAAATTGTCTGTCCTCATAAGTCTATGATTGTAGTGTTTCAGTGCATTAATCTTTAGAATAATCTGTGAAACTGCATCAGGAATGTTGATCTTAATGATGGAGGGCTGGCAATTCATTGTGTATTACTTCTATGACCAGAGCCTACCAGAATACTAACAGTTTGACAAAGCTGCCTTTGGCTTCTAAGATATCTTGAAAGGCGTCTCAGAGGATATCAGTAGTGCTCTCAGTCTAATACCTCCAGGTATCTGTGAATATATATATTTTTTCCAGCCAAGCAGAATGTTCTTAAAAATTTGTGCTCACAACAGTGCACAAGCAACTCATGTCCCTGCAGTCACTTGCTTGGGGCAGGGTGGGGATGAATTATGAACAGTGTGATTGGTGGCTGTGAAATCACATAAAAGAAGGAAAGAAAATTCAAAGCTCAAGGTTAGGTTCCAAGTAGTTAGACAGCATTATGTCGTAACCTGCTTTCCCACCCTATTACACTGGTAACTGTGGAGAACTCACCTTTTAAAAGGCACTTACTAGAACAGGGTTTGGTTTAGAATTCAGGGGTGCCTAAACTTTTTCCAAAGAGGGCCAGATTTGAGGAAGTGAACATGTGTGAGGGCCAACCAAAGTTTTTAGAATTTAAGATGTTGAGCTCTTTTTTTCACAATTTTACCCCAAAGTTGCTGAGCTTTTTTTTTAGGATTTTAGGAGGGGGCTGGATTAAATCAACCAGCGGACTTTGGACATGCCTGGTTTAGATACAATGTATGGGTATGTGGGATCACATAACATGATGGGTTAAATTTGAAATAGTAAGTATACCTTTGGGGCTGAGAGCTGGCTTTTGGTTAGTTATATGTCTGGTCTGGGGGGAATCTGGGTTCTTTTAAATACTGAGAGGTGGGGATTGCAAAATTACACTTCTAATTGGCTTACTAGGTAGACATTCTTGATCACTCATTGCATGGGGTAAGTGGTCTGACGAGTAGGAGAGTTCCATACTAATCTGATTGGTTGAAGGATAGGCTGGCTGGAACATAAATAGGCTTGTTCTGCCACTGCTGAGAGAGATGATGAAGAAGACAAGAACAATGACAGAAGACTGGCTGTGAAGAACAAGCTGAGGCTGGAGCCGAAGTGAGGTGGCAAGAGGCTATTGAGGATAGGGAAATCCTGGTAGTGTAGAGCTAAATCACTGGCTGAAGCCAGAGATTGGAAGAAAGGCCACAAGAGCATGAGAGGGATTCAGTAAGGAGCTTTTGCAGCTGACCAGATAACTGCCTGCAAGCCTGACTCAAAGGAAACCAGGTGTGGTCCACAATACCTGGTAGTGAGATTAACCGGGGCAGAGGGACTAAGGGTACTTGGCATGTAAGTTAAATAGGGTTAGGAACTACACTTTTCCAGCCAGCCTTACATAAACATTTGTAACTGTAATTTAAATATACAGTACAGTAACCTTATTAATGCAAGTGTAAGTCTTAAAAAGCCCCATAAACAACTGAAATATAGTATTTACCTTATTTTACATTTATAGTTTATAATAAATAAAGAATATCTTGTTACTTGGATTTAATTATAGAAGTCTTTGGCTGGTTTGGTATCACATCTAAAATATCACAGCTACTGGGTTGTAGTTAAAGGTACAGTATTGGTAAACAGCTTAGTACAGATATTTGGTGGCAGAATTTAGAAGGTGAATCAACTGTAGTAAATAAAAGCTGGCTCTCTACATATTAAGGAGAGGCAACTCTTCACTGTACCAGATGGCAGTTTTTTGTTCTCCTTCTTTATCATAAATTTAAATGAATTACAGAGTTGCATTTCAAAAAGGTGTAATAAGACGAGGAACTTTGGTGGTCATTTGACCTGTTTTCAAAAATGGTCTTGGTATTTGATACAGGTATGTGCATAATCCACATGGTACAATATATTTTACTAATCAACAGGTTTATAATGTATATAAAAAGCAACCCATGTATTTAAATAAATAAATTACCATATACATGTGAGCACAAATTCTTCTTGTTTTAGGGGGGAGCTAGAGACTCCCCCCACCCCCATACAGCTCATAGCCCTTTTGGAAGATCCCATCCTGACGACACAAAATTTATTTTGTACATGAGATGTCAGGGGTGTGAGAGAATGACTTTGCTTTGAAAAGGCATATATTTATGACACTGTTGCATCCCCTCCAGCAATTGATTCTGTAGTTCTGTCATAAGAAAAGAAAAGCATGTTTTTTGAAGAACTATATCCTTTATAAATCCAGGCTACTTATTATTCATGGTTTCTGGTGCCCACTAGGTACTGTGTGATTTCTTTGGTCACGATTTTTAGGCAGGGTGGCAAGGATCTGAAAGCACTAATGTTCCCGAAATAATTGCCTGAGTAGGACACCTGCTGCGGATATAATGGCCACTTCAGCTACACCTACTGTACAGCTGGGCTTAGAGCTCAGTGCCTAAAAGCTACTTATATATGTGCAAAAAATAACTAAGAGGCTCTGATTGGCAGGTAGCAACTGGCACGCAAGCCTTTATCCCTTCTTCCTCCCTGCTGCAACTCCTTTGAACACCGGGGCATTGTGCCAGAGCAGTTTTTGATTTGTTAGCTTTGATTGTGCTCTCCCCAGCCATTTTATATTTTTGGATTCTATTGTTGTCGGATGCTCAGTAATGAAAGTGCAATAAGAACTGGGCCATCAGGTGTAAGGAGGAAGAGTGCTGAACTGGACAGTGCTCCAGGACAAATGTTGACAAACCCAAGTTTAGCTCAGCTTTAGCCAGGACAAACCAAGGCTTAGCTGCATCAATGGATCAAGGTTTAGTTTGGGGGAACATATGAAGTAATAATGAAGAGATTGTCTCTGAGCCTATGATGACTGCTTTGCCCCTATTACTGAATATATATGTCTGCCATCTTGCGCTCCACAAGGGATATGAACTAAATAGGGAGAGCACATGGAAAAAGTTACTGCTGACCCCTAAGCCCTGAAAAACCAAATGGGTCCTTTCAAGTTGAAAGGCAGGTGTGTGGGTTTAGTTTAGTACTGAGGTCTTATCAAAAGCTCTGCCGAGAGAGAATTTTGCATACCAGTGACACATTTCGTACTGTTGAGAAAGCTTTTCTGATTCGCTAGACTTGTGAATGCAAGCATTTGCAGCCCTCGGATTTCTGTTATCCTCCTTTGGGGTATTCATGGGAAATATAACACACATATGAAGACAATTAGTTAATACTGAAAGAATGTGCTGGTTTTGTGTCCTTTCTCAGTAGGATTAGTACAACTGAACAAACAGCCCAGGCCATTGCTCCAGGCAGCAGTATTTTAAGGGCAACACAGCAGGGACTGATCCTCCCCCTAAGGTGATCATGTTCAGAGACCACCTCAGTTCTGCCCTAAGCCCTCTCCTTTGCAACTCTTCCTACCTGCCCCAAACTTGTCTCCTCCCTTGTGGGGAAATGACTTGTCTGAGGCTCAACTGTGCCCCTGGAGCAGGAATTTTTGAACAGAACCAGTTTGTGACTTCCTGTTAATTCCCTTGTACAGGCTAGGAACTAAGGTGTGGCTAACTCATACAAAGTCCAAAAGGGCTCTTATCCCATAAACAGTACAATTGGAGGGCATATTGGTTCATCATATCACTCCACAATGTGGTTCTGGAAAGGTGAGTACAACAAAGAGCATGGTGTTCACCCATGCAGACACCTACACCTACATAGAGCAGTGTAGTCCTGCTGCTCCTTGATCTCCTGGATGTGCTCTTCATATGATGGAAGTAGAGCATTAACAGCAGTTTCCATCCTGTGTCAAATAGCTTCATGGAGGCAATTTTTCTTGTGACTATGGCATGTGTGAAGAGGCCAAACCCTCTTCCCCATGCACCACGATCCTAATTTTGATTGCTCCCTCACAAGATGGGACTGCAGGGCTTTTTCCAGCCAGAACTCAGTCCTGCCACCTCTCAGGTGGGTGCCGTTGCCATTATAAGAGAACAAGGGAGGCATTCATGGTGAGTTCCAGCACCTCTTCTTCTGCAAAAATAGCACCCGGTGGGAGAGGAAGTTTTTCTTATTGTTATTAACAGGCAACTTATATGTTCTTTTATTTTAATCTCACCCCGTATTCAGGGTGGCACAAGCCTTCTGAAATTGAAATAAATAACATTTTCACAAACAAGTTGAGTAAACATGGTGGGCGACTCAAGGAGGAAAATGTAAGAATCCTTTCCTGTAGGTCAGCATTCTCTTCCCACTGGGGCCTGCAAGCTCCTTACATAAGAGCATAAAGGTGACAGCTATCCAGTGTTCAAATGATAGGAGATATCAGTTCAATTTGTAGATCTGTTCTGACTGCCATACTCTTTATTATTTTCCCCCGATCTGGGTAGAGGCGGCAAAATTATTGACAGATGGGCAGATTGCATAGCAAGATAGAACATGAGATACCGCTCTGGATGAATTTTGTAAACTGAAGAACTGATATGAAAGCAAAGATGTGAAATCCAATAACTAAGGACAAGTGTAAACTGTAATGTCAAATGGACAGAAACCAGCCGAAGATTACAAGTTAGATAGCACTATTAGAGAAAAAGATCAGAGTAGTGTCATAGATCCCAAAGGAAACACAGTCAATATGATTCTTTTGCCAAAAAAAGACAAAAAAGTAGAGGATTGCATTCCAAAAAATATTCACAAAAGCATATGAAAAAATTCTTAGTTGCACTGACCTCAGTATTGGTCCCATCTCAGAGTTACATTCAGTATTCCTAAATTGGGGGAGGCTCAAATGAGAACAATAAATACGATGGATTCATAAAGAAACATCTACAAAGATAGGTTAAAGCACTTGGGTTTTTTTTGCCCTGGTGCTTTTCCTGCGAAAATCCACCCTTTACCAATGAATCCTGGAAAACATGAATTGCTGTTGGTTCCGACTCAGTACTAGAGTGAGTTTTCCTGGGGAAAGCAGGGATCTGTGCCTAGAAAGTGTAGGGCAAAAGGGAAGTGTGGATGAGGCCTTGTTGAGTAAGATCTACCTAACCAATTATACAGAAGAGCAGGAGGGCTGGTGGGATTATAAAACAGATCGTTAATTATGTTGAAGAAACTAAAGTATTATGCTATGATCCAGGAAACATTATAGCAACTCTCATGAACCAGTGCACTTCTACTCAGAAGTAATCCCCACTTTGTTCACTGTGTAGGAACTTCTACTTGTTACTTTATTAATGCTCCTGTTAACGAAAAACAAATAAACGTCTTTAAAATGGTAAATGCAAGTTGAACCCTATGCACTATACAGTACATTTAAAGCAGTATCATGTGACTTTAAACAGTCATGGCTTCACCCAAAGAATCCTGGGAACTGTAGTTTGTTAAGGGTGTTGAGAGGTGTTACGAGACCTCCATTCCCCTCACAGAATAAATTTCTCAGATTTCCCTATAGTGCGGATGTGGCCTTGATCTTTAAAGTGGCATGTTCACAATATCTGCATAGTTTCTGCAAGTGGGTGTGGAGGATCCAGTGAAGCATGCTCTACAGTGATCTCCTGTATGGTGTACTGGTGAGAGTGCTGCATGTACAACTAGAGTGACACAGTTTCAGGTTTTTGCCTGGGCATAAAGATCACTGAGCAATACATAGCACTGCAGGGAACCTCAGGAGGGGGTGAGAATGGGAGAGGCACTTAAGCATCACTAGAAAAAAAAGGAAATGTATCACGTGCCCCCAAGGGGAAAAAATAAGACACAATTTAGCATAAAAATTGCATATGCTAATTTTTGTATTTAGATACACATTTGTGGGGGCTTCTGTCTTCATATATTCTGCTGTTCAGTCTGCTGATGGGCAGTTACAAGGTACCTAACCTTCTTATGGGTGAGGCTACCTTTAAACCAGACTTGGACTAAAGGACATCTTCAGATATGTGAGTGACCTTTGAAAGCCCTTCAAATAGGTCAACCCCTTCACTGCCAGTTATACACATGGCCTATCATGTCTAGGTTCCCAATATGTAGAACCAATAAGCTAGCCAGAAATATAGGTGTGCTTGAGCAAAAATCCTATGTTGCCTGAAACAGAGGTGGGGGAAGTATGGTCACTGGTCATCCCCATGTCTCCTTAATTGGTGCCCCAGCCCATGCAGCAACCGTGTTTAATATTTGAGGGCTGTTATTTCTATTCAGTCACCAGAACAGGAGAAAACGTCTTCCCTTGCCTTTATTTTATTGCTTTAAAGTGAGAGCAAACTAGCCTGGCTTGCCTATCCCCATGATTCAGTTGGGAAAATAAGTGCAGAAAATGTGTTTTGAAAGGGCATCAGGCTGCTTTGTAAATCTATGGATATACTCCTTTGTGGTTTTATAGTTCCTTATTCTGATTGCCCCACTTCTTCATGTTAAACCGCTCACTTTTGCTTTCTCTTGCTCACTCCCATCAGCAGAATCCATTGCTGTTATTATCCCTGTAGGTCTATAGCTTTCACAGAAGCGCTTTGGAGATTGAGATATATATTATATATATTAAAGGTTTTTCCTTACTGACTGCAATAGCATAGTTACACCACTGTGCTTGCTGCTGGGGCCAGAACAGCAGCAGATAGGAAATATGTGTGAGTACAGGATGTTTTGTTTCTTTGCTGACAAACACCAAATCAAATTTTAAAAGAGACAAAATTATATATAGAGGGAGGAAACAATGCAAAAACTGGATTCTATTAAAACAATTATTTAAATGCAGCTTTTTTTTATAAAAGGCTTACAAATATGCATAAGATATTCTTTGTGGACTCAGTCCAGTTTAGGGTTTGCTAAAGGGTCCTCAACACCTAGATAATGGTGTTAAAAACACAGTGGTCACAGATTCACATTAAAATTGCTAATGACACAACCTTGATGGCAGAAAGTGAGGAGGAATTAAAGAACCTTTTAATGAGGGTGAAAGAGGAGAGCGCAAAATATGCTTTGAAGCTCAACATCAACCACTGGTCCCATCACCTCCTGGCAAATAGAAGGGGAAGAAATGGAGGCAGTGAGAGATTTTACTTTCTTGGGCTGCATGATCACTGCAGATGGTGACAGCAGTCACGAAATTAAAAGACGCCTGCTTATTGGGAGAAAAGCAATGGCAAACCTAGACAGCATCTTAAAAAGCAGAGACATCACCTTGCCAACAAAGGTCCGTATAGTTAAAGCTATGGTTTTCCCAGTAGTGATGTATGGAAGTGAGAGCTGGACCATAAAGAAGGCTGATCGCTGAACAATTGATGCTTTTGAATTATGGTGCTGGAGGAGACTCTTGAGAGTCCCATGGACTGCAAGAAGATCAAACCTATCCATTCTTAAGGAAATCAGCCCTGAGTGCTCACTGGAAGGACAGATCATGAAGCCAAGACTCCAATACTTTGGCCACCTCATGAGAACAGAAGACTCCCTGGAAAAGACCCTGATGTTGGGAAAGATGGAGGGCACAAGGAGAAGGGGACAACAGAGGATGAGATGGTTGGATAGTGTTCTCGAAGCTACCAGCATGAGTTTGACCAAACTGCGGGAGGCAGTGGAAGACAGGAGTGCCTGGCGTGCTCTGGTCCATGGGGTCACGAAGAGTCGGACACGACTAAACGACTAAACAACAACAATACTTGATATATGCCAATTTAGAAACAACTGCTATAATTTAAATCAAAATGCATCTCACCATAGTGGAGCACACTGTGAACAGGTGACTTTGGCCTGGATTTAACATTCACTGACAGCCAATGCAAGGGCCCTAGCATAAGAGCAAGAATAATGGTTGTGCAATATGAAACCCAGAGCAACAGTTGCACTAGCAGAAGCTTGTTGTGCAACAGGAAGTACCGGGCCTACTGTTGCATTATTATTATTATTATTATTATTATTATTATACCCTCCACATCTGGCTGGATTTCCCCAGCTGCTCTGGGCAGCTCCCAAAAGAATATTAAAAACACAATAAAACATCAAACATTAAAAACTTCCTTAAACTGCCTTCAGACGTCTTCTAAAAGTCTGATAGTTGTTTATTTCATTGACATCTGATGGGAGGGCGTTCCACAGGGCAGGCGCCACTACTGAGAAGGCCCTCTGCCTGGTTCCCTGTAACCTCACTTCTTGCAGTGAGGAAACCGCCAGAAGGCCCTCGGAGCTGGACCTCAGTGTCCAGGCTGAACAATGGGGGTGGAAACTCTCCTTCTGGTGTACTGGGACGAGGCCGTTTAGGGCTTTAAAGGTCAGCACCAACAGTTTGAATTGTGCTCAGAAACATACAGGGAGTCAATGTAGGTCTTTCAGGACCGGTGTTATATGGTCTCAGCGACCACTCCCAGTCAACAGTCTAGCTGCTGCATTCTCGATTAATTGAAGTTTCTGGGGCACCTTCAAAGGTAGCCCCACAACCAACCTCGAGAACCATGTTGGCTTACTGCTCCTTCTCTTGCACATGCCATTTTGCTAGCACCACTAGCATGTCACTAAGGGACTTCAACTTAGTGCTACATTGAAGTCCTCCCCTTATGCCTCCTCATTCTGTTGTCCAGATACTAATTGTTGATGAGCAACTTCAAGGCTCCGCCTCTCCCTTCTTAGGGTTCTTTATCTTTAAATACTGAGACTGAGCTGGACAGCCCTTCACTTTAGAGAACCCTTTCAAATGGAAGAAAGGTGGAATATAAATGGATATTACAGCTTTATTTGCCGGGGTAAGAGGTCAGATTTCAGTGGGAGCTTGGGTTGCAAACTATGACTTCACAATGCTGTCACACAGCTTGGTTCTGTTCTTGGCTCATAGTTGTGCCATTAAACTGACAACTTGGTAGGCATTAGTTATAGAAATGGAAAGTGTGGAAGAGACCAGCTTCTTCATTTGGTTGCCACTACCCACTGGCATTCATCTGAACACCTCCACTCATCTCTGATCTATATTTTGTTCCTTCAGGGCAACTTTACCCCTTGTTTACTGTAACACAAAGTAGTCATCATGCAGCTTGTCTATCTCGATGTGGGCTTCTGTAGCAAGACTTTTCACATTGTTGTGAAGTGAGACAACTGACGCTTGCTTTTGTTTTTAAGGTGCTGTTTCAACATCATACAATTTCTCCAGGTATTCAAGGCACTTTGTCAATGTATTGTGAGTTTGTAGGTGCCAGTATCCCCTAAATTCCTGGGTCTGATAGATATTAGAATTTCATCAATGCTTGCAGTGCTAACACTGGCTGCCAGACACTGGATTTAGCAAAGTGTTAAGGCAGGCCAAACCACTTTCCTGAGTTCAGGAGATTGCTGAAAGATGGGCCATTAACAGAGAACAAAGACAGGGAAGATGGGCTATCAGCAAAGCAGACTCTGTGGCAGTTGGCAAATGGGTGGATCCCTTACCTGAGCTCTGAGATAGTTAGCTGAGACAAAGCAGAGTGGAGAGTTTAGGGTTGCAGTTGGGGATGATGTAGGCTGGAGGAAAATGGCTTCAGTCTGTTAAAGGCTGCAAAGTGGACCGAGAGTAAGAGCCATGGCCGGTATCTGTTTTGATCCCAAGTTGTGCCTATGAAGGAAGCAAGACCCTTTTGGAATGCTGTAAGCCCCTCCATCATTTGACTCAGGTTGTATAGATGTGTGAACAAACCATATATCGTAAAGACACCACAGTCTCCACTGTTTCCAAAAGGAAACATGAATCCTGGGTAAGCACCTAGTCCTAGAACCCTGGAATCTTGCACGGCTTGGAGATTGGGGTGGGTGGTGTGTAACAGTATTATTTGTTTCCTTTCTGAAATTTCTGTTCTCAGCATTGCTAAAAATGACTTGGGCTGATCTTCCATAGAATTTGTACAGCTGACATTGTTACATTCCTGTTTCTTCACAGCAATCTGAAAGATTCCCATCAGGTTATGCAGGAAGCAAACATAACTAAGTGGGGAATTTGTGTTCTTTCTCACTGAATACTGCCCACACAATCTCCACACATTCTTCTTTCTCTGAAAAGAAGTATGACCTCAGTACTGGCCAACATTGTAATGTGTGTTCAATAGCAGGTAGAAGTGACAAGCACTTTGTTGGTACATGCCGAAGGACATCTTTCTATTTCATTTCTACAAACTCAGAAAAGGACATAACAGATTCTACTTTCTTGGACAAGGGGAAAAAACCTCACTGTATACAGTGGTACCTCGTGTTATGGACAGAATCCGTTCTGGAGGCCTGTCCGTAACGTGAAATGCCCGCAACTTGAAGCGCTGCATCTGCGCAGGCGTGCAGTGCAATTTGGTGCTTCTGCACATGCGGGAAGCACGATTTAGAGCTTCTGCACATATGCGAGCAGCGAAACCTGGAAGTAACCTGTTCCAGTACTTCCGGGTTGCAGTGGGACGTAATGCAAAAGACGCAACATGAAGTGGACGCAACACGAGGTATGACTGCACTTGGGGGTTCTGCAAAAAAACTCAAAGCACTCATCCAATGTTTGAGGCAAGTATGGATTATATGATGTCTGCATCTAATTTCTATCAAGTAGTCATTAAACTGCTTTAATTTCTGATACACTGATCTGTGCTTTTACAAATTTGCAGAGGCATTGTCAGCTCCATAAGAAGACACACTTAATACAGAGACCATTCTCCTGTGGAATGATGGCGATACGTATCACAGTTGACTGACTTGTCAAGTCACTGCAAAAATTCAAGTTAGCCACACTTAATTCTGTCTGACACAGAAAAGTAACAAAGACTTACTAGGAAGACTTTCCTCTGTCTCATGTTGCAAACAGCAAATTCAACTGAAAAAACAACTGTGCACCATCCAAGCCCTTACGCAAAGGTTTTCGTGATTTGGGTGCCAAAATGTTTTTCAGTTGTGCTGATTGCTTTTGTCTGTGCGCAAGATTGTGTTGCTGTTGCAATTTCAGAATCGGACAATATTCTTAGAAGCATTTTGCTTGCAGTCTTGGCTTGCATAATTTAAAGGGTGTGAAGTTCTGTGGTAAACCTGCCCCACTTCTGCTATTGTAACCAGATTTTCTTGGGGGAGAAATGGTACAAAATGATGAAATCTGTTGAATTCTTTTCTGTTGTTTTTCTAATTCCTTAGACTTTCTTCTGTGGCTCCTTACAGCTTACCCCTCTCCCCCCGCCCCGCAATATTTAACTGAAGACCCTTGGTGGCATCCAGTCTTCTCTGCTGGTAGCTGTGTTGACCTTGTGAAACCAGCTCCTAAATGCATTTTGCTTGCACCATTCATCATTAAAACCACACAAATGCATCATCTTGTTCACTGTGCCACTGTAATATTCTTCAGCGACCACCACTACCTCTCTCTCTTTTGTTTCTGTTTACAGAAGGCTTCTCTGCACCATACTGTACTCTGGATGAATGCCCAGCTCCTTCATGCTGCCTCTCCTTAGACTGTCTCAGCACTTCTAGTCTCCTAACTCCACTGTGCACTGGTCAAACTCCATTTTGAAACATTGACTTGGGACTGGTTTCCGTGGTTTGGTTCTCTACTGCCCAGGCCTGGCAGCTGAGTCAATCAATGATCCCCTTGTAGCTGTGGCTCAAGCTGAGTAGTGATGTCAGGGCAAGAGTCCCTTGTACCGTATTTCCTGACTACCCCTTTCTAGTGTGAGACAGCAACAGTGGCTGGTCAAAACTCCAAGACTGGCCTCAGAAGATTCCTGGAGCTGCAGGTTGATGCTTAGACTCTGGGCCAAACCTGGAGGGTTGGCAACTCTAGTGGGAGGGGAATCATAGATTTGTAGAGTTGGAAGGGACGATGAGGATCAAATAGTTCAACTCCCTGAAATGCAGGAATCTTTTGTCCAACTTGGGGCTCGAACCAACAACCCTAAGATTAAGAGTCTCGTGCTCTACTGACTGAGCTATCAAGAGTAACATTTTCAGGCTTGCTTTTGAAAATACGCAAGATTAAACTGCTGAAAAGCAAAGAATTTTAAAAGCAGGCACTGTGGTTACATGAACATATGAAGCTTCTGTATACCAAGTTCATAGTCCATCTAGTTCTGTTTTGTCCACACTGACTGGCAGCAGCAATGATGCAGGTAGGTACTGTTAGACTCTACACTTTATGGACTTAGTGCCCTCTCTGCTCTATAGGTTTACTTCAAACTGTGGCCATGCTGTGTTTGGGGGCCCTCCTACTCATTCCATCGAGTGGGGCCCTGACCTCCTTCTCCAAAGTCCTGGCCTGATGGCACTACTGGGCATGGCTTTCCAGGATTTTGGACAAGGGTATTTCCTCCCCCAACTGGAGACACCAGAGATTGAACCAATGACCTTTGGTATACGAAGCAATTGCTCGACCACTCAGGTATGGCCCTCCCCTTATACCTAATAATAACAACCAGAGATATGCATTACACTTTATAACTCCTGATAACAAGAGGATGTTCCTGAGAACAGATCATATGAAATCTAAAACACAGAGGGTGAGAGAGGTCTCCTTGCTGGTGCCCTGACCGTTATTTCCTCTATCCTGTGTTATTAACTGAGCTAGGAATGTTCTGGTGTTTTTTTCTGGTTAAAACTCTCAGTCTAATTATAATCTAAAATTAAGTTTTTAAAACCGGGCAAACTGTAGAATGGATGTGTTATAGTCCAACTAGCACATGTTCCAAATCATTGAAAAACAGGAATTAAGGAGGCCACACAGAGTTCTTTCTCAGGCGGTGATGCATTGCAACAAAATTCTGCTGAGCAGCTGGTTAGCTCATAAAATTGCTAATTTGCTTATATTGGGATTTACAGTGTCTGCTTCCTGTGGCATTGGCCAAGATGAAATCCCTAGCAAAGAGAATCAGTTTTGACTCTTATCTCTTCTTTATAATGCACTTTTTCAGGAACATTAACAATTAAGCAATTAGTGAGGTTAAATAATTTATACATAGATCTTTCAGCCAAAGAGGATTTTTATTTGAGGCATTGCCTCTGGGAGGAATATTATCTTCCAGATATCTTGCATTTTTTTAAAGGATGCATTAAGATAAGCAGTTTTTGCATGACCTACTAGTGATTGTTATTTGTGCATGGTGATACATTCAGTATTGCACCCTGTAATCTGTCAGTTTTTATTTATATATTTTTACTTCATAAAATGTATACACAGCTTGATGGTAAAAAAAATAACCTCAAAGTGGTTATCTATATCACATGCCCTGAATTTTTCATTAAGAAGTTGGAAACTGTCCCATAATTTTCCTTCCCTCACCACTGCCTTGCTCTTCCTCCTCTTTTTTTTTATTGGCAATTTAGAATATTTTTAAAATCATTGCGCCTATGCAGGGTTTCTCTACAGATACCTTGCTAATTCATTTGAGCAGAAGGTAAATCTGGCTACTTCATGACCCTCCATTAAGGAGGCATCTTGCATTAACTGGATTGGAATGTGTACAGGTGCCAGTTCACAGATACAATTACACATCTATAGCAGCATTCTAGAGGGGGGGGGGAGAAAAACTCAGCCCCATAAATAAGGATGCATACATACACAAAGATTACTACCAGGATAGTGATGGATGAAAACTGACTTGAAATGCAGTAAAAGTGTGTGTGTGTGTGTGTGTGTGTGTGTGTGTACCCACTTCCCCCACAAACTCTGTTTCAAAAAGAAGACAGATGGGTCTGATTTTCTGCATTTTGGTGCTTTAGTGGTTTGGTGCTGTAAGATTTATACGGAGATCACCAGCGGAATTTGGGAAGCCATTAATCAATGTATTTTCAAAGTGCAAAACTTGCTTTGTTGCTTTCCCAGGCAAGTCACTGAAGAGCACCTGAAAATGTTAAGTGCACAGGATGAAAGGAAAGATATTCATACGAGGGTTTTTCTTACTCCAAGTCGCCCTGTTTGGAATCTTGTCAGATTTTGTGAGATCGAAAAGGCAACCAAGTGATTCAGAGAGAGAGGACTGACTTTCAGTTAGCAAAATCCATCTCATTCCAGCAGAAAGCCTGCCTGCTTTTAATGCAGCCAAATTGCCCACATGAAGCCAGATGATTTGTGAAGCTAAATGAGCCAATGATAGCACAGACTGAACCGTATTGAGGTATGTTGTAGCAGGTCATGTCAATCCGATTGTTCATTAATTTGCCTGACTCACTGGATGAGAATTCAATCTAGGCAAGAACATGGCGCTTACTCTCATCCCCCTCTGAGCTTATAAGGATAGAAAGGAAAAAGGTGTGCGGTTCACTTTCTTTGTAAGCCAGCTTTGCTTCTCCGGGTTGCTGCTGAGGCCATATTGCGCTGGCTGGAGAAAGAAATGCAGGGAAGGAGGTGGCCAGGTGGGTTCAGCCGCTTGGCATCTCTTAACGAGATCCATCTGCTTGGGATGTACAGGATTTGGCAGGATTCCTACAGGCCTGATGGCCAACTCCTTCGCCAGGCTTTTAAAATGTATAATCATAATGGGGCTGTAATTGGCACAAAGCACTGAAGGCTTTTCTGGTTCAAGTAACAAGTATAACACTATGGCTGAGTCACAGGTGCAAAACACCACGGCGCATCTGAACTGATCCCTGTGATCAGTTTTTTATTGAGGTTGCTGTTTCTGCTTATTAAAGGTTATGTAACATGAGTTTGCCTTGTCCCTGAGTAGAAACAAGCCAGGTATTTGGCTTATTGAAATGCTATGAAGTTTAGGGTGGCCATATGTTCTGCTTTGCAGGAATCCATCCTTCGTTTGATGAGCTATCAGAGGAAAGTCCTCTATTTGAAGGGCTGGCTGGACCTAGATAAAAAAATGTAAGGTGGGAGAGGAGGACTCCTGAAGTTGCCCACTGTAAGTGAACATTTGGACAACAGATTGAACAGCAGAATGCCACCTGGTCTCATTCTTCCCCACTAAGAGTGAAATTTATTTTATTATTATTGAAATTCTATCTGTGAATTAGCAAATGCAGATCTTATGCAAATCTGCCCACTTTTTGCTCTTTTAGATTATGTCTTCCATCCTTTTTGGTGATGCATAAGCAGCCAGCTAATGAGGTTCCAGACAGCCTATTATGTGGGCAGTGCCTTTTCCAGCAGAATAATGCTTGAAATCACATAGGATGAAAGGGGCAGCACGATATGTCACCAATTTCTTACACAAAAACATTGCTGCTATTTGTTTTACAGGCTATTGTATTTTTTAAAATAGGCTTTCATATGTAACGCAATAGACTTTTTCTCCCTTTATGCCACGCTTTCTGTTTTCTAATGTTGTTAGTTGCTTGGAAACTTCTTATGTGCCAAACAACTCATAAATTGACTAAACAATAATAACACTTGGTCTTCTAATCCTACAGCCTTACATGGCACAGCTACAGGCTGTGATCCCATGTGCTCACCATGTGGAGACTGTAAAAGTACTGCGTGAACGATGTTCGCTGGGTGTGCCGAATGAACACAATTAATAAAATCTCCCATATGGACATATTATTGCATTTTAATTTCAGTATTGATGATTTAACTTCATTAAACAGCACCTGCAAACGGATACACGCTCAAAGTGGCTGGCTGTCAACAGCGATAAGCTGATTGGAGATGTCAGAAAGCCAAACAACAACTGGAAATGCACTTTAAGCTTCCAACCGTTTGCAGCCGTGTCTTTGCCTACATCACATAGGACAGCCAGTGTGGGGCAGGTGGACGTGGTTTAGAGAAAATGGCCTCGTGGGCCAAATTAGGACCCCTGTGGAAAAGTATGTGCTTGTTTTCCCATTGCTAAACAGCAGGTGTATAGGGACCCAATCTGATGTACACCATGATCTATTTGGATGAGGGGAGGCTGGACAGAAAGCTCTCATTTGAAGCAGATTCGTGTGCACACCCCCAATTAGTTGCTTGCGGTCACAGATGTGGATCAGGCCCACTCTGTGTAGCTGTTCTGAGCAACAGTCCTTGAATTCAAGCCGTGGCTGCAAAGCAACGCTCTTCTTAAAAGTATGGCTGCAAAATTAATGGGAGCGCACGCTAACTTGAGCTCTTCCTTTGCAGCTGGTACGTTTTGAACCTGGGGCCTTTTTCCCATCACCCTGAAGGGCGACAGGAACAGGTGCCAGATTCAGAATGTAGCAGCTGTGAGAGTCAGGAGCGCACTTAGGGTGATTCCCCCTTTGCAGGCGCGGCTTGAACTTCCTCCTGCCTGACGTCGTTTATAACACAAGGCATGGGGAAAGATGGCGCTGAGTCACCCAAAATGGCCTACAGGGCCTAATCAGGATACATGGCCGGAGTTTCCCAGCCCTGGCCTAAAGGATCCTGATTCCAAATGACTAAAATGTTTTCTTCCGAGAGTAGGAGTGCTGACCTTTTATCCCTGTAACTGGGTAGGCTAAAAAAAAGAGGAATCCTGGGTTTCTATGAAGAGTGCCTCAGGAGAATTGAGCCATGCGCTTCCCCACCCTGTCAGATGCACCGTAAAAGGCATTGTTCTTCAGCTGGCCAGGTTAGCGCAACAATGACAGTTCCTCATAAAACACAGAGAGGGACAAAACCCTTTGCCATATGCTGAGGGATGTCTGTGTAAAAAAGAAATGGTTTGGCTGTACACCAAGCTGCGCAGTTTCCAAATAGAGTCTGAATCCCAGCGAGAGAAGTTCCAGCTAAATATAGCCATGACAAGAGTTCAGAGTTGACTTTTTTTTTCATCAAGTACACTTAAAATAACCTGGCAGAATCTGGTTCCTATGCTACAAACCAGAAGTGAGTGTTTGTCGGGAGGGGGGAATTAAGGGGCATTTCCACCAACTCAGAGGAAAACAAAAGAAACGGAGATGAGCAGATGGTGGGGGGGGGGGGGAGGATTCCTTTTCTGATAGGGATGCCAGTCAATTGAGAAAGGAGCAACCTAGGAAGCTGCCTTATTCTGAGTCAGACCATTGATCCATCTTGCTCAGTGTTGTTGACATGGACTGGCAGTGGCGCTCTGGGGTTTTATGCAGGAGACTTTCCCAGCCATACCCTGAGTGACACCTCAATGATTGAACCTGGGACCTTCTTGCACACATGTGCTTTAGGTTCATTGGGCTGTGCATAGGAGACCTCAGGGAGCTGCTACATTATAGCTAGGGATAGGGAAGAAATTTGATTCAGTTTGCATTTAAAGGTGAAGCTTCCTAATTCCCCACTTCCGAAACAATACGTGAAACACATTTATCATTTGAAAGTCGCGCTTCTCCAAATTTTTCAGCACGGTTCTCCTGCCAAGTAATGTGCACAGAAATCCATAGACTAGGGTGGTGTGCATAAAACGCATATATTAGCGAAGATACCATGCAAAATTGAATTATATCACAATTTGTTTTGTAAAAATGTGTGCATTAGGTACAAAACTGCAAACAAAAATGCATAGATTCAGAAAAATTTGCACAAAAATGCTGGTGATTTTTTATGAGGACTTCTTTTAAGAACAAAAAGTTTGCACACCTATGTGGAAATGTGGAGGACTGTCTTTCAGGTTGGAAAAATGATAAATGGAGAGAAACCGAAATGGGCAGATTCTGCCATCCCTAGTTATAGCATATACCAATCACCTCATGAGAGAGGGAGGCAAAAAAGGTGGGTTTCAAAGGCTGTAGTTTTAAAATGAGTGAGAGCTGCTTTTTCCTGCCACATATGATTCACTTGCAAAACACATTCCCTGCGGATATTGTGAAGGTCACTCATATAAGTGGTTCTGAGAAGGAAAAAATAGACAAATGCTGTGAAGATATGTCAATTGTGAAGGATGTTTAGGCAACACCATTAGGAGATGCAGCCTCATTCTCAGTTCATTTAGGGAACCCTGAAGAAATTGGGAATGAAGGACAATCCTTTTCAACTCAACTCACCGCACACTGAACAGGTAAGTAAGGCAGAAGAAAAGAAAGAGACCCAGAGGCTCTGTCTTCACTTTTTAGCTCTCTTCTGTCCTCACATAACCCAGGATTGTGTAAACAAATGACAGAAGCTAGTTAAAGGGTTTTAAATCTTTGGATAAGTGATGGTAAAACTTAGGGGTGTTTTTTTTCTGATCACTAGACTGCATTGCCTGTTAAGATGGCCAGAAGCAAATAATAATAATAATAATGGTCAGGGCTACTGCAATTTTCCCTAATTGTGCAGAAGAGGGAGTTTCAACAGGTGTATCTTCTATGACAAGTAATGTCCCTTTTCTACACAACTATTAAAAGTTCAGGAGCCCTGTGCTCTTTTGCATCTGGTCACCCTACTCTGTTATTGCAAAAACGCTCTTCTTCAAATGCAGCGCAGGAGAAATAATGAGGTTCTTCCGGTGTCCTCGCTGTTCAGAAAATTAGAAAGAATTATTAATATACTGAGGAGTTTGCAACAGCAGCCAACACAGAGAAGAGACCTTTCCTTTGAAGGAGAAGAAAGGCAGCGAGAAGAAGGGAGAGCTTTCAAATGAAAGTCTTTACTAGGACTCGAGGCTTGCAGGGGGATGAAACATAAGCTATTATAAAAGAATGTTCCTGACCAATGGCAATGAAGTGATATATGTACATCCAATAATAAATAAAACTCCCTTGGTGTTTCTATCTGCTATGGATAAAAATACTGCTGGACAAACCCTCTGTAAGTGCAAAGAAAACACTGTGTTTAATTTATAGGGTGCCGGCTATATTTAGCCAGCAGATTTTATGCGGGACTGCGGGCTCTTGGAGCAAATAACTGAAATGCTGTATCTAAAGCAAACGCTCTTTGACACTGCCTTTATATCCTTTATATCCCCCTCATTTGAAGAGAAACATACAGCAAAAGGCAGACCAGAGACCAAACTCATGCACTTACCTACTGCAAGGAAGTTCTGAAGTAAAGTTGATAGGCCACTAAGCCATGGTGTGCAGTGTACTAAATATTGTTTAGAAACCGATCCATGGTTTTTGTTCTGCATGCACACCAAGGTTCATGTTGTGTGTTTCTTTCCCAGCTCCCGCAAGGATCCCTGGGTGCTATCCCAAACCACTCAGCCTTGCCCCACTGCTGGCTAAGTGGCACTTTGTTAGGGTTGCCATATTTCAAAAAATAAGGCTGATCGCCGAAGAATTTATGCTTTTGAATTATGGTGCTGGAGGAGACTCTTGAGAGTCCCTTGGACTGCACCTAAACATTAGGAAGAACTTCCTGACAGTAAGAGCTGTTCAACAGTGGAATTTGCTGCCAAGGAGTGTGGTGGAGTCTCCTTCTTTGGAGGTCTTTAAGCAGAGGCTTGACAACCATATGTCAGGAGTGCTCTGATGGTGTTTCCTGCTTGGCAGGGGGTTGGACTCGATGGCCTTTGTGGTCTCTTCCAACTCTATGATTCTAAGAAGATCAAACCTATCCATTCTTATGGCAATCATCCCTGAGTGCTCACTGGAAGGACAGATCATGAAGCTGAGGCTCCAATACTTTGGCCACCTCATGAGAACAGAAGACTCCCTGGAAAAGGCCCTGATGTTGGGAAAGATGGAGGGCACAAGGAGAAGGGGACGACAGAGGAAGAGATGGTTGGACAGTGTTCTCGAAGCTTCCGGCATGAGTTTGACCAAACTGCAGGAGGCAGTGAAAGACAGGAGTGCCTGGCGTGCTCTGGTCCATGGGGTCACGAAGAGTCAGACATGACTAAACAACTAAACAACAACAACAAAAATTCCTGACAACTACAAAGCCTCTGGGTTTCCCTGGACATTTTGCTGATTCGGCAAAATTCCCCCCTGGCGCTATTTTTACATCTGAAAACCAGGACATGTCAGGAATTTTCCTGACGTATGGCAAGCCTACACTTTGTGTGCTGCTTTGGTGCAATTGGATGTCCCCTCCCTCCCAGCAATACAACAGAGGATGGATATACCTTCTTGGAAACGTTTGCTTTGTTCTTAATTGTACCGATTATGCAAAGCATTTCCACTTCTTGCAGCATTCTGCCAAGGAGCTTCCCCTCCTCCTCTTCCTCACTGTCCCTATATATTTTCCCTGACCACTGGTCCTGTTAGCTAGGGATGATGGGAGTTGTAGTCCCAAAACATCTGGAGGGCTGAGTTTGCCTATGCCTGGTCTGTACCAATTAAGCAGTGGGGGAGTAGGAATCATCCTGTGAAGGTATCTCAATTCAGTTGCATGCTTGTTATCCACATCTGCTTGGAGAAAGAACCAAGAATGCTGACTTTTCTATTCTGCTAACAGATGTTGCTCTATTGTGGGTAGATGCAAAAGAGGATGAAACTTGCACATTGCATACTTGTGCAGACGAGGAACGGTCAGCAGGTATTGCTTATCATGCAAGCTGCACCTGCTGAAATGCTTTACATGGAATGGTGTAAGGGCACTGTCTGAATCTGCATCTGGCCATCCCATGCTCAGATTAAATTTATCTGCCTTCCTTGCCTAAGTCTAATCCTTTTCATGTCTGGTGGAGATCATGTGCCCTACAAAACCAGCAGTTGGTGGCAGCAGCAGCAGCGGGGAGCAGTTGTGTTGAATTCTGGCAATACTTCCATGGTATCCCTTCCCCTGCATTTATTTACAACAGACTGTAACGGTGACACTCTAATTAACACTTTGCCATCAGCACATAGTCGGAACAGTTCCCTAATTAGCACAGCTGAGAGAATAATGGGCAACATTTCCTGCAAACATTTGTGTTTGAAAACAAATTTAGATTCAGCTACATCTGTGACCCTTTGCATGCTTGCTTTTTGAAGATACAGATACTGCATCAGCCCTGGCTATCAGGAGCACTTGAAAGAAAAATTACTCTAATAACTCATTATCTAGGAAAGGATTTGCCAGACAGTCCCTTTGTACCAGCAGATGCTGTTATTGAAAAATGGCATGGTCCAACTTCCCAGCGCCAAAACTGCACCCCCACATCTTCATTAGGTACATAGGCTAATGACTTATTCTGGCAAAAGAGTGTTTCACATGGTAATTTTTAGGGCAGACATTAATCTGATTTAATAGCCATTCCCTCCTCATAAGGAAACCTGGGATCCATAGTTCCCAGAAGATGAGTAGAGAGCTCCAACACGTAATACAGGGATAGCCTAACTTCTGTTGTCTGTGCTCTGGTAACCTCTAGGCTGGATTACTGCAATGCATTTTACACTGGGCTGCTTTTGAAGACAGTTCAGAAACTGCAGCTGGTGCAGAATTCAGCTGCCAGGTTGCTCACTGGGGTAACATGGTCTGAGCACATAACACCAAGCCCAGCCTAACTGCACTGGCTACCAATTAGTTTCAGAGCCCGATTCAAAGTGCTATTTTTGACCTATAAAGCCTAATGTGGCTCAGGACTTCAGTACCTCAAGGCTTGCCACTCCCCAGATGACCCAACCCAGATCCTGTGATCATCAACTGAGGCCCTTCTTTGTGTGTCCCCTCCATGGGAATTCCAGAGGGTGACAATGCAAGAATGGGCCTTTTTGGTGGTGGCTCCCCACTTGTGGAATGCTCTCCCCAAGAAGGCTTGCCTGGTGCGATCCTTAGGCGCCAGGCAAAAACATTTCTTTTTCACCAGGTCTTTGGTTTGTAATTAGCTGTGGCCTCTATATGTGGGTGTGATGTTTTAATCCTTAAAAACAGAAGTGTCTTTCAGTTTTTTGCTTTGTTTCCCTTTATCCTGATATGTTTGTTTGTAATGTTCCCCACCATTAAACAGCAGGGTTAAGGACCTAGTAGCTTCCCTGCTGCTTACAACTTTGCAAAAGTGTGTGTCGCATTCAGCTGAAGGTGCAGAGAAGTTTGCGTTCTCATTTTCTCTCTCACACACACATGCATAGCTAAGTGGAAGATTATTGTTTGATCCTAAGTATATATTTCTTTAGCGTGGGAGTCCTGTGTTGTATAGCAAGTGATCTGTGTGAAAGCAGAGCTGCAACATTGTTCTTAATACCACTTTTATCAATGGAGCTGGTGCAGCGATCAGGCCTGGATGGACCAGTTTCAAGGATTTCTGCTGGCTACAACCAGTGGGGACCCAGCAGGGAGGAGGGGAAGCTCTTTGCTGGCGGAGTGATGCTGCCATCACTCCACAAGCACATGCTGGCATAAAATGCACCTCCATCCCATCTTACCTTCCATGCCCGCCTGGCACTAAGGGAGGTTGGATTATGACCTCAGTGTGCAAAAGACTGCATTTATTGTAAGTTTCTTTAAGACTGACTTGTAAGTAAATGCATACAGAATGATCAGAGAAAGAGAGAACAGTTGGATATTTCCCCTGAAGCATCTTTAGTGACATACAAAATCACATGTCTGTGTCCAAACTAAAATGCCATATTAATTCTATTATAGTAATCACAAAGGCCCCCACTGCTGAGAGCATCTTTATTTCCATCCACATGTAGGGTGGTTAGGTGAAAAAGAGGACTTCCACCCTAATCACATGTGAAAGCACCTCGCACCAGTGCTTTTTTCAGGAGGTACTCAAAGGTACGCACCTATATTTCTGGTTACATGGAGAAAAATAACCGCATCAAATATTTTAGAAGTACATACCTATTTCATTGCAATTTGTATTATTCATATTAAAACTGCTTCCTTACGATATTATTTATTATTACTGTATGGTGCAGGATTTCTGGGTTGTGTGATGTGGAACGTGTGAAGTGGGTGTGATACAGACTTTCTGGAGTACATTGGATGTGAGGAGCTTCTATGTACCTTGGCTGTTTGCATTTGAATTCTGTGCCACGGCAGTAGAGTCACTTAATTGTCCTTGGGACTAGTAAACATTTTCAAGAATGTCTTCTGTGATCTTAATTCCTTGACCATATAACGTATTTTTCCATCTATAAGATGCCCCCATGTATAAGACGCCTCCTATTTTGGGGGATTCAGAGTTAAGAAAATGGGGGGGAAATGGCCCAGAGTATAAGTCAACCCCTAATTTTTGACATTATTTTGTAGGGAAAAAACCTAGTCTTATACATGGAAAAATAGGGTACTTAGGCTTTATACATACCATACATTTAAAGCACCTCGCACCAGTGCTTTTTTCAGGAGGTACTCAAAGGTACGCAGCGCTGGCACCTCTTTTGTTGTTAAAAAGTGTGGCACTCACTGTAACAACTTCAAGGTGAGTACTGGCACCTATTTTTTCTAGAAAAAAAGCACTGCCTCCCACCAAAGAATCCTGGGAACTGTGGTTTACTGTTCAATTCCTAGCACCCATAACAAACCACAGTTCTTAGGATTTTTTCTGTGGGAAATGTGCTTTCAGTGTATGGAGCGGCGTACACAGCCCTCATTTGCACGAACTGATCTGTAGTTTGTCCTTTTTCTTATCTGCTGTGTGTCTTTTCTCTGCAATGGATTTAATTATCATCTTTGGAATTAGACTCAGTCTTCCCCATCTGTAAAATGTCAGCTGCAGTCCAAACCCCAAGCAGAAGCAGCAGCAGCAGCAGCAGCAGGGCTTAACAGAACAGCAGGGCCACTGCCACATCCAGAGCTCTGCCGCTCACCCCAGGCAGGCAGGCCAGCCTGGAGTTCGATGCTGTTATGTGATGGCGGCTGGGCTGGCTCAGGTCCCAGCAGATCCTGAGTTGGCTCAGCACTCCCTGCATGCAAGCTTGGCAGGTGAAACAGGAAAGTCCTCTGGTGGAGGACACTGGAGTCTGGCAAGGCTCCTATCCCTCCCTAGGCTGGTGCAAAGGGGTTTGGACTGTAGCCCTAGGACTTCTTCTAAATCTCTTAAAATGTTGTTTATAAGTGTGACTCATAGTGATGGGGACGTGCCGTAGCTGAGTGGTAGAGAAACGGCTTTGTATGTGAAAGGTCCCAGCCAGGCTCTATGTCTGGCCTTTCCAGAGTCACAGCCAATCAGCATGGACAATATTCAGCTTGACCGACTAATAATAATAATAATAATAAACCTTTATTGTCACTACACCACCTGTGTGCAGTGAAATTAAGCGACCCCCCCCCATACACTCAGTCTTGTTCGTACTCTGTGTGCTTGTTGGAAGTCAATTGCACCACTATTTTTTTTCCATTCAGCAGCCCAATAGCCCACAGATAAAAACTGTTCTTTAACTTGTTGGTGCGGCTGACTGTACTTCTGTATCTCCTGCCCGAAGGTAGGAGTTTAAAGAGGTGCTGGCCAGGGTGTGAGTCATCCCTAAGAATTTTCCTCACTCCCATGATGTCATCTAGCGAACTCAGGGGACAGCCCAATCCTCACTATTTGTGTGTGATCCTTCAGAAAGTTTTTAATTCAATCACAGATGGTAGAGTAAAGGTCCAGGTCCATCAGCTTTTTAATAAGAATGATCATTCGGTATCCTGCCTGAGCTTTCTGCTATTCACGTACTTCTGCTTATGACATGCATGTGCCACAGCTGCCATCAAGGATGTGTTCAGTTGATCTGTGGTGGCCCCCTATCATGTGTGGCTGGTAAGGTGGCCAGGTTAAATATTAGCATTTCTTCCCAGGATGAATAAATTGCCTTCTATGGGCTTTGCCCCCAGCCCTGCTATAATCCATCCCCTTGGCCAGGTTGATATCACAATATTGTGTGGACCTCTATGAACCTACCTAGCTACCCCTGGTTTAGCATTTCCTTCTCACAAGGGAACAGGAGGATCCAGACTGATGCAAAAGCTCCTAACTTGGGAGCCTTTGCTTTGCTGAATAAGCTTTTCTCAGCAGCTCTCTCTGGGGTTCATTTATCATTTTGATCAAAGAAAACAGTTGTTCAGCAGGACCTAGAAAAGTGGTGTTTAATAAGGCCATTGCCTTCCAAGCCGTCAATGAAAGCATCCTCTCCCTTTCAGATATTGGATTGATTCATGAGCAAAGGCAAGGGCTAACAGGCAAGGGATTCCTCATAAATAAAACACACCCAAGCCCAGCCTGTGAGAATTGGTCTCCTGTACTAGGCACTTTTCCGGGGAAAGCCATTTTTTGCCTGTCCACTCATTCTTTTCCAACAAACTGGACCAAGAAAAGGACCTGGGGAAACAGAGCTATTCTCCCATCCAAAAATCTCAAAGGCCAAGTGGATTGGGGGAGGGCAAGAAAAAGGCTGAGTGTGGTGAGCTAACAGATGGGAAACTTGTAAATGTCTCTGCAGCTTTCCCCTTGATTAACTAGGGGTGGGCAAGCTGAGAAGGAGACAGCTTTGACTGTCTGCTGAAATATGCTTAGGATAGAATCCAACTCATATTTCAGCTAGCTCAGTCTGCACACGCTGCCATTGGGTGCCTCTAGCACGGCTTCTGTGATAGGATTATGTCCTTGACTTTCAGATTAAAGATTGCATTGCACTACCGAGACAACAGTGCCTCTTAGAAAGCAAGGCTTCAGGTTCTTTTATATACAGTCTTCCATTAAACAGAATTTGTGAAAGTCTGAGTGCATGTGGCAGATAGCTTTTAGCTACCAACACAGAAAGCTCCTCAATCAACTTGTCCTGAGGAGTCAGCATGCAGCTGTGATGCAGTCCCGCCTCCTGGCTTGTCCTTCGGTCCTCCTGATTTGCTTCTTGGTCTTCCTGACCACTGGCGAGTCCAACGAGTCCTGTTGATTTGTTCCCAGCTCGCCTCAGACTGCTGCCCACAGCTCAGATCCAACAGCTGCCAAGCTCTGCAATGTCCCATCTCCTGACCCACCAGTGATGTGACTTGGGTGGTTTTGGTTTATAGCACCACCAATATTTGAGTACACTAGTCACCCCTGCACAGGATTTGAGGTTGGTCATAAGGCTTCACATTTTCTTTGGGTCCTTTATTGAGGTTAAAGTGGTTGATGTATGTAGGGCAGCTTTCACCAACTGATTCCACAGTTGTTTGGGCTTGCAACTCCCATTGCCAAAACATCTGGATGGCATCAGGTTGGTAATGGCAGATGTCTATACAGTAGTACCTCAGGTTACATACGCTTCAGGTTACAGACTCTGCTAACCCAGAAATAGTACCTCGGGTTAAGAACTTTGCTTCAGGATGAGAACAGAAATCGTGCTCTGGCAGCGGCGGCAGCAGGAGGCCCCATTAGCTAAAGTGGTGCTTCAGGTTAAGAACAGTTTCAGGTTAAGAACGGACCTCTGGAACGAATTAAGTACTTAACCTGAGGTACCACTGTATAGACATCTTCCTAGAATGTGGTGGGATGAACAGAATGTAGATGTGATGGCCCCATGTGAGAATGTGTGTTTTGAAACATAATTTATGGACATACTAAACATGGGGAAACAGGACTAGGTGCTCGCTCTCCAGGTTTTGAAGGGGAGTGATCGCTCCCACCACCTCTTGGTATTGTTCAAACTCTAACCAAGCAAGATGAGCTGGACTTCAGTGAGAAATTGACATAGAGCTTTGGCTCTGTGCAGGACTGAGGTTTCATGTCCACGATAATTTCCGAGACAGTGGGTGCAAGACCACAGCCTTAACACGGCTGCACATGCGGGATTTGTATTTATTAAATTTTCTAGCTCAGCCCCTACTCTACCATTTCCTCCCACGGGGGGCTCAGCTAGTTTACAACATTTTAAAATATAAAACAACACTCTGAAGTTCGATTTACATAATGCTGGTGCCTGAAAGAAGCCCAGTCATGCTTTCTGTGGACAATGCACTGAATGAGATTGAAAAAGTCCTGCTGGAGCAGGCCAAAGGCCCAGCTAGTCCAACATCCTCTTTTCACAGTGGCCAACCAGATATCTGTGGGAAGCCTGCAAGCAGGATGTGAGTGCAATAGCACTCTCCCCTCCTATGGTTCCCAAGTAGAATTTGGAAGCATTCTGCCTCTGACAGCAGATATAGAACATACTCATTGCAGCTGGTAGCCTAATCCCTCCATGAATGTATCTAATTCTCTTTTAAAGCTATCCAAGTTGGTGGCCATCACTACCTCACATGGAAGTGAATTCCATAGTTTGCACTGCGTGAAGAAGTACTTTCTTTTGTCAGTCCTGAATTTTCCAACAGCCAGCTTCATTTACTCACTGCAATCCAAGGTCAATAATGCCTACCTACTTTCTCTTAGCTGTGGAGAGCGTGCATTGCTGGATTTAGGCGGGATCCACTCCAAGGATTATGGTATCCTAGTAAAGGGGTCAAAGGGGGAGTACCTCTGTCTGAATACCAAGGCAGGGGTGGATAGGCCATAGACCCCCACCTACCCAACAGCATCCTGGAAGGACTGTCCAGAATTGATGTGCATCATAGAGTGTTCCTTTACCCAGGATTGACCCTGATGACATAACACCGGTCCTTAGAGATCTGCATTGGCTCCCAGTACGTTTCCGAGCACAATTCGAAGTCTTGGTGCTGATCTTTAAAGCCCTAAACGGCCTTGGTCCTGTATACCTGAAGGAGCGTCTCCACCCCCATCGTTCACCCGGACACTGAGATCCAGCGCCGAGGGCCTTCTGGCAGTTCCCTCATTGTGAGAAGTGAGGCTACAGGGAACCAGACAGAGGGCCTTCTCGGTAGTGGCGCCCGCCCCGTGGAACACCCTCCCTTCAGATGTGAAGGAAATAAGCAGCTATCCTTTCTTTAAAAGACATCTGAAGGCAGCCCTGTTCAGGGAAGTTTTTAATATTTAATGCTGTACTGTTTTTAACACTTGATTGGGAGCCGCCTAGAGTGGCTGGGGAAGCTCAGTCAGATGGGTGGGGTATAAATAATAAATTATTATTATTATTATTATTATTAGTCAGCAAGTCGGGTTGGTTAATTCAGGATACACACCCAATGCCTAAGCCAAGACCTTCTGACATCTGTAAGCAATGAAGTTGTGGCCTATTTGATCCCAAGTGGCTTGACCCGTCTTTATTACTTCTTCCCATGGTTCAACCCCAACGTTTGCGGGCTCACTGTGCCTGGGCCTGTAAATGACCTCTAGCGAGAACAGAGGTTCTCAGCTTATTTCTCTTTCATCTGGAAAGAAACAATTGTGTAACCAATAGCAAAGGAAATGCAATAAGTAAATAAATAAGTCTTGTTATGTATTGTGGGTGGAGAGTTCAAAGTTCCACAGAGAAACATAGTAAGCTGTGAATGACTTCAAAGAGGCTAAGTAGCTGAAGAACATATTATAATTCCGTTTCCTTGTGAACCAAAGAATTTATCTCAGCATAACTACCTTCTTTGGACAGAAAGGGGAAAAAGGGAGAGAGAAAAAAGAAACGACCAGAATTATTTGAGAAGGACGTTGGCTAGGCAAGCGAGGATTTCCATTAAATATCACCAGTTCACTTCAGAATTCTCTTGTACAGGGGCCAGTTCTCTTGAACTGGTCATCTTGTGATCGCAGAAAAGCTGCTCTGACATTCTGTAAGTAAAAAACAAAAAACGGAGGGGGCCACCAAATGGGAGTTTGAGTCAGAGTGCCAGTGGTGGTTGTGACATGCTTTCAGATGCCCCACTAGGACTTGAGCTACTGGAAGTCCATGACAGCTAAATTTGATAATAGAGCCCCATCAGAGAGCAACAGGTGTGTATTAGAGGTCAGAAGGATGACATCTCTAATTACTACACTGTGGAGATTTGCTCAGTGGCAGGTAACAGCAGAGGGCCAGCCTTTTCTCCCCTACCACTGGTTTTTGAAGTGTCCTCTGAAGCGTCATTGGTAATTGGATGCTGAGCAGATACCATTTCTTTACTGTTGCCTAGAGACTCACCTCAGCCCCATTCTACATGCCCAACTACCATTGGGGTCACTGAACTGAATACCACCAGTTGGTCACATACTGTATGTACTCTAGCATAGTTATACAATGGCTTTGCTGAGGCAATTCAGATCCTTTACACTTGGGCCATCTAGGTACTTAATTTATGGCAGAATATGGAGATGCACTTCTCCCTTAAAGATATCACAAGAGATTCCTGAAATGTTCTCAGTGGCTGCTCCCAGACTTTGAAATTCCCTTCCTAGAGAAGCTAGACTGGTCCCCCCCACCCCCGTCCTGTCCTATTCCAACAGGCCTTCAGGAACTGGCTGTTCTTTTCAGGAAAGGGCTTTTATAGTACTGTGCTGTTTTTATTGTTTTTGTCATCTGCATTTTAATAGATTTGTTTTTCCAGTTGGGTTTTTTCATTTATAAGATTTAATTAATACATTATAATAAAAAAAAATCTAATCTAAATGGAAACAAAAGCAAAGAAGAAAGTCCTCTTTCACAGCTATATCTTAACTTAACCAACACAGAGAAAGGCGAACCCTTCAACTCTTACCTGGGAGCTTCCCTTTCTTCTCTCACACAGGGCCCTTAATCAACTATCCATCACCTTCATCTGCATGTTAACCCTTCCTTAACCCTGAGTAAAAAAAGTAAAGGGACCCCCGACCATTAGGTCCAATCATGACTGACTCTGAGGTTGCGGTGCTCATCTCGCTTTATTGGCCGAGGGAGCCGGCATACAGCTTCCGGGTCATGTGGCCAGCATGACTTAGCTGCTTCTGGCGAACCAGAGCAGCGCACGGAAACGCCGTTTACCTTGAGTAGAGGACCACAAATAGTGCAAATGATCGGAACAGAGCAAAAACAAAAGAAGAAAAAGATAAAGAAAAAGAACAAAGAGATAAGAATGTTAAAGGAAATAATAATGGAACAAAAAGGTAATGAAAGGTAAGAAGAAAGGAGTAAGCAATAGTTTTAACACTATTTGAGTTTAATTACTTTTTAATTATTATCTTTTTTATGTTTTCAGCGTCTTTATTTTATCTGTGTCGTTTTCATTTGTTGTAAGCCACCTTGAGTCCCTGTCTGGAGAAAAAGTGGGATAATAATAATATCTTGGAAAGTAAAAGGACCCATGCCCAATTCAAGGAGGGACAAAGAGGATCTCATGCACTGGGTGGCAGGTTAGGGGTACAACAACGCAGAGTGGGAGAGAGAGAAGAAAGGTTGGCGTGCCACATCACATACTTGCCAACTCCTCCTCTCTCTGTGCTGCCCACCCTCCATCCACCCACGTAAATGATTACATGATATGAGAAAAGCCACACACCCCTAACAGAATGGCCACAACAGTGCTGCTTTTTCAAACCATAGATGGAATAGCAGAATCGTAGAGTTGGAAGGGACCACGAGGGGCATCGCAAGATTTGGGGGGCAGTGGGGAGGTGCTGGTACTGCATACCGTTGAGTACTGCCAGAAAAAAAGCGCTGGCATCATGGTAGCTGAAGCTCAGGGAAGACTGAGCAGCTACAAGGTTGTGATCCCAAGAACATCTGTTTAGAAGTACGGTAAGTCATTGCAGTTGTAGATACTATGGAGCCTGCTTCCAAATAAACTGGGGTCCCAGTGGCTTGTGCCTAACATTTTATAAAAAGGAAAAGTCTCTTTGTGAAATAATATTATATCAGGACAATGACAATGACTCTGCTTTTGCCTCTTATAGGATTACCAGACTTCAGAATATCAGAAAAGGATGCTTTCTAAGGACCAATCTGTCTTTTATTATTGTATCAATTGAGTTCAATAATGTCCTCAGAGCAAAGCAGAGGGTCACTGAAGTTATGATTCCATAATCTGTGTGTACTTTTCTTGAAAATTAAATTTTCCTGAGCCAACGGAGGGGTTGTTCACCGAATAACAGCAAAATCCAGTTCAAAGTGTGAGCACCATGAAGTACTGCAGAACAAATTTGGTCTTCTCTGATTTCAGCACTTGAATGAGTTTTCTCTGCTCCATGCAGTTTAGAGAAAATATTGTTTAGTCTTTCAATGGTGGCCACTTAGTCTTATTTACATTGCAAATCACATATGGAACAGAAATAGCAAAAGACACACAGCTAGCTGACGTTGTCTTCCTTCCAGGACTGATTCTATTTAAAGTAAAAGACAATGAACATCCCCCCTCCCCCGTTGCCAAATCTCCCTCTTTAGAAACCATACTCAATCTGGGGTTAGGAACTTACTCCCTGAAACTTTCTCAGTGTCTCCATTAATTTTTCACCTTACATAGTATAGTATAGCTTGAAGCATTGTGAATTCCTGCAAAACCACTTAAAGCAGAAGTGATTGTGGAACACACACACACACACACACACACACTACCTTGTGCAACTGCCAGTTGTTGGCCAGTTGTGTCTTAACTATCCAGTAATCCCTGCTTGCACACTGTTTTGGCCAGGGTGCTGTCTGACCTATTTTCCTTTGTATAAGAACAAGCATGAAGGAGGCCTCCCGGCCTGTTCACAGGTCCTTATATGATCAGTGAAAACAGTTGGTCCTGGCAAGTATTAACTGCTCTCAGTCTTAACCTGGTAACTGCCATTTGTCCAGATTTTTATTTGTCTGAATTAATTTTAAGATGTATTTTAATTAATTGATGCCTGCTTTTATGTATACTGTATTATTTATATGTTAGCCACTCTGAGCCCGGCTCCGGCCGGGGAGGGCAGGGTACTACTACTAATAATAATAATATTTTTGGTTGGCCTCATAAAGGTATTTCCCAAATACAGCCAACACAGCTCCATTTGCCTTAATATTGTTATGAGTTTGGGGTGTTAAGCTGGGTGCCAGACCTCTCTAATCCCTGGATTCAGCAAGTGTCAGAATTGAACCAAGCCTTCTAATTCTTGGAATAGCCAGACTAGCCTCCTGGGGAGGTGGTAGCCTGGGTGAGAGCCATTAAGGAGGTGAAAGGGGCTTGGTGCAAGTCTGCAAATGGGTAGCCCCCCTTCCTTCAACAGAAAAAAGCCAAAGTTGAGAACAGAGAGTTGCGGAGATGTGACCTAGAAGTAAAGCAGCAAGGCACAGAGAGAGTCAGAGCAATGTTTGAGAGCAATGTTTGATTTCTGTTTGAATCCAAGGCTGTGCCTATGGGAGAAACAAAACCCTTTTGGGGTGTTTATGCTGTGAACCCCTCCATATATCATAAAGACACTACAGTCTCTGCTGTGCCTTGATCCAACCCTGAGACCCTTGGAATCTCGCACTGCTCAGAAATTGGAGTGGCATGAAACATGTAACCTCTAGGATCCTCACATGTCCCTGGGATTTTGGATGTGAGATCTGTCTCTTCTGGATTTGTGAGAAATAGTAACACTATCTCACTACCATGTGAAAACGGCAGGGAACAAAGAGACCTACAAAGGCAAATTGGATCCCACCATCTTAGAGAGGAGCAGGGCTTACTTCAGGGTTTGAAACAACTGCATAGAACTTGAAATCACTGAAGACCACAGTGGCAGCAGCGGGGGAAGGCATATTTGATTGTCTTCTCAAATCCAATTTGAAAAGTTGGGAAAATCTGATCTGCAAGATGACTCAAAACATGCACATTTTATTTGGAACTGAAGCTATTGACATAGGTCAGAGCTTTATTGGAGAAAGCAGAGGACCTTGAAAACAGAGACAGGCAGCATGTGGAGATGATGGGTTTAGATGGGGGAAAGTAAATGGGAGCACTCCATTAAGTGAATAAAAATGACACCAAAAGTTCTTTAGAGATGGCCCTGTTTGTTTTCAAGAAAATGTATCATAATATTACTGATAAGGTCAACTATGTTATAGGGCTGGGACCCCCTTCAGAGGCTGTACAGCTTGTAGAGCATATAATTCCACACTGTATTCTGGGCATTAGCACAAGGGGCCCACGTTATTGGAAGCTGATACCATCTCCTGCATCAAAGCTGCAGCAATAGCCACTACTGTTCTGGCAGATGCACAGCCTGAAAATCCTGATTATATCTATAAACTTTCCAAGGCAGCAGGAGAGTAACCTCTGTGACCACAGCAGCTCCCATTCTGTTCTGCCACTGATACCTAAATGTGCACCATCCAGCACAAACTAAACTGGCTGAAGTTCACTGAAATCAACAGGTTTATGGAAATACATTTTGTGTTCTGCAAAATAAGATTACGGCAATAACTGATGGTTGTCTAATAGCAGTATTTAAAATGTTAGCATTCATTGTTGTTTTAGCAATACATTCCATTTTTGTCCCTAACTGAACGATCTGAGCAAAGTATAAGATATAGTTAAAGAAAAGACACTCTGCTTTTCTAGCACTTTAGATAAGCTGTAATGCGAAGTCAATTAACTGGAAATTTAAGACAAAGCGGAATACAGTATTCCTTGTTTCTTCTGAAGCAACAGCAAAACTCCTTAAAATCTAATTTATTCTAGCATTCCATGTCACAAGATGGTACAACACACTGAACACAAGTTTGGAGAAAGAAATTGTAATACATTTCTCAAAATTAAATTAAAGCAAACTTGGTAAATGCATGTTGGTTCAATATTTGAATAAACCTGAAGAATCTGTAATTGAGGAAACACAATTATTTGAAGGACAACTCGAACTGGGAAAGTTATGTTAGTAGAAGAGCAAAGTGATAATATTTAACCACTGTGTTGCTGGTATTGCACGTTATATAATGTAATGGCAATGCAGAGCTGGGGAACATTTTACAGTCACAGAATCATACAGTTGGGAGGGACTTCAAAGATAATCTATTCCAGCCCCTTATTGATACAAGAAATCCACTATTACAGAATTTCTGATAGGTGGTCATTCCCAAAGAATAACTGATGGGTAGAGGGGATGCTTAATTTTTCCTCCGACCGATGATTCTCCCTTGAAAATTGCCCACCCAAGGTGTCTTAACCAATTTCTCTCCAGATAGGGGACTGAGATGGAGGGGGCATTTGTAGAGGAGAATTGCTAGGTGTGGAAAGATTAAGAACATCACTAGCATCTATTGATCTCCTCTACCAAAGTCCCCTGCCTCCACCTGCTTGTGTCACATCAAGAAATGCAAGATTATGAATGTGCATTTGTAGATATAACATGGCTCTGTCCTGAGTCCCTGACAAATCAAGAACAAGTAGAATATATACTTTATAGATAAATATCAAATAGTGTATGGTATCACCAAACATTCATCATGCTAGTAAAGTGGTTTTAGAAAAGGCTTTTGACAGTGTGGGAAGGGTCCTTATAGTTAAATACCAGCAAACTAAGATACCATATATATGACATGAATAAAGCATGATTTACATTCCGAGCTTAACCATGTTTATTCAAAACTGCTCGAGAGATTCAATGGCATTTACTTTTTAAGTGAATATGCTTAGGCTTTTCAGCCTAATGTTGCTCAAGAATCATTATACTGTAGTTAAAAGAAATATTCTTATGCAGCAGCATTTACAGATAAAACCCTCAAAATCCTTAAGATTAACAAAGAACAATCCCTGCATGCTAGTTTTTGTGCTTTCTGTAATAACAACATAATTCCCACATTACTTCATACTACATCTGTTAAACATGACTATTACTCTCAATAATTTATCTACTACCTATCAGTGGTCGCATACTGAGGATCGTAGTGCTGAACTGACGAGCCTTTTCAAACTAAGCAGCTCTTTAAATCTTTCTCCTTTTGTGGTTTTCTATCATTTTAGATTTTAGTAAAACTACATTTTACTATTTCCCTTTCACATGGGGAGGGTAGTCAAAAATTGGTTCATCAATACTGTTGTCTCCTCACCCCATAGGAAAACCACTGGAGCTATACATTCCAGTGCAGGAGAGGGGGAGCATGCAACTGTGGGAGAAGGATTTGTTGCAATTCACAGACACTTTCCTAATATTGCTCTTTTAGAGCTGTAAAGCAAGAAAAAGTATCCAAAGCAACCAAAACAATGCAACAAATCTTATAACCTGAACTGAATAGGAGTTGTGTTGATGACAATAATCAATGTTAGGTTCAAATGACAACCCCTTGCACTGAAACAATGTGTGGGAGGGGTCAGAGCCATATGGACTAGTCTCCCTGCCACATTTGGTGACCATAAACCTTCCATGCATTTGGAGCACATCAGAAGGGGTTCTGAGCATGTAAAGGTGAATGCACATAGAGCTTCTCAGTGCAAGGAGGAACCCTGATTGGTATATGTGTATACCTTCTGACACGCTCCAACACGCTCCCTGAAGGAACAGGTGCGCAGCCTGGGAGTCATTCTGGACTCCCAGCTGTCCATGGAGGCACAGGTCAATTCTGTGTCCAGGGCAGCTGTTTATCAGCTCCATCTGGTACGCAGGCTGAGACCTTACCTGCCCGTGGACTGTCTCACCAGAGTGCTGAATGCTCTGGTTATCTCTCGCTTGGACTACTGCAATGCGCTCTATGTGGGGCTACCTTTGAAGGTCACCCGGAAACCACAATTAATCCAGAATGTGGCAAATAGACTGGTGACTGGGAGCGGCTGCCGAGACCATATAACACCGGTCTTGAAAGACCTACATTGGCTCCCAGTACGTTTCCAAGCACAATTCAAAGTGTTGGTGCTGACCTTTAAAGCCCTAAACAGCCTCGGTCCAGTATACCTGAAGGAGCATCTCCACCTCCATCGTTCTGCCCGGACACTGAGGTCCAGCGCCGAGGGCCTTCTGGCGGTTCCCTCACTGCGAGAAGCCAAGTTCCAGGGAACCAGGCAGAGGGCCTTCTCGGTAGTGGCGCCTGCCCTGTGGAACGCCCTCCCACCAGATGTCAAAGACAAAAATAACCACCAAACTTTTAGAAGGCATCTAAAGGCAGCCCTGTTTAGGCATCACTGAAACCTGGTGGGATAAGTCCCACGATTGGAATGTAATAATGGAGGGATACAATCTATTTCAGAGAAACAGACCAGACAAGAAAGGAGGAGGAGTGGCGTTACATGTCAGGGATGTGTATACCTGTGAAGAGATCCAAGATTTAGAACCTCAAAGCCAAAGTGAGAGCATTTGGGTCAAAATTAAGGGAGAGAAAAATAACAGTGACCTCATTGTGGGAGTTTACTATAGATCCCCAAGCCAAACGGAGGACATAGATGATGCCTTCCTGGAACAGATGGCCAAGCATGCAAAAAGAAGGAGATAGTAGTAATGGGGACTTCAATTACCCGGACATTTGTTGGATGTCAAACTCAGCCAAGAGCATAAGGTCAAACAGATTCCTCACTGGCCTTGCAGACAACTTCATTGTCCAGAAAGTGGGAGAAGCAACAAGAGGAACAGCCATTTTAGATCTGGTCCTAACCAATGTGGATGACCTGGTTAGTGGGGTAGAAGTGGAAGGATCATTAGGCGCGAGTGATCATGCTCTTCTGAAGTTTACTATACAGCGGAAAGGAGCAGCCAAGCATACTAGGACTCAATTTCTTGACTTTAAGAAAGCCGACTTCATAAAACTTAGGGAAGTGCTGGGTGAGATCCCATGGACAGTAATACTAAAAGGAAAGGGAGTTCATGATGGCTGGGAGTTTGTTAAGGGGAGATACTAAAAGCACAACGTCAGGCAATACCAATGAGATGGAAACATGGAAGGTTCCTAAAGAAGCCAGGGTGGCTATCTAAAGAACTTTTAACTGAGTTAAGATTAAAAAGGATGTGTACAAAAATGGAAAAGGGGGAAACCACCAAAGAGGAATTCAAACAAATAGCCAGCACGTGTAGACACAAAGTCAGAAAAGCTAAAGCACAGAATGAACTCAGGCTTGCTAGAGAGGTTAAAAGCAACAAAAAGGCTTTTATGGGTATGTTCAGTAGCAAAAGGAAGAACAAAGAAACAGTGGGGTCACTCAGAGGAGAAGATGGTGAAATGCAAACAGGGGACACAGAAAGGGCTGAACTCCTCAATGCCTTCTTTGCCTCAGTCTTCGCCGATAAAGAAAACAATGCCCGACCTGAAGAATTTGAAGCAAATGATTCAGCAGAGGAAACACAGCCCAGAATAACTAAGGAGATAGTACAAGAATACTTGGCTAGTTTAGATGTATCCAAGTCTCTAGGGCCAGATGAACTGCATCCAAGAGTATTAAAAGAACTGGCAGATGTGATCTCAGAACCACTGGCAGTCATCTTTGAGAATTCCTGGAGAACAGGCGAAGTCCCGGCAGACTGGAGGAGGGCAAATGTTGTCCCTATTTTCAAAAAGGGGAAAAGAGAGGACCCAAATAATTACCGCCCAGTCAGTCTGACATCAATACCAGGGAAGATTCTGGAGCCGATCATTAAGCAAACAGTCTGTGAGCACCTAGAAAGGAATTCTGTGATCACCAATAGTCAGCATGGATTTCTGAAAAATAAGTCATGTCAGACTAACCTGATCTCGTTTTTTGACAGAATTACAAGCCTGGTAGATGAAGGGAACGCAGTGGATGTAGCCTACCTTGATTTCAGCAAGGCATTTGACAAGGTGCCCCATGATATTCTTGTAAAGAAGCTGGTAAAATGCGGTCTTGACTATGCTACCACTCAGTGGATTTGTAACTGGCTGACTGACCGAACCCAAAGGGTGCTCATCAATGGTTCCTCTTCATCCTGGAGAAGAGTGACTAGTGGGGTGCCACAGGGTTCTGTCTTGGGCCCGGTCTTATTCAACATCTTTATCAACGACTTGGATGATGGACTCAAGGGCATCCTGATCAAATTTGCAGATGACACCAAACTGGGAGGGGTGGCTAACACCCCAGAGGACAGGATCACACTTCAAAACGACCTTGACAGATTAGAGAACTGGGCCAAAACAAACAAGATGAATTTTAACAGGGAGAAATGTAAAGTATTGCACTTGGGCAAAAAAATGAGAGGCACAAATACAAGATGGGTGACACCTGGCTTGAGAGCAGTACATGTGAAAAGGATCTAGGAGTCTTGGTTGACCACAAACTTGACATGAGCCAACAGTGTGATGCGGCAGCTAAAAAAGCCAATGCAATTCTGGGCTGCATCAATAGGAGTATAGCATCTAGATCAAGGGAAGTAATAGTGCCACTGTATTCTGCCCTGGTCAGACCTCACCTGGAGTACTGTGTCCAGTTCTGGGCACCACAGTTCAAGAAGGACACTGACAAACTGGAACGTGTCCAGAGGAGGGCAACCAAAATGGTCAAAGGCCTGGAAACGATGCCTTATGAGGAACGGCTAAGGAGCTGGGCATGTTTAGCCTGGAGAAGAGGAGGTTAAGGGGTGATATGATAGCCATGTTCAAATATATAAAAGGATGTCACATAGAGGAGGGAGAAAGGTTGTTTTCTGCTGCTCCAGAGAAGCGGACACGGAGCAATGGATCCAAACTACAAGAAAGAAGATTCCACCTAAACATTAGGAAGAACTTCCTGACAGTAAGAGCTGTTTGACAGTGGAATTTGCTGCCAAGGAGTGTGGTGGAGTCTCCTTCTTTGGAGGTCTTTAAGCAGAGGCTTGACAACCATATGTCAGGAGTGCTCTGATGGTGTTTCCTGCTTGGCAGGGGGTTGGACTCGATGGCCCTTGTGGTCTCTTCCAGCTCTATGATTCTATGATTCTAATGTTTAATAGGTTATTGTATTTTAGTGTTTTGTTGGAAGCCGCCCAGAGTGGCTGGGGGGACCCAGCCAGATGGGCAGGGTATAAATAATAAATTATTATTATTATTTTATTATAGTGGGGGGGGGGCACAGCTGCCAGGTACATCATCAGAAAGAAGAGCTAGTCCCCGTGTGCATGTGACTATAATGCACTTTTCAGTGGATGTTGGGAAGGTTTTGCCCAAACATCCATCACTATCCAATAAGTGCCTCTTGGCAGCTGCTCAGCTACCTTCTATAGGACAATCAAATATACAATGTCCAGTGTTCACTGTATTTTTAAAAATTGCAGCATTTTAAGGTTTAAATGCTAGGGAAATGTAATATTCCCACATCAGAAATTACACTGATCAGGAGAGGGCTCTGGGTTGCTTGCAATAAATAAATAATAAGGCAGTAGTCATGATTAATAAGCCCCAATGTTTAGAGGCAGAATTCCTTAGATTACTAGATGCTATAATAACAGGGCATCACCTTCATGTCCTGCCTTTGAGTTTCCAGAAGAATCTGGCTAGCTACAGCTGGGAGCAGAATGTTGGACTAGATTGACCTTTTGCCTCATAGAGAAAGGTAGTTCTTCTTCATGTTGCCACATACCTATTGCACAATTAGAAAAGGGTGTTATCATTTAAGATCCCTGGTGCTCAGAAAATAAACAGTGAGTTTTTATTCTTTTGCATAGACCGGTAAACAAACAATATAGTATGTCATAATTTAAACCACTATTTGCAACCGGGGGGGAAGTGAGAAGATCAGCAGGCAAGTTAGGTGATTTGGGGCACTCTATGCCCCTTCAGCTACTCTTCACAAATGAATGCTGGCCAAAAAAATAAAATTTAAAAAAAATCTAAAAACTAATATCTCAAATGACTATTAAGGGCCAAATTGTTAAACGGGTCTTTGCATCTCCTGTGCAGGTTTTTCCTATTTGTGTTTTTTAAAATCCCTGAACATTAAAGCTATGAAACCTTTTAACGTCAAGTCTTGTTTGGCCCTGAGTCAGAGTTTTAGAACAGACAGCATCCATCTATTCCGGTAGTGGGGGGGTTTCTGGCAGAATTACCAGAGAGTCTTGTCCACAACAGTGATGAAATTTCACAAGCGGAGGAGGAAATATGTTCTCCCTAGGACATTGTTTGATTATGCTCATCCATCATGCAGCGCTGACGGTGAAGACCAATTCAGATATATATGCACACCTTGTCACAGTTCCACAGCCAGACAGATATACCTTCATATTAAGCTCATATCAGCACACCTTCAGAGGCCCTATTTGTTCACCTTTCCACTTCTCAGTCCTGTCTTGCAGAGTTGTCTCCTTTTATGACATAAACAACATGTTTGGAATAAAAAGCCAGCATATTCGCCCGCTGCACAGCTTGTTCTGCCCTGTGAGTTCATATCTGCTGAAGCAACTCGCATCACCAGCAGCAAACATGCTTTGTACTAGGGAAAGGGCACAGAGGGCTGCAGCAGCGCTCAAGAGAGAGTGTACATGTTGGATGATGAGCCTTCAAGTGATTGATGCTGAGCCAAGGTCTATCGTCGGGGGGGGAGTGAGGGGGGCTGTCAAGCAAGTCAACCCAGTGTCTCTGTCCCCTTTGCTGAACTTTTTGAAGTACCCGTTGATTCCAACTGATACAACAGTGACTGAAAAAATAGTGAGGAAGTGTGGGAGTGTTTCTTTATATGGCCTGATCCTATGATCTGGGACTTAGTTATTGGACGGATCAGGATCTGGCTCGAGGGTCCCAACTGTAGCCCTAGACTAGAAATTAGGAAGCTGCAACAAGAGCTCTCCATCAAAGCTAGCACAGAGCTTAACCACATTTCCTCCTATCCCACTGCCTTCTAGGTGTGGCACAAGCAGAATTGTGGACGAACACACCCACAAATGGTTGTTGTGAGGATTAAAGAAGGTGAGGCATATATGCCACCCTGAGCTTCTTGAAGAAAGGGCACACTACCAATGCAACAAGTACATACATAGCTAACTTATTCTGAATTGGGCCCTTGGTCCAGTTGAGCTCACTATTGTCTACTCTTATATAGTGGTTCTCCAGGGTTTCAGACAGAAGCCTTTCTCAGCCCTGCCTGGGCATGCCAGAAATTGAACCCGGGACTTCCTGCATGCAAAGCATGAACTTTACCATGCTATGGTCATTCCATGATTGATTCATTCATTTTCAAAATTTATTAATTTATTTCAGAAGGTTTAAACCCCACCCTTCTGTTGCAATCCCAATGCTCAGGACAAGAATGAGTTGGCCAAGCCAGCAGTTGTGAATGTTGTGATAGGAAAATAGCCCATAAAGCACTTGAGTGTGGCAGAGGCTTTAGCCCAGGGATAGAGAATCTGTGGTCCATGCAGGTGCTGTTGGAAACCAACTCCCAGCAGTCCAGCCAGCAATAATATCCGGAGGGCAGCATGTTTCCCATCCCTGCCATACGTGATCTGCATGGTTTGCACGCAGAAGATGCCAGATCCAAACCTCTTGTTTTCAGAAGGATCAGGGAGTAGGGTGGGGAATAACCCTGGATTGCTATCTGCCAGTCAGAGTAGTACACAATACAGGGCTAGATGGGCCATCACAGCATAAGGCAGCTTATGGTTCTGGCAATAGGAGTGGTGAGGCAGGCAAACAAGCAGCCTTGCAACACAACGTACCAGAAGCATTTTACCCTCCTGAAAGCCATGTATGCCAGTGCAACTGCAAACCTACCTTCCACAAAAACAAATGGTTGGGAGAGAAGGGAGAATTTGGAGTTGGATACAGGCAAGTCTGGAAGACAGCTCTGTCTGAGACCCCAGGTACTCACTCCTAATAGTTAGAGAAACAAGTCTAGGAGGCAAATGGAGGAAATATTTGCATCTCCATATGCAAATGTATATAATATGTTCAAGAAAGCCAAACACCTCATAGATATCAGCTTCTGAAAATTGTGTGTTGCAAAAGGTGCTTTGCATGATGCAAAACTGACAGTAGAAAACAATTGGTCATAAAAAGACTGTGATTATGAAGTCGCATACATTCCCTCCCCACAAACTGACAAGCCTGGATTTGAAGCTGCTTAAACAATGGCACACTGAATATCAATTTGCCAACTCTATATCTATGCCACTTCTGTTACCGGGTGGAGGGGAGCCATTGCAGTTCTGTATATGGTTGTTTGTGGCTGTATGCATTTATAGATGTATTCAATGTTTTACAACAAATCATTTACATTTCATTATTTAAATACATCCTTATCCATTTAAAGTACGTTTTACCACTTAAAATGTTACAAAGGCATGTGGTGCCCTCAATGTGCAACAGGTTGTCTTTTACGCCATAAGTCACCTCAGACACTACTTGGGTAAAAACTCCCAGTCCTTCTCTCATTCTTCCTTTTAGATGTCTATAAAGAGGGTTGTTCTTATACCCATTTTACAGATGGGAATTGAGGCTCAGAGAGCTATTCACCCATATAAAGCCTGCAATATTGCTTTCAAAAGTGGTGAACTGGCGCTGGTTTTCGTTTTTCTTATGCAAGCTGAGAGAACAACACGAGATGCATTCCAAACCATAAGATGTGCCAAGTGTTATATATAAAAGATGTTCCGGTTTCATGATTATGTCTAGGCCCCTTCAGACGTTACAAAAATTATTAAAGCAGGTGGCATTTTGACACAGGAACTACCATGTGAGATCGGCATGCACATCACTGCATGTGGTACCCTTGCGTGCATTGCTGCCCTGTGTACATGCTCCAGGAAACAACAATTGGGGCTGTGGCTTTCCAGCCTTTATATACTGAGAGTAAATGCTCCCTACAACAAGCCCCAAAGAAAACCAAAAACAACTACTACTACCACCAAACGCCCCTACATTTCTTATTCACATGTGATCTAGTCATGGGTTACATAGCACTTCACTTCCTGTGCCTGTCCATCCACCAGGGATGCTGTGACACATGAAGCGGCCTTGAGCACCCTTGTCCCTGCGCCACCCTCACTCTCAGGAACTCCAGGGAATGGGAAGCATCTTCCCCATTGCCCAGTGCCCTTGCCAAGTGAGTGTGGGCTTCTGAGTGCAGCTGAGCCCAGAGATTCAGCTGCTGCGGCTGCTGCCTGGCATGTGCCTGCTCCTCTGGGACAGGAAGGCAAGGCATCAAGAGCCCTGGGGCAAGTCAAGCAAAGCAGCAGGCAAACTCCTCTTACCTGGGCGCCTCCTGCCCGCCTGTGGGCCCATCTAGTGACCTTGGGACCTGGCGATGCCCAGGCAGCCCCCGCGCAGCTCCTCTCTGGTGCCAAGGCCCGCCGCTGCCCGCGGGGCCCTTCCCCGCCAGTGCAGACATGCTGAGCTAATTTTATCGGTCCCCTTCCCCCATCGCCGGGGGAGCCTCCGTCCCTCCTCCTCCTCCTCCTCCAGCCCCCACCTCCTTTCCTCCCGTCCGCCGCAGCCAGGCAGCAGCAGCGCTAGAAAATAGCACATCGCCCACTCATCCCCAGGCTCCTTCTTCAAGGAAAATATTTATATTATTATGCCACAGAGAGGGTTTCCATGGCACTGATGACTTTCACACTGTTGCCGTGACAACCACTTGAGGCCATCTTGGACGGGCTGAGAATACCCACTTCCTAGACAAATAAGGCGAGCAGCCGCCGAGGGGAGGGGAGGCCAGGGGTGGGGTAGGGGGAGAGGATTGCCCTTCTCCCCCTCGGTCCTCTTCTTCTTCTTCTTCACCTCCTCCTCCTGGCCTGCTGCTCTCCCCCTAGCGGAAGCCCGACGGGCGTCTCCGTCGACGGGCGTTTCTCGCGCAGGAACCGCTAGCGCTTGGCGTCAACTTTCCGACGCAAACGTCTCGAAAAAAATGAGACGCCCTCTTCTGAAGGGTAGCGCCTTCAGCTTCTTCGTGTCTGCAAGGCACGGGGGTGGGTGCAGGAATGCGGGGGGCAGCGGGAGGAGACAGAGCCAGAAGGCTGCCCCCCCCCCCCGAAATATTGCGCTTGATGCGGAGGAAGTAAAATTGCGCCGTGCGCTCAGTTAGGGTACCATAGCTCATGAAGCTGGCTTATGGAGTCCAAGTGTGACGAGCTTCGGGTTTTTGTTTAATTTTTTTTAAGGACTCATTTGTTGCCTAGATCCAGATGCACATCGAAGGTCTGGAAGACCTATTTCTGAAAGTAGCGTTACCCAAAGAATGTTCAGCTGCATTCCCATATGGGTTGCATCAGTTGAGAGCGCCTTTAGTAACCTGAGACTGGTAAAGCACGGATGGGGAGGACCACTGCCGCGCGGGAGAAGTAAAGTGTGCAGCGGGTAGTGGGCGGAGCCAGAGCCTAAAGTGGGCGGAACCTTCCCCTCTCCCTCCGTCCCCCGCACCCTTTCTCACTTTCTCTTGTGGTCACCTGGACATGCTTCTTCCCCCAAAAGCTGGACTCTTGTTATATGCAGTTCGAAGCGAGGGGCAAAAAAAACACCTTGGATCTCGATTCTTTGATGGTCTGTAATTTCCTTTGTCCAATACAGTATTCCTTTAGCATTCCAGTAGAGTAGATGAAGGGAAAATTCATTCATAATCGTGAATGCCAATTCACAGGATAGGGAAGCCATTTCTCTGTCTACTGAGTTTTTATGGTTTTTAAGGACTGGATCATCATTAAGTGATACATACAACACTATGTCATATATGTTATGGTACTGCAATAAAACTGCTAGTGCATTTGCAAAGCTAAGCCGAGCTCAGTATGGTTTCAAGTAGGATGGGGAACAAAAAATTGAGTTACCGTATATCTGGTCCCTTCCAACTCTACAATTCTATGATATTTCATGTACTTAAATATACTACTGATGTGGGGGCAAGAGGAGGGCCTCAAGACGACCGATGGTTTGTTTGTTGGTTGGTTTGTTGCATTTATATCCCACCTTTTTCTCCAAGAAGCTCAAGGTGCTGTTCAAGGTGGTTTTCCCACTGCTCATTTAATCGTCACAATAAATTCTACTCAGAGTAGACCCATTGAAATTAAGTTATTCGTCCCCATTAATGTTAACGGGTCTACTCTGATTAGAACTAATGTTGGATACAACCGTATGTTTCACTTTGGCCCCAGGTTACTTCTCTGGGGGCTTGTTGACACTGTGTACTTTTGCTCTGAAAGGGGTGCTAGAGTTTTATCCTCCACCACTATCACTCCCTCCTTTTTTTCTTTCTCTACATGGAGTCAAGATAGATGCTGATCAGCTTAAATGAAAGCAGTCAGTGCATGGTGAACAACATTTCAAGGACAACAGGTTCCTGCCCTCCATCGCTTGTGTAAGAGCTGCTGCAGTCTTGCTACAGCTGCCTCCAGTTTTCCTGCTTGCTGTGAAGGACTGGAACTTTGATTTTTATGCAGCTCTTAACAGGGATTGAAAAGCGATGGGGGTACTAGGGTGGATTGAGGGCGGTGGTGGGCTCTAAATATGAGGCTCTAGATATGAAAGCGATGAGGGCCATCCATGGGAGCAGCAATGCCCTGGATGTGTAGTTTAAGCATTGGATCCCAGATTTTCTTTATGGTATCAGCAGAGGAAACTATGGGTCTCAGGGATATTGCATTTAAAGATCATGGAAAACCTGAAATTTTTACTTTGTGTCCTTGCCACCCCCAGGTGTTGGCTTTGTTTTAATTTTTAGCTGAGCAATTCAGACATTTAAAGCATCCCCCACACAAAGAATCCTAGGGGCTATAGTTTGTTAAAGGTGGTGAGAATTGGAGCTCTGTTGGGGGTAAACTAGAGTGCCCAGGATTAGGGGAGTGAGAGGGACATGCTTGAAATGCATGTGTGAATTGTGCTGAGATGATGAATTGGTAGAGGATACGTGTAAAAATATTGAGAAACCAGAAAGGCCTGTGCCCTCAGCTCATGCTTTTGACCAGAACCAGGATGTGCTGGTGGATTTATTATATTATTGTCCAGTCTGCTTTGGTGCCCTTCCCGATAATGCCACTCAGGGTTCAGTCAGTCTCTCCATCTCCTCTGTTCTCCGCTGCCATGTTGTCTCCCTCCTTTCACCACCGTGGGAAATCAGACAGTGCATTTGGCCATTCATGAATGAAAGAGAAATCAAAAACAAACACATCATATTTATAAATGGAGACAGACCGGGTTCGGGGGGACTTCCTGTCTGAAGTGACAGGCAATCTGTGGGAATGAACAGTGTTTTCTTTACTACTATATTAATAATTATTTACATAGCTCGGTTAAGCCTGCAAAGGTCTTTATTATTGCTCATTCATGTCCACCAGAACCCTCTGAGCTAAAATCATTACTATGTTCATTAGGCAAGAACCAAGAGCTCTCACAGAGCGGAGCTATAATTTAGAAGACAGATCTTCCAGGCTCATGGCTAACACCCTATTTCCTAGATAACATATTCAGCGCTTGAAACATGAACTTCTGCCTATCCACTAAGAGACAGATCCACACCAAACATTTAAAGCATATTCAACACACATTTAAAGAACGTGATTTTCTCAAAAGAATCCTGGGAATTGTAGTTTCCCATTACACAGAGCTACAATTCCCAATACTCTTAACAAATTACAGTTCCCAGGATTCTTTGAGGGAACTCATGTGTTTTAAATGTGCATTGGATGTGTTTTAAACCATCACAACCTATCTTCCTATATACATAAAAATCTAAGGCTATCATTGTACAAAATGGCTTACTTACAAAACTTTTCAAAGGTTGGGTTCATGTACTTTTCCATAAAGCAGTCAGAAAAATTGCACAGGCAGTAAAACACTGCTTAGTTACAAAAGGTAAAAGTTTCTAAACTACTGGTAGAGAAAAATGCTAGTTTCAAACTTTGTTCTGGTCTGAAACAAAAGAGGCTAGTTAGAGCCATATGCTGGAACAACCATCTCAGAGCTTCTTACACACTGAAATCCTGATGGAGAGAGACAGATAACAAATGTCTTAATACACTAATTAAATTCAAACATGCTAGAATTTTATGAGGCTGGAATCCTACATCTTGGAGACTGACCTCAAGCAAGACAACATGCCACTGGGTGAAATAGCCACGATGATCATTCCTGCATAGATGTACCAAAAGCAAGTTTGGAAATAAGTCCTCACTCAGAGAAAGTGTCACTTGTTGTATCCTGTTTTAGGAAGTCAGGGAAACAGCAGTCCACCAGTCCAGAAGGCAGTCCCTGTGCTTCTCTAAGATTCTGAGATGCACCACAATGATGGGTTGTGGTGGACAGCTCAAAGAAAGCAACAACTCAGTATGCAGCAGCTGGGGTGGGGGAGGGGAGAAGGCAAAGCCCAAGTTAGGGATCAGAAATAAAACTTCCAAGATAATAACATCCTTATAGATTTAGAAATATTGAGTTCTGCTCACCTCCATGTCTAAAAGGTTATAGAAGAGCTTGGAAATGGTGCAGAAAAGAGCAGCCAAAATGATCAGGGAGTTGGAGCACATTCCCAGTGAGGAATGTTTAAAGCATCTGGGGCTTTTGCTGTTGGGGGGGCGGGGGAGGAACTCTTAATTATGTTCTTTTGGCTGTCTCTAGAATCAGTACAGCAGCTGGAAAAATCAATGTAATAGTCTGGGGTGCCTGTTCAGGGCTGGGCCTACCCTAGGCAGAGTGAAACAGCTCCTCAGGCAGCTGATTTTGGGTGTCATGAACAAGTAGCAAATTGTAGGTTATTTAACTTATAGTCATCAATCTTTTTTTGCTGCCAGGCACATTAAGAAGCATTTGTGCTTCAAGTGCCAAAATAACTTGATTTGCCTTGGGTAATGCGCACCAAAACTTGGAGGAGGGGGATAATTTGCTATTCTGCCTCCTGCAGCAATAAGTCTTGGGCCTGCCTTGCCAGCCCCTTCCATACCCAAGGAAGGAAGGAAGGTAGCAGAAATGTAGCTGGATAAAACCTCCTTCAGTGAGGAGCTTGCTGGGGAAAGCAGATCAGATATTATGAGCTCCCTAGAAAAGGACACACTGCAGTGGCTCTGGAGAGCTTCTCCTTCAGAGTGGGAAAATAGGCAGCAAACTAGGCATGGGATACCTTCGGCTCATGGGGCATCTCTGAGGCCATTTTACGCAAGCCATATCCATCCGACATCATGGCCATAATCATCTCACACTATCTCATGCCATATAGGTAAAGGTGTGGCTGTTGGAAATAATTGGAAGGGACCCCAAGGACCATCTAGTCCAACTGATTCTCTTCCTCAGCTTCCAGGCCCTCCCTCTATTCCTCCAGAATTTCTTTATCGCACAGTAGCAAACCCACAGTGGATCCTAACTTCTGCTTCACTGGGGAGAGCCACACAGCCTCTCCAGATTTTCCAACTCTTCCTCCTCTCCCTGCATCACATTGTAAATGAGCCTTCTACAGCTTCATGGGGAAAGGGGAAAGATGGAGCTCTCGATTGCTATTCACTTTTTCATCGTTCTCTCTGGTTGAAGCCCAGACATGCTGGGAGGCTGGAAGCCTCAATGGCGCCCCTCTGGAGGCTTCACCTGGGGCAGAAACCCTGGCTAGGCATCCCCCACCCCACCCCCCAGCTACGGCTCTGCTTGTGGGCATTCTATAACTTCACATCAGCTGGCTTAATGCCAAGTAGGGGATGAATAAACAAAGGCAGAGCTCTCAGACAGGCAGCTGATGATGGCCAGCTTTTAGCTGATGAAAACCACATCCATCCTTGTCCAGGTCCTAGTCCTATCCTTGGAGCTTCTTCCATAGCCTGCTTACTTAGATACTCTCATCTAGAAAATCTATATGATGGAACAATATCGTGGCAGAAATGAACACACCTCCGTTCCTGATCCATTTGAAGAACATCATCTCTTAATGACTGCAGAATCCATCAGAGGATGCAGATGCCAGAGGAGGACCATCTATCACAGTGAATATTATAAAGCAGCTAGAATCTTGTGGCTTAGAAGAGTTTCTGGGAAATGAGGAGTTTCTTGGAATGTAACAGTGACTCACTGAAAGGATTTACCAGCAAGTAGATCCAGGTTGTTAGACATTAACAGAGCCCCATAATGTTGGGCAGTTTGCATACTGGAAATGCATGGCGGCTATTGCTTTCATTGTAACTGTTCTCCCTACTCCTTCTATTTCCTTCCAGCCAAATCATCCCATGTGGCTGAGGAGCACTAATATTTTCTGTTGCACCTGTCAATGACAAGGCTTAATTACTTTGAATAACTGCTGTAAGGATAGGGCAGTCTCCTGTTCCAGCACCAACTCTGCAGGGTAGGCTAGTAAGCCTGGAAACTCATCCTAGTCCCCCCCCCCCCCGCTACAACCATTCACCAATGTGTCCAAGGCATTGTACCCTCCAAGGCATTGTGTAGACCCAGTCGCCTAAGCCATAAGAGAGGTTAACTAGCCTTTGAGTGTGTTCAGAAACAAGTCCAGCCCAGTAATCCAATTAAGCAGTTTATTCAAAGGGTAAAAAGGAAGACAAGAGGAGAAGCAGCCAGTATGCTGCTTGTGATACAAAAATCCTGGTCTAAATAATCCTACACTTAATCCAAACTAACACTGCAAGTTTATGCTGAATGGTCTCCTCTGACCCTAACAAACTTCAAGAATATGTTGCAGGTTGGGGGAATGAAGAAGGGCAAATGACACTGTTTGCAACAGTCCACTTTGGGGGGCTTGATTGACAGCTGGTGATACTCCACCAATCACAAGCCAGTCATATTCACCAGGTAGAGGGTTGACAGCTTTTGCGAGTTGGGAGATGGCTATCAGGGCTGCCATATGTCCGGATTTCCCTGGATATTACTGGGATTTCAAAGGTGGAATTTCCGAAAAGCGGTGCTTTGTCTTTGATCTTAGGCAAGTAAATCGGAAAAAAGCTCAACAACTTTCGGGGTGTCCTGGTTTTTACTTTTTGAAATATGGCAACCCTAATGGCTATCTCAGTGTTGGTTATCACTGAAGTCCCCACACTCCACCTGTTGCTGTGTATTTGGGAACACTGCAGCAAGGATATGCCTGACTCACTCAGGCAGAATGGAGGGCGAGTGATTAGAGCTTTTCTCCACAGCTGGTTTGCTAATCAGTGAAGAACACCCCTCCTCATTCTTTTCCACCCATAGTGTTTATCATCCCCGTAACAGTCATCTTTTTCAAACAAAGGCAATAATTATCCACAAATTTACAATTGTTCCTTGTCAGTTACTCCATTCTTTGTTTCACCTTGGTCATACACTCATGGCCTCACCATGCCAGCTGCATGCTGCAAAATCTCTTATTGTTTGTTTGGATGTTTCTGAAAACCTGATGCGAGACATTTTGACCATATTTGCATAATTCCACCAATGTTTTTCTAGTCTTTCTTCAAAGAGCATGAGCAAAAAAAGAAAGAAAGATATGCTTTGCTGGTTTAAGGTGTGCTCAGGATGCACACTGTGAAAATAAAAGTTCTCCAAGTGCAGGTCCCTGGTTGTTGACAAAGGGCCAGCCTCTATGTGCCCTTAAATTTTGGTTCTAAAAATGCAAATAGCATCAGGATGAGGGGCTGGAAATTATTGGGATTACGGTATGAAGGGGGGATTTAACTCTTTCCTAAGGAATATTCCTCCTCTGAAGTTGGTATTTGCTATGCAGGGAAATCTCCCATTAACACCTAAGGTCATGACACAGCATCTAATGTATAACACAGCTCCACCAATGTAATACAATTCGCATATATCAAGATGCACAGCATGGGTGGGTGTCACAATGACAATAGAACCATGAGAACATAAGGGGCAGCTGGGTGTCAGGGAACTTTTGTGGAAAGGGCACTGTGGCAATCACACAGGGCCCCCGGACGTTTGATGGTCTATTGACCCTGTGCCACCACTGCGATTGCTTTTTCCGCTGCCACCACCCCATATCTCACGGGGACACACGGAGTCCAGTCAGTTGTTAACATTAACAAATAATCAAGTTTATTTTTAAATGCAGGAACAAGCTTATGGTTACAGTTAATTTTTATGGGCAGTTTCTTATTCTTAGTTCCTAACAGCTTCAAACTGATTATTCCCAACTATCTATCTGACTCCACCTAACAATTCCTCTCACTCTCTCACAATACAACTCTACCAACCCACACCTAATCCTCCCTCTTCCTTCTTCAACTCCCAAACCTCAACTGACTTTCAAAACCTCCCACTCTAACCCTTTAACCCTTTCCTTATGACCCATCCTAGGAGGCAAACGCCACAGGCACTTTGCAAAAACCAGGTATGGGGAAATTGTGGCCTTCCAGATGTTGAACTACAACGCTCTGAATCTCTGACCCCTGGCTATGCTGGTGGGGACTGATAGAAGCTAGAGTACCACAGCCACAGGTCCCCCATACTTGGCAAAAAGAAGCACAAGCAGCCAAGGAGAACAATGAAGAGCAGATTATTGACATTGATGTATCCTTAGGTGTCTTGCTGTACTCCAATCATAAGCGCACATAGGAACTCGTTCCACCCCAGCAGCTATAATGGAGGCTAACAAGGACTGCAGATGCCAGGGGGTGTACCAGTGAGAGTGAGACCATACCTTACAGCAAAATTCCTGAATATCCACAGGGTTTAGGATTGTAGTCGTTCTCAGGAAAACTCAAATCTCTCAGTGGCCACTGGGTCCTGGGATAGGGTACTGATGTGCTGTGTATCTGCAAACAAGCATAACAGCCCGTAAGGATGTCAAGCATTCTGGTGGGGATCTGCCTCTTTTCCTGCCTCTCTGTGTTGCCACTACTCCCACAAACACCAGGAAAGGCCTTAAGCAGAAGAGTAGGTGGGCGCTGGGGGGGGGGATTCATGAGGAGAGTACTTGAGGATTGGTGTGGGAGGACGTAAGCTGGGAATTTTTCTTCAGCGCAAATTTTAACCCAAAGTAGAAAAGAATTTCAGGGTGTTAAAAGCTCAGCTCTTGTTTGAATTTGATCTGCATCCCTTGTGAAAAAAATTCAGTGCATCTCTTGCCTTAGGCCCTTGTCCCCTCCTGAGTCCTCATGGAACTCAATTTTTCACAAATGAATTTTGTCCATTGCTTTTATCCTGACAACATTCTGTTTATTTTCCTTCCATGCCTGTTATTAAGCCCTCCTGTTTCACAGGGCACTTCCAGATTTTCAGTATTTTCAGGTGGGATTCAATCACCTATCAGCAAATCCAGTTTGTGCAATTAAAGTTGTTTTGGAGGACTCGTGTAACAAATCTGCTTCTTCAAAGGATTGAAATTTTGATATAACATTGTCTAAACTCCTCACAAGCAAATCAAAATGAATGTCCTAACTTCTCTAAGAACTAATTAAGATGAATGCTCAGTATTCCAGGTCACCTGGAAATGCCCACAGTTCTTAAAAAAACCAAACACAAACAACAAAAATAAACTTTTAAAAACCATTGTGAATTCTGCACTGACTGAAATATTATGCCTTTCCAAAAATTTCCCAGGGGGGCTGTTAAATAGCTTTTGGAAGACAGTCTTCAAAACAAGTTAGCTAACATGTTCTTTTCAGGCTTTTATATATACTTCAAGATGATGGCACCATCTTGTGGTCATTTTTATTTTCTTTCTTTTTTTACTGTTAATAATGGGCAAATTAATCTCTGTTGTTACAATTATTACTTTAACCTCATATAACAAAGTAGATATTATCCCAACAGACACCTTTTCTTGTGATCCAGATGTAAATATGGAAGGGGACACCATGGTGTAACTGCAATGGCTGAAGTCCATTTCTCCCCAACAAGCTTTGCCATATGAAAACTGGTTTTTGGTGCTCAGTTTATTGTTGCTCTGACAGCCCCCCCCCCCCAAAAAAAAACCCCTATAGGAATCTCTGTCTCTCTACACACACAAGGAGGCACCCATTTAAATTCCCCTACAATGCTTCTAGTGCTTTGGTTGCCTTATTCCAGCATAATGCTTATATCAGGGTCCCGGAGGATTGAAATGGCAGGCACCACCAGCAATAGTTGCTGCTAGACTGACCTCTCTGTCTGCTGCTGAGCCTACCACTCTCAAAAATCAGGGAAGGATGGGGAGCTGAAGAAAGGAGGAGAGGGAGCCCACCATGTCACAACAAAAGGTAAGGTAAAAGGTAAAGGACCCCTGGATGGTTAAGTCCAGTCAAAGGTGACTATGGGGTGTGGCACTCATCTTGCTTCAGGCCGAGGGATCCGGTGTTTGTCTATAGGCAGCATTCCAGATCATGTGCAATGGAACACCGTGACAGAAGCCAGAGCGCACGGAAACGCCGTTTACCTTCCCGCCACAGTGGTACCCATTTACAGTATCTACTTGCACTGGTGTGCTTTCGAAGTGCTAGGTTGGCAGAAGCTGGGACAGAGCAACAGGAGCTCACCCTGCTGCACGGATTTGAACCGCTGACCTTCTAATTGGCAAGCCCAAGAGACTCAAGTGGTTTAGACCACAGCGTCACCCACATTCCTGCCAGGATAAAGGACCCACCTAGGTGGTGGGATGCTGAAACTCCCCATCTAGAATTGGCACCAGCACCATGCAGTATATTTTTTTCTTTTATTTAACAACTACCCTGTAGAAGAGTACTAGTGACCTCAACAGCTTGCTTAATTTTTAATTGGTCCTAATACTCATATTATGCAACTATTGCTGTTTGGATATTTCCCCCCCAATGGACCAACAAGGCTGATTACTTTAATCAACGATGATTAAAACCAGAGCAGCACAAAAGCTGCTGTCTGACAGAGCTTGCCCTGGGTAAGAGACCTATAAATGGGACGAGGGGGATCTGGGATAGATCTTTGCACAGAAGGCAGTGAGGACCACCAACTAGGATGACTTTCAGAGGATTAGATAAATTAACGGAGAACAAGTTAATATCAATAGCTATTAGTCACGATGAGGGCTATGGAGGAGGCTCCTTTTACCTTCGTGCAGAAGGTCTGTAGTTTGGTCCCTGGCACCCCTACCCCGTGTGCCCCCCCCCCCTTAAAATGGATCAGGGAAATGTGATGAGAAACACTCCTCACTGCTTTACGCTCTTGGAGTACAAGCCTTGCCACGTGCTTCGCGAGCCCAAAGTCCCAACTTCAATCCCAAGGAGGTAGGGCTGGGAAAGAAAGACTCCTCTCTAAATCCTTGAAGAGTCACTGAGCTAGACGGATCAACGAGGGGGAGACTCGGTGCAAGGCAGCTTCCATCCCGTGCTGTGTAAACCTCCCAATTCGGTGGCGCGGCGGGCTTCTGCTCCTCTTTTCCGCGCGCGAGAGGACAGGACGCCTCGCAGAAATACCGGTACAGTAATCTGAACAGGGAACGCCTGAACTCCCAACGGCCGCTATCGCTGCTGCGGCCTTGACGAGGGGCGCCAAAGAGCCTTGTGGAGAGAGGGAGAGCGCGCGCGATTGGGCGGCACCTAGAAAGCGCTTTGCCAGCAGCAGAGTAGCATTCGCCCTTCGACGCGGTTGCGATGGTTACGGCTTCCTCGCGGGAGCGCGCGTTCCCTCGGCCCCACCTTTCGGGGGGAGCTGCCCTGTTGTCCCGCCCAGCGCGCGCTCCCGCCCCGTCAGTGAGGAGGGCGCGGGTGGAGACCGGCCTGCGCGAGAGAGCGCGACTGTGCGTGTGTCACGGCGGGTGTGGGTGTGTTTGTTTCCTGTTGAGCTCGGAGAACTGAGGAGAAAAAGCGCAGTGAAAGCAGAAAAGAGTGTGTGTGTGTGTGTGTGTGTGTGTGTGTGAGAGAGAGAGAGAGAGAGAGAGAGAGAGAGAGAGAGAGTGTGTTAGTTTCCTGGCGCCAGAAGAAGAGGGAGCCTGGCTTTGGGGGGCGCCTTCTCCGCCATGGGCCACCACTGCCTCCGAGCCTCTTCGCGGCCCCTGCTCCTGCTCTGCGTCCCGCTGCTCTTCGCTGTCGCCCGCGGAGCCCCCACGCCCGGGCCCGGGGAGCAAGCAGGTGAGAGACCTCGGCCGTGGCGCCCCTCGGGGTCAGAGAGTTGTGGGCGGCCGAGGCAGCCGCGGTAGTTTCCCTCGGCAGCCCCGGGCCCGCTCCTTTCCGCGCCCCTCGCCGCTTTTAAACGCCGATTGCGCGGCTCTCCGGTGTGGACGTGCCCTTCGTGGCCCCCGGAGGGCCCGTGCGTCCTTTCTCCTCTCCCCTTTCCACAACGGCGCCTCGTTTCCGACGAGGAGCGGCGCCGCCGGGGCTTGCTGTGATTTGTTTTATTTTGTTAGCTTTATTGCCCTCTGTGACGCGTTGCCGGGGATCCGAAGTGTTTTCCTGAAAGTTTGTTTTTATGGGCGCGTACGCACGATACCTGGAAAGCCCGTTCGAAAAGCAGCGATGGGAATGCGCGGGGGCAAACCCTATAAACTATGGGCGTAGCCAAGGGGGGGGCACCTGCCTCCCCAGTCAAGTACTGTAAAGGATTGAAAATACTTAACTGAGGTTATGACCCCCCCAACATGAATCCTGCCCCCCATGTTAAAATACTTAACTGACCAGATACCTAGGTCCCGTTCCTCCCCCCCCCCAAAGTCATGGTTATGCCTATGCCCTATAACCTAAGGGCTGCAATGTGAAAGGGTGCCTCAGCAATATTGCAGATTGGCTGCCCACCTCACCCCAAAATGTATCTTGAATCCAAGCATCATCATTATTATTTAAAAAAAATAGAGATGGAAAACTTATCTTAAAAAGGGGCTTCTTTTTTCTCACATGAAAGGGGATTCCTCCTACCACATATTCCTGCTTCAGAACTACAGTGGTACCTCAGGTTACATACGCTTCAGGTTACATACACTTCAGGTTACAGACTCTGCTAACCCAGAAATAGTACCTCAGGTTAAGAACTTTGCTTCAGGATGAGAACAGAAATCGTGCTCCAGTGGCGGGAGGCCCCATTAGCTAAAGTGGTGCTTCAGGTTAAGAACAGTTTCAGGTTAAGAACGGACCACCAGAACGAATTAAGTACTTAACCCGAGGTACCACTGTAATTTTTTACACACATGCAAGTTTGATTGCCTAAGATTTATGAAAACTGGTGACAGCTCTAAAAAACTGTACTGGATTTAGCGGCTTGAGAAAGCACTGGTGTAATCAGTGTCTGGTCTCTGTTCTTGTTCGTTTGCATTCCTTAAGTTGGAACTGAAGCATTAGATTTACCGTAAGTGAGTAAGGTTGGTTTCTTTAGTCTCTGAATTTGAGGCCGAGTTCATTTGTTCACTGAGCTAATGTTATGTGTTTGCCAGGCAATAAATAGTTGCAGCAAAACTCCTGATATCCAGCCATGTGATACAGATTAGTTCCTCCTTAGCACACTTTGATCACTTGATTGTATAAAGAGTGCTATTGGTTAATGTGGGAACTTCAGATCTCTGGAGAAACTGCAAGTCCAAAGTTGGCTGTTGTAGTTCATTCTGGGCTATTCCTTGTGTGGTCTTAGGACAACAGGGATGCCATTTCTGAATTTCATGATGTGGCAAATTGCTGTATGCAAAAAAGTTTGTATAGGGTTGAAAACAGTAGGGTTTACCCTTATAAGCATAAATGGCATTGTTATGGTGCTTGTAAGAAGCACCATGCCATATGCTTTGCATACAGAAGGTTCAGTCCCCTGTCATCCCAAGTTAGAAAGCTCATATGGTTAATGTCTAACTTAGTACAGTGGTACCTTGGGTTAAGTACTTAATTCATTCCGGAGGTCCATACTTAACCTGAAACTGTTCTTAACCTGAAGCACCACGTTAGCTAATGGGGCCTCCTGCTGCTGCCGCTCCGCCGGAGCACGATTTCTGTTCTCAACCTGAAACAAAGTTCTTAACCTGAAGCACTATTTCTGGGTTAGCGGAGTATGTAACATGAAGCGTATGTAAACTGAAGCGTATGTAACCTGAGGTACCACTGTATAAGTTATCCTATATTTCTGGTGTCAGTTTTCACTTGAGTAATATACATGATAGGATATGGCTATAGCATTGCTTTCATAGTTTACCTCAGTCACCTTCATTGACTAGTTCATTTGAACTGTGTGTGGGCATAGGGGCATTTCACTTCCTTTAACCCAGATGTTTCCTTGGCCAGCATTTGCAAACTGAGTTGACAACATTGTACAGATGCTAGAAACCAAGATGAGTGCTCTGTTGCTAAACCACTTCCTTGTAATTGAGCTAAACCAGGCTGTGTCATGTGCTCAGGGTTGTTCTAGAAGACACTTGCTTAGAACTTTATTCTGTAAAGTTGATTGCTAAACATGACCTCATTAATCAACTGCACAATTGTACTGACACTAATGTCGAATCTTAATTGCATCATATTACACCTACTTTGTGTACCTAACTGAGAGCAGTTCAGCACAGCATATATATACAAGTAAATAATAGCCATACAGTAGTTTAGAAGTTTCCTCTTTGCCTGAATTTTAATGTCTAAGAAATGATTGTTGCAAATTATGGGAATGAATTTGGACTGTTTTAATTTTCTGTCCTAAAATAGGAAGTAAATGTTTACAACCATAAGCAACTTGGCTTAGATTCCTGGCATCAGGGAATCCCGCAAACTTCTACAAGTAGAGTTCAGCCTTATTTTTTAAAATAGCAAAATATATTATGGGAGAAAACTGCAATAGTGAGTGACTAACTTAATGCAGGGGTTGGGTGGCGCTGTGGTGTAAACCAATGAGCCTTGGGCTTGCCGATTGAAAGGTCGGCGATTCAAATCCCCGCAACTGGGTGAGCTCCCGTTGTTCGGTCCCAGCTCCTGCCAACCTAGCAGTTCAAAAGCATGTCAAAGTGCAAGTAGATAAATAGGTACTGCTCCGGTGGGAAGGTAAACAGCGTTTCCGTGCACTGCTCTGGTTTTGCCAGAAGCGGCTTAGTCATGCTGGCTACATGACCCGGAAAAACTGTCTGCGGACAAACGCTGGCTCCCTCGGCCAGTAAAGTGAGATGAGCACCGCAACCCCAGAGTTGTTTGTGACTGGACTTAACTGTCAGGGGTCCTTTACCTTTAACATAATGCATTGTCAATTATAAACTAACATATCATTCCTCTACTCTCTCACAATAGGCTGCCAACAGTACACAAACAAAACATGTGAGGAATGCCTGAAAAATGTCACGGTAAGTAGTATACAATTGCAGAATGCATATTGTAACTTGAAATTGTCTATGAGCCTGCTGTGTGCTGTGATGTTAAAGGCCAGCCCAACCCAAAACTGTTCAGGCACTCAAGAGTTCATCCACAGGGCTATGCCGTCAACCAAAGGTGAACGGTTCCAGAAACCCTGCAAATGCAATCTTGGTAGTCAAGATAACCCCACAGTTAATTGGTAGTTGTAACCATGAGCTCATATATGTTCATATTCACTTGCTTTGATATAGGCCAATTGGCTTGCTTTGATTTTATCCTTATCTGTGGGCTTGGGGTGCTGGGCTCTGAGCCCAGAAAAGGGGAACTATCTGTAAGATTTGGTTATTTGCCATCTATGCCCTCATCTGGTCAGGTGAAGTGCTGGAAAGTGCTGGCCAAAGTGACGTATGCTGTTTTGGGTATAAAGAATGTATAAACATTTGCTTGGGCCATCTCCTTGCTCCAGTGTCCTTCCGGTATCTGTAAAGGCTGGGAGACCTGGCAGGCTGACTTGTTGAAAGACTACACCTCTCTTTTAATAAAGCATTAGACGTGATTGCTCTGGTGCTTTTGACATCCTCCTTAGGTATCCCTGCACCAAACTACTCCCAAGAGCCCTCCTTTGGGCTGGTGGATCAGGACTGGGGCTCAGCAAATACAATAAAAGGAATAATTCTGCATGTGCAGTAAGAATGAATGCATCAGATTGTTTCTATTTTTAATGGGGAAGCCTCTTCCAGAATACAAGCTTTGTGTATGCACAGGGAGCTGTTGGATTAGCACAGGGGTGAGGAATCTTATTACCGTTGCTCACGCTGGCAGGGGCTGATGGGGTTTGTAGTCCAACATCTGGAGGGCCATAAGTTCGCCACCCCTGGCTCAGATGCTCCTGCACTACACAATCTACTCTACACACACTCAATAGGATGGTCAGTGATACAGAATCAAGCTTGTTGTGCAAAAATTATCAAATCTTGCTTTCTCAAGTAAGTTTATAACATCCTTTTTCTTTCTATAGAGACCAGTATAATATTACATAAAGCCAAATCATCCTGGGATGAATAGATATGAGGCATAGGCACCACTCTTCATTATACAGTATACTTCAAATAAATTAATTAACTAGTCCCCTTCCTCAACAGATTTAAGTTGCAAGCCTGTGATCTCTTACTTGCAAATTGTATTGTGAAATCCCTCTTCCAATTCTTGAGAAATGTTTCTCAATCAGTTGCTAGTTCGTCCAACTAAAAAGAAATCACTGTTAGTTGACAATAAGTGCAGATACATGTTTAGGCAAGAAAAGAGGGGTCTTTAAGTACAAAAATTTGAGAGCCAGCATCTTTGAGTTATGTATGAACTGGAGATACCTGAGAAACATCCAATGAGTATTTTGATCGATAATTTACCAGATGTTGCTTCTGAGCAACTTCTCTATGACCTGGACTTGAGCAGGGGTTTTATACAAGTCTCATTGTACTGAAGCATCCAGATCTTGATTTTTCTTGCAGTTGTCTGGCTTTTCATATTGGGAAAATGCAGGAAGACTTATTGCATTCAAGTCCTATTGAAAATTTAGTCAAAATAGTTTTTAAGGATAGCAGAATTTGCTGCCAGTTTTGGACAAATGCACTATTAGTTTATAGAACTTATTTGTACTCTCCTGCCATTCCCTATAGAACTGATGAGGAACCATTTTCAGTCAAAAAGCTGCATTCCCTTCTGGGCAATTACTAAGGGACTACATGCCAGTGTGGGCAGGGCTAGAGGCAGAAGTGTGTATTTTACCTTTGTACAGTAGGTTTGCTTCTACACACATTCATGCATCACTTTCTGTTCTCACTTCAGGCAAGCAGGAAATATTATTGAAGTTCCAAGGACACATTCCAGCCAGGCAAAAATATCCGAGAGCCAGCTAAGAGAACAGTGGAGGGATGCATTTGGTGTCCAAGCCTGAGGTTCCCCATCTGTGCCTTATAAGCACAAAAGATTTGTACTAATCACCCAGCAAACAGATTATGCAAAAAATGGCATCTAAATATGAGCACGAGGGCTTTATTTGGGAGGGGTGTGTGCTGTTGTTGTGGCTACTTGACTGCACAGTCCTTTAATATGCCAGATGCATTGTTTAGAAAGCACTGCAACTATGGAGGCCCTAGAGGTGCACAGTGTATAATTCTGAGGCTTGGAAAAACCGCTTCCAATTTGCTGCCTCTTTCTGTAAGAGTTTGAATCTAATGTTAGTCCTTGACCTCTAGGTGCTTTTGACAGGGTACCCTTTGGCTTCACTTGTGCTGATCACAAGAACAGTCTTCCTTGATCACTACAACTTCTGTCTGTGGCCACTTTATACAGTTCATTTACTGATCTATTATAGTTCCCGGTTTCCACATAAGAAGATTTTTATTTGGTACTAATCCCATGCATATGTAACAGCCAACTACATATTTTAATGTGGCTGGGATTGTTTTTGTGTGTGGACATGTTAAATGTGATCATGTGTTTAACACAATGAGTAGTTTGTCTCTCTGCTGAATTAAGGGAAGCTTGCTTCAAGTAAGTACAAAGGATTGCAGTTCTAGACTAAACAAGTTTTTATGATCTTTTAAAATGACCTACATTTGATGCTTTTTCAGATGGGATTACTTGGCAAAACGAAACTCAAGAAGACCTAGTGCTTCAGTAGTGCGGTGTTGGGACTAAAGTTGAAGCAGTGCTCTTGAATTCTTGGCAATGCCCTCTAGTCAGTAAGATTACATAGAAGCAATATTGATAACGTTGGCATACAGTTGTGTTCCTTTCACTATCTTTGGGCGATACCCAGCTCGTTCATTCTCAGAATAGACTGGTTGAAATCAGTGGCTTGAAGTTACTTAAGTAAACATATTTCCGTGGGTCTCCTCTAAGTATGGATATTGCCCTTCAACTTTATCCCACTCAGCTGTTTTGTTTGTTTGTTTATCGGCTTGTTGTACTTTCCACCTCTTCTTTTTCCAGTGTTTATGGTGCAGCAGCAGCAAACAATGCCTGGAATATCCTGTTCGAAATATCCTCCCTCCCAGTTCACTTTGCCAGTTGAGTAAGGCCCGCTGGGGTGTCTGTTGGGGTGAGTAACTTCCAGGAGTACTACATGTGTGTCATTGGCATTGCAATTTTCTCTATAAACAATTCCTAGATTGCTTCTTGGATGCAGTAAATATTCCTCTTCTCAATAACTTTCTTTAATATTATTTAGGGTATTATAAGTAAACGTATCAGAATTTTGCAGTCTCCTTGCAACATGGGCAGATCAAGTTACTACAGCTTACAAGTTGATAGAAAGCAATGGAACTCCTTTACTTGCTACCAGCAGCAAAATGTTCTGTGAGATTATTTTACAGAGATTTTTTTTCTGAGTTATTTTTCTGGATTAAACAGCAAATCATTACTGCAGCAAGATCATGGGGATTCTTTCTAGTTATGCTCCTATATCACAGCAAAGATATTAGCATTTTTAGTGGTTAGTTAGGTGTTACTAAGGGACATGGATGGTGCTGTGGGTTAAACCACAGAGCCTAGGACTTGCCGATCAGAAGGTCGGCGGTTCGAATCCCCACGACAGGGTGAGCTCCCATTGCTTGGTCCCTGCTCCTGCCAACCTAGCAGTTCAAAAGCACGTCAAAGTGCAAGTAGATAAATAGGTACTGCTCTGGCGGGAAGGTAAACGGCGTTTCTGTGCGCTGCTCTGGTTTGCCAGAAGCGGCTTAGTCATGCTGGCTACATGACCCGGAAGCTGTATGCCGGCTTCCTCGGCCAATAAAGCTACATGAGCTCCACAACCCTAGAGTCGGTCATGACTGGACCTAATGGTCAGGGGTCCCTTTACCTTTAGGTGTTACTAGGATAAGCAGAGTATGATGATGTTTCTCCCAGTGTTTTGGTAATTACAAGTTAAGCAACTTCTGAACATGAAGATTCCATTATGCATTTTGTGATCAATAGTTTTGGATATAAAATGAAACTAAACCTTAAAAAAGAAAATTTAAAGCTATTGTGGTAGCAGAAGGCTCAGCATTATAGATGTCCTATAGAGGACATTGCCCATCCAATGGCTCAATTTGTATGAAGCTGCTGCACTGAGTTTGTCCTCCATGCTTTAACTGGGCATGTTTACAGTGATTTGTGTAAAATAACTTTAATTTTGAAATAAATGACTTAGGCCTATTTTAAATTCAGAGTTTTTTGGGGGGTTTTTGGCAAATGGCTCACTCACTACTTTTCTTGTGTTATATATTTCAGTGAATTTTGAAGCTCTCATAATTACAATGTCCGTGGTGGGAGGAATAATCCTTATTGCTCTTTGTGTTTGTTGCTGTTGTTGCTGCAGGAAAAAAAAGAGCAGAAAGTAAGTATCTGAACATGTTCTTATTTTTTATACCGTAAATACCAGTAATATACTTACCTTAATGACACCCCTCAAGTTATGGCATACCTATTCATATATGTCCTAAATGCTCTTGTTTTGTGCAGACCTGATAAGGAGGATGAGAAAGTTGCCAGAGAGAGAGAGCAGAGAAGAGTAAGACAGGAAGAGAGGTAAGTTGCTGTCAACCTACAGATGTTGTCAGGCCTGCTGCTCCCTTCCCTTTTGATGTTAAGACCAGATGTTTGCAGAAAACACCTGGAGTAACAGAGTGTTGCAGGTGCTCTTTATACATTATTCCTCTGCTGTAATACTTAACGTGTTGGCCTTGGAGGACTTCAGTGTTTATAAGCATCTGGAATTATATTGTAACCTGCTTGAAGGTCCTATTGCTTGAAGGTCCTAATCTTCAATTATATTGGAATTATATTGGAAATTATATTGTAACCTGGAATTATATTGTAACCTGCTTGAAGGTCCTAATCTTCAAAAGCACTTTGAAGATTCTATTGGTCAAAAGACGGTATAAAATTAATCTTGAATGTAGGTAGTTGGGAGCTGTCTTCTCACTAACATAATTTCCTTCCTACACAGGAGAAAACAATGTATATAAAATCATTCTAAATTGCAAACATCCTAAGACATGTTATATTTCTTGCAGGAGAGCAGAGATGAAATCAAGGCATGATGAAATCCGGAAAAAATATGGTAAGTGCCAATGGCTAGCTGTCAAATTCATAAGATGCTTCATCTTAGTGTGCTATATGTCAACATGTGATAGTTACCACTTCAACTCATTACGCGACGGAATGGTGTCCCAGTTTTTGACTGGCCTTGGTAACCAGGCTAAAAAACCCCTGATTGCCAGCAATCTCTCTCTCTCCCATCTGTTGCACCTGCACACAAATGTCAGGAAATAAACCCTGCTCCCTAACAGTTCAGCTGTTCCAAAAATACTAAAGGCACTCTGCCCTTAGTAAGGGTACAAAACTGACTGGAGTTTATACTCTCTAAGTGTATCATTTAACTGATTTTGCTTAAACAGTAATTTGGGTGTTGGTAATTCTGATAAGCTGTTGTCAGCTTTTCCTTATTATTAGATCAGTACCCCTGACACAGACGCGGGTGGCGCTGTGGGTAAAACCTCAGTGCCTAGGACTTGCCGATCGTATGGTCGGCGGTTCGAATCGCCGCGGCAGGGTGAGCTCTCGTCGTTCGGTCCCAGCTCCTGCCCACCTAGCAGTTCGAAAGCACATCAAAGTGCAAGTAGATAAATAGGGACCGCTTTATAGCGGGAAGGTAAACGGCGTTTCCGTGCGCTGCGCTGGTGCAGGCTCGCCAGAGCAGCTTCGTAATGCTGGCCACGTGACCCGGAAGTGTCTCCGGACAGTGCTGGCCCCCGGTCTCTTAAGCGAGATGGGCGTGCAACCCCCGAGTCGGACACGACTGGCCCGTACGGGCAGGGGTACCTTTACCTTTACCTTTACCCCTGACACAAGAACCAATCAGTTCTGGGTTAAGCCAAAATGTTATAAACATAATTTATTGTATTATAACTCTTTAAAATACTTGTCCAAAAACATGTTGCAAGAAAGGAGTTGTTGGGGTTTTTTTAACCAGATGCCACATTGTGTGGAATATTTGGATAGGCAAACCATTGAGAAATGCAGTTCACTAGACTTTGATCCTGCCCCCTACTTTCACGAATACTGGCAACCACTTTTCATCACCTCCCTCGGCTACTTCCTTTTCATATTTGCCCCTCACCAATATCTTTGATCTCTGTGTTCTAACCAGATGTTATTTTTCCCCCAGGTTTGTTTAAAGAAGAGAACCCATATGCCAAATTTGAAAACAACTAAGATTTCTTTTGAAAAGCCAAAGTAAGCTCTGCCAGTGCTGTCTATAGAATGTGTAGTACAGCTGCTAAAAGATCCAGTAAATTAGATGCCTTAATTGCAAATGGAAAATTGGTCTTACTAGAAGACAGCTGTTAATAAGCAGCAAGATAAACGAACAAGCCAAACATACCTCTGAAAACCAGATGGCCTAGCAGGCTGGAGATGTTAGATTTTTCTTCTTTCTGTCCTGCAGGTGTCTGTGCTCTTACATAGTTTAGCATAACCTTTGTTTGCTGGTCAAATGTTGGAACAAATTTATTCATGAAGTGGAGAGGGACAGTGCACATTTCTTCTTGTCAATCTTTTCTATGGTCAACAAATTATAGCTATTTTTAATTGAAGGCTAGGAGTTGGGTGGTTATATCAAAAAACAAGGTGGGTAGGCTATGTGAAAGGAACATAAGCTTTAATTGTGCCATTAGCAAAAAGTGCCTAAATTGATCTTTAAAAACATTTTGTTTGCAGCACAGATGTTTTTATAGTGCGATTGTGTAGGTTTGCACTTTTATATATGAATACTACTTTTTCTTCTGGACTACGTATGCGTGTTCCTTCTGTTCCTTTGCCTCTTTTAAATCACTTCAACTACAGAAATAGTTAGACTGATTTATGTTAGTAACAGTGTGATACGAATGCTTTACTGGTGCTGATTAAATGGCTGCTTGTATTGGAATTTTAAAGGCTCTTCTTATATTTAAGAACTTTGTACTGCTTGTAATTATCTGAAGCAATGTATAATCTTGGAAAGAATGTCCTTAGTAACCAAATCAGAAGAATGAAAAGGCTCCTTTTTTGAAGTAAAGAACCATAATGAAGCCTTGGGGTTGATTTCTGCTGCCTAGAGTAAGGCCTGCCAATACAATATTTGGCTTGATGCAATAGCCTGTTTTTCTTCAGGCTGTTCTACGTCAAGAGTCCTATGCACTGGAGTTTCTTTATAAAGACAGATTAATAAGGAAAGTAACTTCTTATTGTTTACTGTCAAGTGGAAGTGGATTAAAACAAAACCGTGAAATAATGATTTGGAGGACTGGCTACACTTCGAATGTATAAAGTTTGTTTCCAAGGAAACTTTAAACACTACATTTGCCTGGAGTGAAATAGCACCTAGGTCATAAACACAGAACTTGTGAAAAATGTGGAATGATATTTTCATTTCCCCCACCCCAAAATAGAAAGCATTAGCTAGTATAGAGAAATTAAATGTCTGATTTTCATGCCCACACCCTTCTAAAAACACAAATACATATGGAGGTATATTAGTTACTGAAGTAGTAAGATTCCATTGTAATCTTAAACTTTTATATATGTTGTCAAAGTCACAAACACATATAATACTTTGTATTCATTTAAATATCTTTACTCTTCTGTTGACATCTTAAAAAACAAGTTGAAATCTGCCGAAATTTGCCGACAATGCGTAGTAAATTCCAGAAATACAGGATATTGTTTTATAAAAACTTGCATACAATTATTCTGCCATATTAACAAGTAAAATGAATTATTTACTGTAGCAAAATTTGTAATTATTTACATAATAAAATAAATATTTAATATCTTACATCTCTTGGCATTCTCTAATTCTGTTGCCCTCTTAAGCAAATATAAATAATAGGGAATTATTGTACCACATGGTCATACAATTTCCTTTTTCTGAAGAATATGAGTATGAGTGGGGAGGGATGTCAGCATCTGAAGAAAGTGTTTTTGGGTGACAGAATCACAAATTTGAAAACTAAAAATGCTTAAGGCTTATGCTGAAGTGTGTGTGAGTGATCTCTCCTCAAAGAGAGGGTATGACTGGCTGAAACTCTGAACAGGCTCCCACACTGCAGTGTTTTGTGGCAGGTCCCACATACATGCATAACATCCTCAGGTTGTTGGGGCTGGCAGCCAGTCCAAGAATAAAGCCTGCTAGCAATATATAACATAATGGAAGATGGCCTTGAGATGGGAAGCGAATGAAATGTGTCCTTTATTCCTTCCTACTCTGCCCTAACGGTCAGGGGTCTCTTTACCTTTACCTTTACCTTTACTCTGCCCCAAGAGGGCTGAACAATAATACCTTTTGGGGATGGGGATACACTGCAATATTCCACACAGCATGTTCGCCTTGCTCTGTTTATCCACATATATGGGCTATCTACATTACTTAGTAATCTAGTTAGTCTTTACAAAGATCTCACTACTTTACGTTGGCTGTTCTAAAATTCTAATATATGTTCTTATTGCCTGGATTACTGTAATGTCTTGGTTCCAGTTTCTCACTCTTAAATGTCTTCTATCCTCAGCTCTGTGGCCAACTAATATTTTGCTCCCTGTTTAAAAGCCACACCACTGCACCATTCATACACTCTTTTTGCGTTTAGTTCCAACTTCTTGGTATTGGCTCTTCTTTCATCTCAACACTAGTCATATTTCTTTCATGTAATACAGAGGTAGGTAACCTGTGAGACGCTGGCAGGGGCTGATTAGAGTTCAGCAATTCTGGAGAGCTACAGGTTTCCCTGTTCCTGATCTAATACTAACTTACTTGCTTAACCTCTAGTTTCTTGTGCCATTTATTTCTGCCAGCTCTCTGCAACAGTTCATGCACCTAGTGCATGCATCTGTCTTCTATTATTATTCAGTTCATGCACCTAGTACATGCGCCTGCCTTCCATTATTATTATTATTATTATTATTATTATTATTAAAATTTGTATACTACCCTATACCCACAGGCAGTTCACAGAGTAAAACATGAATATAAAACCACAAAACATACAATCAAAACAAAAACAACCTAATAACCCCCACACATTTTTAAGGGGCAATAAAAGCTACCTAAATGTCTCCTCTTCTATTATTCCTATCTTGACCTTTTAACAGTCTTCCCTTCAGTCTTCCCTCTTCCTAGATTTCTGCATTGTGCCCAATATTTAACACACTTCCCATCTGGCTACACTTCGAATGTAGCTTCTAATGTACGTACAACACTTATGAAAAGCACTTCATTAAAAAATGACATATAGTGAGGCTGTGTGCTGAGTGACAGTGGTATCTACAGGTATCTACTAAGAAGCCTTATATGGCACAATAGGGCTTACTCCTTACAAAAGAGCAGGGGTGGGGAACCTGCCCCCCTGCAGATGTTTTTTGGGGGTACACTTCCCATTATCCCTGACCATTGGTTATACTGACTGAAGCTGATGTGAGTTGTCGCTCAACACCTGGAGGGCCAGAGATTCCTCAGCCATGATTAAGGACATAGGATTTCAGCGTGAGAGAGGGTCAAAATAACACTCATCTGACTGCTTTCAAGATACTCTTGGGAAGAGATCAATGAGTTTTTATCCTACTTACAAGTATTTTGTACCTCTTCAGGGTGAACTACCTCACCACCCCAATGAATCCCTCTCCTCAAATATTAGTTCCATCTCAAAGGAAACCATTGGGGACATTTTAGAAGTTTTGGAAGTTAACTACCCAATGGGGAAATATTTCCCAGTTGTCCCAAACCAAATTTAGGTACATGTTGTTCCTTAGTAAGGGGGGAATAGCTGCATTAGGCAAAGGGCGTCAGGACTACTGTGGTTAGAACTGATATTCTTCTCTCTACATCGCAGATTGCAAAGAAGGTACAGATGAAAGAAGCAGTGTTTATATGCCGCACTCTAGAGTTTTGAAAGAAAACCAGAAGTTAAAAGATTTATTTACCATACAAAAAACTTTCAGTCAAAGCCATAAGTTATGCTTTTGATCAATTTAACAAGATGTGACATGATCAATGTCTCCACTTCCTTGAAATTGCCTCAGAACTCCCAACAAGGCTCCATTGTTTATGTTGCACATATCCAAGGTACTTATTAAGATGTTTTGCCACAACTACTGGTGCAACATACAGTGCAGCGGTTGCCCAACTTACTGGATCAGCAGACACATAACACAAAATGGCTGTCATGGGGGAGGAGCACAGTGTAACAAAATTAAAGTACAATACAGCACAGTCATTGCTGATTCCCCTTCTCCCTCGACCTCACAAATGCAGAGGTCTGCACACATACAACTCTGTGAAGAGGCTGCACACACATAACTGTTAGGAAGATTTGTTCGTAAGGACACAACCCCCAATACCAGGAGGGAGAAAAGGTAGCCAACCCACACTCACTACACACACAAAAACCAGAGACAGATGCCTCTCTCTCTCTCATGCACATACATGCACCTCTTTCTCTCTGTCCAAGTGCATCTCTCTCACAGTTCATGCATACAAACAGACCACACGCACACATCTCTTCCTCTCTCCGACACATACAGATCCACCCATAAACCTTTCGCTTCCCGGCTCCTCCACATGCAGCTGCTGGGTGACCTTGGGCTAGTCACGCTTCTTTGAAGTCTCTCAGCCCCACTCACCTCACAGAGTGTTTGTTGTGGGGGAGGAAGGGAAAGGAGAATGTTAGCCGCTTTGAGACTCCTTTGGGTAGTGATAAAGCAGGATATCAAATCCAAACTCCTCTTCTTCTTTCCCTCTCTGCCCAAGGACATTTCCCTCAATCTTACTCACTTTCAAACACCCCATTTTTAAACTGCCCTACACACACATACAAGTCTCCCCACAGGTGAAGGAAAGTGCCTGTTGCCTCAACCCCACCCAGTTTACCCCCTACAAATATACAAGGGCTGTGCTTTTTTTCTGGGGGGACGTGGGGGTGCGCATACACCTAAACATTTTGCAAATCTAAGTTTGGCCTCATTAACGGGCGGTATTACAATATGAGTAGGAAAATGAGAGTACTCCTAAACATTTTTTAAGGAAATAAAGCACTGCACAAGAGCCACCAAACTAGTACCCACAGGTGTCAGGTTGGTAACCCCTGATAAAAATGGGTGACTCTTGATTGTGATAAATATACTCAGTGTATCTAAAAGGGAAACTAGAATTCAGGAATTTGCTTCTTGTTTAGCAACAGTGCAAGTTCTCATTGTCTGAAATTCCCTTATGTTATGTTAGCTGTCTCTTCTCCTGCTGCCTGTCAAATATGGGGTGGTCACTGATATCCCACTCCTGGCACAAAACTTGAACAATTGAATTATTTCTTAGTTCTTCCTAAACCAACCATAGCACAAGGAGACACTGATGCTGGGCCAAATGAGCCAATGGTCTGACCCAACAGGGTTGTTTGGGGTCATGGAGGCAACCTGTGTGGCCTTGATACCCATCAGATATGGCTGAGTAGATACCATTGCTATGGTTGGTTTATTGCCCTGTTTTGTTATGAAAGTAAGTCACCTTCCATCATCTTCCAAAACCTTCCCAATTCTAAGCATATTTGCCAGGAAAAAAGTACTGGACTGGACTGTACTAAGAGGACTGTAAAAAATCCTCTTAGATAAGTGGAATGCCTTTTCTTTTTTTGCCTTTGTTTTCTTCATACCAATTTCCTATCTGCAGTCAGTATCATTCAGGTATAGCAAATTTCCCGACAAACTACTTGTCAAAAGTAGTAGTCTATCTATTTGTATGGCTGTTAAGAATGTATTTGTGTACCAGAGTAGTGGAATTTCTGCCTCTGTAGGGGTGAATTTGGCAAGTCAATATAAATGTGCAAATATCTGGAAATAATTGTCAGATTTTATTTTAATAATATGGAAGTTGCCAAGAGAAATATTAATTCAGTGATCTATGAAGATTCTTTGTTGCTTTCAAGAAACAATTTTTACTTATAAAGCAAAGGACTTAGTGGCTTGGCTCAATAGATCTCTGGGAGCCTTTACAAGTGGCCACAAGAACACTCTCAAATGCTCTTTTAATTCTAATCTGGCTTCGTATTCACGAGGGATAGTAAGATACCTTTTAGAGTTGCATATAGCACTAGTGAATATTGGAAATGTGAAATGAGAAACTCAAGTCTATTATTTTTATAAAATAGCATTTCATTTGTAAATGTGGCTTTTTTAACAAAAAGGTTCAATTTTCTGTGAGAATGATTAATTACTCTAGTTTCAGCAAAAAGACATACGCTTACACAAATTCTTATTGCTGAAAATGAAAGAGTAATTTCTGCACCTTTTCTAATTTGGATTAACTAATTCCTTAGCTAGTGATCTCTAATAGCTTTCCCAGATGATCAGATCAGTCATCCCATGCCATTTGTAGTCTTTGTAGTGTGAACTTGGAATAGCCTTACTGCTCCAAGTGAAATATCCATGCCTCGTTTTCTTTCCTAGTCATAAATATGGATACTGCACATAAAGTACAGTGTGGTTGTTCAGCTTATTAAGAGCCAGAGGAGCAATTAGGGGCACTGAAATGTTAAGAGACATGAAGCTGATATGAGGCTTTTCCAGAGTTTGTGCTTAAAGAGTTTCAGCTCCATTGGGATTCCAGCCTTTGCAGCATGGGTGCACCTTGGCATAATTTCAAAATTGCTCTGCAACACTTCAGTTCAGACCGCTGGCAAGAGTGATTTGTCTATCACATGGCGGCTTGCTGTTGAAATAGAGCAAGGAGAGAAAGAAGGGGTGGACCCACTATTGGCTTCAATCCTTGCTATGTATTACCTTGCTCAGGGAATGCAGCAAAAAACGTTCTTTGATAGGCTAAATGCTGATGTGAGAGACAAAATATTTATTTCAACTATTTTGAGTCCACTTAACACTACGGTCTCTAAGTGGTGTACTGTAAGTTTACAAAAATAATATAACAGATATAACATCAGTTAAAATTACCATAAAATCAGAAAACTTGTATTAAAAAAATCTGCTAAAAAAGTATTCACCAAGCACTGGAAGTTCAGCAGGTAGGTTTGATGTTGCTCTGGCACTATGACCCTTTTCCACAGTTTTCTGTGCTTTAAGCTAACTTTGAGCTGTTGTGGCCCACTGTAGCTTAATCCAAGTTGTAAACTGTTTATAGATTCATAGAATCGTAGAATTGGAAGGTACCCAAAGGGTCATCTATTCCAACCCCCAGCAATGCAGGAATCTCAACTAGTTAATACATGACTCGTCTCTGATGGCAAGTAATGTGGGGTTGTTGTTGCTTTTTTTATTTACTGTCTTTCATCATTTCATTATTAGATTGTATTTGTAAACTACATTGTTGTTTTTTATTTCAGCCAAGCAGTTTATAAATTTTATGAAATAAATAAATATTTTGCATTTTGCCTAGTTTGTTGGCCTGCCAGGAAATATTTAGCTGCCACAAATGAATGAAGCGTTTCCACAGCTTTTACAACCAAGGTAGGCTTGAAGCGCAGCAGCTAAAAGGTCCTTATGTGAATACGTGTGGAAACAGAAGGCGACTTTGTGTATGAGAGCAGATGCGCGATGCCTCGAGTCTATTTCTATGATCGGCTTCTTAGGCCCATGACGTTATATCCCCGAACAGGTCACATAGGGGGGCTATGGAGGGCGACCCTCCTCCATTCCCCAGGGGGACTTTTGTATTCCTTTTCGGAAGCCTTCGCCCCGCCCCCTCCTTCCTCCCGCGCCCTGACGTGGCTCCTCCCCTTCCCCATCCCCCCCACCCGCGCACCTTCTGCCGCCCAAGCGCTCCCGCTTCAGCCGGCGATGACGCACCTTCGGCGCCATCGCCGCCGCCGCCTCCGCCCTGGCGAAGCGCGCTCCCGACGGGGAGAGCATCGCTCGGGAGCGCGCCTCGGGAGCGCGCCCCGCCCCCACGTGACCCCTCCGGGACCAACCGGGAGCCGAAGATTGCGGGGAGCGGAGCGCGTCCTCGCGGGCAGTTGCTGCGGGCGGGAGAGGAGAGCGCAGGAAGACGGGGGCTCCGAGCGCGTGCGGACTCGCTCCTTGAGAGGTCCCTGCCTGACGCGACGCCATGTCCGAGGAGAAGCCCAAGGTGAGTGCGAGGCCGCCCCAGCGCCTCCTACAGCCGCTCGGGCCCCGTAGGCCCTCCGCCTCCTCTCGGGCCCCTTCCGAGCCTGCCTGCCTGCCTGCCCCCCTCACGAGAGGGGCGCGAGGCTCGCCGTGGGGCTGAGGCCCCGAGGGTCTGCGTTCCCCCGCCCCGGTTGTGAGCCGCGAGACCCGGACCCGCCTCACCCGGAAGGAGGGCGGCTCGAGAAGGGGCGGCCCGACCGCGCTCTTCCTCCGCGGAGCTCCCGCAAGAGTTCGGCGCCGCTCCTAGGCCGCGCCGCTTCGCTGCGAACTCCCATCCTGGCCCGCCCCCGCCGGGTTCGCTATTGTCGAGCCAGGCCGAAGGCGCGACCACCACGTGCTCCGCAAGGCAGCGCTCTCTCGCCGGGGGCCGGATCCATCCGGCCTCTTTCCCTTTCCCCGCCGCCCACGGCCCCTTTTCCGCGCGCAGTTGGACCGAGGTCTACACGGACCGAAGTCCAGTAATTTCCAAAGGGTTTTGCACCTAAGAGCCCCCTTTCCCCGCGTGCATCCATATAGTGAGGGGGCTGCAAGTTTGAGGAGAGGCTTTCAGTGCAGTCAAGTGCTGGCCATTGAATTCAGTGGAGGATACCTCCCAAGACGGTATGCGGAGCATTACACTGTTCTGTTTTGCGCGTGTGGAACAATCGCTATCCTCATTGTAATATTAAAACAATTTAATGAAAGATGATACGTTTAGCGTACATCCTTCAGTTGTAAGCCTACATCACAGAGTCGCTTAAAGGTGAGCTTTATAGATGAGTGGGTGTTTGTAGGCTGAAAATAATCAGATAAGCAGGAGTGAAAGCATTGAAAGTTTTTTTTCCAGTTTTTTGGATGGTATGTAGTTTTTTTAAAAATTGGCTTTTATCCAACCTTCCCCCAATAGTTTTAAAAGCAGAGAGGGATCATTCTAAAATTGAGTCTTTTTGCAGACTTGTGGAATACAGTGGTACCTCGGGTTAATTACTTAATTCGTTCCGGAGGTCCGTACTTAACCTGAAACTGTTCTTAACCTGAAGCACCACTTTAGCTAATGGGGCCTCCTGCTGCTGCTGCGCCTCCAGAGCACGATTTCTGTTCTCATCCTGGAGCAAAGTTCTTAACCTGAAGCACTATTTCTGGGTTAGTGAGTCTGTAACCTGAAGCGTATGTAACCTGAGGTACCACTGTATCAACACTACATTTAAAGCGTATTTAACATCCATTCTTTTAATTCCCCCAAAGAATCCTGGGAAGTGGAGTTTAAGAGTACTGGAAAAGTTAGTTCTGTGAGGGAAATTGCAATTCCTACAATTTTTTAGGGGAAATCATGTGCTTTAAATGTATAGTGTGGATCTGCTGTTGGTCAACCACGTTCTGATTCTGTGTGGAATCTGATAGAATTGTAGAGTTGGAAGGGACCAAGTTTAAATATATTATGAAACATGTAGACTTTTTAAATAATTACAGGAAGATTGCCTAGTACTGGAGGTTGTTTTCCCTCCTACAGGAGACTGGTGCTGGTGAAGCTAAGACCCCAGGGTGGCACATCTTTGACAATTTATTGAGTATTAATTGCACTCCAGATTTGGAGTAAGAGATGTAGTTCAGTGAAAGAGAATCCACTTTGTATGCAGAAGGTCCAGGGACCAGTCCCTGGTATTTTCAAGTAGGAGATGAGAACATTCCCTACCTGAAAAGCAGAGAGCTGCTACCAGTCAGTGTAGTCCAGAGCTAGTCAACCAGATGGTTTGGACTGCAACTCCTATCCCTTGTTCTTGGCCATGCTGGCTGGGACTGATAGAAGTTTTAGTCAACAACATCTGGAGGGTGCCATGTTGGCTACTCCAGGTTTAGAGAATACTCAAGTAAATGGATCTGAGTCAGTAGAAGACAACTTCCTCTGCTGCTTGAGGAAGGCTTTCAGTTTGCATCATGACTAGGCTGTGGATTCTTAAAAAGCATTTAAAGATCATTTTGAATAACACATATAGCTAGGGAAATGTTGTAATTGGTGTGAGACTAACACTTGGGATCAAGCTACAGTGGTACCTTGGGATGTGAACGGGATCCGTTCCAGAGCCCCGTTTGCATCCCGAACAGAACGTAAGCCGCGACAGTGTGTCTGTGTGTGCCGCCGTGACAGTGCATGCGCGTGACGTCATTTGAACCGTAAGCACGAACGGCGAAACCCGGAAGTAACGTGCTCCATTACTTCTGGGTCGCTGCAGAGCACAATCCAAAAGCGCTCAATCTGAAGCTTATTTATCCCGAGGTATGACTGTACTAGAAATTTATTAAAACTGCTAGTTGTTTAATATGCTATGTTGTGTGTTTAAGCCTACAATCCTAACCCCATTTACATGGGAGAAAGCCCTTTGAATCAACTATGATTTATGAGTAGACATGGTTAGGATTGCGACCGAAGTATAAGCTTACCAATAGTGAAAGTATAAATGCAATTTATAATCTTTCTAAGGGTAAGCCGTGGGGGGGGGGGGGATTTCAGCAACCCTCTTGGGAGAAGTTTTTATGCCAACCTTTTATTTCTATCACTTCCTGTGTTGCTCCCTAGGCTACTCAGTGGAAAAAGAAGGCAAAATTGTTGTTTGTAAATTTCACCTCATTTTTTACCTTGAAATCCTAACGGAATTTCCTAGAGTAAAAAAATCTAGAGTCCAGCAGCAGAAGAGGGCGTTTTCAGACCAAAAATGTGGAGGGGTTGCTAGATAATGCAGTGAGGCTGCATTACATATCATCTACAGTTGTGTTACAAATTATACCTCCAAACCAGTTGAGGAAGCAGTGCTTTGTTAATTCATACCAAAATGGTTGTGCTGCAGTCACAATGAAAGATCCAAACATTGCTACAAGCCAATGCTCAACAACAGGATGACACATGGGGAGAAGCAGAAATACCCCATTCCAAATTCCCTTCAGCTTAGTCACATGGCTTAGCCACCCTGCAGGGGTTACACCATCCTTTTTGCCAGTGTAAGTCAAACTATTTTTTACAGGTTTGTGGGCCTGTGCCTCTGCAGCGTTTGGGCTGACTTAATCAGCAGTAGCTCCACTACTGAATAGAATTTGGAATAGGAGTAAGTTGTACTGGCTTCCTGTAGTTTGGTTTGCTCTGCCCTTTTGTTTATTTTATTTAATAAAATCTGTGTGCTGCTTAACTGTAGTGTGGCAGCTGTGAAAAGCATTCCATGCTTGGGGTTATTAGGAAAGGAATCGAAAATAAAACTGCTGACATTATAATGCCTTTATATAATTCAGTGGTGTGACTGTGTTTGGAATACTGTGTACAGCTCTGGTCACCTCACCTCAAAAAGGATATTTCAGAGTTGGGAATGATTCAGAAAGGTGCCACCTAAAGTGATCAGGGGGTTGGAACAATTCTGCTAAAAGGAAAGGTTGCAGCATTTGGGACTTTTCAGGGTAGAAAATAGGTGAGTAAGAGAAGACATGATAGAGGCATATAAAATTATGCATGGTGTCAAGAAAGTGGATAGCTAATGTCCCCCCTCCCTTTCTCATAATAGTAAGAATTTGTGGAGATCCAGTGAAGTTGCAAATTTGAAGATTCAGGGCAAATTTTTAAAAAGTACTTCTTCACACAGTACATAGTTGAACTATGGAATTTACACCCGTAGGAGGCAGTGCTGGCCACCAACTTGGATGGTTTAAAAGAGGATTAGACAGATCCATGAAGAATAAGTCTTATCAATGGCTACTAGCCATGATGGAGGCTATGCTCTGCCTCTGCAGTTGGAGGCAGGAATGCTTCTGAATGCCAGGAGCTGGAAATGCAGGTGGGAAGAGTGCTCTTGTGCTCAGGTTCTGCTTGCAGGTTCCCCACAGCTTGGCCATTGTGAGAACAAGATGTTGGACAAGGTGGGCATTGACTTTATCCAGCAGGTGGTTCATACGTTCTTTTCTGAGAAATCTTCTAAGTGCTGCAGGTATCAGCCAGGTTCTCTTGACTAATGCTCCCCAAATACTGATCTGAACTTTTATGTTTTGTTTTGCAGGAAGGAGTAAAAACGGAGAATGACCATATCAATTTAAAAGTAGCTGGCCAAGATGGATCAGTGGTCCAATTTAAAATAAAACGGCACACACCACTAAGTAAACTAATGAAGGCCTATTGTGAGAGACAGGTAAACGAGTTAACTATATTTGTGTGTTATTATGCACTTGTTTATTGTGAGGTACATAAAAAGGCTCCCAAGCACCCATGGCTTATTTGCCCAGATAAATTTTGATGTTAGAATATTTTCTCAAGGCATACAAAGTTCTGGTGCCTTGGTGGTGTAAACCCATTATGCTAGTGTGTTGACGCATACAATTATCCCACATAATATTTGATGTGCTTGTTGAATTCTTTCATTTGCAGTGCTGAATTTATTAGCTTTGTCCTAGAACTTAAATTTTCAAAAATTCAATTACTGTAACCAGTTTCTTCCTATCTCGTGTTTCTTTAATGGAGACACCAAGGAAATACCCTGCGTAGTGAGACATATCTGCACAAGTGTCAAGTCATAATTTATCTCATTTATGTTATGCATAAATGGGGCTGTGTGATGTGGATAAACCTGGGTGCTCATGAGATTACATTAGACCCATCAGACACATAACTTGTGTGCATTCAGCTTTACACATTTGGCAAAAAAGAGTAAAATTTAAAAAGCAGGTGGGCATCCAAGGGAAAAAGACTTTGGCAATCCTGCCCACCATTGCACGCAGTGTGTTTTGACTATATGTGATTTTGGCTTGTATTTGCTATTCTTGGAATGTAGTCCCCACATAAATTGTGGATTTACTGTATACTGCGAAGTGGGAAGCCATAGGCTAAGGGAGCCAAATGTGGCCCTCTGGCTTTTCTTGCTCGGCTTGTGCTTGCCTCTGGCTCTAGCTATCGTTTGCAGGTGGCCTCTAGAAGGTTGCCTAGACAGGAATGTATTTGATTCTGCTGTTCATAGAAAGTCACCTCTACACTTGACAGAGAAAAGACACCGTCCTAATTACATTGCATCTCTAGCAGCTCTACCGAGATTGCTAAATTAGACAAGTTTATAGAAATGTTGCATGAGGCAATAAAATTCCTGAGAGATACTTGGCTCATGAAGTGTGCATCCTCAATCAGCTTTCAGTTTAATTCTTTGAAATACTGATGTCTGTGAGCAATATCCATTTTGACATGAACTTATATATGTGGATTTACATTAACTGTCATATTTCAGGGTTTGTCAATGAGACAGATTAGATTCAGATTTGATGGACAACCAATTAATGAAACAGACACACCTGCACAGGTAAGAGAGAGTGGTGTTCGTTATACAGTTGAAGCTGAGCTTACGGCTACTGCCTGTGTCTTGGAAGTTTAGTTAATTACTTCAAATGGGAATTACGTTGATTCCTAGAATAAAATGTTACTATGGTGAGCTAAATCATTATTAACAAGAGTCCATCAAGGTGGGAGAGAGAAAGCAATTAGAGAATATTAGAGAAGCTGTAGGCCTTCAAAATTCATGGGCAATTTCCACTAGTGAGGAAATGGTGTGTAAGGTTTCTGGGGTGTAAATAAGGTTGACAGATTTTGGTAGGCTCTCAGTGATTATTAGAAGTACATATAACAGATCCCTTTACTGGAATTAATCCCGGGCATGATGTAATTCCGTGCCTGTGGTACTTGGTGGAATTCTCTCATCATTGATAGAAAATACTAATTTTTCTCATGGAAACTTTCTCCCCTGTATCAAATTTATAGTGTAAGCATGCTACAAAATTTCCCCATCAAGGATTCAGCCTTACTGAGGCTGAAACTTTGTGCACATTTATTTGGGAATAAATCCTATTGAACTCAGCAATAACTTCTTCTGAGTAAAGGTGCTGGGTTGTATCAATTGACGAGCCTCCAGCAGATTTGTGAGGGGGCTGCAGGGGGTATGGTGGTTATGGAAAATCACTTCCCTCGCCATTCTTCTAATAGAAGGCTCTACTGGATCAAAGAGTCTTCCATTTCAACAGGACACCAAATGGGCATAAAGAACTGCACTGTAAGTATTTGGCTGGAGGGAGTGCAAGAAAATGCATTCTTAGAGATGGAATCTAAGGCATTACCCCACAAGAAAGATAGGAATTTTGGGTTAAGAGAGCTGAACTGTAGCACATATGAGTGTGTGAGCTACTGGGAAGATCTGGTTTCTCCAAATAAATGTGTTCCAAAATAGTTAACATGTGGTCTAAATATTTATTGTTAGTCTGATTTTAAATGTTCTCACTTTGATGTAGGATGTGAAAACTGATGCCTTTCTTATCCTTATTTTATTACTATTTCTAAAGGTTTTGAAAGGCATTAATTGGGATAGGAAAAAAGTTTTAGTCTAAGCTAACTGGTTCGCCAGACCATGCATGCTGGCTGGCACCAGAAATACTTGTTTTATCCTATGTAAAATTATTCATGCAAGTTGCTAGATTTTTCTGTATGTTTATCATTGAGGGTCTGTGTCTACAAATTTTGCCTTGCCTCTCTTTTATCTTCCTGAGGTCCTATGACCTGTGCACAAAATTTGGGGAAAGAGAGGCCTGCTCGCTCATGTTCTAGGTTTCTGCAGAAGTTCCATGCAGTGCCTGTGTCATGATAAGCAATAGAATCCATCCATCCTTCCACAGGTTGTGGACAAGGGAGGGTACTTTTTCAGTCAGGAGCTGGATATCTGCAGGAACTAACATCAGCGATTCTGGAGAAGTTGAGTGAGGAAAAGTTGTAGTAACTCACTTCTGCAAAAACCCACTCCTGAGAAGAATAACCATCCAGTTTCTTTCATAAGCTGTACTTATGGAGAAAGCACTTGGCAGTACCTTTCTGCTGCCACTTACGAAAGTTGTGGAAAGGGAGGAAAGAGCATTTTATCTATTTATATGTATGCTTTTATCAAAACAATTCACAAGGTGTAAAATGTACAGCAGTAGCAACTGAAAAAAATTAACATTTAAATAATCAGTGACAATAAGCAAGTATATCATAACAAAGTCAATCCACAACGTTATATTAAACTAGTACAGATAAACTAACCTAATTAACAGCTTAAAACTAAACAGGAGAGAGAATAAAGCTTGATATGGAAACAGAAATAGTAGTACAGAAAACTAAATTCCACAAGGTATTCTATTAAGTTACCACAGTTAACATACACACACTGGATAGCAGCCACCCACCTATCTTCACTAAATTTCTCTCTTGGATTTATTTGGAATGACTGTGTTAGCGGCCTTCTTAGCATGCCCTCTGAGATGTACTTTAAGCATGCTAATGTTGGGGGGAAATGCACTGTAAATGCATGTGTATCATATTAAGAAAGCTGTAGGAGTTGGCAGTAGAAATAACCCAAGAATATTTAGCCTGCCAGATTGTGAAGTGTTGGACCAGTAAGGGTACTTAGATAATGATTTGCTAAGTATATGGTTTCCTCTGTTTCTAGGAGAGTGGTGAAGGGCATTGTTCCTTCAAGGCTATATATTAACCTTCCAAGCCACATCCTCCCCAACCCTGCTTTGCACCCACCCCCGAGTGTTCTTACCTGAGTAGAATGTGTCCTTGAACTCCAGTAATGTTTCTTGCTGGCTTGGATATAGAGTACAGAGATGTGTTGAGTGTGAAGAAACTATCCTGCTGTACAAAGGTAGAATTAGGCTTTTGCCTCTGGCCCTGTTCACCACTGGCATATGGTCCCCAGAGGCTCGTCCAGAAGGGAATGCCTCCCTTGGGCTGAAAAAGTTCCCCATCCCTGCAAAACAGCAAGCAGATGTGGTTGCAGATTTCTCTAAAATTCTAGAAACCCAATGTGGGTTTGTGAGAGATGCAGCTTTTAGCACTGGAAGGGGGAAAACTGGTGCTGATAAAATAATACATCTAAACAAACCTCTACACAGTATGCTTCCAAACATGAAGTTAATTATTTGTACCTGTAGCCTACCCTTCACCAAATGATCCCAAGGCAAGTTACAAAAATCTCACAGCTAAAACAGGTACAGTTACACAAAAAACATAACACAACTGCAAAACAACAGACCAGAGAAGGCATCTACTCAACCAGAGGTCTGGATTAAGAGGTTTTGGTATATTAGAAACAAGATTCCTTAAATATTATTTTTAAAACTCATTACTTTTTTGTCTTATTAACAGTTGGAAATGGAAGATGAGGATACTATTGATGTGTTTCAACAGCAGACGGGTGGCATGTGCTAAAAATCCTGTCCTTTTAGGAAGAGGAATGTAAAATTTCAACTCACTTTATCATCTGTCCTTGGATTTGCTATTAAATAGTAAACAAATGAACATGCCAATCATACAGGAATCTCCTCATGTTCTGAAGACATTTATCCAAATTCTTTTCCTGTCCCTGATATACTGCGTGTGCAAGTTGAAGCTGCATCTGTGGGAAATTACTGCATCATAAAAATGGGCCCAGTCAAAATTAAATTTTCAAATAAGTAAAATACCGGTTGTTGTCTGCTGTCATCTTGTTTCTATAAATTGGTGGCCTAAATACAAGCCTACTGTAAAAGAAGGATATTTAGTCCTGGCTTTCGTTGTTTCTGTTTTACTGCTTAATTATGTAATGTAAATATTGAAATATTTTTCCTTGCAATAGTAAGTTTCTCAAAACAGGTGGGTTGAGAAAGAAAGGATTTTACCATTAAACACATGTATTACTTTAAAACTGTTAATGGGACAGAATGGACAGTACTTCAGATACATGCTTAGTGACAGTTTAAGGTAATGCAAATGTACATGTGCTTTTTCATAATAAAATAGCATAGAATAAAACAATTTTTTTAAAGTAAAGGAATGTCTTTGAGTTTGTCAGCAGCTGTAGCATTTGCATAGGTTAACTTTCACATCTTCTATTTAACTGTCACATGTCCAAAGTTGAGCACCAATGTCTTTGATAAAATGTTTTAAAGAATGGACCAGAACCAGAATCCTCTTAGGAAGCGATGGTGTTCAACTAATTTTAATGGAATTTGTTTAGGAGAAATTCTGAACAGATTGTTCCCAGTGAGAATCACTCCTTATTGATGTATTAGGCAATAAGTAAACTTGTGTACCTTTTTCTGACATCTCTCTTGAAAGCTGAAATTTTAACTATTCCCTTAGCTGCTACTTTGAAATCTATAGGCTGGGATACAAAGGACCATGTGCCATGCTCTGTGTGCACATCAGGGATTTCTGCAGTCTCTTCCTGCTATAACTCCTCATGTCTCCTGAAAAGTTGCCTCCTATAGGAGGAGGACCCTTTGGAGTATTGTGCAATACTGGAGGGCTGCAGAGGAGAAATGTGTCCGGTAGCTGTTCCCCATGTACATGCAGAGTCTCCTGCTTGTGCATGGGGCTCTTTGGATAACCACCATCAATTCATAGATATTTTAGTTATATTATAATGAGTAAATTAGGTGTAGCTTTTAAAAAATATGGTATCAATACATTTGGGGGTTAAGTGTGCAGGAAAATCTCAATGTAATGATACATTCTTAAAGAGGCTTGCTGTGTCCTATGTCCTCAAATATTTTGAGCTTCAAAATAATGTTTGTAGTGACAACTGGCTTGATAAAATTTAATTTGCAGAGATCCAAAAATACAAGGTCATTCTGTTGACTTTCAGGATGCTGTTCATTGCTGCTTGAGAATGTCACTTCCTTTTAATCTCTACCCATCATGTGTTAGATTATCTGCTTGCAAGAAATCCTGTTGGGAAAAAAGTCTTTTCTGTTTCAGTTATATGTTGTCTAAGGAGGGGTATTTTAAAATCTGTCGTTGTTTATTCACAAATTTTTACATTTGTTGTCCTTTACTACTGTACACAGTAAATATAGTTTGTTACTCTGTCTCTTGGCTTATGCTTGATGCTGCTGCATTGCATATGACTGTACTCAAAGCTATATCACTGAAATGCTGACAACTTATTCTTATGTACATCTTTTATTAAAGTTCTTCTATTGAGAGTAAGCCTACTGTTCAGGGCATAAAAATCAGTTTTTCATAAAATACACCCTGGAGGTGTTTTTCTTTATTAACTTACAATTACATGGTGATATTATTTATCCTTAATATCTCAGATGAAATGCACTTACCATTTAGAAAAACGGATGGCGTGGGAGGTGATGTGATGGAGGTGGGAAGTGGTGATGGTAGCTTAAAGGGCAAGGCCATATTTTCTATTCAGTATTTCAGAGATAATTGCACATCACACACCCATTTCAGGAAAACATTGCAGATCCATTTGGAATTGCTTCTATATGTAGTTACACCTGGACCATACAGCTGCTGCTTCTGTTTAACTTGCACATAAAAAGTTTCACATTTGAGTAATTTAGCTTTAGTGTAAAATTTGAGGAGTTGGAAGGCATATCAGGATGCATAGTGCATTCTGGATATCTCACAATATGCCTTTACCACAGTAGTGTGCCAAAGCCACATTTTTGCAGTTGTAGCTTGATGGTGGGCAATGCTTATATCTTTCACTTTGACACTATTTTGGGGTTGTAGCTATGGATATGCTGCCATTACTTGCTAAAAGTCTAGTTACCTGCAGCTTTTGTTTCAAAACATTTGGGTTGTTGGGAGTCCTCCAGAATCTTTGTCTCTCAACTGTTTGACACCATCAGGTTATTATTGAGTCCACATACAACAATAATAGAATTGTAGAGTTGAAAGGGACCACAAGGATCATCTAGTCCAACCCCCCTGCAATACAGGAATCTTTTTGCCCAACGTAGGTTTTGAACCCATGACCCTGTGATTGAGTCTCATGCTCTACTCACTGAACTGTGATGGCATAAAAATTGCTGCATGTCTTCGTGAAGCAGAGAAACATCCAAATATCATTGCAGCCTCTCTGGTGAAGCTACCTTTTTAGGAATGACTGCCTGTAGGTAAGTCACTTTTTGTTTTGCCCCAAAATGACTTCTGACCCTAGTTGGTCCAATGAATACCGCTTTGAAGGGCTGGATGAATGCTGTGTGTAGATCAGGGGTCAGCAAACTTTTTCAGCAGGGGGTCAGTCCACTGTCCCTCAGACCTTGTGGGGGGCCGGACTATATTTTGGGTTGGGAAATGAACAAATTCCTATGCCCCACAAATAATCCAGAGATGCATTTTAAATAATAGGACACATTCTACTCATGTAAAAACACCAGGCAGGCCCCACAAATAACACAGATGCATTTTAAATAAAAGCACACATTCTACTCATGTAAAAACACACTGATTCTCAGACCATCTGCGGGCTGGATTTAGAAGGCGACTGGGCCAGATCCGGCCCCCGGGCCTTAGTTTGCTTACCCATGGTGTAGATCATGAAGTACATACTACTCAGTCTCTGACCAGGTTTTTGAAATGTCCACATGAATTAAACACTCAAAAACATGGTAAGAGCGTCCGATAGTGGCTGCAGTGTGAGGATATGGAACCCAAACTAATAAGAATATCCCACGGTACTCCCATAATTTGTTTCTTTTCTTTTTAATCATTTTTTATTTTAGAAATGAATTCATAACCATACCAAATGCACATCCATGTAAAGAGATTACTTTGTGTGTCCCCCTATAGGTTCTATTGTCAACATTTTCAACTGCATATTGTAATCCATATTTTATGTCTATCCATACTGTCCATAATATTTGTTACAAGTGAGATTAAAATCTTGCTAATGTTTTCATCTGCTTTACAGTGGTCTAAATAAATTATAAACTTTTCACATTTCCCATAATCAGTTTCAAGACAGCATTTTTAATTGACAAGTACTGAGTAAAAGAAAGTTAAATGATTCCTAGCACTTTGGCGATTCCCTTTCTATTTTGTGAAGAAGCAAAAGTCTGTTTCCTTGTGCAGCACAGATTCTCCCTGTCTTTATACTGTGTAGATAAAGAACTACACAACTTTTAGAAGACATCTGAAGGCAGATCTGTATCAGGAAGTTTTTTATGCTTGATCTTTTACTGTTTTTATATATGCTGTAAACCAAACACATTGGCTGGGGGCAAACCCAGCCAAATGGGCAGAGTATAAATATTATCACGGCCGGGGGTTTAGTAGTAGTAGTTGTTATTTTATATACATCTAGAATGGAATCGAAATTAAGGATCGAGTAATTCCGATTGAACGTGACAGTTTTTAAGTTACGGGAGACCAAAGCCCGAGTTCTGCGGCGCCGTCACCCAGAGCGAGATGGAGGTTGTGCGAAAGGAGGTGAAGCCGCTCAATTGACGCATGCGCACAAAATAATTCAGCTGGGTGACGACATACAGGTTGGCTCACAGAGATAAGGTAGGGAAAATGGCATATATCGTGGACATGAATAATTTCTGGGTTCATCTTGTTAAAATCTACACCAGGGTAGAAACAAGCACTCGCTGGGGCACCAGCATGCCTTCTTAGAAGGAAGCAGTAAAGAGAGGAGTTTGTGCTCTTTCTAAACTCGAATAGCCCCGCCAGTGAAAACACAGGAGTGCGCTGTGGTTGAGAACGATTTACACGGAAGTGTGCATGCACACGAAAGTTCATACCAATAACAAACTTAGTTGGTCTCTAAGGTGCTACTGGAAGGAATATTTTTATTTTGTCTGTACTGTAATGTACTCCACATCCCGCTACAGGTTGGGGTTGGCAGTGAGGCTGAGCAAAATCTTATTTGGCGATCATTCGTAGCAATGCAGCCTAGGGCCGCTATCGCCCACGTCTTAGATGGGAGTATTGCGGCTTATAACAGCCCTTCAACGTAACTCGCTGTCAGAGGAGGGAATGAGACTGCTTTGGCTTTCCATTCAAAATCACCTTATGCAAAACACGACCTCTCAGGCGGCACAAACGATTCCTTCCATTCCGAGGCCAGATCCAGCGCCCACTTGCATCCAGAAGCCCTCGTGCTCCGTTTGGTCCGTTGGCTTGCATACCAGATGGGTTGCACTTTGGCCCAAAACCCTGAAAAGACGCGACATTTCCCCACGAGTGGCAACCGAGCTAGAAAATCTAGACTGATTTGGGTTGTGAGGCCCGCTTCCCAACGTCGCCGAAAGAGAAATGCAGGCTTTCTTCACCGATTACCATTATTCCTGCTCCCCTCCGAAGCGAGGAATGAAATAAAGTCAGAAAGGTCGATCGAAAACGTTTAAGTTGAGGCTCCCTCTACTATTTCTACCTCTAGGGAGAGAACGAAGAGCCTCCTCCGAGAGCGGCCTCTCTATGGTAAAGGGCAACCGGAAGTGGCTCCTCGGTTGGTTCCGGTGACCCGAGGCGCAACAGCTGGCGCCGGATCCGACTCCCCTCGTCACTGCCTGAGCTATGGCGGGCACGGCGCTGAAGCGGCTGATGGCGGAGTATAAACGTGAGTGGGGAGGCGAGGGCAGGCGCCCCCGGGGGCTCTGAGGGAGAGGCGGGAGCTACGAAGCGGCGTCCCCTCCGGCCGTTGCTCCGGGCTCCGTTGCTGGGGGTGGCAGTCCCGGCCGGCTTCGGAGCGACGCTTCCGAGTCCCTTGGCCGTTGCTCCCCTCACTCCTCGTCAAGCTCCTCCGTCCAGTCACGCCAGTCTCTGGTACCCCGTGCCAGGGCAGACATACATCAGGCGCAAGGGAAACTCCCTTTGCTGGATCGCACCAGCGGAGGCCGTGAAATTGGCTATGGCTTTTTGGAACCATACTGCCCCTAAGCCCCCACATCAGTCCCCTGTATGTGGAAATCTGGTGCGTCGAAAGAGAAGAATTTCTCTTCAGGTGTGGGGAACCTGCGGCCCTCCAGAAGTAATTGGGACTCCAGTGCCATCAGGCCCGCCCAGTATAGTCAATGGGAATTGTAGCATAGCTGTCAACTTTTCCCTTTTCTTGCGAGGAATCCTATTCGGAATAAGGGAATTTCCCTTAAAAAAGGGAAACGTTGACAGCTGTGAATTGTAATCCAACATTGTCCACAGGGCCACGGGTTCCCCATCCCTTGGTTCACTCTATATAGTAGTATTCTCCTGGACATTTAAAAAAAAAATGTGCAAGGGTGTGGGGTGCTTTCTTTAGACGGTGTATCAATTTCCCAAGTCCCTTTGGTGGTTTATATTTGAAAAACAAAACAAAATTTTTATAATGGCATATTGTAATAAGCGCTACCGTCTGAAGTGTGAACAACGCAGCCGAGACTTCAGCGCTTGCTTCTCTTTTGTGTCTGAATTAGACAGCACCAAACAGAGGGTTCTGCTGTGCTGTTCTATTTAAGAACTTGAACAGAAATATGAGAGTTAGTTTTTGCTGTGTGGAAGGCGTTTTGTTTGGTCATTCAGTTACCAGTATGTAAGAGAACTTGGAATGATGATGCCAAAAAGAAGGTAATGTTTTTAATACAGACTGCTCAGGAAGTCTACAGTAGACAAACCTAGTGCCATATTAGCTAATCACGAGAAACCCTTAACAGGGTGTCGGCTATGGTTGCTGAAGTCAGCTATGTATCCCAGTGTTGGACATTTGCCCCAGGTGCGTGGCATCTCCAGGTAGGACTAAAAGAGGCTCCAGTTCTAAGTTCTGGAGAGATGCTGCTCATTGAGTATTGAGCTCAATAGTATTGAGCTAAATAGATCAATGATCTTACTCTGCATAAGGCAGTTTCTTGTGTTTCTTGCAGCAGAGCCTATGGGAAAGCGCTGGACTCAGGGAAAAAAATCCTCTTAATATAGCAGTCTTGTCAAATTTATATCATTAGGTATAAAGGTAAAGGTACTTTCATGTGTTTAACTCTGAAAGGTAGTATATAAACACAAAAATTAACAAATACATGGCTCACTTAAGTGCGATGGAAATTTCTCCAGTGCTTTATTTTCCACAGAAAATTTTCTGTTTCATAAGTTTAATAGTAACAGTGAATAGAGGCCAATTGCAAAAGTAGTACAGTATTAAGCAAGTTTGACTGTTTCAATACATTTTTTTAGCTTTGTTTACTAAATACAAGTAAAATAAATGTGCTAAATAAGACCACTCTCTAGGGCATCAGTTAGCTTTCCAATGCAAGTTAGGGTAATTTGCAAATGAAATTCATTTTTCCTGGAAAAAAACATTAAATATTCATATGATTCTATGATTTTTAATTGTATTTTAATAGATTATGTTATGTCTTACATTTTATTGCATTACAGTTTGAATTCTATGGAGTAAGTATAATAAAATAGATATGAAATAAAGGGAACAACAAAAAGACAATTAAAAAATCATACAACATCTACCATAGCACATGATAATTGCTTCCATAGGCAGAAAAATCATTAAGTAGTCTGCCAAGACCCTCAGCAATCTTCAAGTAGTCCATGGTGGGGGGAGTTTGAGAACCACTTTTTTAAAAATAATCATTTGATGCTGATATTTGCATCTTCTCCACTAGAGAGAGCAGTAACTCTTCTTTTCACTCCTGTTCACTTCTCCTGTCCTCTTCTCCTGCCATCATCTCACATTCTAGATCTTATTGTTGTAAACAACTAGAAAAGTGGTAGGAATATGCCAGCCTTCCTTAGCCTGTGGCTAATGTGAGTTGCAGTCCAAAACACCCCTGCAGGGTCCTAGGCTTGGGAATGCTGGAGTCGGCACCTGTTAATGAACACTGTGGGTCAGATTTAGCCAACTGGCTCTGCTGGCAGAAGCCCATGCAGGGACTTCTGCTAGCACAACAGGGCTTTTGCCCCAAGATGCCCTGCACACAGCCCCCAAATTGGCTTGTAGGGGTGGTCAGTAGAACTCCCAAGAGCAGAGCACGGGGAGGAGAGAGGAAATTGTTCCACCAGGCGAGCAGAAATGCTTGCACTGATAGAACATGATGTGGAATTCCTTCCAGTTTAGGAACCAGGAAGCCTAATAGATTCCATCTGCTAAAATAAATAAAAACTTGAATAGCTGTAAGATCTCATGCTTATTGCTTGCTGACTGTATTCATATACATACTTTTGCATGCCTCAATATAAATGATAGAATGCAAGCTTGTTTTATATATAAAACAAGTCATGTCTTGTTTTATATGGCAGTGGCAGTGAGAACTAGATTTAAGAATATAAGAAAAGCCTGCTGGATCAGACCAGTGGTCCATCTATTTATTTTTTAGTTTTTAGATTTGTATACTGCCCTTCATCCATGGATCTCAGAGCAGTACACAACATAAAAATGCAAGATAAAAACACAAAACAACTAATAAAAACAACACCTCCCAAACTAATAACCCCCCTCCCCCAAACACATTTAAAAGCGGTATAAGATGTTAATCAGTCAATGACCTATTTAAAGAGGAACATTTTCGCCTGGTGCCTAATGGTATAATGAAGGCGCCAGCCAAACCTCCTTGGGGAGCCAGTGCAGAAAAGTATTAAAATACAGTAGTCTGTTAAACATTAAAAGCTTCCCTAAAGAGGGCTGCCTTCAGTTATTGCAGACCTGAGCAATTTAAGGCTTTATAGGTCACAACCAGCACTTTGAATTGGGCCCACAAACTAATTGGCAGCCATCGCAGTCCTGTATCCTGTTCTCAGAGTGGTCAACCAGATGCCTCTGGGAAGCAGGCAATCAGAACCCGAGCCTGACACTAACAATGGTTTCCAGCAAGTGATATTCAGAAGCATACTGCTTCCAACAGTGGAGGGTGAAAATTTTAAAGAGAGAACTGGGTTTCCAAGAATACTGATAATGCATGTTTACTTGGAAGTAAGTCCAGTTGTATTCGACGAGGCTTATTCCCTTGTGAGTGTGCAAGCAAGCAAACTAGCTAAGAAACAAACAAAATAGTAGGATATAAAGTTTACTCTTGTTCTAAATCATTTCCGTGTGTTGAGTTATCTGTTATTGCTGTCAGAAATTATTGTGGCCATATAGATTGTCTTGGCAGAATATTAAATGCCTTGTTTGTGTGGTATTAATTAATGAACTGAGGAATAATACTTTAAAATATTTATTCTTAATTTTAGAGTTGACCTTGAATCCTCCAGAAGGCATAGTAGCTGGTAAGGAATCCTATTTATTTTATATCTGTATACCTTGAAATTAGAAAACTTTAAATAAAATAATACATTTTGTCTTTAAATAGGGCCTATGAATGAAGAAAATTTCTTTGAATGGGAAGCTTTGATAATGTAAGTTTATAAGCTATTATTCTTTTAAAATTATATCTACATACATTTTGCTGGTGGACTTCAGAGAACAAAAAGTAATCATATGTGCATCTTTTAATAAACGGAGTATCAAGTTTAGGGATTCCCCTGAAACAGTTCAGGTTGCATTTATCCACCTGCCAACACAAGTCTTCTTAATACGTTCTGAAAAGATAAAAGCTTTGCCAACTTGCATAGAGGGCAAGTTGTCGAGTTCAATAATAATCTCGTTTTCTAGTCTTAAATGAAACAAAAAGCAATGTTTGCCAACCAAGCAGGCTTCTCCTTTTTGCTGAATTCATATGTGGCCTTTAGTACAGAAAGAACTTAAGAGTTTTGCATGCCACCACACCTTCTGGGACAGATTAAGATAATGAAGAAGAGAAATAGGGTTAGTGTCTTGAATTTCACCTAGTTTGTTCATAGCCACGTAGGAACAAGAGAGACTTTTCAGCATTGTTCTCTCACCTACAAGGTGTTTTTTTGTTGTTTTGAATTGAGATGAAACAGGTGGTGAAATTGTTGAGGTCTAGCCAACCTTAGGGGAGTTATTTTCCACGTTTATCTTAACGAGGGTTTGTGCATCCCATTTTCACTCAAAGGGGACCTTGGCTGTTGGAAAGACTTGGGCTTTCTTTACCATAGCCCCAACTTTTGGGGTTTGTCTTATGAAGTTTGCAGATGGCTCAACTTGCCACTGTCAGGGAATGTCTAAAAATGTTTCAGAAATGAAGAGTACAGACAATGGGAACACAAGCAATATGACACAAGTCTCAAGATCTGGAATTTCTCTGAAGTCCGGTTTTCCTCTTCTGAAGTGCACTCTTTCTGTGTTATTTGGCAATGTGCTGTATAAAATTTCAGATAGGATCATAGCTCAGGAAAATTGTAGCAGTACAGTATGCATTAAGACACACTGGAAGAAATTAAAATAGTCTGTATACCATTGATCTGGGAGGCTTTTTCTAATGAGAAAGGCGGGTGTTAAAGTAACAAGCTAACTGTTACAAGTTCGCTGTAAGTTTTGATTGTGTGGCCATAGCTGATAGAATAGAGAAACACATGCTTAATTTTGTGCATCAGGCTACCAGTCAAATTGCAATAAAATAAACCAGTGCTTTGGAAGGAAGTGTGGCCAGTATACAGCAGGGTCATTTTTTTGAAGTTCTTAAATACCAAATGTTATTTTCTGCCTTGTAACACACATGTACACATGGAAAGAGTACTTTGAACATTTTTTCAAGGAATTTGTGTATCAGCATCTTCCCTTCCCACTGTAGTGGAGGTGTAATCAAGGGCTGCGTTGATAATGAGAGTGCCTAATTTATGAGTGGCACCAATAAAGATTAAGCTAATAATAATGAGGCATCTCTGTTTATTTACTTTGGTCCTCTGTATTAAAGGCTCAGTTTGGAAGAACTACAGAGCTGTAATACTTTCATGATTTCTGAAAAATTTAATTCTATGTAGATGTGAATATCAAAGTGTAGAGTCTGAAGTTTCAGGAGTGAGATTAGAAGGGTGATAAGAATGACTGCTATTCAAACATACCAGAAATACCAAGCCTTGCATTTCATGATGAAAACTAGTATTGCTGAAACATCATAAATTGAATATTTTCAGTGTGGCTAAAGCTGAAAAGAAACACTGGTTGGTATCTGATCCTAATACACTTACGTGGAACAAGACCCAATGATTTTAGCAAAAAAATCTTATTTAGTTTTGCTGTGTCCATCTCATGGCCAGTAGAATGTCCACTTTGGTAAAACTATGCTTGTTTTTAGGGCCTGAAAACAAGTGCTGTGATCTTGTGCACAATTTCTAAAGCAAATAAATGCTCACCTTTGATCTTGTCACATCAAAAGTGCAAATAGGCAGTGTTAGATAATGGGAATACATAAAGACTTCCAGCTTCATACCGTGTGAGTGCTGTGTTGCGTAAATCAATTAACTTGATATGTGAGATTAATGTATTTTCTCTCTCTTATCAGGCTATTCTCACTTAGCTTTATTAACTTCAAAACGGATGGCATTTGAAAACTGTTAGCGCTCATTATCACAACAGTTTACCCCACTAAAATGATACAAAAGTATTCATTGTTAGAACTTGGCTAGCCTAAAGGCTGCTCTTAAAAATAACAAGTACAAATTTAAGCCAATATTTCAAAAAGCTGTCTAGAAATGTAATTATATTTCAGTTTAGTGTAAATGTTTACTTCATTGTGGAATTCCCCTTTGTGCATTGTAAGATTTTGGGAGCAGGGATTGCAGCTGCTTTCATAAAAATTGGAAAAAACACACAAATGTGCTTAAAAACAATTATTATAGCTTTAACTGACCTCCCATAAGTGTTTGTTCTTTTGTTCCATATGTTTATGTGAAGGTTTTCTACCCTTTTATTTTCTGTAATTGTATGTTACTGTTATAATGTTTTTGCTTATGCTCTAAGATACATGTAAATTCATGGCTGTTTGTCATAATATTTTTATGTCATGCGTCACTGAAAATCAAGACACCACTAACTTTTAAAAACTTCCAAGTTTTTCTTATATCTTGAGCTACATGTGAATGGTGTTTTAAGAAATAAGAGCCCTGCTAGGACCCCTTCAAGTCCAGCACTCTGTTAACCAGAAGCCTATGGGAAAACCATAAGCAATACACGAGACTCCTCAGGACTCCCAGCAATGGGTATTTAGAAGCATATTGAATTTGTCTATCCACTCTTTAAAGCCAATCATATTGGTGGTCATCACTACATCTTGTTGCGAATTCAATAGTTTAACTATGTGTTGTGTGAAGAACTACAGTCGTACCTTGGATCTTGAACGCCTTGCGAGTCAAACGTTTTGGCTCCCAAACGCCGCAAACCCGGAAGTAAGTGTTCCAGTTTGTGAATGTTCTTTGGAACCCGAACATCCAACATGGCTTCCAATTGGTTGCAGGAGCTTCCTGCAGCCAATCGGAAACCGTGCCTTGGTTTCCAAACGTTTTGGAAGTCAAACGGACTTCCGGAACAGATTGCGTTCGACTTCCGAGGTACCACTGTACTTCCTTTTGTCACTCTTGAATTTTCCAACATTCAGCTTCATTGAATGACTCTGGCTTCTAGAATTATGGGAGAGGAAGAAAAAATCTCTCACCACCCAGCCATCATTTTATACAGTTCCATCAGGTCGTCCCCCCATTCACCTTTTTATAAACTAAAAAGCCCCATACGTTGTAACCTTTCCTCATAGGGAAGTTGCTTCAGCCCCTTGATCTTTCTGTTTGTACTTTTCTGCGCTATAGTTTATATTACTGTATTGCACCTAATTATCAGCAACCATTACGTACTGAGAGCTGGAAGAGTGATATACAGTCTGCAACAAGTGAATACTTGCTCAGTGTCGCTATTTTAAAGTTTATGGGGGTAGGGTGGAGGAAGTATTAATGTTTAACCCCATAGAAATTGTAGCAGTAAAACTACCTAGACTTATTTATTATCACATTTAAAATGTAGCAAGGAAGCCTAGTGGGAACCGTGCTTAGATTAGGAATAACTTTTCTGTACAGGTTTATCATTAAGTAGTGAATTTATGTTGTGCTATAGATCTAGGTGTCTGAAAGTTGTGTGTCTAATGGCTGATCCAAGGTTTTTGTTTTTATTACTACTACTTATTTGTAATGCTATTTGTAATGCTTATTTGTAATGTAGTGCTCTGGTCCATGGGGTCATGAAGAGTTGGATTTAAAGTATTGGTATGTTCCTGCTAGTTCCCATAATGCTAGACAAAGAAAGGAGGCATGCTATTTCTCTTCTCCCAGAAGTGAGTAGCTTTTCTTGTTTAATATCACAGAAATAGCTTAGATTGGGAAATGGTAGTTGCCTTACAAATAAAAGGTAATGATCAACTTTGATCCAGAAAGATCAACTGCCCAGGAAAATAATTCGTTATTCTAGGACCAAAAAACATCCATTTGGTTCCAGTCTAAATATGCAAATGATATATTTTTTAAAAAAATACCTAATTGCATCCTACAATGCCATAATAGGAGACATTAAGCATGTATTTTGCTTTTATGGTGGAAGCTATATCATTTCTCCCTACTATGGTGACAGAGGCAATTTCCACGCGGGGAATGTTGGTTCAGAATGTTGCTTTGATAGTTCTGTGCTACCTAATACGGAGTCAGAGTACTGGAAAAGTTCTAACTTAGAACTTGCTCCCAGCACCTGGGAAGCTGAAATAATTTTTTCTGCTACACGCGCATAGAAATAGTGAAATAACTGGCACAGCCTTATTTAATTTCACTATTATACCCTAACTTTTTAACAAATACTCAGGGTATATTACAAGCAAAATAAAAGCAATGAAGAATGATAAAAAATAAATTGGAGCTAAATCAAAAGTATAAAAACAAAGTTACAAAGCTGTTACTTTTTATATAAATAATTTATTATCATTATGATTTAGACTTCTTCCTTTGTAGTAACTTGGAATGCATGCCAAATATCTTCTACTTCAGTGAATAGAGCGTTCATCAATTTTCATTCTTAATAACATAGATTATGGTTACTTTAAGAGGTTAAGGTACCTGACACTTCTAGTTTGCCTATAATAGCAGAAGTTACTGCCCCATTCATATACATAAGGCTTACATTTGCAATTTCTAACACGTACTATATCCATGCTGTTGTCTCTTTGGACATTCACAGTACAGCAGAAATGCTTTCTGCTAGGGCTTAAGGGTTGTATCCAGCCATACACTGAATAGACCCATTTAAATCAGTGGACCTTAGTTAGCATGACTTGGATACAACCCAGAGTGAGCAACATATATCTCATAAACAGAGGAACATTATATATATATATATAATATATAAATATATATATATATATATAATATATCTGTTTAGAAGTAAGATCAGTGGTTTTCCCCCAGGTAAAGTATGGGATTGCATCCTGACCAGACCAAGGGAAGCATAGAGGAAACTTCAGGTGATTGAGGATCAAAAAACACTGTTCTTGTAAGCAAATAAAGGTTCTTCTAAAATAAAACATCTAAACATAGCACTTGTCAAAATTGCCTATAAACTTTGTTCAGGAGTGCTCAGAGCATATAATAGTGTTGCAAGGCCATCCCAGTCCAGAAATCACAAGTGGGTAGAGTGATATAGTGTAGTCTTGTTGCTTGAGTGTTGGATCTGAATGTGAGAACCAGCATCAAATCCTTGCTCAGGCATGAAACTATCTGGGTGGTCTTCGACAAAAGCACAGAAATTAGAGGGTGAAATAAGGCCCTCCAAGGGGTTCTGCTCAATGCACTTAAGCTATATTAGGTGAACAGATTGGAAAGAAGAACCTGTTCTGTTTTTGGAAGGAGAAATGCGTAATAGTGAAGTTCTACTTGGCTAGACTATGATGGCTCCAAGATTTTTTTTGCCAAGGTGATTGTTGAAGAAAAAAAGGAGGGGGGATGTTTTTGTTTTCTAGAGGAGGAGAAGCTGTTTAGACCCAAGAAGAAATATGCTAGAAGTGACACTGAGAAAAAATGAGAGGCACAGGTTGTGCATTTGTAGGAGGGAAATAAAATAACAATAGAGAGGTAGCAAAGGTTGAAACTCTTACTTCTAATACTTACTACTTATGAGGACTCTAATTCTGAAATTCAGCCCTATGCTTGTTGTTCAGCAGTGCTCAAAAACACACGTTCATTACTGTCTAGAAAAGCTGTGGGCATACAGGTGGAAGTTTCCACTTTGAATGATTTAGCTTGCCAAAAATTATGGTCAGTGCTTGGTGTGCATGTAACCCCATTTATAATCTGGGTGTGCACCTTGGGTATACTTACCTTCAAAGTCTGAAGTCTGGCCAGCATGCACATCCTAATTGCGTATCCTGAAGTTGCTTTTATTACTTGAGTTGTTGTGTTAAAATCTAACATGCACATCTTTCCATCAGACCATTATAGAAATAATAAACATTGGTTATACAATGCCTTGCAAATGGCAGTTTCTGACACTTTTGTCCATGCATTATAATAGTGTCTTCAAAGTAGCAAGATCAAGCACCTGTAGGCTATATCTCTTGACGTGCAGGCACTAAAATCTGGAACATGCCTTGGAGACAGATTGAGCATAATTGAATAAACACACCCTGGTAATTAAGCAGTGTTGTGACCTTCCTAGTAATTTAATGTGCAAGCTTTGATTTCTCTCCCTTTCAGCTTCTTGTTTTAGGTTAGAGAGGATGTGAACAAGTTAACTCTTTATAATCAAGGCTTCCTTCTAAGGAAACAGCATGAATTTTTCAGTACACATTGGGTTTCACTGTGTAGTAAAGCGTTGTAAATAAGCTCACCAAAGTTACTTGTCTAATATTTTGTTTAAGTGGCACAGAAAGTAGGGTAAATGTGCTTTCCACAAATTGGGCTGGCACTTAACATATGGAGCTGAGGGACAAGCTTCTTGTTTTCTATGACAAGCTCAGAAAATTAACAAACAGGCTGAGAACAGCTAAACAGACCTGTCCGTTCTTTGCCAGCCCACTCAGTCGCTTGCATGGAATTTCTTGTCACCTGTGGTTTCCAAGCAACATGTTGGGAGAAACAGGACCAGTTTAGTACCTATGGTGACCCATGCTGAAGCAGCTTCTGTAGAAGTGGTTACCATCCAGCATGGAAGTTTGCATGCTGTTAATTAGCTATGACAAATCACCAGTTGTAGAATGGCAAGCAGACAAGTGTAGGGCTGTGTGGACTGGGCAGAGTTGTCTCTGATGGCCTCTTGCAGAGACCAGCAGGAAGCCCCCAGATGGGTCTTTTCTAGGGAGGGAGAAGGGCTGAGGCAGCCCATGACCCATTGGAAACTGAGCTTGCTGCTGTATGTCATGTGATAGCATTGAGCCTAATCTGGGCCTGATCACTTGGTTGCAAAAGCATAAGTGTAAGAATAGTGTGTCAGAAAAGCTGTATCCTTACTACTAGGTGAGAAAACAGGGCTTCTGATTCTCTCTTTTTGCAGTGAAAGTTGAGTCAAGTAGTAGCTTAGTTGTCGTATTTAGTGATGCATTTCCATTGAGAATAACTTAGCACTCACCCCCTGCTGCCAAAAAAATCACTTTCTTAACCTGGTATTAGGAATCAGACCTCCAATATTGGATGTTACAACTTTAAAACAAAACAAAACAAAACAAAACAAAACAAAACACAATAATAACTGAGAGTTAATCCTATTTCATATTTATAGTTGCAGGAGTACAACTGTATACAGTTTATATATGTAAAGACCCCAACAGGTGGAGTGATTTAAACTGAGGCTATTTTAAATCACAAATTATATATGAAGTTAGGTGAGGGGCAGGTGTAGATGCTGCTGTCCATGTACAGTTGGATGCTGCATTAGAAAGATAAATGTAAGCCCAGCCAAATAGGGCTTGCCATTACTGCTGATCAGCTGATTGGTGGTAACTTCAAACCCCACTGGGATAAACTTCAGATTTTTCTTCCTAGTGTGCTTGCCATAGTACAAAGGGAAAAATGGCTCATAGTAATGACATGTGGGCAGGCCCTGAGAATGGGGGAACTCAGGATCTGGCCCACTTGTTGTTTAGTCGTTTAGTTGTGTCCAACTCCTCGTGACCCCATGGACCAGAGCACGCCAGGCATTCCTGTCTTCCACGGCCTCCTGCAGTTTGGTCAAACTCATGCTGGTAGCTTCGAGAACACTATCCAACCATCTTGTCCTCTGTCGTCCCCTTCTCCTTGTGCCCTCCATCTTTCCCAACATCAGGGTCTTTTCCAGGGAGTCTTCTCTTCTCATGAGGTGGCCAAAGTATTGGAGCCTCAGCTTCAGGAGCACTCAGGGCTGATTTCCTTAAGAATGGATAGGTCTGATCTTCTTGCAGTCCATGGGACTCTCAAGAGTCTCTTCCATCTGGCCCACTAGCTGGATCCAATTCTCTACTGCCATAGCATGCAAAGTGATGCACGTTATCCTCCTGGGGTCATTTAATTATTCCAAATATGCATGGCGGTTAAACAGCCATTAGTTAACTGTCCATTGTGGAGGAAGCAAGTGGTGGTGATCCCTGCAGCACAGGCTTCCCCTGCTTCTTTAGCCTTGGTTCTTGAGTATGATTGCTGACTCAATAAGTCATCTGTGGCAGTGCCAAATGTACAGCTGCATCAAAGCACTATGACTATAACATCAATTATAGTTTATCATCAACTTATTTATGTTTAGGAAAATATATATAAACCATCCACTCATAAAATAGCCAGGTGGTGTACTACAATATATACACATAAAATCAACATGCAATAATCGTAAAACTGACTCATTTTGGCAAAATCTAAACAACTCCTTGGGTCTGTCAACATAAAAGATATTCAAGAGCTCCCTGAAAGTTAGCAGCAAGGGTGCTTGCCAAATCTCTACTGGATTACATCTTGGATATCCTCTTGAAGATTGATCTGTTTGAAATGGAGAATACGCTCCTAAATAGTTTATAGTTATTCAATTCATGCAGTCTGGAAACTACTTCCATGTTATAATTGCATGTATCTACTAATCTAGAGACTTCCTTGTGCTGCTGAAATACTTGATTACCATCAACTTTCATTTTTAGTAGCTGATATTTTGGAACTAGTTTGAAAGTGGTGCCAGCTGTTTCCATGCTGCATAGATGTAATGTTTCTTTTGTTTCAGGGGCCCAGAAGACACATGCTTTGAGTATGGCGTTTTCCCTGCTATTCTGAGTTTTCCTCTTGATTATCCTTTAAGTCCTCCAAAGATGAGGTTCACATGTGAGATGTTTCATCCCAACAGTAAGTTCTACCAATAGGTGCCTTTATGCTTTCTACATGGGTAAAGAATGTCATCAAGTCCAGCTATCTAGAAAAAGCTTAATGGACCCTTAAACCACTTCGGCTATCTTCAGCAGGAGCTACATATTATCTGGACCTACCCTTTGATTTTTGTTGTTGTTCATTATTACACAATTAGAGAACTATGTACTTAGTCACTGGTTAACACCTTTTAACTATGTTTTACTCGTAAGCCACTTTGAATTGTGGTACAAAATAAAGCATAGTACAAGATGTGATCTTCTGTATACCATTTACCCTTAATGTCAGTAATTTCATAATGTAAAATGCCCTGAAATAGAATGGAGGAGATAGAAGGGCTGAGCTAGCCTGGGATCAGATGGAACCTAAGCTGGTCTCACTGCCATCACATGATACGATCAGCAACCTTGCTTCCCCATCTGAACTTCTGCCCTATCCACCTGGTGTCCATAAAGTCCTGTTGGTAGGGGAGAGGAGAGGTTTGAATTACAGCCTGAGATTACAAATACTTGACATACAGATTTACCAATTGATTTAGTTCGTCAGTAGCTCCATTTCTGGTGATATTTTGTCTTTGTTTTCCCAACTGATAACAGTAACTAGTTGACCTCTGCATAATTCCCATTGTCTTAAAAGAAAAAAATCACAGGGTTGAGACCTCCTTTCTGAATTCCATGTCTTTAATACCAGGAGAGCTGGATACTTCTCTAGGAGCATTATAGGCAGATTGATAGGTACCATGAAGTAGCAATTGGAGAAGAAGAACAATGATGCCCACCAAAAGCATGGACCAGATTCAATTAAATTGTTGTTCTGGTGGGAATCTGTGCAATGAGTCCCACTAGTGCAATGGGGCTTTTTGCCCCCCTCCACCTCCTAAATCAGCTCTGCAGAGCATGAGTTAACAGTGTAATGTTGGAAAATGTCGATCAGTTCTCTTACCTGGGCAGCTATCTTTCCACAAGGGCTGACATTGATGCTGAAATCCAGCATCGCCTGAGCTCTGCGAGTGCAGCTTTCTCCAGATTGAAGCACAGAGTGTTTGAGGACCGGGACGTTAGCAGGGAAACCAAAATGCTTGTTTACAAAACTATTGTACTACCAATCTTACTGTATGCTTGTGAAACATGGACCACTTGTAAAGGCCATTGCCACTCTTCGAAAGATTCCATCAAAGGTTCTCTCTGAAACTTTTTACATATCACTTGGGGGGACAGGTGAACTAATGTCAGTGTACTGGAAGAAACAAAGATCACCAGTGTCAAAGCAGTGATTCTTTAACATCAACTTCGTTGGACTTGTCATGTTGTTCAGATGCCTGATTTTTGTCTTCCAAAGCAACTACTCTTAAAAAATGGAAAGCATAATGTCAACAAAAGAAGTTTAAAGACTCTCTCAAGGCAAATCTTTAAAAATGTAGTATAAACACTGACAATTGAGAGACACTGGCTTGCAAGTGCTCCAATTGGAAAACAGCCTTTACTAAAAGTGTCATGGACTTTGAAGACTTTAAACTCAGGACGAAAGGGAGAAACGTGCTAAGAGAAAGGTACATTTGGCAAACCCTCACCTTGATCAACTCCTGCCCGGAAACCTATGTCCTCACTGCAGAAGGACATGTGGATCCAGAATTGGCCTCCACAGTCACTTATGGACTCACTCTTAAGACCATGTTCATGGAAGACAACCTTACTCGGCTGCGAGTGATCACCAAAGAAGAAGAAAGAAGCAGCAGCAGCAGGGCACGAGAGGGGAGATGGTTCCATCTGGCAAGCAGAAATGCTTGCACTAACAGAACAATTGTATTAGCATGATGTTGAATTCAACTCTGTGTGATTAACTCTCTTTTCATGTATTATTTCCCCTAAGTTTGACTATTGGGACTTTCAAAGCATATCATCTTTGCCTCTTCTATTCATGTTCCTCCTCTACAGAATAGAGATCCATCAAAGTCTTCTCTCCCTTTCCCTCAGCTATGGATAGACCAACAACAACCATTCCCTACCCTAAGGCTGTAATGAGGGAGTAAACACAGTAACCTATATATAGCACTTAACAAGTTTCAAACTTGCACAGAAATTAGCTGAAGGGGAGATTTGAAAATGTGCCTGGCAGCTTTCTACCACCCGTTTCACTCTGCTGTTATTTTGGGTGGAGAGTAGCTGGACAAATGGAAGAACAACTCTGGGGGGCATGAGAGAGAAAATAAAAGTGAAGAGCCAAATCTCTCTCCCAGTCAGTTGGTTAGAAGAGCAATACCAATTTATATTTATAGCATGGTCTTTCTCAATCTCATTCAAAGTGAAAAACAGTAAAATGGCACAAAACACTAGTGCAAGGCAGAATGTTAAAAGTGCACCAAAGGTTTCTTGACTTTAAAAATCTAGCATCTTTTAGGCTGTAGACCTTCTTGTTAGGGGAGTATTTTGGGGAGGGGGAACTTGTCCTTCTATTTTAAGACACCTTAAAATAAGAACTAATGTCAGTGTAATCCTATGCACACCTAAGTAAATTCTATTGTGTTATATGATATTTATTCCCAGGTAAAAGGATTAGGATAGTAGCCTAAAATGCATAAACGATGGACAGTGTTTGGACAGAAAGCATGTGGGGAAACATATTACACTGGAGAATTTGGAATCCCTCAGAAATTGATCTATTGACCCCTCCTTTTTATCTAGAAAGATGTGTGTTTTAAGAACATTAGCTCTGTAGTTGCAAAAAGTATACTGTTGCCTCCTAGATTCTTCCACTTTCTTTTTGTTTTTCTTAAATGACTGTTGTGTAGAGGAGGCTAAAGAACAAAATACTTTTCTTCTCCACAGTTTATCCAGATGGGAGAGTTTGTATTTCTATTCTTCATGCTCCTGGGGATGATCCCATGGGCTATGAGAGCAGCGCAGAACGATGGAGCCCAGTACAGAGCGTGGAGAAGATCCTCTTGTCAGTGGTCAGCATGCTGGCAGGTATGAAACAGCAGTTCATCTCCAAACACTAAGCTAGGAAAGCTGTTCAAGCAGCAACCAATTAACAGGCTGCTAAAATAACAAGAGTTTCAGCAGCCACCTTAGAAGCTGTTTAGCTATGGTTCTCTTTTATGTAGTCTACTGTTCCCTTAGATTTGGCATTGGCTTTTCTTTAAGATAAATTGTGTCTACGAAGAGAAGAAGTGACCAATTTAATCAATGTCTTGCTTCCAGGTAAAGCAGTCCACCTTCCCAAATGTAAGCCTTTATGTTGCTACTTTTGAAGACTGGAGAATAAGGCTGTCACTGGCTACTAGCCACAATGACTATGTTATACCAACACTGTTAAAGACAATATGCCTCTGAATGCCAGTATCTGGGATTCGCAGCTGTTGTGCTCAGGATCTTCATGCAAGAACAGAGTGCTGGACTAGATGGGCCTTCGGCCTGATCCAGCAAGGGCTCCTTAGGATGAGTTGAAAATCCTATGTTCAGATAGTTCATTGTTTACCTAAATAGAAGAAAGTTGTTACTCTCCCTCTATGGCAAAGTGCAAAGCAAGCTGATGAACTGCAGTATGTTCAGACGACAAGGGTGAAGAATACTACTCATTCTGGCATTGAAATAGTCATTATTTGAGGTCTTATTTCTGTAAGCCCCTGTGAACATGAATGGTATGTGCTTATGCACATAAACTTTGGCTTAAATAAATCTCAAGGAATTGTGAGATTTGCTTTAATTAAGAAACCACCATTCTACTAATTTGCTGTCAAAACAGCTACAAATTTAACAACAACAACCAAATACCAATTCAAAATCAAACTTATAGGTCCAATTTAAATGAAGATGGAATAGCTCAGACCGTCAAATGTGGGTTGCCAAACTAAATTGTTCAGTTAGCCAGCTTCACTACCTAACCTACAATCCTGGAGTTGTTTTCAGTCCCTATATGTACTGGCAGTTTTCTGTGGCTGTTGATGCCTCAAATTCTGCGACTCCCTTTCTTTAACACTGTGCACGTGCGGTTGTGGTATAGTGTAAATACTTAGTAGCCCCATTAAAATATTGGTTGGGTCCGTAATCCATGTATAGAGTCCAGTACATTGTGTATCTTGCAGTTCTGCAAGGTGGTCTAGGGTGCCAGCAATCCTTGGAAGCAGTAGGGGATGAAACTGAAGAGGCAGAGGACCAGTCAGAGTCTTAGGGTGCATTCATATGTAATGCTAAACCCAATTTTTCTTTTATTTCCCTTTTTCAGAACCGAATGATGAGAGTGGAGCCAACGTGGATGCTTCTAAAATGTGGCGGGAAGACAGAGAGCAGTTTAACAAAATAGCCAAGCAAATAGTCCAGAAATCACTTGGGCTTTAAAAAAAAGGAAGGAACAGACATTTGACAATCATAGTATTTGATCTTTTATCAGACAGACAGATGGCAGTACTCCGTGTTGATAGGAAAAAGCAAATCTTGCAAAATTGTTGACTGGGTGTCTTAATAACACACACATCCTCTCTCCCCCCTCTCTTCCCTTTTTCTTTACTCTTCTGAGGGTGAGGGATCTCCCTCGACATAAGACATGTAAGTAGCTGCGATACAAGTGGATTTAGTCATAGGAGAAAAGTTGCATAGTGCTGTGGTTTCTTTGCACTAGTGAAAGCATGGGAGCCTTGCATAGCGTCTGTGTCTCTTCAGTTATATTTATATTTTCCTAACCCTTTTCAGTGCAGTACTGTGCACTTTCTGGTAATGGGGTTGAGAAGATCTATGAATTAATAACTGCCCAGAACCATGGAAAGCTGCTGAAACACCATTGGACTCCCTTGTCTGGAAATGGAGAAATGCTGTTCTAAGAATGTCTTACTTCATAACTGGATGTAACTTTTGAAGGCCTCAGATTCTCTCCTGCTTAAGACCACAAAGCAACCACACCTGAAGTCAAATGAGAACATAGTTAAGCTGCTGGGCAAGAGTATTTTGAGAGCAAGTGAATTACTGTATCTAATTGAGGTAAATCAGAGACGAAGTGGCTAGTGTAATCAGTGTCTTGCTTCCAGGTACAGCAGTTAACCTTCCCAAATGTAAGCCTTCATGTTGCTACTTTTGAAAGCCTTCAAGCACTACTGAGTTCCTCTTGAGACATTATTTGAACTTGGTACAACTCCAGAAAGTTTCATAAATAATCCTCATTTCTAAAATGTATTGGTTTTCTTTAACAGCTATCTCTACTCATAAGAGATATACCTTGTATTGCAGCAGAGCAGTCTTTCCAAAGTTAATCTTCAGTCCTCAGCTGACAGCACTTAAACATAATACAAAGAGTCTTGAATCTAATGTCACCCAAACTGTATTCCTAATAGAAATCTGGAGAACAAAATCAAGTGTGAATATTATTTGGATTAGCAGGACTTGATGGTATTCAACTTCAGTTACTCTTTTATTTTCCTGCGTGTGCTGTGGGAGGGAATCTTTATCTTGGAAACACTAGACTAAGTAGTACTGGACATCCTCTAGTTTCTTAGTCTAGTACCAGGAGAATAAAAGTTATTGCTTTACTTTCTTACTGGCTGGGAACAACTGAGCAGTAAACAGGCTCTTGATGTGTATTTCAAAGCCAGGTTATATAGCAGTTGACAACCATTTCTTACTACATCTGTACTACTTTAGAATGCCAAATTTAAAGTTACATGGCAAGAAATACTATTAATATCTCTTGCTTAAGCTTGCATTTTAATTACTTTTATACTGTTTACAATTTAATCAATTTCTGATTGAGAGGGATTATCATTCTCTGAAATTTCATGCATTGAAATTCAATTTCATATTTTTTTTTACAGTGGCATAATTTCCAGGAAAAATAGCTCTCATAATTTGATTGATCCGCAGCGGAAGCTGAATCTAGGCATTTTTTAGCAGCATGAAGCCCTGACCTTACGAGAGTGATTTTCTGTGGGAGTTGTTCCTGAATTAGAAGACCTTTCTACTTTAAAGGGTTTTAAGAAAGAGATGTTACTTTGGGCATGGATTAGGGGAGGGTGGAAGTAGTAGTATTTTTCCAAAACATCTACAAGTGGTGGTTTTCATGGCAAACGGGAGGTGTTTATTTATTCTACAAGTTGTAATTTAGCTGGACGAGTCCAACAAGACAGCAGCATGGAAAGAAGGTGCTCTTTGTTTAATGGTGATTACATACGGGAAAGCTGTCCTGCTCTTACACAGTATTCAAGTGTATTTAAACACATTGTTTTATATTGGACACAAATATTGTCAATGAAAATAAATGCATATTTTCCTTAAAGTACAAAATCACTAGTACTACTGTTTTTGGAATGTCCTACTTTAACACGTACTACATGTGGAACAGAGTGTATTTGCCTCGGATTCAATGCCACGATGAGAGAATGTGGGGTCTTTCAGATTGTAGAAAATGAATTGTAGAGTTGGAAGGGACACCCAGGGTCATCTAGTCCAACCCCCTGCAATGCAGGAATGCTGCCCACAATCATCCTTGGGTGGGCTCGAACCAGCAAGAGACATAACAGTGTATTTCTTTGCTCCAAGTGTGACCCACCCTCACTGAAGCACATTTACCTAGAAATAGCAGGGCAGATACATACCAATTTGTAAAGAATGAACCTCAGCAATCTTCTGTTTCATCTGGGATTTGATGGGCAAGTGTTTACAGGCAGGGGGGTTAACTGTCTACCACAGGGGTGGGGAACCTCTAGCTCTCCAGATATTGTTGGACTCCAGTTCCCTTCATCTCTGACCATTGGTCATGCTGGCTGGGACAGATGGGAGTTGGGGTTCAGCAATATTGGGGGCATCTCAAGTTAACCACCCAGCAGCTACAGTTCTTCTCAACCACACACATGCATACACTGAGTTCACAACAGAAATACTCAGATATAATTATCTGCACAATTATCAGCTGTGCTGGCTGACCACTATTGAAGACAGATCTGATGAAGAAGAGAAGAAGTGGAGTTTGGATTTGATAATCCGCTTTATCACTACCCTAAGGAGTCTCAAAGCGGCTAACATTCTCCTTTCCCTTCCTCCCCCACAACAAACACTCTGTGAGGTGAGTGGGGCTGAGAGACTTCAAAGAAGTGTGACTAGCCCAAGGTCACCCAGCAGCTGCATGTGGAGGAGCGGAGACGCGAACCCGGTTCACCAGATTACGAGTCTACCACTCTTAACCACTACACCACATTATGATCCAGCATAGACAGTCTTTTGTTTTCATATAGTGGCCTTAATATTTGTGCAGGTATCTATAGTCTACCTATGGTGGGAAAAACTAGGTAGCGACAGGTCTTTAGCAAGCACCTGCTTTTTGTGGCAAGGTATGAAGCATTTTTTTAGCTTCTTGAACTAATGTCCAATACGTATGTACTATTTCATTACGAGGGGAAATGAGCATGTGTGTTTAACTTACATTGTAGATGGATGAGCTTGCATAACTTAATTAGGAACACTTGAGCCTCTTGGTGTGCTGGCAATGAAGGGAACACATTATTGTGTGTGATTCAGCTGCCTCCATGTGTACGAAATTTAGAGATGATTAGACTGCTGTCGGAAGAAGCCATGAGGAAATCGCAACCAGGTCTAAAGCTACTTTTTGCTCCAAAATACGGTGGTTTAGAACTGCAGCTTTGGGAGAAGACTGCAACGTAGTCCTTCGAAAGGCCGCTGCTCTCCAATCTTATTAGTGCCAGAATAAGAATAATTTTTGTCCTCTATTCTTTTGACAAGGATATGTGTGTGTTAGCAGGCTCTGCATCCCTAGCTCCTGGCGACATTTCTAATTGGTGTACCTTTTCTTTCCTCTAAGAAACAATTACTGTAAAACTTGTTCCTCGGCAGATGTTATGAATTTTTTTTAAAAAAGGTGTTACTATTAAATACATGCAAGTAGCTTTTTAATCTACAGTTTTCACCTTTCTGCTTAGATTGTTTGCTTTAGGCTTTGTAGTTAAAAAGGATGCAAACAAATGCCTCTCCCCTGGCAGCAAGGGCTGTGTTAGGACACACAAGACACACACACACAGGCAAGGGAGAGACTTAAATTAATCATGTCTTCCATCCCCCACCCTGCTTCTTTGAAAAAAAAAACCTGCGGTATTAAATATGTTGGAACCACATAAAACAGTTGACGCTGGAGGGCAGGGCTGATCTCTGGATTCTTACTGCCTTCTTGTGTTTGGCCCAGTTCTCACTTCGCGATTATCAGCATGTTGAAAGAAATATGCGTGTTCTACAATCTAGCTGGCATGCTAGCTTTAAAGTTACTACATGCACTGCAATTGACACCTGTCTTGGTTTTTGGTTTTGTTTTTTACTTTCAGTTTTCTTGGCAGGGTCCCGCTTCACAGTTAAGGCATGAGCAAAAGAGATCCAGTTAAATCTCACAACATGAGCTGCTGACAAGTCATACGTTACTGTGGAGTTAGCACCCTACCAATAGGCCCCAGCCACCACTGTAACCAGCCAGCTGACTTCTATGTCCCTCAATTCATGGTCCTTTGGCCCTGTCCAGGAACTGAAATCTATGCTCTTATAGCTCATTATATCTCTATATCATGTCTCATAAGTAGTCCTTTTATTTCCTTGCCCCTTTGCTGCCTCTCTTTGAGAGGAAGGTTTTAGTCTAAGCCAGGGGTAGGCGAACTAAGGCCCAGGGGCCGGATGCAGCCCAATCGCCTTCTCAATCCAGCCCGCGGACAGTCCGGGAATCAGCTTGTTTTTACATGAATATGTCCTTTTATTTAAAATGCATCTCTGGGTTATTTGTGGGGCATAGGAATTTGTTCATATTTTTTTTCAAAGTATGGTCCGGCCCACCACATGGTCTGAGGAACAGTGGATCGGCCCACAGCTGAAAAAGGTTGCTGACCCCTGGTCTAAGCTGTCATAGAATAACTCCACAAGAAACATTATAAACATTATAAAGTTGGAAGGGACCCCAAGAGTCACCTAGCTCAACCTCTGATCATACTCTGGGGTGCTTTCATTAACTGCTGTCCTGTACACCCTCAGAAGGAGCAGAATATGCTCATCCGAATCCCTTTGGTGCTGCTGGACAAACATTGCCAGTTCTAGCCCCAACATGTGGTTTAGCCATGCCATCCGACTGAGGCCTAGCTTGGGTATTCTGGGTATTGTGGATGCCTAGAATTTCATCCGCTTTCTGGAACACCCTTGACTCAAAGTTCCTGTGTTGATCAGAGTGCAATTCCCCCTGCACTTGAAAATCAGAAAAAGAAAATGGTCAACCAAGGTATTTGCCACTATCACAGCTTCCTGTTTTGTAATAGCAGACGCCTCTGGCCACCATGTGAAATAATCAATGGAAACCAAGATGTAGCAGT